CTTGCCTTGCGGCAATGCACTTGCATCTCGCACCGGCACCAACGCCATCCATCTTGATTGACCCAGCACCAATCCCAAGTTCCCAACCTCAACCAGCGTCAGCCATGAGGAGGCGCCGCGTATGTGCATCTTTCGACACACAGGCAGGCAAAATCGCAAGACAAGGCAAGGCAAGGCGCGCGGAGGAAAGTCTAGCCAAGCCAAGCAAGCCTACGCAGCTCCAGAGCTCTCTAGCCCTCCTCTCCTCTCCTCGCTCCTCACTCCTCACTCCTCACTCCTCGGAAGAGTACGAATAGCAGGCTCGTAGGAGATACTCCGTCTAGAGCACGGATCAACGGTATCCAAAGTATCGTGACTGATGGAGCCTGGATGCATGACATGACATGGTCCAGTTAGACGCAGAATGAGTGACAGACAATCTGGAAGTTGCCAGACCGAATGTCCAAGGCTCTAACCAGCCAGTTCCCGTCGTAGGTCGCAGTGCCGTTCCCAGGTCGCCTGGTCCCCATTATAGAGTGATTGTGAAGACGCCCCCTGTCATGACCCCGACCATGAGTCAACAACAGAATGCTTTGCCCCGTCGTCAATGTTCAATCCCATCCTTGAATGTGATTCAGCAGGACCAGCACAGCGTATCGGGCAGACGTAATACCAGCCCAGCCCGGTCGGTGGTGGTGGACTGGTGTTCCTCGGCGTCCAAGTGCCCCAGTCCGCCTCCCCCGTCTGAGGTTTCTGCCAGACTCTTTCCCAGGCCACGGTACCAGTCCGAATCTTACCTAGTGCTTCGGTCCCACCTTCAGCTCAGGTGCGGTAATAAAGCCAGACCGTGTGAAGGCAGCGTCGCGGCGGCGATGAAGCAGCAAGTCCCCGAGCCTGAGATTTGGTGTGGCAAGTGAGCATACCGCATGAGGTGTACGACAACTGCTCGATGCTGAGTCCTCTGTAGGCGTGGGCGCGGGCGTGGGGTATGGGGCGTATTTCCTAAACAAGGGCCCAGAGAGAGCATCGGAAGGGTGTGTGGACTGTAAATACTGAGCGAGGGGCGTGGGTGAAAAAAAGCCGAACTTCAAAAGTCGAGGTGAAAAAAAAAGAATCATGTCTGAATCAAATGTGCAAAGTTGCAAAAAGGCTGCCAGCCAAAAAAGAGGTGGACTCAGACCTTGACAGTGGACGGAACTGCCACTGGCGGAAAGGACGATGCGAGTTTCTGTCCTTCTTTCGTGATGGTGGAGTGGCACCTGAGTGGTCGTTTTCCCTCCTTCCTTCAGATTCTCCATAAATCTTGAGGGTTGGTATCCACTTTTGAGCCAATCAGACTGCCTTGGTCTTGGTTATTGCCCCAGCAGAGGGGGAGCAGCTGCAGTGGAGGAGGCACCACACCTCAGGCTTGTTGCAGGCCAGACCAGGCCACCACCACCATTTTTCTGAGGTGTCCATCCGTAGCATCGTACCGAGAGGAGAGAAAGAGAGAGACCAGCTCGCAAGCACGGCAGGGAATATTACTTAGGTGGAGGGCTAAGAGGAACGCCAAATGGGAGTCGTGAACGTGCAAGAAAGGGAAAAGAAAGGACCAGACGCTGCTCCGTAGTCCGTATGAAGTACTCCGTACCCACAGGCACCCAGAGTCCAGCTCGACCAGGGGGAGAGGAGGAAAGAAAGTGACGAGGAAAAGGTACCTGTCTCTTCGCTGTCGTGAGTACCAAAGTTGAAAGTACCTCTTCTTTCAAGTGTTCCTGTATCTTGATGTCTGTATCGTACCGATCCAATCGAATCGAATAGGCCACTACCTACCTTATCCACCCCTCGTCCACTGTTCCCCCAGTCAGCAAAGCCAAGAGAGTTACCTAAGTACTTACTCACTTACTGTAAGACTCCAAATGTCGAGACTCAACTTCTCTCACCCAACTCTCAGGCTCTAATAAGCAACCTTGGAACCAGAGGGAGGGAAAGGCATGCTTAATGCTTCTCCAGTCCCCGTGCGCCCATCCGCCGGGCGCCTCATTGCCTTTCCGTCTTTAACCTTCCAGCCAATTAATGGACCGGGCCATGCTAGGTGCTTCGTACCAAAAACTCAAGAACTCGTCCACGCCTCAAGGAGAAGGCGAAGGACGAGTCTTGATATTCAGACACCCCCTTTCACTTCTTCTCTTGCTGTCTCTCCTCGAGCTTCCCGTTCCCACGCCCATCTCCACCTCTCATGCCCCCTTTTTTTCCTCCTGCACGCAGCAGCACCACCGCCGGGCCAGCACTCCTCACCTTCTTTCTCCATCTGCGGCGCTGATTGAGAATTCTAGGGCAGGGTCTCGGGCGTAGTTTGGGTCTTGAGGTTGGGTGGGGCGGGGCTGTCAACTGGCCCGTTCTTCGGTGCGACTACGACTCCGACTCTGCTGTACGAAGTAGCCGTACATGGCTTACAGGGGGGAGGCATGCCGCACACAGGGAGGAGGCAGAAGACCACTGACACTGTGTATCCGTCCGGAGACCTACCACAGCATGGCGGCGAGCAGCGGGCAGTGAGCACCCAGCTTCTCAGTTTTCCCGTATGTACGTCTGCCAGTGGCTAGGCAAGCGGACAGGACAGGGAGAGGCCGGCATGCAAGATGAGAGCTGCACATCCGCTTGCTGCACCACAACGGTAACTAGAGAATGCCAGAGGGCGTCTTTGGTCAGTCGATAGCAGACGTCACTGGAATCCAGGCGTGCCTGTCCGTTTCGAAAGCCTGCCGGGTACGGATACTCGTCCCTTCCGTCACGAACGGGTCGCTTCTTGCGAATAGGTGCCGACATTGTGATGCTCTAGTGATAGTCGCAGTTAGCCAGTTGCATACTTATCATCAGCAAATGAGCATCAGCCGAAACCAACCAGCTGTTTTTCACCACGCTCGCTTGCCCGATGACGATGGCTTCGCCTACCTTGACCGCAGGGAACCGTCTCAGAGGCTCAGACGCCTTACTTCCCTCAAGCACCGTCAAGTGTGAATGGTTCCGGAGCAGTCCAACGGTATCCGTAGGTCGGATAATAAAGGTAGCGCATCTCTGTGCTGTGTACGCAGTAGGCTTGACCTGGCGTGCCTGTGTCGCTGGGTGTGTGAGGTGCTCGGCTCGTGCATCCTCGTACCATGAGGTGAACGGAACAGGACCGGCGAGGGGCGTTGCGCTGCGCTGTGTACAATATCAGTAGGCTTCCTAGCGCAGCAGCGAACCCCATCCATCGTCAGCCATCATCACCTTCCCCATCCATCACCACTGTAGCCCGTCCATCGACATGACTGGCACACAAGAGTGGTACTTCGTACGCTGCATCTCGTCCCATCCCAATCCCAACCACAACCCACACTCACGCCCACTCCGTGCCATGCGGCACCAACCCCACACCAAACTCTGTCGGCCCTCGTTCGTTTTGAGCTCTATTCTTACGAGTGCCCTGTACTCCGTACTCCGTAGAGCACCCGCATCCTGCTAGTACCTTGGATGCTTGGCTGAAGCCTGAGGTGCACACCACAGTAGGCGAAGCAGCTTACATGGGTTGGCCATGCAATGCTTTTTTGCCTACCTGGCTGTCTTCAAGGTAACCTTGGATGGCTTGGCTGTCCGCGTTGCCTCGAATCCGAGTGCCCTTGCTTTCCATTCGTTGTCTTGAATCACTAGCCGCTGCAGCGCCTCTGGGTGGTCGGTCCATCCACGGCTGGCTTCTCATTCGTAACATCAACTTCCGCGAAGTGGCTTACTCCCGGTCGTAATGCTCCTCGGCTCATGATATGGATTCCTCTCCTCTTAGACCCGTTCGGGAACGCGGGCGTCCTTTTGCTCGGTCGTCGTTTTTGGGGCAGATTACGCCCACATTCGGCTTCCGCCGTGCCGCATGCTGTAGGATAGATTTCGGGATGAAAAGTCAGCATCCGTTTCCAAGAAGGATTCGCCTGCGCCCTCGCATACATCCAACAACATGACGGCCTCGTCAGAGGAATATCCTAAACAGCCCGTGATTTGTGCGTCTGCGTTCACAATGCCAAAATTGTGTTCAGCATCTTGACTTCTCCAAGTGATGCAGAAATGCAGCTCGAACAACGTACGGTTGTTGGACGGGACTTTCCGTCCCCTCCCACCTTCACAGGCTTGAGCTGTATTGACTCAAGCACACCTAACCCTCCTGGACCGAAAACATTTCAAAAGTTCAAAGTGACTTCCGTTGCGCGTACGGTGTGTGGTGTGTGGTGTGTGGTGTTGTTCGGGCATAGTCTTGTTTCGATATCGCCCAGGTCCCTGACTCTGACATGTACAGATACCTCAAAATTCTGTACTGTCTCACCACACGGCGAAACTTTGGAGCGTATGCTTGCAATCCATCCCATCAAAGACAGTAGTGGCTCCACGATAATTTGCGTTGTCATACGTATCGAATAGATGCCACAGGTTCGCGGCAGGTCAGACAGAATGAACACTGCGCGTTCGTGACCTTGTTGCGTATCCGCACATGATACATCAGCTTCTCAAAGAAACCGAAGTCGACGCCGTTGCCCTCATTTGTGCACAGGCTACGGTACAGCAGGTCAGATCTTCAGAAGTCGTCAAATCCCAGACGATACAGCCTGTTGAACTGAACCCAGGCATTAGTACAGTAGCAGTTCCATATCCGTGCCCCCACTGCCATGGTTCGATGCAAAAATGAGGCAGGCATTGGCATTCGAGTTGTGGGCGAAGAATAGTTGATCCAATTCAGTCCAGCTGCTTGCATGCAGGTCAATTCCTCAGCCGAGGGCAAAGATAGCAACACAAGACCGACGTGAGGTATGGTCGCTTGTGTCACCTTTTGTCCCGCATCAGAAACACGGCTGCTGACGGCACCGCACCGTCTCGTCGCCTGTTTGCTGCCGTTGACTCGGTGTAAATTGTAATCTAGATGTCGGTGCTAGTCGTGGTCGCTGGTGTCGTGGTGTCGTGGCCGTGGTGGGGGGACCAATACCATCTTGTCCCTTGCCTCGCTCCGTCCGGATAGCACACGTATTGCCGTGTGTACGCCGCCAGAAGTCCGTTTGCAGGGTCCTGTCCTGTGTCGCAAATGTGTACTCCGTACCCAAGGCTTTCAGAGCGCTAGGTAGGTGGGATGGAGCAAGCCAATGTCGGTATGCTCGCTGCTGCGCTGGTCCTCCACTAAGAAATCTCCATACCCTTTCGGTCCTGCGTTGACATTAATCATATGCCTTGCGCGCTGTGTAGCATTGCGAACTGTGGTCTGTCCAAGAACCCCAAAACCCCTCCTCGCCTTATCCTAGACTCTTGCCAGGCATTGAGACAACGCCTACTACTGAGAAAGGAATGGTGATCCAACTTCCAAGGTCGTGTGGGCGGCTGCACCGACCAGGTCCCATTCTCAAATGCGCGGGAGAGGATCGTCCTCTGGCCGGCCGAATCGATATTGCCGCAGTGTCTGTTCTTATCCAGGTTGTCTTGTGCAATGCCGCTTCCTTCATTCGTAGTTGTAGCCGGACCAGGGTTGCCAGGACACCATTGCTGTCTTTGGTCCTCTGTCCGCCGTTTTCTCGCCCGTCGGTCAACCCCTTGTCGTGCAAAGCGATTAAAAGAAATGAAGCAACAATACGGAGTAGAGTGATCCCAAATTGCAATCGAGCTGGGAGGATTAAGGAGGAGTCTGTCAGTCTCACTCTCATCGCCAACGCAACGGCAGCCTTGGTTACTTGATCTCCTCCTTCACCCCCAAAATAGAACGCGGCAGAAATGCTGAGCCCTGGCTTGAATTGGTAGAGGTGGTTAGCTCGGCTAGCAAATCAAATAACATACTATTCTCGCTTCGCTTTGCTTTGCCGGCAAATCTGCCAATAGGGCGAGAAGCGCACGCATCAGCTACCTCGCACCTCTCTCAAAAGGTCTGTAAGATCAACTTCAAAGCAAAATAGGATGTATCTCCAGCAAGGGTGTTGATCTATGGGGAGCTGTCGAGAACCAAGACGAAGTATTGATGATGTATGGAGTAGCGCTTCACCAAAGCCGAGACCATTGAGCATTACTTGCTTGCTGTTGCTGCTGCTGCTGGACAAGGCTGTCAATTTGACGACTTCCTAGATGCTTGGCCAAGGCGGTGGCTGATCTCTCTGATGTTGAAATCGGCCAATGGATTGTATCCGTACTCATGGCTGAACCAGTAAGGCAAGGCGCTAGGGAAGAGCATACAAATAGTCCACGGCCGATCCTTGGGCAAAGGAACTTGGATGATTCCGTGGCTCCGTCCGGCCCACGCCCTTTACGTTTGTCTCCTCATCGTGATGAAACGGCGGCTTGGGGCTCGCCATTTCCCTGCGTCAGAGGACTTGCTGTTGCGCGAAGGCAGTTTTGTGAGCAACCATCGCAAACGAGATAGACTGCATAATCACGGAAAAAAAAACAGGGTACCGAAAAAAGAGCTGGCTGTTCTCGAGGCTTCAAAAAGCTACGCATTCCGTCGAGGCACGTCATGCACAGGCCAGCCTTTGTACCATTACCTATCAGCTTGGACTCTGTGGCTGCTTGACCGGATCGTCGTCATGCCTCCGTCCAGCTTATCCACTGTCCCAGTCACGAGCTGGTTCGGTTAAGGAGTGGGCGCTGCGCTTGAAGGAATGGATGCACCTCTGACTGAGGATGAGGGTGGGTGAGTGGCACGCCCGTTTCGACAAGGTCTCCGGCCGTGGCAGCAACAACGGAGACACTTCAAATGACAAAACATCGGTAATACAGCGGCGTCATGGGCCACGCCGATCGTGCCGGCCGAATAGCTGGGCGACGCTGCGCGCAGGGGCACTGCTGCTCCGTCCATTGCGTTCGAATTGATGAGCCCGGCCAGGTCATTAAGATCCCTGCAACTTCAAACGACCCTGTTCGCCATCGATACTATACCCCGTGAGCGACACGCGAATGGGGGTTGTCTTACCCGCGTTTTCCCTGCCAGACTGCCAGACAACCGAATGGATGGAGCGGGCCAAAGTGGTTGCATTTACAGCAAAGATTTGAGGTACCGAGCCCCAGACATGTCATGTAAGAGACGCGGTCAATTAGCACGGGAGGGTAAGGCCACAAAGACTCTGCAACCACTGAGGTGGTGTTGGACGTCGTCCAGTCATCGGGGAGTACACGAGGATAGCGACAAGCATCATGACTGGTGAGGGGCCAACCAAGACGGACTCCTTGCAAACCTATCACTCAGTCAGGGTCAAAGAACAACTGTAATGGGACGAGAGGGGGTAGGCGTCGTAATAACTCAGTCAGCAACCGAGAGAAGAGGATACACCTCTGTTGTGCGGATTGCATGCGCATCAACGGGCGGCGAATGTAGGAGGATGCACCCTCTCCAAACGCCCCTATGGCATGTCTGTTGCGTTGCATGTTGAGATGTTTCCCCAAAGAGAATGCATAGTTCGAGTTTGATTCTCAGTGACCCCGCGAGGCCTGCCGACAGAGCTCCAGGGATCTTTGTCAGGTACGGGGAGTGCTTGTCCACCTCATTCATGTTGAATCCAACTTTAGTAACGTGCAGCTGGGGTTTGTCAAAGGACTATGAGATCTCGACCCAGGCTTGTCCCACCCAAGTCCAAAGGCGCCGGCGCCGGTCTGCGACGGAGGAACAAGCCGCGGTGCTTCTTATTAGAGCCCGGCTCGTAGACACACACAGAGCATATCTATCGATGTTTGCCTGGCTCGTCCGGAAATTCGGGCATCAGCTGCACCTTCCGTGAGTGAGAAGTGAGAAACGATAGGGAGAGGGAGCAGAATCCCATTCGTCGGTCGGGCTTCGTCAACAGGCGCTCAGCATTCCTTGCTCGGCCTAACACATCGTTCCCTTGCCGGCTGTGACATGAGACCGAGATCGTGAATACCTAGGCCGTGTTCAACTTCACCCACGTTGCTGTTGAGAAACGCTTCGCCTGCATAGCTAAGGCCATTCTGTGTGTGTCGGAGAAGAAGAAACGTGAGCAAAGTACTAACCTGTGTTACTCGATTTCAGCCTCGTCGTTATCAAATAGGTTGACTTGGCAAGAAATCTGATTCCCGAGTACCCAGCGGAAAATAATAATGCTCCCCTTCTGGAATGCATACTTCGGCCGTGGGGAAACGCACCATGCAGATAAAAGTGAGGTCAAGGGCTGTGAGCCTTGACCAGCCAGCCTTCATCGCACCACGCAAACGAACCGACGCGAAGGCCAATCATGCATGCAATCTTCTCATTGACTCTGCGTGGAACCCTGACTCTAATCGAAAGGGTGTGTCCGTAGGCTTCGTCTTCCGTTTTGTCGCCTAGAAAATAATATCAGCGTTGCGAAGAGATGCTCCCCACAGAATGGGAAGCGGTGGCCCAAGCCACACCTCCTGGGTGACTTCTGGGACAACGTCGAAAGCATGTCACAAACAAGGGTACGACTTTACGAACAGGTTTCAATCGAACGGCGAATTCGCCCTCGCCGCATCAATTTCGTGGTGATTCCCAGCCGACTCTAGGGCTATTCTTCCGCTTCTCATGTTTCATGGGGACGTTCTTCAGGTTTGACAGCCTAATGAGGGAGTCAGCATCAAACTTATGTTGACTTCGTTCAACGGGCACTTTGATTACTGACGCCAGATATTGAAGGTAGATACGGCGTAACGCTGCCCGCATGTGGCTTGTCATTCGTTTAGCGCAGCCTGTTGGTGTGGTGCTCGGCCGGTCGATCGGTGGAAACAAACCTGACTGTTTGATGGACGCCTTGAGTGTGTCAATAAAAGCTTTCCCAGGTGAAAAGGCTGCAGACCACATGTCGCCTTGCCCACTATCCTAGCTGGGATCACGACACGGAACTGGGTTCTGCAGTCTGACCACTAACCCCATATTGCGTGCACCATCGTCTAGCACGCGGAACGTCAATGTGATGCGCGACCACCTACCCTTTGCTTCCCATATACATGCCGGGCTCGATGGGTATCAACCTCAATTTAGTGGCGTGGGACGGATACGAGACTTTGAGCGGTCGCATTCGGTACGGTGTATCAAATTCGGCGAGCAGGTCTTTCTTTGTGTATGCTTGAGGGTTCTGTCAATAATGAAGTATCCGTCTGTCCGCAGGGCACCGCCTCGACATGCTACCCCGACCGGGCTTGAGATTTGAAGACTTGGATAATAATCATCGGGGTTTCGAGAAGCTGTTGCGAACATTCGGATACTCCTCCAAGTATTGGCCTATTGACACAATATGAGAGTCTGTTTCTTTACTTGGGCCATCCATCAGGCGGCGATAGGCTGATGGCGTACTCCGTGTATGATTTGCAATCCTTTGTTGCACCCATCTCCGTACCGTTTCCAAATGTAGGCTCGCCGGTTATGCACATCGACAACTTGCCCGAGCCGGAGTCGCAATTTTTGTTACTTCCTGGCGAGGCAGAGCATATACCTAGTAACGCTTGGGAGTTGGTGCAGAGGGTTTAGATTTTGAACCACAATTGGTCGATATCGCAATGTTGAGCGGGCTTTCGAGCCTTCCAGTGTGGGAGGGGCGTGTCTGAAGGATCCAGAACACTGTGTTAAATTCTTGCAACCCACAGAGTCCCCATACTCCATATCCGGTCTCTACCGTGCAGCTGTCCAGACCGCTGGGCGGCATCCAATCAAATATCGCAATTGTTCGCACATTCAACCACTTCAACGGTGTGGCAATGTAGGTACTCGCAATGAGCACAGGGAAAGGATTTGCCAGTCGTTGCCAACAAGAAGGGTCGGCCAGGGATCATGGACTGGCTCGGGCCTCCGTGTTTTCCGCCGTGTAGGCCGAAGTGTCCATAATTTACGACCGCTGAGATGGCCGACTTGGCATTGCCAGTTTTTTGTCAATAACCGGGGCCTTTTGAGGCATTTGGAACCTTGACAGCGCTGCTCAGTAGAGCCCTCGACGTAAAGGCAGTCGGATTTCATGGATGTGATCACAAGACTGTGATACATCATACAGCCCTTTGCTGTTCAAACCGGGTGGCATTGTCATCTTTGGTTCTGGACGTCGGAGCTTTTGACCGTGTCGAAGTCATCTAACCGGCCGGCGGGGATGGGGCGGCTAAGAATGGATGGTTTGCTTAGCAGACCATGATCTGGCCAGCAGCCACGCTCAGAACATCTCAGAACCTCGCAGAGCCAGTCATGCCAGTGTACTGGCTTGGAGAGGCCAGCAAACTGTGCCTCGAGTGCTAGAACGAATTAGCGTTACGTTTATAGCACGCATTGTCGAGTGAAAGCGGCCGGGGTGTCCCTAGCAATTCTCGTGTATCCGTAGATTTGGGTGCGAACTCTTTGCTTACATAGTGCGAAGTGAGCCCAGATTTGATCTATTTGTCCCGGAAGCTCCTGCGATGCCAAATTACAAGGTGCTCCAAGGGTCGAGGGCCGAGTGTGTCAAGGCCTCAAGGGTCCTAGAGTATTGAGCCAGGCATAGCGAGTTGACGCTCCCTAGTATGCTGACTAGGTTGCTTAGGCCAGAAGGCTTCGTCAACTATACCTTACATTGCCTTTCGGCAAAGAGGTCTTTCACAGCAGAAGACTAACTGGTAGTGTAGGTAAGACAGGCAGGCCACAATAAAATGCAAGCTGGACCCATGGCCAGGGGAAGGAGGGTGCACTTGGTAGGCGGGCGCGTTTGCAATAAGGGGAGTGTTGAGTCTCGACAAGAGTTGAAACCAACCCTGAACAATGATCGCCAAAGACCTCGTCTAGCCCCATTCCTTCTGGACAGTGTTGGCGGTGGGTTGGCAATTATCGGCGGTGTCGTGGGTGTGTGGTGAAATCCACAGAAACCTGCTGAACATGTGCTGAAGGAGCAATGTAACTGTAAACCGAGGGTGAATCGATGGACGAGAGAATCCCTTTGATGGCATGGCTTGCATGGCTCCTTCTGGTATCGTCCGCGGTCCGCCTGGCTCGGAGGTGGAGGGGCGGTGCCATGCTGTTTGTCTCACACACGATGTATCCGTACAGGGGCGATAGCATGAAGCCATCCCTGGCTGCTTGAAAGTGCTTGAAAGCTGGCGTTGGCGGGGTCCAATGTGCATGGGACCACTCCAGACGGATACTGCGTAAGGCCAGAGAGCCCGTCAACCGCTGCGGCTGGAAGTAGTTTGGTCCTTGGTCTGAATAACGCAAGGCGGCACAGCCAAACGACGCCGGGCCCTGCTGACTCGATGGCCTGGTGACTTGATCCGCGTCTCTTGAGGGGTGACAGGTACGACAGGGTACAGACATGGTGACTCTGATCTTCGCCGAGGGTTTGTGGTCGTTGGCGGTGCTGGTTTCGATGTTGGCGATGTTGATGGTGGTGGAGGTGCATTTGATTTTGGATTCTTCTTTGCAGGTGGCTGACTCTCTGGCTAGGCGGTGCCGGCGTCGCTGCTGATACATACCTACACTACATGCCGAGTGTGGCAGTCAACAAAGGTAGATTGAAGAGATGGAGCGAGGATATTGATGTTGAGGTCGTCGTCGCAACCAAAGTGGTGTAGAAGGAAGAGAGGAATTCCATCTCCCATGCATGCAGTTAATGTCACTGATCAGGGAAGATGAAGTTGCTGCCTCGGCTCCGCCCGCAGCATCTGTCAAGAAGAGGCAAGAGGCTGCTCCTGCTCCGCAGGTACAGTGTTGTTCTTTCCCATTCGTACCTTACCTTGCACCTTCTGCAGCTTCCTCGACATGAAAATTAAGTCCCGTTTAGGTGGTGCAGGCGATGCTCGTCACCTTCGGACCTTCGTGCCTTCCCCCTCCAAGTAGGTACCTACCACGCTACCTATCCGTACCTCACCAACCAACGTTATCTGGAGCAGGCAGGCAGGTGCCAAGTGCACCTCAAGAAAGGAAGCACCCAACACACTCTCACCTCTTTCCTTGGAGGCAGCGCAAGGAAAGAGGTATCCAATGAGGAACGCCAGGCTGTATCCCCACGGTACGTTCTTCCCGAGGTATCATGGTATCGCTTACATAATGTTCGTCCCTTGATTGCTTAGGTAATGAACGAAGTTTAAACCTGCCTGCCTTCACGTTCACCACCACCATCCCTTCACCTCTATACCAGTCTACTTTACTTCAATTTGAACCAACGTTGGCCACAAATCTCCATCACCCATGCAAAGCTGCATTTTCCAAAGCCCAAGCCAGTTTCGTATCCCTTCCCGGCTTGCCCAGGACTCCAGACCAAAGATCCTGACGGACATGCTATACGGATTACCCTGGCCATCGCAGCACATACACGGGGGCAGCTAAATGCTCATGCCACCACAACCGATAACACCGGTCGATATCAGCCACAACATACCGAATGTAGGACACAGAGTCGAACACAGATCACTCGCTTCTGTCTCGCGTCTAGCGCCTCAATTCCCAACATCGCCAGCACTGATTGTTTCGACCCTGGCAGCCTGGCCCCCATAAGCCTCTTCGTCTTTGATTGCCCCCATGGCTTAACAAAAGACTCTTCCATTGATTGTCCCCTCTTTGGTCTAGGTACTCCCAAGACTCCGTAGATACGGATACTACCTAGCCGCTTTATGGCTCGTTGCTGTACGGTTGAGCTACCCTGCTCCATGCCGTGTCTAGCTAGCCTCATCCAGACTGGACTGTCGCTACTCCGTACTTCAATGGCATACCTAGGTAGTTATTCTCAGACTCCCCCAGTATCCTCACTTCTGCGTACGGATAATATTACTCACCATCCCCTTTCAACTTGAGCTCGGACACCATATCTGTAGTCGTCCAACCAACGACGCTGGGGGCAAGCCGCCTTCGACCGACGCATACAGACTAATTAATACCCCCCAGGGCCTCAATAGCTGCATGACAGAGTCAGTCGGCTGCCCGCTTGCTTTTTTCCTCCCTCAGTCACAATCACATCAGCGGCCAGCCCTTCTCGACGCTCACGCTGCTCGAACTCGGCCTCGGTTGCGTCTATATGAAAACTGACGGATGAAGAGCGGTATCGTTTTTCACGAAGCCATCCGCATCGCTATTTCTTGCTCCGAACCGTACTCCTGTTACGACCGATGCAAGTTCTATCAAAACGTCTCACCGGCGCACCTCGTACTTGGTTGTCCGTCACACCGCGCTTGGAATGATCGAGGTCGGCTCTTCCAGGTTCTGGGACCTAGGCATCTGTATGTATGTACCAATACTGGCTCGCTCGTCTGATCTTATCCCTGGTACCCTTGGTCGCGGCACTCCAGGTTGGCTTCGGAGAGTCTGCCGCACCGAAGCACCGGCCGGGCCCATCTGGCGCTACCATTGTGTCACGAACTGCGTATTTGTCCACGGCACCCCCTTTGGCAGATCACCAACTCAGGTTTCGGCTTCCATTGCATTTCGCCAACCAAAGCCTAGTCCGGCCAGCCTGGTGCCACATATCCGACATTGACATGGTGTCAGTCCTGCATTCAAGACTCCATCTGACCTTCTGGCTTCACTTCATATAAACATGTTTTTTTTTCTTTTTCCTCCTTTTTCTTCCTAGCTCGGGACACTGTGGAGGTGGGTTCGACAAGTCTCAGCTGCCCAGTCACACTGATTATCTGGCACGTTGATAAGCCGGTCATACCGGTATCAGAGAGGAACTAACAGCTCTCGGCGCCAGGTGGTGGGGACGGCTTAGTTCTTCTGTTACTTCCATCATCATGGCATGGCCAAACCTAGTTTGACGAGCAAGTTGGAGTCAGACAACATCTCCACCGCGGAACAGGACATTTTATTGCCGGTTGCTTCATCGCCGGCGTCATCTTTGGGGGATAGGTCTGTTGACTGTTCAGATGATTCGCAGCAGCAACAGTCCCGAGCCGCTGGGAATGCCTCCGTTCCCAATGATAGACATCCATCAGTCGACCACCCACTCGTTGTGGAGCTAAGTAGTCGTGACTGAAGCCAGCGGAGCATGGCAAGCCCTCGGACCCTCCAACTCGAAATGTCGAAGTGTTTTGGCCCCTACCTGGACCCGGCATGACATGCAAGTCTCGAAAATCCATCTCACTTTGCCTCCCTCCACCCCAGCAGCCCTCACTTTGTTGCATCTGCAAGGACAGCCAATATCAATGGAGACGGTGGCTGAATGACGAAGGGATTTGCAGGCACGCATTTCCTCACTTTCTTCCTTGCTTACCGGACACTCCATTCATTCCGACGCACATAGTCTTTACAGGCTACATCAATACATTTGGCCATCAGAAATGACCACCGCCTATCCGTGCCGAAAGACGAATCCCCATTTTCACGAATTCACCCCCTATTCCCGGTTTAGCCTCGATCCTGTTTTCGTCTACGGGCGATTAACGATGGGGCATCAGGCCCATCGCAACTACTCAGGCAGATCACGCTGAGTGATGACGCCTCCCCACTGGCACACAAAAGCCTCTGTCTCCATTGGCAATAGCCTTCCTGCAAGGCTCCAACCAGTTTTGCTGAGAGACCATCCGTAATTTGGCGTCCTCGGAGCCTGCCCCGCGCTGATCCGACTATTGGCACACCTTTGAGTACCTCACGCAGTAGACGGTGGTGGTGGTGGTTCATTTTGCGCTTCGCGCCTCCACATGAGTCCCCCGCCCGCCGCCGACGCTGGCGTAACACCACGCACTTACCTCCGGCCGGCCGTCCCGGGGCCGCGGAGTGTTGTGGACGTTCACTTTACGATATCAAATCTGATTCGATTGACTGAGACCGATCTGCCAAGTGACAGATAGCACTATTGGGGCTCTTTCGTGCAAGGCGGCCTAGGCACCAAGAATTCATTTTTGTCTCGTACACTTACGTATGAACGATTTGATCACCCACTCCCCGGAGCCTGATGTCAGTCTCCACTGACGGCACTGACATCTTAGAAGGGAATCTAGCCGTCGGGACGGGAAATGAGGATTGTCTTTGGTGACGATAATGAAAGCACACGGCATCCTCCCCCGCCGGCCTTATGCTTACTATTGAGTGTTGCTACTGAGGTGATACTAAAAGGCCATTAAGCGTACACGCAATCCACGAGATGATCCTGGTTTACCATTAGCCCGACCACCTGGACTCTTGCGAAGTTCTGACTGATGCTCACCTGGCTTTTTCAACTGTTTACAGTGCGATGAATCGTAGATAGTAAGGGAACGCTTGCTCTGGATCAATGGTTCGAGTGATATAGGTGGCCCTTGTGAATCGAACTCGCTCGTATAATAATGTATGGTCACGGGTCATCTTGAGAGCAGAATCATTCACTAGCTAGTTTCATCTACAGACGAGCTGGTTATAATCGGTGATGTTACCATACCACTCAGCAACGCTCGACAGTCCTGTCTAGTCACCTCACCTTGGCTTTTCATGGTCTCTCAGATGGTCTTTGGAGGCTACGTACATGCTCTTATCGGCTCGTTCATACTATGTCAGCTAGATTTGCAAATCAGCATCTCCAGTTAGAGTCTGAAAAGGTTTGGTATCCAAGAAATACGGCCTGTGCTACTATGTCCACTGGTGGAGACCGGGTATCCAATCCATAAACTCACTCGCCTTACGGCCCATAATCGTCACAGGCTGGTTTATCAACTTGGCTGAAGGTACATCCTATCCGCGACTATGCAGACAGCCTGGTGGGTTTGAACCTCAACGAGAGGTCGGTGTTTCTTGTGAAGCTTACATTGAGAGCACGACGAGTTCCTTGAGAGGTTTACTTATCTTGCAGAGCCTCTTTTCTTGCCGTCTACGCCTGTCATATGGTTACCGTCAGGGGAGACAGAAGATGATATCACCAAAAACGTTGAAAGGGTGCCAAAGCAATGTATGCCTTCATTGAATGGAAGCTCGCTCGTACTGGGTCTATACAAATGCTGTCCAAGCTCCCTTGCGGGTGTGCAAAGCGTGATGGCATCTTCGAATGCCTAAAAGATATCAGAATTTGATTATTTAGGAGCGACATCGCGAGCATAATTTCGACTCTAGGCAGCACCAGTTTACACAAGTTGTTAATCAGCCTAAAGACAAGAAACTCGAGGTTGATATCGTTTCCCTTGAAACACTTTTGGAATAAACGAGGAGAGAAGATATGAACAGAGGGTGTTTCGAGAGATCGCAATCCGATTGTCCCCAGAACAATGCTTTGAGTACATGTAGCTTTTAGACATCGACCTTGTTCTCTACTCCTCAGCAACAATCGACAGTTGCCTTTGACTTATTATTCCCTTTGCTAAAATTATCTCCAACTTTGAAAGAACATTGTGAGGCAGAAAATGCAGTCTCCGACTTGGTTTCCATTTCAGGAATAAACAGGAATCATATAGGCAATGTGAAGAAACAATAGACAATCACGAAGAAACCTAATGGCTGAGACGGACTGAGCCCATCTATATATACGTTGCCCAACATACACGATGATACACGTCTTCCGGACTCCCATATCAGTAGAGAAATCAGCACAGTTACAAACTCATCACAATGTCGCATAGAGAAGACACCCAGAACCTCTTGAGCCTCAAGGGCATCCTGCACACGGACGAGGGTCCCGTCGGCGACGAACCCAACTTCCGGTCTCTGCGAGACGGCCGCAGGTATGTAACTTCTAAAGATGCTGACGGCATTAGAGATGTCACCTTTGTTGGGTTTCCTCAACTGGACGCCGCTCGGGAAGAGAAGCTCGCCAAGCTTGCAGCGGACTTGGTTAAGCCCTTCAAGGTGGCTTCTTGCGTAAGTTTATTTCCCCGAACCCATGAATGAGATGCTGACATACCATGAGCATAGCAAACGATCGTAAGGTATCTCGACTATATCCCCAAAGACAAGGTTTTCATCATCGAGAGACTTCCAATGCAAGGATCATGGCGACCCGCGAGAGGGCCTACTCAGGACGATACAGTCCTGGACGTAGCCTGGGACCTCCTTCTCGCCCTTGCATTGTTACACGCGACAGGTACTGTACACGGAGACGTCCGCCTCCACAACATCTTCCCTTTCCCTTCAGAAGACTCGTCGCGCGTCCGCTTCAAGCTCTTCGGACACGGCCTCGTTCCGGAGGTCATCAACCACCAGCTGCGGAACGACGGCTTCACGGCCCCTGGGCTTCGTTCGCCAGGCAAGTGGTACGACCTGAGCACCAACAGGAAGCCGACGTTCGAATCTGACATTTGGATGCTGGGCATGGTGCTCTGGCACGTTCACCGTTTCGGCGTCAATTACGACGGCCGCGGATCTGCAAGACAAAGGTGGGAGTCGGATAGGATGGACCAGCCTGACCTGACTGACGGCGCAAAATATGGCATCAATCCCCTGCCTACACGGCCTCGTGGCTGTGAGCCTTCGCCTCATCGCTTTGTGGAGGATCTGCTTCACAAGATGCTCATTCCAGACCCTAAGCAGCGATGGACTGCTGCGGACTTGCTGGAGCAGATGAAGTTACAAAAGCGTTACACGCCAGCGGAGGATGACATGAAGAGAGACCTGGCTGACCTACAGGCTGCTCTCAAAGGTGAGAAATACGATACATTTAGAAGGATGGTGGCCATGTTGGAAGGGGTCCCACGCAGATCTTGGACGCGGTTGGGAGGATATATCTTCTTATTCGCTTTCTTCTGCGTACTTTTATGAGTATAGATGGGGGTTTTGCTTGTATCTAGGACTCGGGTGGGAATTTGCTTTTTGTTCGGATCAAGCTTGGGATCTTCGGTGCATTGGGTTTAGAATATGGATATACCTTTAGCTGAGCTGCTTTGAACTATCATTTTGCAACTTGCATCATTATTCTCGTCTCTTACTCGTACTATAGGGGTAGTCGGACGAAAGGCTGCACATTTGTTCTTGGTCAGGCACCCTGTCGTGCCAGGATCCAGATGTGACATGTAGACTAGCTATTTGACTGGGTAATAAAAGTTGAAACGAGACTTCATACCCCGATAGCCAGTCTTCATTGTCCTGCCAGTCAGACTGGTAAGACAAGCCCGTGATTTCAGTCGGCCGAGAACAACAACACCTCTCACGATTCCTGGTGATCTGTATGACTGAGCATCTGTCAAGGAATATAGGCTAAGAAGGCTTCTAGAACATAGCAGAACCTCATTGTACTATCACCAAGCGTGGCTAAATTGTGGTCGTGGAGCATCTCATGATGTCTATCAATCGTAATGAGCAACTAGTGGTTTCGCATTAGTAGATTCTCTCAGCCATTTGAACATAGATGGTCAACAGCCCCCTTGTGTCCTAGGTAGGTCGGGCATGCAGCCCATGGCAGTGGCAGGCTATAAATCACAGTAATTGGCAAGCCGGTCTATTTCAGTACTTGTCACTGAAATCACTCTGTATAGTATCTGGGGGATGCTGATGGGACTCAAGGACCGCTGGCAGAGATGACTTCATAGTTGGCTTCACGATGAGGGAACAACGCTAAGCCTTTGGTCTTGTTCACTGGGTGAATGGAAGTTGTCAGCGTACCTGGGATCACAACTCTCATGGGATGCGAAATACGCGCTATTCTCAGTGCCTAGAGATGTTGGAAATAGTTCTCTCCTCGATTTTGGTATCGGATGATCTCATGACGTACCTTCTGAAATATTGCCAACCTCAAGTCAAGCTGGTCCATCGACGCATTCTACTTTGAGGAACACTGTAGTCATTGACACCAAACTCGTATCACCGAACCTCAAGTCTTCACTCGTGAGAACATCCGTCGCTTTAGACCATGCCTTCGTGTCGTCACACCCGTCGGCCTCAAGACGCATTGGCCAATCACTGACCATCACGTCGCAAGCACGCGTAGACTAGCCCGGCTCTAAAACCTCACCCCCTTCATCATTCGCCCATCTCCTACTCTGTCTCACTCAGATCTAACACAATCTAAACGGCCAGCACACCCTTAGTAGACGACAATGAGGTTCCAGGCCTCACCATCACTTGCCTCTTAATCCCCAAGACTCTATTGCCCACTTGTCGGGAGGTTCCTCTTCCGGGTCAAGTCGTAATGCAGATGTCCATCGAATCCTCAGATTGCCACCTCAAAAAAAAAGCAACATACGACTCTTCATCCGAGAATTCAATTCAATCGATGAATCGCTTAATCGGAGGCGAAAAAAAGCCACAAAAACAGAGCCTCCTTCCAACAGGCAAGCAAACGATTGGCCAAGTGAACTGCAGTTCCGGAAGAGTGAGGGAGAAGAGGAAAGGGACTCCTTATGCCCACACACTCTCTTCCAGACTACCCGCGTGGTCCTCTGTGCATCAGAGTTCCGGGGATCGAATCCGAGCCCAGGAAAGCTTGTCTCGCCCTTCCCTGTCCGTCTGCACACAACATCCAAGTGGCATCACAACTACACCACGGGTTCCCCGTCTAACAAGAAGCCTTCATATCTTCTCCTCACATCGTTATCGGGTTTCCTTTCCCCGCAAGCTCGGGAACGTTTGACTATCTGCCCTTCTGTCGTACAACGAAGATATGTCGCGCAGTATCGAGTGAACTACTTGCTTATTTTCATCCACGTTTCCGCGGTGTTATCGAATGCGCCCCTCGGTCATCCTGTAAGCCCTCACCGACTCTCAGACCATCCGATAAAACCTCCCTCTCACCCAAACCCTTCACCCTCCGTCCTCCCATAGATCTCACCCATCATCCATCAAACGACGTCTATTTCCATCCGACCCCCTCAACAACTCAATACCTAGCCCGCCCCTCCGTTCGCCTTTCTACCTTTCCCCCCAAAGTTCTTGACTCGCCCTCCTCTCTTCCCCTCCCCTCTATCCCACAAGAAAGATCCCTGTGTTGACGGCATCATCCCGAGCCAGCCGTAGACCGGACTTGTTTCCAACCTATCTGCTGCTTCTCCTCCCACACGCTGCGCAAGTTGCCTAAGCCGTACGTCTGCCGCAGTAGAATAACGCACAGCCGCCGTCGGCGCTGTTCTTGCAGTAGGCTTTTACTGCGCGGGTAGTGTGAAATCTGCGTGACCACCCACCAAGCAACCCGAGATTTCCACTCAAGACCGACGTGCCGGGTTGACCCTCGCTCGGACGATCCCAACTCCTCAGAGTTCGGGCTCTGATACCGGGGGGAAGACAGCCCAACGAGCCGGCTCCAAAGTTTCATTTGCTTTTGGCACCGCCTACTAGCCTTTGGATACGGGCTCATCGTCATTTACACTCATTAATTCTCGCTCGCTTCCTCCTTCGTAACGGTTCTCATTTCCCCTTCTTCCCTCGACTCCGGTCCAAGCCCATCTCCTGTTACAGGTTTCCTGTCACTGAGCTTACTTCCAAAACACCAAATCACCTGTCTCACTCGAACACAGTCCGGACTCATTGACGGCGTCAACATACCCGAGACATCTCACCGCGATAGCTCAGCTCTCACTCAAAAACTCACTCACCGCTTCTCATATACCACCGCGCATGTCTCAGTCTAATAGTAGCCACCGCAGTCGCGCCCTCACCAAGACAACCGGCTCGGGAGACACAACCATGGCCCGGACGCGGCGCTCCTACTCGCCATCCTCCCGCTCGCGCTCCTCTTCCGCGGGACCCCGCGATCACCACAAGAAGCCCGGCATAAAAACCGCAGCCGTCTTCATAGCCGCCATCGCCGTTGCCTCCCTCGCCGTCCACAAGCTCTGGCCGCGCGGCATAATCCACTCGGAAAAGGAGCACTGGGAGCACTCGTCCTCGCCAGGTGGCCGCCGGTCTCGCAGGCGCAACGCCATACGGGATCGTCACAACGGGTATATCGACTACGACGACCACAACGTCTGGGATCGCAACGACCATCCCCGCGACCGGCGGCGACTGCCTGAGAGGGATTATTATCCTCCTCGTAGCCGCGGCGGCGGACGGTCACGGGGCTACGGAAGTGAAAGCGAGGGGGATTCATACTACTCTGATGACTACCTTCCATCCCCGAGCGAAAGACGAGGTAGACTCGAGGGAGACGGCCGAGGACGGTCACGTGGTATTGGCGCGGAAGGAGAGAATGAGATGGTAAGATATGAAAAGCAGTCCAACAGGTCAGAAGCTGCTGGTAGTCGGTTCGTGGAGGAGCGGTTACCGAGACCACGATATAATGAAGCTGTGGAGGATTGGAGCCGGCGCGGTGGTCAACGATTTCCGTCACCACCCGGCGAGCCAGAGTATGTGGATCGAAAGTCCCGGCGGAGGTCTAATTACTAGTAGACGGTTGAATTCATGTTGACGTGAGATGTCGGCATTACAGTCGCAAAATTTGAAACAGCCGGTGAAATAAAGCCATGTAAGATGCATGGTTACCATGATATGCTATTTGGCCGTGTTATTTGAGCCAGATTACCAGCCAGGTTTAATGCCATCCCGTTGTACTCCTGCAACTGCGCCAAACCACCCTCTCTTCCTTTATGCTTTCGCTTCCCCCAAATGTAACGTATTCATCATGTTCATCTATTCCTCGCCAGTCGACACAACAGTGTTGTTTGTTTCCACGGGAATTTCCATACAAGGTTCACTCTCGGGTGCTGGACTTGGCGAATGCTCCATCAAGCTCATGGCCTCATCTACAGCAGCTTGCCAGCCTTCTCCTGCAGTCCTCATGACCAGAGGAGTGCTAATTTCTGCGGCAAAATAGTTCTCCTTGCGCATATTGACACGCGCCACACCCTCTAATGCTGAGTAGGCAGCACGAGTACTACGCATCCTCTTACCTGGCCTGCCACCTTCACTGAGTAGACCGCTTCGTTGCATGCGATTCTGCATGAGACGATGGTCGTAGTTGATGATGCTGCGCACATAAGGCGCCACTTCGAGGGTAATCAAACGCATCGTACGATCAAATACTGACGGCTCGAGACTGGTGGCCATCATGGCCGCTGCCTTCTCCGAGATAGCGATGGGATCGAAAGCCACGGCCATGTCATAGCGGTTGATCACCTCTTCCCGGGAAGGGGCGACGAAGAACTGTCCCATTTGACTGATTGCGCTGTCTTCTTGGAAACAACCCAAATAGACTGTACTGCCGTCTCGTAGGGGTGCGGTTTGGAGAAGTTGTCGAGCGGCGCATTTGAGGCCGGTGGCGATGGTGGTGGCCGTATAGGTGTAGTCAGTTTGGAATGGAGATTCGAGCAGGCGCCGGCCCAGAATGAAGTCGTCGCGGGTTTTGATAGGTAGATCCGGTTGCGTAGGATCGAGAGGTTCCTGTATATGAGTTAGCCGCAGTTGCGAGATTTCGGACGTCATTCAGTCTACTTGCCTGGAACTTGAGGCCAAAGTCACCACCAGAGCAGACATCAGCTGCGCTCATGAGATCAGAGAACTCAGAAAACACGTCTAGCGCGGCAGCTCTATCGCTGGGCGAAGAAGTCACCACGCTGTCTGCCCATGTGGCCATGTCAAGTGAATCATGCCAGTTGCCCAGATCCATTCCGAGGCCCTGCCAGCATTGGCTCACCAACTCTTCTTCAGCAGCTCGTGTGCTGGGAACCACGGCTCGGTCACGGCTGATCCATCCCATGCCCTTCAAGTACGTTCCCTCGCTGACTACACGGACGACATCGCCGTTCTCGTCTTTGTCGCAGCCTTTTGGCCATCGTGGGTAAAACCAGTCAAAGCCGCCTCGACGGTCACCAACTCCAAGTTGACACCAGTAGTTGAGCTCCATCAGAGACGCTCGGAGATCATTGCCCTTTGATTCATAGAGAGCGCTCACGGCTGCTCGGCTAAGAGCATGACCTTCATTGGCTGCAACGAGTAGAAGTACATCGACCGCCAAGAGTGCTGGTGGTGGTGTGAAGCGGAGGATTCCATAGAGCATGAAGCTGTGGAATGGAACCAGAGTCTCATCGTTGCAAGTCATGACGAATGGTCTCTTGGACTGCGCAACCAAGTTGATGATGGTCGCCCAAAACTGTTTGTCCTCTTCGTAGAGGAGATCGACCTCTTCAAGGAGGATCAACGACTGCTTTTGGCTCTGGGTCTTTGCCTTTGCTGACTTGTGTGCCTCGGAAGGTTGGTCGACTGCCCTGGGTTGTGGTGCCGCTTCTGGTTTGGGAGCTGCCTTTAGCTTGAAGAACGATGTCATGGTGCCTTGCTTGCCTGATTTGATGTCCTTTGCTGTCTCGTCATCGGCGTTGTCCCCAGCATCACCCTTGCCGCCTTGGCGATTATGTTGAACAAGGTGATTCTGCGTCATGTCTCCAATCTTCTCCATGACATCTTTGCCGTTACGGCGACTGCTGGCGTTGATCTCAAATATTTCGAAACCGAGCTCCTTTGCGACAGCGTAGACAGCAGCCGTCTTGCCACTGCCATGAGGTCCACTAAGGACGATTGCATTGGTAAGGCGGCTCGCATCTTTGGCAACGTCCCTGCGAACTACAGTCTTCTTCGGGCCACCGTGAACAGGTGTCGGCAGCCATTCATCCTCGTCGTCGGAGACCGAAGGTAGAAAGTCTGCTTCATCACCATCTGAAACGATAAATCCGTCCATCTTGGCGCGCTTCCGCTTCTTCTTTGCCGCCGAACCAGGCTTCGTGCCAGAAGTCTTCTGGTCTGCAGTGCCTGTGTTGACTGATTGAACGGTTAAGGTTTGCAACCACTCCTTTAACAACACGCCCTCTTCGAATTGAAGGACTTCTTCTCCGCATATTGGTGCGTATTTGTGTGCCCACGGAAGGTCCTCGCATTGCGACCTATCATAAGCTGAGAGATTGGTTTCCAACATGTTATAAAGGCGAGCCACTGCAGGATGGGGTTTTCGATTGGACGCAGTGAGCAGCTCATCATCACTGTCTGCACTTGAGATAACCGGTAGAACAGATCGAAGCTCTCGCTTAATTCTTTGTCGAAGCTTGCGACCGCTTTCAAAGTGCTTCTCAGGAAGGCGGAGCTCCGCGGGTGGCGGCTCGTAGTCTTCTGCGGCCTCCTGGACTGACTTCTTGATACTTAGGGTATTTAACGATTTGGCGAGCTGGTCTATGACAGATTCTCCAGGGTAGATGTTCGTAGTCTGGCCCTTTGATTTCCGGGACGAAACTTGGGTGTCTTTGGCAACTGGGAGACGCTCTTCCTCGGGAAGAAGCCCCCTTACATGTGCCATTCCCTGGGCCGGCCATGCTGGATGAGAGGCGCCTGGGACTCTGAGACCCATAGATCGGACACCAAATTGTGGAAGTTGGATCTTGCCAGCTGTCGGGGCTAGTCGCTGCTTTCTAGGAGAGCATGGGGTCGACGAGAAGATGGTGGCTCTGGGCGGTTTGGGAGCGGCGGAAGGCGTGTCCGCCGGCTTCGCAGCCTTCTTTGCATTGCCGAGAAACAGGGGATGAGAGTCCTTCGCCTTTATTTTGTCCTGTTCTTGCTTGGGAGCCTTCGCACGAGGCTTTCGGGGTGTCGTCTTCGTTGGGGTAGTGAGAATCTGCTCAATCTTCGAGCCAATGCGTTCGCGTGACGCCGCATCAATTCCGTACTTAATGATTACGATGCGAGAAGGCTTTGCCAGCGATTTGGATGCCTTGGCGCCTTTTGATGTCTCTGCAGGGCTTGGTTTTGGCTTCGGAGGTGAACCAATTGTACCAGTCTTTGGGTTGAACCTGAGCACCTTGGTAGGCTTTTTGGGCTCCTCTCCGGCACCAGGAGCTGCGCTCGCCGCACTCGGGGTCGTATTGGAGGGACCATCAATGATGTTCAAAAGGGACACCGGGGCCTGGTTCAGCGGGCCGGTAGCCACATCAGGCTGTATCGGTGCGGGATCGGGCGTTTGGGGGACTTCGTTGGCCAGCGAGGTCGACGGCACGCTATTAACCAGAGAAAAGTGACTCGTGATATCGACAGATGGGATAATTGGCTTCTTCCTGGGTCGCCCTCTTTTCTTCCCAGAGCTTGGAGGATTGCCAGCACCAGTCTTTTGCCTCTTGCGACCTTGTTCATCCTCACCTATGTCTGACGACGCTGGCTCAACATCACTGGATGGTTGCTGAGATGTGCGTGCTTGTTTTCGAGATCGAACGGGCTTGCTCTTCAAAGGTGTGCTGTCGACTGTCTGAGGCTGGTCGTCGGTACTCGAATCGGTTCTCGGGGCGTCGGCGGCCTTCCCAGGGACGAAAAATGGGTGAAGCTTTGTGGTGTGGGAGGCGTCCAGCCCATCTGGGGCCATGTTGGCTACCAAAAGAGTTCCCATGAGATCGTGCGATGCTGTGATGGAAGTACGCTTCAGCATACATTTATGTCAAGGTCGAAAGAGCATCGGAGGCGCAGTCAATGTGTAGAACAGCAGACTTGGGAACCTACGCCAGGGCCGTCGCGCCTTTAGACTACGTCAGCGGGCATGCAACCGGCAGGAATTGGGCAGTGAAGAAAGATGTATGCGATTCAACGTTGAAGGAATCACCAATGCCCTGAAGATTGGCTCCGTCTACTGTAGAAAAGAGAGCATAACAGAGAGTTCCTCCAAGCTTTCGATATGGCGGTGCAAACAGTTGGGTGGGAGAAGTCGAGGTGGGTGGGTTGTCTAAGTATCGAGTGCTCCAGTCGCGTGAATCGCGTCTCCAAATCGCCGGGGGCAGCAGTAGGCGTGTCGCGCGACGTCCATTACACTTAACATCCTGGACCCACCACCTTTAGCATTCCCATTTTATCTTATCTCGTATCTTATCTAATCGATACGCTACGCGGTCCGCAGATTATCCGACGATAATAATTTCTGTATCTCGGCACACTGTCTTTTCTGGCATCTTTCTGCAGGGCAGGACAGTGCGAAACTATCATCAGATCGACTTTTGCACCCCACTACAGCAGAGTCCTCCAACTTTTTTTTTTCCTTCGGCATCGCGACCTTCACTTATACAGCCAGGTTTTCGAGGTTGGGAAGAGCCATTGCAGTCGCACCCAGACCTGAGCCCCGCCAAAAACCGATTCGCAGTATCTCTGTAGGTCAAGGCTTTAAGAAGATACAACATGGCTCCCACTTTCCGCATCCACCGGCCAGACGTGTTGGCATCGCTGCCGCGTCCCCTCGACCATACCAAGGGCCAGTACCACATTGGCGAAGTTTACACACAAAAGCCCGGGTCCAAGAAGAGGAAGAGGCTGGAAGTCGTTGTTGGTGTGGACGGAGAAGCAGCAAACATTTATCACGTAAGTAGCTGTATCGGGGTGCCTCCTCAATACAGCGTCTGACAATAGCTTAGGTGCCGTCGTCCGGCCTGCGAACATCGTACCCGATTCCGCCTCAAGAGTCCTTCACTTGCGCGCCGCACTCGATCCGATTCCAGGGAGAAGGCTCAAGTGGTCGCAACAACTACACATATCTCTCCACGAGAGACACTTCTGGCGCAAAGGTTACCCTCTGCCGCGATGTGATCGACACGACTGGCAAGACGAACTCTGCTAGCACGTCTCAGCGAGTGCGCCATAGGTCCCCGATCACGCATCTCTTCACTTCCGCCGCCGTCGATACCACTATCGTCAGCGAAACCGATTCTGACAAGGGCCATGTCGTTGCTCTTTGCAAGGACGGCCAGGTCTTGTGCTTGGACGGCGAGGCATTGGAGGAAAAATGGAGCGCATCTTCGTACAGCCTCTGCAAGGATCTGCTTCCCGCGACCGTCTCAAACTACGAGGTGGAATTCTCTCTACATGCTGCGGCATCTGAGGTCATGAATGGACTGTTCCAGGGTAGACAGGACGCCTTTGGCTCTTTCGGACGCCAGATCGACCCCAAGACCTTCAACCCCGACGTCCTTGCCTTCGTCGCTCGCACTACCAGCGAAGGAACCACCTCAAGATTTCTCATCATTGTCGGTATCATTCCTACGGCACCTTCGCAGCCATTGGTCCAGCTCCACGTTACGCCCTTGCCTTCGCAAGACGAAATCAGCGCCGAGTCAGCCACATACCAGCTCCACACCCAGTCCGGAAAGCTGCTTCAGCTTTCTGGTTCAGTCCTTCGAACCTACGATTTGACGAGCGCTGTGCCCAAGTTACAAGGCAGTCTGCCTCTGCCGGATCTGACCTCTTTCCTCCAACTGTCAGAGCACTCGGTCCTTTGCCTTTCGAAAACCTCCGCTAGCATGATGAACCCTACCTTCCACTCGATTCAAGCTTCGACAGCAGTCGAGTTCCCCGAGGCCACTGAGCAGCAGAAGCCAACACTTGTGACTTTCCTGTCGAAGCTCGACATGGCAGTAGCGGTTGTCGGCAACACACTGGTATCCATTCAGATCGAACGCCCCAAGTCTCACAGCAAGGAAGGCCTTCTCATCGATTCCATCGGCAGAGGTCTGCCAAGGTCGGATCGTGTGCCAGCAAGCCTTCCCAAGGCTGGCAACGAAACGTTTGAGAACTACCTCCCAGGAACCCTGTCTGACGAATATGTCAAGGAGTCTCTGGCTGATGTCGTGCGAGCGGATGGGTTCATACAGGCACAAGATTGGAAGGCATTCGAAGCCCTGCTCGCGCAGCGGTTTGGGGTCGCAGTCCAACAGGAGGTGGTTTCTAATGAACTCCAGACGCCGACCTGGAAGTGGCTGGCAGAGTCAGAAGCGTACCCTGCCGTCGATCGCAGGTGGGTGCTGTATGCTATCAGCAGAGTCTTCTCGATGGAGGTTCAAAGCCCCGAGTCGGCTGTTCTCCGCTGCAACCTGCCTGCAAGCAATGTCTTGATCTACCTGATTGCTGCCGGCCAGCTTACTAATGCCAACATGTGTGCGGCCTTCAAGAGCGAGCTGGCCGAGGTGGTATCCAAGGACTCGGTCATCGACAAGCTGGTTCAGAACCTCGTTGCGATGAACCCCGCCATGGAGCTGCTCCTCAGCTATGTCACAGCAACCAAGCTGGGCGAAAAGGACCTGCTAGTGGTGGTTCGCGCAATCATGCAGACCCTCAACATGAAGCCGCCGCAAGAACTTCTTGCGCTGACAGAAACCGAGCAAGAAGAGGATGTGGCGATGGAGATTGAAAAGACAGAACAAACGCTGGAGATGGCTGAAGTGGCTGTGTATCATATGGACGACGATCGCAACCTCCGTGAACGAGCTCTCACAACGGCATTCGAGAAGCTCGCAAGCTACTCGTCCATCGCCACGGTGCGCGCCCTTCGCGAGACTCTCAGCCCAACAGAAGTTTTGTCACTCATCGACACTCTACGAACACAACTCTACCGCGGCGCCTGGACATCACGGTACTTTGACATGACAGACATGGACAAGGACGAGGCCGCGGGAACACCGTCGGATGGCACCATCTCTCTCATTGCAGAACTCATTTCCCGATGCATTGATTCCATCGGCCTCAGTGGATGGCTTACAAATGGAGCATCCTCCGTGGGCGGCCGTGCGGACGCGTTTGAATTCATTACCAACCTCAGCAACGAGGTCAGCGCAGCCCTGACCGGTTTGCACGAGACAGTCCTCCTGGACGGCTACGTTGGCGAAGCGGTCCAGTACGGCAGAACAGCAAAGACGGGATCACCAGTCAACGCGGCTGCTTCCGCGCGCGCTGGGGCCCTCGCTAAGCCGGTCTCCCTCGATGTGGAACTCTCGACTCGCTTGCCTTTGGGACTCGTGTCCAAGCAGCATGTGTCTAACCAGAAGATTGTTTCGGGCGGTGAGGTGCTCGAGAGGAGCTCGCGTGAGAGAGGACACCTGCTGAGTCAGAAGGTCAAGGCGTACTCGCTGGAGAGGATCTCCATTTGAGCCGCATGTCAGACAAAGAGTAATATGTCGAGGAATCTGGCCCCCCCACCAACGTGTGAGATTATCGGGCTTTGAAGTAAAAGTTAAGGCTGAAGACAAAGAAAAATGGAGGAGGCTCGGTACGGGCTAATGGTTTGGGGCAATGGAACCCGCCCTGTGACAGTGTAGCCTGCGAGTAAGGGAAAGGAAGAGAGGGAAAAGTGTAGAGAACGAGGACAAGCCAGAAAGTGTAGTGCTCGAAAAGATACCATGAACGGATACCGAAGCGTACATTTCTCCCTCTCGTCGACCGCAACATCGGTTACATTCGGTGAAGGCCAATCATGTGGTAACTGCGAGACGCCGTGCCACCCTCGATCATTGAATAACTCCCCTAGCATAATAGAGTTTGCATTGATCGAACAATGGAAATCATCGACCGAATTCTAGCGCCAGCTGACATGAGGATTGGCCTCCGGCAGGGCTGACTTGAGATGCACCCTTCCGTGACCAGACGAATCGGAACGATGAAACTTACCCGTCGGTGTGACAGACCACTTACAGCTGAGGCATTTCGAGAGAAAGGAAAAACGGTGAGGTTGAGTTTTTTTTTTTTTTCTTTTTTCGAGGACTGACTGAATTGGATGTACACGATTCAGAGGACTGTTCTCTCGGAGAGCTTCTGTTTGCTGATGAATCTGCTGCTCCTGAGGCGCCCAGACCCTGGGCATTTGGCTTTTTCGGTAAGCAATTTGTGGGAGCAAGTCAAGCCATGAAGCGGGTTCAGCTTCTGAATAATCAAGATCTGGTTTCAACATCCGTTGAGTTGCTTCAGTATACCTCAATCCGGCTCGTCAACAGACGTGTGGCAGCAGGCAAAGACAGACTAAGACGTGATACTGCTGACAGAAGACAGAGGAGGGGCATACCTATGCAAAGAGGCCCAAGCTCCATATCTCGAAATGCTTCAGGACGCATGCTCCCGTCTCAAGTGACTTCCCGTCATTGGGCGGGTTGGCCCCCGGATGCTGTCCGGTACTTTGGACAAGATGAGATGCCGAGAGAAGAAGCAGAAGGGGAATCCGACAAGCCTCTTCTGCCGTCGTACAAGCCTGTCCACAAGGGTCATGAACGTAGAACCCGTACAACCCTTACGAGCTGTGGGAGAAGAAAATCACAGACTATCGAATTCACTAGATCGATGGAGAAAAGGTGGCTTTGCACATTCGGGGCTCTGCTGAGGGATTGCGGGGGAAAGCGAATGAGGCCCTTGGAGTTGCATCGTGGGCAATCGTTGGCAGTTCATGGCAACTCCATGGCAGATCTGATTGGTTGTTGACGATGCAACCGATGCAAGAGACTTTCTCAACTGGCTAGCGGCGCTGATTTCCGCGCTTGATGTGGCTTGTCGGGCAGCGTTTCCTGCGCCCTCTTTGCTGCATGTCCAACGAAGACGCAAGAAGAAGGGTTGCCTACCAGTCAGCTACATCTACTCGCCCAGCCGTGATAGGTATGCTTTGCGTCCGAATCTTTGGTGGGATGGGGAATGTGGATAGTATCGGAATCAAGCACTTTTTCGACAATCTCCTCTTGACCGTCAAAGTCCCGCCACGAAGCGGCGGAAAGTTGCATGGACAAGGCAACGAGCCAAGGTTGTACACAGTGTCCAAGTCACGTACTGGGGAAAAGAACCACGAGATCAGACAAAAAAGAGTCACAGACGAGAGTTTGTCGGCGAGCATCACAGCGGAGCGAGAAAGCGCGGATCTCACACCGGAAATACCGGCTTCGATGTACGAAGCATACCTTGCGTCCAAAGTCCTGCAGCAACAAGACCCCGTGTTGTTGCCGCAGTGGCATTCGTCAGCAAGTGACCATTTTCCCTCACCCTCACCCGTTCCCGGGTCTCCGGTGTTTCTGGTTCCTCGCTCTCGAGTCTCGACTCTATTCTACACACATCGTAATATCGATGGAGATGCAAACCGGCTGGCTGAACTTTGAAGTGGGTTTCGAAACGGAGCCGTCTTCGACAGACAGCTCTGATTCTTACACGAACCCTGTTTCTTACCAATGAGATGCTCAAATTCCCACCAGGACCCTGGCGGATGGGCCGAATGGGACCAGAACTTCTAGAAGCCGTTTTTAGCGTCTTCTCGTGTTGGACTCGACGATACGGATGCCGGAGACGCCTTTGGGCCTTGGGGCCTTGGAATTCGGAGTTCCTCTTCTCCCCAGGGCCAAGACGAACCGACATGCAGTCTCGAACCCAAAAAAATACCGTTCTTCGCCCCCTCCCCCCTGCCCGTATTCCAATCGGTTCTCAGAGCTGCAAGTGTTGTTCCGTATTCTGTGCAGCAGCGAGGATACCCACATTCACTGGAACGCCGGGTATGCAGGACAGCACGAACGAGGGCCCTACTAGAGACAAGGACGAAGAAGTTTGAGCGCGCTGCGCTGCTGGTGCTTCTGGAAATAGGATCTCTCGGGGTCCGCCGAAAGGCAAGAAACCAAACTACGACGCTACCTGAACCTTCCAGAGCGCAACAAAGTTGTCACTTGTCAGAGCTCGTGTACCCGACGTTTGCCTCGCTGCAACTTGCCGAGCGCTACAGACAGAGCACCCGTCACCGTGTGTCGAGTTGAAGCGCACAGCATCAGGGCCAGGGCCAAGCAGGGTTCTAACTGAATGGCTTCTGATCCCCCCGTGGCTCCTCGGCCGTCGTCTTGTTCGTCGGTATCTGGATGTCTGCCTTGGCGTGCCTGTCGTTTGGTTTACGGGAGTAACTCGCCAACCACAGGATGCCTTTCCCGGGACCGCTGGGCATTCTGTGGCCCGCCCTGTCTGTGAGGTAGATTGTTACTGCTCACGCGGGGCGGCGTTCCTGTCTGAGGCTTGGCGAGGGGCAGTCCCTCCAAAGTCGCTCTCTGGAAGAATCCGAAGGGGACTTCAAGTCGCTGGAAGAGAGGGTCAGGGAGGGGGAGCTGCACGGCGCTTCCTGGATTGCTGCTCGCCCCTCGATTCATCCAGACGGGTGGCGCAGGCGGCAACAGGGACACCCCAGTAGGCATGGGTGGCGCGTCCCATCTCCCCCGGAGAAACTGCGTATTGTGACGATGGTGCTGTTCCAAGAGAAAGAGAACTCGGACCACATGGTTGGCGAGGATGGGTGAATCTGAAAGGGTTCAGGTACAACGTTACGGTTACGGTACATGTGCTGCTCAGCGTCAATCAAGGCCAAGCCCTGTCGTTAGCATGACGCCCGTGATGAGTCGAGGACTTGAGGTGAAGGGTCGAGGTTTGGCATTACAGCCCTATGGAGAAACAAAATCTCTCCAAAACACGCCGGGGCTATTTCAGGGTGATTATTGACGAAACTTTTCATGTTCAATCAACTCGGCGATATCATGGTCGCTCTGAAGATTGGTAGACGCTATTTCCGGCAGTTGAAAGGGCGTCATGCAAAACTACCTAGGCATCTAGGGTAGGCAAACAAATGCCGCGACCAAAGTCTCATCTTCATTGATGAGTTTTCGAACAGAGAGGCTTGGAGAAGGGATGATTCATGAATGATAGCTTCCCAAGATCGAGTCCGGTGGTTGGCCTACTTGACCATGTCCAGGATCTAAAGGAGTCTCCGCAATGTATCTTCTGGGCGAAGTGAAGTAGGAGTGGTACATGGGAGGGATATCTGAGCTCTTACTGCGTACAGAGAGAGACATACAACGCAAAAGACACCACCTTGACCACCAATGTCACTTCCCAGACAGAACAGTCCGACAGATACACAGAGAAAGAGTGACCACTGACCCAAAGGAAAGGGCTGGAGAGAAAGGGTCTTCTGCTCCGGCCGCGCAGCTAGTCCCAGGCGGGCAGCAGACGGTGCAGATCCAACCGTCAGTCCGTCACTGACCCCCTGCCACTGACGGCCCCCCTGTCTCGTCTTCTGCGTGCCCCCGGACAGTATGATTTCATGGATCTGGAGCAAATACGTCACTGCAGGAAGATGGAGCATGGAGCTTGCTTCCGCTGCTTGTCGCGTTGGCAGTTGCTGCGCGCTCCTCGTCTCCCGTTCTGGCACCTCCCACATCCCACCAGCCAACCACCACCACCGACAACAAGCAGCAAGCAGCAAGCACTACATCACAAGCTCATCTCAGCCCCTCCCCCTTCTTGCTGTTGACTTTGTATATGTCAGCAGCAGCACCGGGCAAAGAGTACCTTACTTGCTGGCCTTGGTGTGCCTCGACATCCTGCTGATGATGCCTGGCGTGCCTCTTTGATCCCCTTCTGCCGTTAGAAGTCCGAAGTCACTCTCATCTCTCTACATTCGAGTAGCTTTCGAGTAAGTTGAGTCATCCGCGAAACTTTGCTCTGGCCCACGTTGCTCAAAACCCTCGGGCCTCTGCTCCCTCTACACCATCGTTTACAAGACGGGATAGACCTATTGGACACGGCGCAGATCCGCTGCCTTGGAACGGATACACGCGAACCCATCACCAATGAAGTCTGCCCCCCCTTCCTTGAAGATGAATGAAGAAGGACACTCGTCAAAGCTGTGCTCCCCTCCATCCCACGGTACATCCCAAAGTCGACTGTTTCTCCCAAGCGACGCGGGGCCGAGTTGGAGTCGCCCTCGGGTTGCGACCACATGATTAGCTGCCACACCCAAGGCCAGGGACTCAAGTAGAGTACACCGGCGAGGTACAACCTGACCACCCCTGTCTGCGTTTCCCTTGCCTTTTCTTCCCTCTCCCAAAAAGGCACAAGTGACAGTTGAAGTCATTGTCAGCCATCCGGTTTACTGTACGTACGGATACGTTCCATGACAATATCGCCATGAGGCCCCGTTTCGGGTCACCACCTCCTTTGCTCCTCGCTTGGTTTCTGCTGGCCTCGCCTGGATACACCTAGACAAGCACACAAGCAAGGCCTTGGTTTGCGATTTACCCACCTGTCTTATCTGTATCCGTAATGTACCTCACCTCTCTCTCTCTCTCTCTCTCTCTCTCTTCTCCTGACTCTCTGTCTGAATACTTCACACTCGGAGGCTGAGTAACTCTACTTCCTGCCGACTCTTAGACTCCAGCTTTTCGGTGAAGCAGAATCAGGACAGTATTTGGGGAAGTTATTCTCGGACCTCACGTTGCACATCAAAAATCAACTCTCTCTCGCCCTTGCTCACTTTTCCTCTTCAGTCCCTCCTCTCTTCATATCTTCCCCTGCGGACCAACCTTTCCTTTTTCAACCCTCATCCTCCGTCACCCACGTTCTCGTTCCCGACACCCCTGCTACATCTAGAACCTCGCAGCCTCTCCTCTGATGCCACATCTTTATTGCAGTGCCTGACTTGCATCACCTTTCCCTGGTCTTAACCCGCCCTCCCTATTGCGTATTGCCGTCGATCACACTCGACGCAGCGTCCCAATACATCCATCACCTACCCGCAAGAGCGCGCTATCTTAGACGGACGCTGATTCCTCCCGTCTTTCTTCCTCTCTATCTCATCGACACCATCAACCACCAAGAAAACCACACCCACCTAAGCACTTACTGCTCGTCGACCGAGCAGGAAACATCACCAATACTGACCACAACCATAACGATCCCATCACTCTTTCGTGATGAGTAACGGCAACTCACCCCCCAGCCTGAGAGCTGTTGATGCCTTTGCCCGCGCCCTATATCGTCGCGCCAAGGCATCGGGACCAGATTTCGACGATGTAGCCAATGTAGTCCGTCGCCTGCACACGGTCCTCAAGCACCTCAAGGTCGAGTCCGAAGACCAAGATTCCCTACTCAACTCAGATGCATCGTCCGTCTACAACCGCCAGCTCGCACCCCTCGTTGAGGACTGCGACTTTGCCCTCAAGCAGCTCGAGACCATGATCGAAAAGTATGGCGAGGTTACACAGCTTGAAGAGCGCGAGCGTGATATGTTGGCCATGGTCCGCACCAAACTTACCAACCAAGAAACAGCTATCGATATGTTTCTCGACACAGTGCAGCTACACAATCCTAGTAAAGCCCAACGCGTAGTTGACGAACAAGGCGGAAACTTGGACAACATCAAGGACAAGCTGGACGCCATTGCAGCAAGGTTATTTGCGCGGAGACACAGCGGTGTTGTCGACGACGAAGAGGACCTTTGGCAGCAGTTTCGAGCCGAATTGGAGAAGGAGGGCTTCTCAAAGGAAGTGTTGCGCAAGAACAAGGTACGATGATTTTGAACATACAGACAACAACAAAGCTGTGGCTAACTTGTCTGAACAGGAGGTTCTGCGTGCCTACGTCCGCGAGCTGGAACACTCAACCGGCAATGATGCTACGGCACCGCCATCCGTCCGCGGGCTTCTCGCCCAAGAGCGCGCATACCCCCATTCAGCCATGGCGGTTACACCTGCATCCTACCAAGGCCGTGGAGAGACTTACGGTTCATACGATGACAAGCATGCTCCGGCTGTAAGAGGTGACCGTCGGATGGCAGATCAGCGCTCCGCCCCCAATATGCCGAATGAGTTCAGTACCCTTTCCACTTATGAAAGGGAACACGGCGCGGACGATGACTATAACGACTCTCTTGCTCTCATCTCAACCCGCGACCTCATGGCCATGGATACCATGAACACCGGCATGGAGAACCTTCGCCTCACCGCCGCTCAAAACTATAGCACCTCCCCTTCATCGACCTCGCCGGCAACCCGCTATCTGCCACCAGATGTTGCAGCCGCCCGCGCAGCCGCAGACTTCTCCTCCTCGCCCTCCAACCTAGGCGTATCACCACGCTTCGTACCTCCGATCCCTCATCCCAACGGCAACGGTGGTCCCCCGTCTGCATATGGTGCATCCCCTCGTACATCCCAAAGCCGTATTGCGCCAGACCGCTACGGCATGGATATTCCTCTGGAAGCCAAGTGGACGCGCATCCGCCGTGCCCTCATCTCCCCCGAGATCCTTGAGCGTGCAGGCGTCCGCTATGAGGCTCGCCCAGACTACGTCGCAGTCCTCGGTGTCCTCAGCCGCGAAGAGATCACAAATTACGCTCGTCTGTCTGCCGAGGCCCGCGCGGCACGCTCTTCAAGACGTCACAACGGTGGTCCCCCGCCAAAAGGTGGTCCTACGCAAGGCTCACCCCGCCGCCGCGGCGATTCACACACCTCATCATCTGAGGAGCCTCTCTGGGACTCGTCCGACAACTCATCAGAAGCCAGCTACCCCGATGAGGAGAAGGGCAATAAGACGTACTACATCGTCCCCCCGCCCTCAGACAAGGAAAAGGGCACATCCCCCGCCGCAACAGTGCAACCAAAGCCCATCCTGAAGAACAAGAACGAGAACCACGTTCGCTTCGACCCGCAGCCGCACGAGCTCGATCCCCACGCCTCGTCTCCCCGTTCCTACCGCGACGATCGCGACCGGAGGAGACGTCCCTCGCGCCGCGAGCACAGGGACTACGAGAGCAGAGACCGTGACGGCCACTACAGAGACCGCGAGCGGGAACGTGACCGAGACCGCGGTGATCGCGAGAGGGACCGCGACCGCGACCGCGACGGCCACAGAGATCGCCACCGTGATCGGGACCATTATCCCGGCCGTCATCACCGCGAGCGATCTGACCGCGACAGGCGAGACAAGAAGAAGGCCTGGGGCGAGACGCTGGGCGCCGTAGGCATTGGTGGTGCCGCGGCCAGTCTGCTCAGCGTTCTTACTGAGGCGGCCTCTGTGCTGTGATCCTGACATCTACCTTACCCACTCATCTACTCTACCTATCTACCCAACTACCTACGGATCCGTCTTTTCTCGTCTGTTGTATGATGGTCATTTGTGTTCCCCCTGTATCAATCAATTTGCTGTTCTTAGGAGGTGGTGCCCTTTTTCCCTTTCTACATATCCTTCTGGCGTTTACCATTGGGGCTGTGCCCAAGACACAATTTTGATTCGATGAACAACTAGGATTACAGGACAGGATATTCAAGGAAACAGAAGCAGGAAGGAAATCTTTTGAAATCACACAAAACCCTCGAACAACAGACTTGTACCTTTTTTTCTCCTTTGTCAAAATCTTTTTTCGAAGCTGAACAGCAACCCATGATACCTGTACTAAGAAAGGGGCCGGATGAAGAGTTGTACGAGAGCGTGTGGGTGAATGAAGCCACTGAAAGTTGTAGATGTACACCATACTTTTACGAAATGAAAGATACCCCCAAGATTGATGCTTTTATGATCTCATTTGCTCCTAAAATATATGAAATTCCTATGCCTACTCCTTAAACCCTGTCTTGGCGTCGTCAATTCCATGTGTCTTTGTTATCATGCTATGCAATGCTATAACCCCGCCCCCGCCCGCCGCCCGTTTCCCGCAAACGCGCGGGCCGTTCCCCCCTTCTCCTCTCGAGATTGATATAATCCAAACAATATTCGCCCAAAGTAACCTACTTGTTTTAAACAAATACCGATGATGTAGTAACCGGACAACCTTTTCACTTGCGTCTTAGTTGCCTGGTATTGGGCCTGGCCTCGTCACTGAAATCAAATCCCCCAATGGTGGAAATCTTCTTCCTGGCAGGCTGGCTGACGACAGGAGGCGCAGCCGCCGCTTTGCCGGAAACCTCGCCGCCAACGCTGGCAATCTTGCTCATCATCTTGGCCCGATGCTGCTGGGCGCCGGGGTCTTGGTACTGTATTTGCGTCGACGGCGGTTCCTGCTCCTTCTCCTGCTGGGGTTTCTCCTCCACCGTCCGGCCCATCGAGTCCATGCGCGACTCGGCACTTCCGCTAGATGCCGCCGATGCGTTGCTTACCGCGCGCCCAAAGATTCGTTTGACCCGTCTTGTCGGCTGCTGCGGTGGGCCTGAGCCTTCCATGTCAGGGGCATTCTCGCCGCTGGGTTTCGACTCGATAAGAGTTGCGAGTTTGGAGGTGAGGTCTTCTTTCTCAGCATCCTTCATTGCGTCCCGTTGACGTTTCCGTTCCGCCTCGTCGTCCTCTTTTGATCTCGTCTCGGCCTGGCTTTCCTCGGCGGCTGGATCAGCGCCACCCTCGGCCTCAACAGGAGCGTGCGCTTCAGTTAGAGAAATAGGGGTCGCATCTAGGCTGTCGGCCACGCTCGTGGTTCTGACCAGACCCGCCCGTTGTATGACTGGCCGCTCCGCGTTCAACTCGCTGGGCGGTACATCTGTCAAGGGCGGTGCCACAGTTCCAGCACCGAAACTGTCTGCCTGATGTGTCTTGGCCGTTTGGAACGGGAGAGAGGCGGTCGAATCAGCTTTCGCGACTGTCCTCTCGGGGTGTGCGAAAACCGATTCCGATGACTCCCTAGCGGCTGGAACCTTTGTGTTTGGTGCGGTAGGTTTCCGTCTGCCTTCATCGTCTTGGAAGGCTGTCGTGTCGATTCCACCCGCAACTGTAGAGTGTCTTGCGGCTGGCTTCCTCGAAGCTTGAGGCACGGGCTCAGACCTTGTCCTTTGGAAAGCCTGCTTCATATCCTCCCTAGTTGTCTCTTTGGCCTTTGGTTTGGGCTGGAGACTAGATGGCTGGTCTAGCTCAGCAAACATGAATCCCTTGATGGGCACATTGTAACCTATTGTCATGCACTCCCAAAGCCACTCCGAGCTGACGACCGGGATGTCATTGTCGATGGCCAATTTGAGCTTCTCTTTCCTCGTTTCCGCGAGCGCTCTACACACCAGCACCGAGGTCGTGTCATTTAGCCTTGATGCGAATTGGGCACCGATTTGTGTGATTGCCTTTTCTACATGCAGCAGATCGATTCCACCAAATCCCGCTGTGCAGATGGAAATATCCTTGAAACCTTTGATGGGAAAGACGGGCAGCGGACGACCTAGAATGTGATTATCTGGGTCGCGGAAAGCTTTGTTATGCAAACATCGCTCGATGAAGAACTCGGTCACGACTTGGATCTTGTCGATGTGCTCGGGCGGAACTCGAAGGTGCGTTGAAGGCTGGGATTCCTGCGGGACAATCAAAAGCCTGCGGGCTGGCCTCGCCTCGTAGCCTTTGGTGGAAAGTTCTTCGAAGGAGTTGCAGACTTGCCCACCTAGGGATACTATGGTCTCGGCCAGAATCTTGGATTTCCATGGCTCAAATCCAGACATGAAGAAAGAGCATGGGGAGAAAATGCCCGCGTCAGGAGCAGGCTGGATCATTCGATCGTGGATGCCAGAATCCTGAACCTCAATCCTGTCCGCCGTATCACCAGGCCCGGCGGACTCGCCCGAGGGCTTGTTACTGAGGATATCTCCCCAAAGCATGTCTCGCTGGCTGCTGAGCTTCATGCTGGCTGTTTTCCTGAGCTTCCTCTGGCCAACCTCGCCGGCGCCCGATCTCGGTCGTTTCCCTGCGGATGCCTTCTTTGGTGTAACTCTGTTCCAGGCGCCTTGGCCTTGCTCATCGGCCGGCAGGACGGGGTCGAAACACTGCTCGTCGAGAATCAGGCCGCGCTCGATGCTCTGCTCGAGCCAGGCCAGTGATACGGTGCGGATGTTCCATGCTCTGGCGGCCTTGTACTTCTTTCCCTCGGGTTTTCGGACAATCAGGTGCGAGACTCGTTTCGTTAGGTCGCCGGTGTATGCGCCGCCGTTGGAGGTAATTTTGTCGATGATGCTGTTGCGTTGATCGGCTGGGAATGGTCAGGTCTGTTTTGAAAAGAGTGATCCTAGTCGACTTTGCTTACGATCGTCGAAGCCTGTCATACAAAGCAACAGACTCCCGCGCTTAGCTTCAGTAGAATCGGCTGCATCGACGACATGGCCACAGGTCTCCAGCGGCATGAGCTGCCACTCTCGTTCGAGGGCCGCAAAGTCAATATCAGCATCCTTCATCCATAGATCTCCTACTGCATCGATCCATTTGGCATCCATGACCTTGACATCAGTTCGTTCTTTGGCGACATGGCGGTATTTGGGTGTGTCGTAGTCTCCAACAACAAGATGTGTTACGTCGGGTGTTAGATCGTACTTGTGGATGCCTCCGAGTTCTTCAGTCTTTGTGGCTACTTGTGTCTATGTAAATGTCAGAAGATGGTATATGGCGAGGTTGTGGAAAGCAGAAGAGGGAGGTCGGATCGAGGGTAGGCAGAGGGGCGCATGAATGTGTGCATCACAACGTACTCGCTGGTCTGGCGGGATGCTTGTGCAGCACACGACAACGCCCTTGAAAGGATGCGCAGGGTCGACGGCCGGCTCGCTCGAGTCCCGACTACGTGGGGAGTCCATCCTATGGCATGTCGCTAGCTGTGTGGTCCTCGAGGCAACTTTCGAGACTGGCTTTCCTGTCGGGGGTTGGATGTTCAGAATGGAAGCAGTTGGTCTTTGTCGCTGCAGCGTACGAAGTACGGTACCTCGCCTCATGCAGCAACGGGACGGCGCGTCGAGGAAAAAGTCGCGTCTGCTGCCTGCCCAATCAATTAAAACAGTTGTCAAGCGCAACAAGTGCCATTGGTAGACGCCATTCTTGGTGGGGCTGCTTCGGGCGTTTGAGAGGATTTGTACGGTGTACCTCCACTAGAGTAGGCGCTGCGCAATGTGAAGAAGGTGCTGTGACGAGTAAAAACACAGTGCATTTGCCAGGCCAGCAACGTGCGCAACGAGACGACTCTCACCTCAGACTTGAATTCTCACTTAGGGTTCCTCACTGAAGCCTCGCTCCAGGGGAATTGTGTTTAAATGAGTTAAGAGAAAGACTTGTTTGACATATTTCATTTGGAGACTAATCGGTATTACATGAGTTCCTTGAGCATATGCCAACCGAACTCGCTCCTCAAGAATAGCCGTCTTAGTGTAAGCCTGAACTCGTAACAGTTATCCCCAAGGCATGAAACGGGGAATCATATGTAAACTGCCAAGTACGAAGAAAAGCTTCAGGGATTGGGAAGTTTGAAGATAATAGAAAGAAAAAAACAAGTCCATGTCAGCCTCATGGATAGAGAAAATCTCGAATTTTGCTGTCTCTAAAATCAGATCTGAGAAGAGATGTCGGACGACATCGCCTACCTTACACAGATGAGATCTGATGAGAGGCCATGAATCTCTCAAAGTTTCGAACGGGAACAGCGATGATGAAACAGGCATACCGAAAAGAATGAAGAATAGAAGGTTTGAGGGTCTTTGCAGTGAGTTTGAGCTGGCGAGCATGAGATGTAAGTATGGAAACACGGGAGAATGTTCCCTCTTAGATGAGGCCTAATAAGGAAGGCGGGGTCAAAGATGCGGGCTCTTGCGGTCGGAGGGTCCCACTTCCCGCCGTCGACGGCCCGCCATTGAACCTACAGCACCTTTTTAAGTGAGGTGATCACTGAGCAGTCCTTTGGTCACCCACCAAGGTGAGAAAGAGAGAGAGCCTTACCGCTAAAAAAAAAACACAGAGTGCCCCGCCATTCCTAGACAGGAAGACCTTCAGCAACCAAACTGGAAGGCATCGCTCGTTGGCTCTTACCCCACCATCTCGGCTTCAGCCTTGCTTCCTCCCACCCCTCCGAAGCTCGTTTCCACCACCTTACTTCCTCCCTTCCCACTGACCACACCACTGCAACGGCGACTTTCAATCTCACGCACCCCGTCACGTCTGACCTGCACGAACATCGTGTCGTCTCCTCAACAAGCGGCTTACCTTCGACCTCTTCCTTCCTGCCTCGAAGCGCATTGCCCTATCGCCGATACCGTTCTTCGTCGCATCGTTACCGACTCTTGAAAGCGGCCGATTGCGTCACGCGACTCTCTCAACCCACATCCGAACCAAGAAAGCAGTTTTGGGCAACAAGGCCATAACCAGACGGGGGCAGAACTGCTGCAAGCACAATGGCGCCGACGTCGACCTCCCAGAAGGCGGTGAACACCCAGTTCGTTCAGTTGACCGGTGCAAGCGACAGAACTGCACAACGGGTGAGTCCAAGAGAAGAATAGCGTCGTGGCTCTCGTTGTCGCGGCCTCGGTTTTTCGTCTATCTTGCCCTCCTCGCATGCGCTTTCCCAATTTCTCGTCGTCGTCCTCGGCTTCGCAAGGCGTGGACCGCGCTGTTGAATTGGCGGCGAAACCTCGAAGCCTGTCGTGCGCCGCTACTCTGCGTTGCGCTGCGTTGCGTTGTGCCGTCTGGTAGCTGGAGCTTGACTGGGCATCGACGCGATGCTGCCTTGGCGGGGAAGGGAGGGGCAGCTGATGGAAGACGAGACCGCCCACCGGGCTGTTGGATTTTGAAGACGGAATGGAATGCTGACTACAAGCTTCCGAATAGTACCTGAAGAACGCCGGATACAAGCTCAATGAAGCCGTCGATGCGTAAGTGCAACTCACCCGATATACCTTTCGGGATTTCTTATTGTCCCCGCCGCGGCGGTTTTGTTTCGTTTCGTTTGGTCTCGCCCCTAGTTGTTTGCTCGACATTGCCGCCGTTTCTGCCATCGCCTTTTACCGCCCGTTTAATGTTATCCGAACCACTCATCTCACCATGCGCCGGCCCTTCTCGGGCAATTTGGCCTGCAGCGCACGCAAGGATACCGCGTTAGCATATACTTGACTTGCTCCGTTGTTGGCCCGGTCTGAGATGCCCTTTGTGGGGGAAACGCCGCCGAACCCTCCTCGGAGCGCTACTCAGCGTTGCGCTGCTCCAATGCACCCGTCGGAGAGAGGCACCTCTGCAGCTACGAGGTCACAGTTCGCTCCTTGGGGATACATTGTTGCCCACACCGCAGGAGAAAGGCCGAGTCCACGCCGATCGACAATTCCTCCTGAAACATTCACGCGGATGGAATGGCCCTTAAAGCAACTAGATGCCATGCCAGCCGCCACCTAGTTGCTTTGATCGGCCGTTTCCCGTCTATTGGTCGATCTAGTTGACGCAAGTGCCTCGCCTTTCCGGACTGGACCGGCTGTCACCCCAGTGCCACTCATCACGAAGGTCACGGTCCTTTGTATGGAAAATTCGACCAACATTCATCATCCTCCCGAGCATCCTATCTCAAACGACCACACGCAGCCAGCACATCTTTGTATATCTGAACTCGGTTGTCCCGGTTTTACATCAGCCGACGTACTCCGTTCTTGTTCTTGGATACGCCAGAACCGCGAAGCAGGTTGGGACTGAGTGACGTCGAGAGAAGGAAGGAGCATCAAGACGATGGGGTGGAGAGGAGTGAAGAATGCACTGCCTACCAAAGGCTTGAGTTTATGGTCATCGAGACGCAAAGCATCTAAAAACAACCTCGTTGCTGAGGAGAAGAATCACTCTGGGTATTCCACCCATTCAGTTCGCCATGTACTGCGCAAAGTTGCCAGCTGACATGCGCCTCTTAAAGCTTCAGGAGCCCAACATCGTTTATGTTCTCATGAAGTTGTTGTTTCTTGTATTGCAGTAAAACATTTACTGACAATTCCTAAAAGTTACTTCTCTGGCGGTAGTGGAACTTCCACTCCTACAACTTCTGCGCTTGATACTTCGTTGAATCAAATGTTCGACAAGCTACGAGGTATGATCCCACGGCCTTATACCTTCGTCCCATGACTAACAGCAGATAGATGACACAACTGACGATAAGAACTCATTGGGCCTTGACAGCACGATGGCATACCTCGGCAACATGGGCGTCAACATCGAGAATGCAGAGCTGCTGGTCGTGATGGAACTTCTTCAGGCACCCTCTGTTGGGGAGATCACCAGAAAAGGCTTCGTCGATGGCTGGAAGGTGTCGGGGTACGGGTAACCTTTCCAGCGTCAGTCTTTAGTAGACTAACATGATTACAGTGCTGCGACGAGTCAAGCGCACATCTCCCATATCAAGTCACTCGTCAGCAGTCTCTCGACTGATCCTGCTTACTTCAGAAAGGTGTACCGGCACACCTTCGTCGCCAGCAAGGAGGATAACCAGAAGGCACTCAACCTTGAGATTGCTATAGTCTACTGGAACGTCCTCTTTTCGCCGCCTGGATGGGAGTGGAAGACGAAGAACCAGGACTGGCTGCAGCTGTGGTTGAAGTTCCTCGAAGAGAAGTGGACCAGATCTGTCAACCGCGACATGTGGAACCAGATTCTCGAGTTTGCGACCAAGTCCATGGCAGATGAGACACTGTCCTTCTGGAACGAGGATGGAGCATGGCCTAGTGTGATTGATGACTTCGTGGCTTGGTGCAAAGAGAGAGGGATTGGCAAGTCCGAGACCATGGACTTGGACGCTTGAAGGCATTATAACAGACCAATGGATCGGCATCACCACACAAGGCCGAAACTCACGACTAGAGGTTATTGATATAATGACTGGGACGAATCCGACGACAGCAAGAGAAGTGCAAATCGGCGCACTTCCCACACTTGGTACATAGCAGCGGGGCGTTGATGGACAGCGAGGCCGCTCAAACTACAGAGATAGGCTGCATCGGGAGGCCAGATATCATGACCAGTGGTAGAGATTTCCAGCATTAGCCTAGCGCAAGCAGCCATGAACTGCAGACATCCGATTGACAAACGCCCGACTGTGAAGGAAAAGGTGCATGTTTTTTCAACGCAGTGGTTTAGAGAACCTTTGCGTCCAATTTGTATCAGTGGCGTGCCACGTAGTTATACACTCCGAACTATCGTCGGCTTTATACATGCGCAATCAAATGTCCCCGGCGCCGGCTCGGGGTGGATCCCGTATCATACAACGACTGTCATTTTGAGGCCCGCGAGCCATGATTCCCGTCTTCCACGCGGGCAAAACTCAACCCCACGCCCTGTGGCTACCAATCCCTCATCTCGAGGTCATGGTCATCGGCATTCTAATTCTACGTCCCCCACGAGAGGAGGACGTTCTTGTCTTCAACGCCCTTCACTGATCCCACTTGACGTCTCCGAAGCGGGCCATGGTCTCGAGCTTGCCGTTGCCGAGCTTGACGTGGGCGGTGCGGATGACGCGGGGGTCGAGGTTGATGGTGGTGCGCATGTCGGTGTGTGTGGCGGAGGAGGCGTCGTAGCGCATGACAAAGTAGTGGCCTGTCTTGTGCTTCATCTGGGCCTTTGCGACGGGGCGCGGGAGGGTGAAGACGCCCCAGTTTGAGATGCCGCGGATGACGCCGCCGTTGCGGAGGACGATTTGGCCGGCGGTGAGGGCGATTCTGTGGATGGTGTTTGGTTAGAATTCGGAAGGATCTTGAGGGATGGATAGGGTTCGTGGGAGTAGATGAGGGAGGTGCTGGGTTCGAAGGGGGTTTATGGGAGAGGTGTATGGATCGCGTACTCTTTCACCTCGGCGAGGGAGCCCGGTCGCACCTGGAGATAATGTTAGTCATTTGTTTCAAGCGACTGATATAAATAGTAGAGTATGGTGCCGACTCACAATTCCTATGAGTTCGTACAACATCTTGGTATCGACATTGACGCTATACTGGGGATGATTCGAGGTTCGGAAGAAGCTCCAACTGACGACGGCCAAATTATTTCGGGGGTTCATGCGCCACAGGATGGAATTTTCCGAGATGTGGCTGGTGTCGAGACATGGAGAGAAATATGGGGTCGAAAAGGAGCTTCAGCCACGACCGTGTCGCGCGTGATGAAGTTGGTCATTGGCACTGTCCCCGCGTAGGACCCGGCCAATCCAGGTGACGGGATTGTCAGCACTGGGTCTCTAGGTCTCTAAATAGTGCTTGACGCCTCACTTGAATCAAGACTCAGGTCTTGGTTACGCTTGATGGGAGCATGATTACTTATTTACACGGCCTCTTGAAGGATAGCCAAGGCTCATACAACTGCCCCGAACCCCCGCGTGCCGCCAAAGACATATTCCGCTTCCTCAGATATCCAAGCACCGCAGAAAACAGTTTCGCCTTCCTAGAATGCCAGTCTTGGGCAGTACTTGGGCATTCCGAGGAGCTAGTCTTACACTGTACTCTTACATAGCCGACCCATTGATGTCGTAACACCGTTAAATGCGTGAATATACAGGACCAGCCACGGTCGTTTAGATCTGACTCTTGCTCGTCGCACGCCAGAGACGCCAAGGCAGTTTCCAGCTCGCCTTTACGGTCCACGGGTCAAAGTTGGTCCCCTCGAGGTTCGTCAGGTACTCCTGCGCAGGTACAGCCTCAAGCAGCACCCCGAACCCTCGCCGGAGGTCCCGCTGCGTGTCGTCCTCTTCCGGCTCGTACACGTGCTCCGCCTCTCCCTGATGCTCAAACTCGTGACCGGCGTCCTGCCCAGCCTTGAGGTTCTTGAGCATCTCCCGCGCCGTAATGAGGTGATCATTGGCCCGTGTCGCCACCTTGAACACGGCGTCCTGAAAGCCCTCCGCCTGCGGGCCGTACCGGAAGACGTCCTCCTCGCGCAGGTTCACCTCGGCCATGATGTCCAGCGGGAGGAGCAACGCGGGATCTTGTCGGCCGCCACCCGGCCCGGCGTGGGACTTTACAGGCTGCTGCTGCGGCGCCGCTAGCACAGGGATGCCGCGCAAGACGGCCACGATGCCGCACGCCTTGCCGATGTGACTCGCCAGATGATCCACCTGCATCGAGCGAAGCGGCATCGACGCCAGCGTGGCGTACATGAGCGTCGAGTACGTGTTCTCGGCGTACTCCTCCAGCGCGGCCAGCGACGCATACGGCCTGTTGTCCATGTGTTTCGCCCGGGTCTTGACCAGCCGTTGCACCCAGAACTTTATGGAGCTCGCCGTGGCATTGTTTGGCGAGCGCGCGCGCAGGTCCTGCAGCGCCTGGTGGAGGAGCACGCATATCGGTTCGGCAGGGGGCACGCCGGCAAAGGTCTTGTCGATGGAGTCGCGCCAGAACTGCATGCGCATCTGGCCGATGGTCGGGTTGGAGACGAGCTCGGGGAGACGTACGAGTTCGAGGTTGAGGCTGCGGAGGGCGAGGTAAGTGTCTGTTGCTCGCGCCGGGACGAGGCGGCTTATTATGTGCGCATCGTAGTCGCTGTGCCTATGGGTGTGTACAAGTTAGCATCTTTGGGGAAGCTCGAGTTGCCATGGTTCTGGAATGATGCTACGTACTGAAGCTGCGATTGGCAGTATTTCCTCGCTTTGACGACGTCTGCGTCTGTGACGATGCCCCTGGTGCCCCGTGGAGGGGTCTGGACAAGCCTTCTCAGGCCATGGCCGGCGATCCGTGTGCGATTCATTCAGGAAGAGACGCTGGTGTAATGCGCCATGTCGGTGCTGCCTTTGTAATTCGCGAGATGCGGCTGGATAGAGTACCTAGGTGTGGGACTTTTTTTCGCCGCTGCTAAGGTACGGACACTGTACGTGCACTAAAACTCCGAGGTCGAACTTTTTGGTCGCGAGTAATGACGTCTTTGCCGGGGTGTCTCTTAATTGACTTACCTCAGCAGACACGCAGTCACATGACGACCCGACGCGCCCCGTCGCGCTGACTGATCCGCCTCGCGTCTCCCATTCTCTTGGTCCAGGTACTTTTTGTGGCGGCCCGTCTTATTCAGTGTCAGTGGCACACCACCCAACACGACCCGCCATCGTCGACACTTTTATGGTGGCGATCTGGGCAGTCATGGAATACCCACAGTCTCCTGAACCTCCCGCGAAGAGGAGACGCTTCTTTGCCGCCTCGGACGACGACGTGTTGAGCCATCGGTCCAGCCCGGTGCTGCCCACCCCGCCAACGCAGCTGAAGCAGCGATTCTTCCAAGATGTCGACGATCAATCGCCCCAAATCAAAAGTGAAGATGTTGAACCCCCATCTTCGCCATCGAAACCACGGGGACCGCTTGTAGAACAGCCAGTCGACGATGCCTCCAACCGGTCCGGCCCGTCTGCAGATGCGCAGCGCGAAGAGTCTGCCATGACTTTCGACCAGGAGACATTTGAGAGCTTCATAGGAGACAAGGTTACGGCGGAAGTGCTGGATGTAATCCGTGACAGCTGCGACAACAATCTCGAGCGAGCTGTCAATATGTACTTCGATGGCACGTGGAAGAACCTCAAGAAGAAATCTCCGTCTCTCAATGCTATTTCTCTACCACCACCAGCCGCAAGAGCGAACAACACGAAGCAAGATTCTCCCATGGAGGATGCGCCAAAGCCGGTGAACAGACGCACAATGCCCGAGGCAAGATATATCGGATCTCTCGGTGTCGAGGGCTGGGCCACACGAAGTGGAGCAAACCTGCTTAACCACGGAGATGTAGTCAGAATCGAACGGCAAAAGATCCAACCACCAAAGTCCAAGCTGAATACCAAGTTCGGCGTCGCAAACGCCCCTCAGCGTGGACCAGCTCCGGGCTCAAAGCGAAACGACGTATTAGTGCGATTTACAAACAGTAGCGGGTCCGAGATTGGCAGGTTGGAGAAAGAAACAGCTGAATGGGTCTCGACGTTGATGGACCAGCAGATATGCAGGTTCGAGGGTACCTGCGTATACGCCCCTGAGCGTCTGCGAACAAACGACACTGTCTTTATCCAGTTGAAGTGTTATCTTCTAGCAGCAGCATTCCGTCGGCCCGGGTTCAAGGTGTCAGACAATAGGGCGGCCGGTTTCTTCGAGGAAAAAGAGTCGACCGAGGAGAAGGAGCTGCGCCTCAGGCAAGTGGCGCTGGTGAAGCTCTTTTCTGAAATCAACCTCGAACCCACGCGAGCTAATGCCACTGCGTCGAAACACCAGCGACAAGGCTTGCTGCAGGCTGCAGAGATGGATGAGAAGAAGGAGAAAGACCCCGCCAAGCCAAGCGACAAAGCGCCGGGATCGTCGCCCCCTTCAGACGAACAAGAGGAAGGCGAAGAGCTGGAGCAGGACCAGCTTGATGCTCTTTATCGCAAGGCCCAGTCATTCGACTTCAACACACCCGAAGCGGAGCCTGCCGATACCTTCGCCATGAACCTGAGACCCTACCAGAAGCAAGCGTTGCACTGGATGATGACGAAGGAGAAGGACCAGAAGAGCAACAGGGAGCCAAGCATGCATCCCCTGTGGGAGGAATATACATGGCCACTCAAGGACACCGACGAAAAGGAGCTTCCTCAGGTCCATGATCAGCAACATTTCTATGTCAACCCATACTCGGGAGACCTTTCTCTCGATTTTCCTGTTCAAGAGCAAAACTGCCTTGGCGGTATCTTGGCCGACGAGATGGGTCTCGGCAAGACCATCCAGATGCTCAGTTTGGTACACACCCACCGCTCCGACTTCGCGCAGCAAGCCAAGGCGATGGGCAGTGTTCCCACGTCCGTCAACGAGCTTCCAAGACTTGCGTCCAACTCATCAAGCGTGCTAAACGCCCCATGTACAACACTCGTCGTGGCACCAATGTCGTTGTTAGCTCAGTGGCAGAGCGAGGCAGAGAAGGCCTCGAAAGAAGGCACTCTCAAGGCCATGGTGTACTACGGCAACGAAAAGGCCAACAACCTCCAGGCCGTGTGCTGCGCCGCAAGCGCAGCATCTGCGCCTGACGTGGTCATTACCAGTTATGGTGTGGTTTTGTCAGAGTTCAACCAGGTTGCGGCTAAGAAGGGTGACAAGTCGTCTCATATCGGATTATTCTCGCTGAACTTCTTCCGCGTCATTCTGGACGAGGGCCACCTCATCAAGAACCGACAGTCGAAAACTGCCAAAGCGTGTTATGAAATATCTGCCGAGCACAGATGGGTGCTGACTGGAACGCCAATCGTCAACAAGTTGGAGGATCTGTTCAGCCTGGTTCGTTTCCTTCGTGTGGAGCCTTGGAACAACTTTTCGTTCTGGAAGACTTTCATCACAGTCCCCTTCGAGTCCAAGGACTTTATGAGGGCACTTGATGTGGTGCAGACAGTGCTGGAGCCATTAGTTCTCAGACGTACCAAAGACATGAAGACGCCTGATGGCCAGCCGTAAGTGGATGCATTCTGAGTTACTGCATCTTAGCTAACCCCTCAAAGACTGGTACCACTTCCACCGAAACATGTCGAAATCGTCGATGTCGAGCTCAGTCAGACAGAACGAGAGATCTACGACTACATTTTTACGAGAGCCAAGCAATCGTTCAGGGAGAATGTGGAAGCAGGCACGGTCATGAAAGCGTTTACTAGCATTTTTGCTCACATTTTGCGCCTACGCCAATCTTGTTGTCATCCGGTTTTGGTGCGAAACAAGGAGCTTGTCGCGGACGAGGTAGAAGCTGGAGCTGCGGCTGATATGGCTGCCGGCCTTGCGGACGACATGGACCTAGGTTCCCTGATTGAACATTTCACAGCAGCGGTATCCGAATCGGAATCCAACACAGCTGCGTTTGGAGCGCATATCCTCGGCCAGATCCGCGACGAGGCCGAGAGCGAGTGCCCGATTTGTGCCGAAGAGCCCATGGTTGAGCAGACGGTCACTGGATGCTGGCACTCTGCTTGCAAGAAGTGCCTTCTGGACTACATGAAGCATCAGACAGATCGGCATAAGGTGCCGACCTGCCCCAACTGCCGAGCCGAGATCAACTATCGCGACCTATTCGAGGTTGTTCGCCACGACGACGATCCGGACGTGTTCAAGAAGTCTAAGATTAGTCTACAGCGCTTGGGCGTGAATAACTCCTCAGCCAAAGTCGTGACCTTGATCAAGTCCCTGCGTGACCTGAGAAAAGAGCAACCGCGGGTCAAGTCTGTCGTCTTCAGCCAGTTTACATCGTTCCTGACGTTGATTGAGCCGGCTTTGGCGCGAGTCAACATCAAGTTCCTCCGCCTCGACGGATCCATGGCGCAGAAGGCTCGCGCGGCGGTCCTCACTGAGTTCCAAGAGTCAACAACGTTTACCGTGCTGCTCATCAGTCTCCGCGCTGGTGGTGTGGGGCTGAACTTGACATCAGCAAAGAGAGTGTATATGATGGACCCCTGGTGGAGTTTTGCGGTCGAGGCTCAGGCGATTGATCGCGTGCATCGCATGGGTCAAGATGAGGAAGTCAAGGTGTTCCGCTTCATCGTCAAGGGGAGCGTGGAGGAGAGGATGCTTCGGGTCCAGGATCGGAAGAAGTTTATGTGAGTTGACCCCTACATGTGCTTCATGTGCGACTGTTTGCTGACTTGACGCTCTTAGTGCTACGTCTCTTGGAATGATGAGCGACGAGGAGAAGAAGCTTGCACGGATCGAGGATATCAAGGAGCTTCTCAGCTAAGTGCGAAGTTTCGCGTAATGGTTCTCATGGCTGGCATATGTGCATGTATACAAGGCGTTCGTGGGGAAACAATGCCGGAGATGGCAGGATCAATGATAAACATAGTGTACATAGTGCTAGGAACCGGTGAAAGAGCTCGGTGCAGCACGACCTTGCCGGTAAATACGGCGCAAGCATCTTTAAATGGACATATTCGAACTCGATCATCTCGTGCGTCTGTTAATGCATGGTATGTGGAAGTGACAGGTGCTGTTTTCTCTTCCAAGCCACAAATTGACGGCCAATAATCTTCCACATGCCTTGAGGCCAACACCGCGAGTGAGCGCATATTCACCAACAGCTTCTTAGACTTGGGAGATAAATCCAAGAATATACACGGGATCCTCCAAGTATCTCACATGCGATGTCTCTTAGGCAGCGAAACATCTTTTCCGACGATAACCCGCTTTTCCCCGGGTTGCCTCACACGCTGCGCCTTCCTACCTCAGTCTGTGACTCTCTCGCGCTCACCTCACTCACCCGCCCAGTCAGTCACCACCAACAAAACATCAATCACACTGCCCAAAAACAAAAGACAACTGAGCCACGCTGAACCCGCACCAGACCGCGGGTCGTTTCAAAAACAGAAAAAGTCATTTTACCCTCTGCCTGCGAAAGGTAAAAAGTGCGACCAACTGACTACATAATACTCGCAGTTCTCTCTCTCAGTGCCTGGTGCTGCCTGTCTCACTTGCACAGGCAGACGCTCACTCAATCACATGAGAAAACACCATCACCACATGACCAACAACCACCCGCGCGACTCGCAGCGCCACCAACGACCAAGCTAAATCATTTTAATCCACAAGTTCATCCTGCTACTGAATCGGGACAAAAAGTCGAGGAGGGGCCTCAGAAGAAGAAAAAGAAGAGCGATTCATCTTCCTCTTTTCTCTCTCTTTCTTTTCCCTTTCATTCTTTTGCACCTATACGACCGAAGACTGATTCACTTACACCACTGAGCATTCACTCTTTACGACTTACACACACTCGCTCAGCTCAACTTTTACTCCAATCGCACAACTAGCACAACTAGCAGCACGACAAAACCCCAATGCATCCCGATCCCCCGTGGTCATGGATGGCTTATTACGCACACTAACACGCTCCCGCAACGCCGCGCCGTCCCCAAACCGCGGCGGCCGCGATCGCAACCGACACAGCGGCGGGCGCGGAGGCGGAAGCGGCAACAATCACGGCCAAATCGAAATCATTCTCGAGACCCTCGCCCGAGGACTCGTTGAATATGCCGTTCAGAAGTATATGAAGAAGCTGAGCGGCGGGGGTGACGAAGACAAGAACGGAGGAGGAAGGAGAAACCACGACGACCGGCGCCTGAGCACGCGAGGCGGCAAAGACCATGGCCATGACGATGACGAGCGCGCTAGGGGCGGCGTTCCGAATATGGATATGGAGATGCTGGAGCACTTGGGCAAGAACATTCTCTCCAAGGCTATGGAACGCTTCGGCGGTGGTGGGGAGGAGGATGAAGAAGACGACAGGCGCGCGGACGAGAGAACGAGTGGACGGAAACACGGCAAGGGACGAAGAGACAGCCGGGACCATGACGCATACTCTCGCGACCATTCACAGGATCGCTCTCACGGGAGACGACACGCCGGCGGCAGCAAAGACGAAGACCGCGACCGTGACCGGAGAAGACGCAATAGCCGCGACAACGGGTACCCTCCACACCGCGGCGGCTCGCCCTCGCCGTCGAGACACCATCGCGGTGACGACGAGACTCACCGCCGCCGCCGACGCGGATACGGGACCGACTACGCGCCGCTCAAGGAGGAACTGGAGACGCTCTCCAATACAATCATCTCGCTGAACGAGCGGCAGCCCGGACACGCCGACTGCGAGTTTTACGATGCGTTTATGGAGCGCTCGGGGAAGGTGCAGGAGGCTATTGGTTCTGTCTTGGTGCAGATTCGGGAGAGGGAGGAGAGGAGGGAGGAGAGGCGTGGTCGACGGAGGGGTTGAGAGAGGGATTTCCTTTTTCTTAGAGGAAGCGCATACATGATCGTGAGATACCCAGATGCTCTTCCCGGACATAGCTTGATGAGGATATGGCGACTAGAGCGATGATTTTGACGATGGTCTGAAATGGCAATGCCCAGTAGCACAGAGGCAATACCCAGATTTCTCTTTGCTTTGAATTTTTCGGTAGCGATGGGGCTGAAGGGGGTGGATTGATGGTTTGAGTAGAGTATGGTTTGTAGGATAAGGTAGGATCTAGAATAGTTGCAACCTCCCTCCCGTCCCGTCCTTGTTTGCTACTCTGAGCGACCGCAAGCACGTGTTTTTCGATGGGAAGGGGAGGAAAGGTTGCAGAGTCAGCAATGGCCAGCTTGTATCATAGATGCAAACGCAAACATGACTGGTTACCGACCTTGTGGTGATTTGATGCGTGTGCTACGCTGTGCTACCTCATCTGGCTGTTTGGGACTGGCTTTCTGGAGATCGTGGAGGCGTGCCTGAAACGGCATCATGGGATTTCATGCAGAGACAGATTGTCGTGGGTTTGCCGCTTGCTTCTCTAGTTTCAGATGTGTAGGGTATGTCTCATTGCTTCTCCTGAAGACTTTTGTTTCGTAGCAAACGGGCTCTGGGAAGCAAATATGCTACCAAGCTTGAGAGAGTTCGAAGATGATTCATACAATTATCGTCACCTTCCCCCCTGAGATGGAAGGCAAGACAGAGATAGTCATGGCGATGACTAGATTGCGAGAGAAACACAAGCCAGCTGAGGCCAGACCTCAGCCGCCCCTGACATGGCGCCAATACCGACCTCCACAATCCATACAAGCCATCTGGTACGCCGAGGAGAGGAAGGCAGAATAGCAGGAATGCTCATCGGCTGTCTTATCGGTGGCCTGGCCGCAGTGAGCCTCATATACTTTTGCTTCAACTGCGTCTTCTCCCCCAAACCACGCAAAAAGACGGGTCTTCAAACACCACATATACATCCCCATAAGCCTCATAAGCCTCACATACACCACATTTATCCAAAGGCGAAAATGGATGCTCACATACATCCCCCTCGACACCCGCACGTACATGGATGGACGCATCACCATCATCATCACCACCATAAACACGGCCATCATCACCATCATGCCAAGGGCAAGGCGAAGCCCAAGAAGGCTTGCAAGAAAGCAAAGCCGAAGGCCAAAACTAAGCCGGCGCGGCGCAGTAAACGTTCTTCGCAACCTCGCGAACCTGCGATACGCTTCATGCCCATGCCTCCTATGACGGCTATGCCCATGCATCCAGCGCCGGTAGCTGGTATGGGAATGGACATGCCGTTGGGCGACGGCTTCATCGACTACGGGCCGGCGCCTGGGCAGGACATGGGGTTAGAGATGGGATGGGGTGTGGACCCGAACTTCCGGCTGGAGCAGTTTGCCACGGAAAATGATGTACATGGTGACAGGGAGGTGAGTTGTAACGAGTGCTGCTACTCCTTCTTCGACTCTTTGTGTGGTATCCAGCCTGAGGCTCGAGATCTGAGAAGGGAGGCTGCTGGTAATGGGGCTGTGATTGTGGAAGACAATGAGATGGCGGCTGTGTAATATGTATAGTGATGAAGTTGGTCTTTCGAGGGAGGCATATTGCAATATCCGGTCATTTTCAGTAAGGGCGAATGTTCCAAAGACGAGTTGGAGGCTAAATGGCAAGGCTATTGTTGTTCACATAGAACCAAGAGATACATATATCAAAATACTTGAGACAAAGAACAAAACAACAATTATCAATTCAAGATTGTATACACCGCAAACGTACAACACTACTGGGGTCAGTAGGAAAGGTAATGGCGCCTGGGTTCGCCTTAGGGTTCCATCCGCCAACTCCCGCTCTGGACAAATGTCAAATCCTGCATAATACAACTCACTTCAGGTCAAGGGGTTCTTCTTTCATGTCAGGGGGTTTTTTTTTTTTTTTTTTTTTGACGTTTCACGGAGAAGGAACCAACGCACCTGAGACTTTCTTTCACAAGGTCTCTCCCTAATAACACAAGCCTCACCTGGGTGAGGGTGTAACGCCAACCCAAGCCTACTTCTCAGCAGGGGGGTCAGCCGGGGTATCAGCTGGAGGGTCGGCTGGAGCATCGGCCGGAGGGTCGGCAGGGGGGTCGGCAGGCGTGGCAGACGGGGCGGTAGAGCGTGGTGCGGAGTGCGGCGCTGGAGGAGGTGGATGTGAAGCGGGGCCGTCATCGGCCGAGCTCTTTGAGCTCCTTGAGCTGTATGACTTGTGCGAGTGATGGCGGCGGCGACGACGATGTCGACGGCGACTGATCTTTTTGAGAGACACTCTGTAATAGTAGAGAAAGGCTCCGGCGCCAAGGATAAAGATGAGGATGGCCACCCCGACCGTGACACCAACGGTCAGGTTGGTGGTCTGGCCACCTGATATCGAGACCTGTCTCTTTGTGATGTCGTTGATGGTTTTGTCCGCACGCGCTGCCACCTCGAAACCGGGGGAGCGAGGCTCTGCCCCAAGACTGGAGCTCCTTGGCGCCCGGCCATTGAGGGGCTGAGGGATATACATTCAAAGTGACAGGAGAAGGCGGGCGTCGACGAAGTTGAGTCGAATAATAGAAGACCTAAATGGTACAACAATGATCAAAGTATCACGAAAGAGGGAGACCGAAATCGTACGAAAAGAACAGTTTGGGACATGATGAACGTGGAATCAGAGAAAGCAGAACGGTCTGCATAGCAGATAGAATGCGAAAGGTCCACGACACATATTTAACCTCACCATCTCTTGGGCTGCTATGGATGAGATGATGGGCAAGATGAACGGGGGGTACTGACGGTGTAAGGTAGCTGGCAGCTCGCCTGGGTTGAAGGAGGTTCCGTGGTGAATCCGAGAGGATAACACCGGGGGCGCATATGCAAGAGTGGCATCGTGCAGCGAATGCGGAGGAGAAGGAGAAGGGAGTGTAAGACTGTATATCCGCCTCAAACGAGCAGCCGAGAGGCAAAGCCAGTCTCCAGATGCAGCAGACTCAGGAGCAGGCTGGGCGCGATTATGCGCGGTCCATGCAGCTGCCAAACCAATGAACCGGTGGTAGGCGTGGCGATGGTCCCCTACCGCAGCAGCTCCCGCACTCGTCGGGCCGCTCGTAGCCCAAGGGTAGTCTCTCGAAGCTATTGCTGGTGGTGTCGTGGGGGGACACTTTCCGCCAGTCACGTTGGGTGAGGCTTTCGTCTACCATTCACCTGCAATGGGCTGGTGGCCTCCTGCTGATGGCGGCGACTGCACTGGCTGGTCTTGGCCTGGCTGGATCGTCTTCTTCTTCTTCTTCTTCTTGAAGATTCGGTAGTCGCCCCTCCAGAGTGTTCTTCTGCGGTACCGGACGTGATAAGTGAGCAAAGGGCGGTGCGGTTGGAGGCAATGATGGAGATCGTAGATGGCTGGTTGGGCATCAAGACTATCAAGGGGCCAATTGGTACCCGCCGCCTAGGTGAGCTCGCGATCGAACACGTCGACAAGTGTCAAAGGCTAAATGAGGCCTGTTTGGAGTGGGCAGCGGGGCCGGCGGGTGTTCCATCGTGAGAAAAGGACGAGTCGGTGACGAGGAATGTTGACGGATGGATCTCACGATGGATCCTTTCCACCTCGTCTTCAGTTGCCAGCAGTGCAGTTCAACATCGTAGGGGGCAGCGACGAACGAGCTAGAAGGCCTGGGGACCTTGAGGGATGCTGTGGCGGTTGGCTTACTTAAGTGGACTGATGACTCAGCTGTTCCTCTTCCTCTCCTTCCTCAAGTACACCAGCCCGACCAGTCCTTCACATCCTCTTCATTCTGGGGAATAAAAACATCATCCTCGGTCTTCAAGCCACGGCTCTGGCTCCTTGATCCTGAACCAGGCTCCCTCGCCTTGGAGCAGACCAATTAAGCAGGCCTTCTTGGGCCGAGCAGACAGGGCGAACCGGCAGCGGTCTCCCAGCCAGTCGGCCTACACCACGAGCCGCCATGCAGCTGCATCCTGCAGTCGTCTACAATTTCTCGTCTTTGGCCCAATCGGGCATCACATCCTGCCGCCAAACGACATTTCGAACCGTGGTATCGTCACCTGGATACCATGAAAGAGACTCTGAGCAAGTGCCATGTGTCTTCTATGCACAATGTCTTGCAGCTTGGGCCAGAATTCAAGGAAACCCTCCCCCTTACACCGAGGCATTGTGCTGGGAGTCGGGGAAAAGGAGCCAGTGCTATTATCATTTTCACCGATACGCAAAACCCGTATCTTCTCCCTTTTGACCCATTGTCTTTTACGAGTTCAAATTGTTCTGCCGCCGCAACCGACCACCAATGTAGACGACCTAGGATCTAGCCTTGCCATTTATGGCAGTTTACTTCCCGCTTTTCAAAAGTGCCAAAGAAAGGGTGTCTTTGTTGACCTCTTTGAACATGGTGGCGATGCCTGGACATCCCTCGAGATTCTATCGACTCGCTGACGTCTCTTCGCTCTCGGTCTACCCCAAGACTGCGAGCCGGATGCTTCAGCCAAGCAACTTGTGGTTCCTACTCTCTTGTCCTTCTTAAAAAGGCGACATCACCAGACTGCCCTCTACTTGAAGTTTGAACCTCTGTTCTGCTAATCCTCAGATCTCGCCGACGGACTGATCGGCACTGTTACCGCCCTCCCGTTAACCATGTGTATCCTTCTCACGAGAACCTTCAAGTGTTTTCCAGGCGGGACACCCTCGCAGCATACCTTCCGGTATGTTATTCGATGCGCCAGCCCGAGATATGCCGAGTGTCTAAGCCCAAAAGCTCTCGCCAAGTAATCCGAGGAATACGATATCCCCTGTCACGAATGCACCGGCAAATTCCTTCAGCAGCCCTTCACCAAGCCGAGGCGATTCACTGAGAGCATGGTTGATGAAAATGACATAGAAGCACGAGCCGCTGCTGAGAATTATGTCAAATCCATGGTCGAATTCCTCAACATGGCATTGATGGAGGCGTCATTTCCGATTCTGAATAACCCTCATGACGATCAACTTGTCTTTCGAGTCAGCAAAATCGAGACAGCCTGTCGCTTCAACAAGGACCATGTCGGAAACGGTGCCTATTGCGAATGCTTGGAGAGAGACGATGCCACCAAGGAGTTCAACACGAACAGGATGACTGAACTTCACAACACCGCTGCGGCCATGCGGCGGATTGTTTCCCACGCATACTGGTTCCCTTGGCGAGGGTTCTGGCCCGGTCCTGTCACCGGCAATCGAGCACAAGATAGAGTGGAGGTATCTATCCTTAGCCCACACCCAGAGGCCGGCCAACGATGGAGAGCTCGATCCCGAATTTCCGTCTGTCGAACAATGCATTGAACTCCACCGCCAAAAGCCCGACTTTACGTTTCTAGACAACCTTGGCAACCGAAAGCCTGACGAGAGTGAATCACTTACAGTCGTGCCCGTCCTGCAGAGCGCTCCTGATATCCTCGGCCGAGTCGAAGTTTTTACGGATTTACTGACGGAAACAATCGAGTCTTTTGGCGGGAGAGATGGGTGGGAACGCTCTCTACTTACTTCTAATTTTCCTATAACATTGTTCGCTGAATATGCCGCGGCCACCTTTGATGCGCGAATGCAAGTTTCCAACCTTGTTTCGCGTCTCCTGGCCCACGATCCAGGGCTGACCAGGGCACGAATTGCTTCCATCGGCCGGATATTCCTAAAATTCTGGCATTTCGACACGAACGTTATGCGTGCCAGCTTCTCCCAAGACCTACGCCGATTATTTGACAAACTCGTCATTCACACTTACGAGGCCATCGTACAAAGGGGTTCCGGTAGATTTCGGAGTGGTGCGTACGCAGGCGGAATGCTCACCAGCCCTGGCCACTACAAGCATACCGAGTATATCATCCTACGCAACACGTCCATGAGGTTGAAAGACGAGTTCTACAGACAGGGCCTCCTCGAGAGCGTCGTCGCGCCGCTTACGAAGGCGGAGCTTCAGGAACTGGACCTGGCCGACACGGACTGTTTTGTCTGCATGGAGCCGCTGGGGACCGGGCAGGATCCGCACGCGGCTGTGCGGTTTAAATGCGCCGCGGAAAAGCACGTGGTGGGAAAGAACTGCTGGATGAAGTCTCTTCGCCGCATGCGATCAAAATACAACTCGAGGGAGTTGAAGTGTCCCTTGTGCTCGGACTGCGTGCTGAGTGACTGGAAGACGCCGTTCAATAACAACCATCTTTGGGCTTGGGATGTCGTCCGGAGTACCCTGCCGCAGTTGGCCCAAGAAATGGGTGATGCAGGGTACGCTGAGCTTTAGAATAGAACATGAGTTGTGGTTGTCGGTGTTAATCATGAGGGATATTGGTTGGGACATGTCATGGCAAAATTCTGATTCCCATAAGATGTGTGTAGAATAGTCCCCCGGAAGCTAGGCATCGGATCGCTCGTTTACTATATCACCACTTCATCAATGACTTCAACCTGTTTCCTCACCTTTTCGTTCCTTGGTAGATTTGATTCATTCTCGTGAGCTCCCACCACATATGCGATCAGGTGTCCGAATGGCTCGTGGCACGCAATACGACAAGACCATCAACGGCACATCGCAGTGAGTTTTACGCTGACGGCAGCAATCAGTTTCCCGAGACGATGTATAAAACGCGACAGTACCGATTCTCTCTGCTGCTGTGCGGTTAGCAGGAGCTTTTTGTTCTATGATCAGAGATCTTGAGTCACAACTGAGCCCCTCGCTTCTACAGGATCAGCACCTCATACAAACGATCTGGCTGAGCCTCTTTGACAGATGATGGTACTGTACCGGATCAGGTAAGAACAAACACTCATTGTGAGTGAGCATCCCTTACGTCTCGTGTGTTCCTCTCGAATCGAACTTGCGATGTGGCATACTATTTAAGTCATGCCCCGTGGAGAGTCTTTCTCCTCATCTTGAACATCTACAAGTCAGTCACGTTTTCTTTCCATAGTCATTCCGATCAGCTATTTCTTTCCGCTCGCAGCCATCTTTACCAAGATTCATCCTAGATATTCTCAGACCTCATCACCAATTCTTCGAATCTCCCACTAGCAGAGCCATGTACGTCTCCTCCCCCCGCCGCGGCCGCGCCGTCCCCCCCAACCCAATCCGCATCCGCCGCCACGCAAACAGCCCCCTCTTCGCCGGCCGTAGCCCTGCCCCCTGGACGCCAGACCACCCTGTCCCGACCCCTTCGGCGGCCCCGGACTCCGCCGATACCCCGACGTTCCCCGTGAGCCCCTCGTCTGAGTCGCCTCCAAAATGTAAATCGCTTTGGCAGTCATTGCAAGAGTCGTCTCCGAACTATTATAAGCCGTTATGGGCGACAACGGATTCGGAATGGGGGGGGCTCGCCGGAGTCGCCATACTTTTCTGAATTGGACCCGGCGGAGGATAGCCCGGGGGCGGTGACTCCCGGTTCTGGTTCCGGCACTGGGATTATACCGAGGACGCCGGCTAGTACGCCTGTTGCTAGACGGTCTGGGTCTGGAATTGGTGGGCGTAGGGGTGGGCTGTCAAAGTTGAGCAGGATTCTGTATTCTCCTGGGTTGCCTGTTTCGCCGCCGTTGCAGTGGTGGAAGGGTGAGGGCTATAGGCCGGTTCGTGAGACTGATGGGGGGGATGAGAGTGAGAGGGATGGGAGGGAGCGCGACTCCGGGTTTGAAGCTTGAGAGAATCCAGCGGAAGGGGACGTTGGGTGTGAAGACGTGTGTTTGTCATGGGGGTGGGCGTGCGAAGCCTATGGTGTGGTGGAAATATCCGTTGGTAATCTTGCTGCTGGTGCTTATCCTATTGTATGTTCCCTGGAAGGGGTGGATTTGAGTCACCCATGGTATTTCTAGCAGTCAAACTCTTTAATTTGTCTCGAAATGACTTGAAGTTGGTGAATATCAAGAGTCTGGTTTACGGGTTAGCTGGGACTATCTCGATGAGGTAAGGTAGACTTGGATGACAGACTGCTGCCATCTCTAGAGCTTTCCATGCCCTGTCCTCAAGGTCTTTGTTCCTTCCTATTTACTAGACATGAAGGCTTCCGACCCCAGTCGTTTGAGGTTGTTGATACGTACCTCAGAAGGCCAGAAACCACCTCACAGGCAGGTGCGACCTCACCTTCCCATCCCTACGGCGGAATAGCCAAACACCGAAACCTCCTTCCCAAAGAAACGACACCTCCTACCTTACATAGTCGACAAATGTCACGAGTTATGGCACACAGCAATGGGCATACGGAGTGTGGTAAAGTGGCTTAACCTATCAAAGTGGAAATAGACAAAAGAGAAAGGTCTATATACAGGATGTATGTGATATACACGTGATACAGCACGTGACGGGCGCTTCGTGAGATGCGGTTACTATCCCTGTTACGTGACACACCCCCCAATTGCTCCCGCTAGGGAGCTATTGTGCCCAGGATAGAACCTCTGAATACCCTCACAAAGGCCCGATTTGGTCGAATGTAAACAAAGGAAAAATAAACGCAAGGGATACGCGTCTTATGGAGCGCGTTTGTTGTGAATAGCTCCCTCGTCTGAAGTGAATGGGATCCCAACCAGGAATAGCGCGTAGTCTGCTGCTTCCGGTGTGTGAATTAGTGAGGGCGAGGCTGCCTGGCCGCCTCGCGTATATCCAAATTCTCGCGGCGCCGCCTGGCTGTTGTTTTTCTTTCTCCTTTCAACCTCTCGCAGTTGCCGTAGGTGCCCCCGTCTGCTGCGCGCGCGCACCAGCGCCGTCGAATCGCTTGCTAATTTTATTCTAGATACAAATATCCAACATGCCCGGTAGCAATAGTAAGTTTCGCGCAACTTTTACGATGTGTCCCATGTGCGGATTGTGCGGTTTGCTAAAAGTTTGGACAGACGACGTTATTGACAAGCCCCTCGTGGTGGTCTCCCCCCCGCGGCCCGCCTTCCCTCCCGCGCATCCGGGCCCCGTTCCCGAGCTCCCTCTCCCTGGCCAGGAGGACGTTGCGGCTGCTGGCGGTGATGCCGAGAACTCTAAGGAGTTCGAGGCTCTCGTCGGCGGTGAGGACGTGGGCGATGATGAGGGTGAGGGCGGTTCTGGAGGCTCCGGTGATGAGCTTTCCGACCCCCCTCCCTCGGCGTCCGAGAGTGAGGAAGAGTCTGAAGAGGAGGAGGATGATGATGATGAGGACGATGTGCTCTCCGAGAAGGGTATGTGGTGTGCCATTATCTTCGAAGTTCGCTTCTGACGTTGTTTAGACTCCAAGAAGCGCAAGGTCTCTGCCCGCTCCGCCAAGAAGAAGGGCGCCAAGAAGCAGAAGAGAACGCCGAGAGGCCAAGGCAAGCCCCGCGGTAAGTGTGGTTGGTTCTTTTCGCTATTCAGGACTTGTCTGACGTGTGCTTAGTCCCCAAGAAGCTCCTGGGCGAGGCTCCCGAGGAGCGGGATGTCCAGTGCCTGCCCTGCCTTCGGGCAGCCCTCCGGTTTAACAACCGTGATGACGGTGGTCGTTGTCTCGTGGGAAGTCGTGGCCGGTGTGCGCGCTGCTTCAACGGCCGTTCGGCCGAACATTGTGTCGACGTGCCCGTCGTCATGCGGCCAATGGCCTGGGCTCTCACAGAGGCCATCGTGGGTGGCGCTTCCGCTCTCGTAAGTACATTGTCTTTTGCTGTTACTGAAATCGCACTCCTGACACGGGTTTGAAAGGAAATCTCCAAAATCCGCAATGCGGTGAACTGGATAATGGCCCACCAGGGCGAGTACGAGGATCACATCCGCTTCTGGGCGGACAAGTTCCCCCCCCCCGCGAGCCCCCCGGCCCCTCCCCCGAGTGCGCCTGTGTTGTCTGTTGCGCCTGTTGTGGTCGTTTACGACCAGGCTCCTGTCGCTCCGCCCGCTCCCACCCCCCAGGTCGTTGACCTGACGGTCGTTCCGCCTCCGGCTCCCCCTGCTGCTCCGGCTGCTCGTGGTTTCGAAGACTTCGAGGCGCGCAAGGCGCGGTTCCTGGCGCGCGTTTCTTCCCTCCTCGCCGCCGACGCCATGGTTCCGGCGGTTTCGTTCTTCTTGGACCAGGAGTTCAAATAGTGGGCGCAAGCCCGAGTCGTGTTTCTGTGTGCGTGTGCCCTGCGGGGCATTGAGTTTTTCTAGGCGTGGCCCAAATTGATTATTTCTGACTACTTTGGCTGTTTATGATGATTTCTCGCGCATCGTATAGGTTGAGAAGTGTGCGGAAATGTTCGAACTTGGCTCGTGAAAGGTTTTTGGTAAGTCCGTCTGCTGGCATGTCTTCTGTTGACATATAAGCAACCTCGAAGCTGCCTCTGGCGTGCTCTTGTCTGAGCCACATGTTCTGTATATCGATATGACGAAGCCGGGTAGCTATTCTTTCCCCTTCCCCCACGACGAGTCGAATCGTCTGCTGATTATCGCAGTTGACTGACCATACTTCTCCTAAGTCTAGGGCAATGTCCATAAAAAGGCGCTTCAGAGCCATGGTCTCTTTTGCGGTTTCCTCAAGGCAAAGAAGCTCAGCCTCGGTAGTTGACGTTGTAACCGTCGCTTGGCGTGCTGATTTCCATTGAATTGGGCCGCCAAAAAGGAACATTATGTATCCCTGTGATGATCGTCGTGTTGCCTCGTCGTCTGCGAAGCTGGCATCTCCAGCTAGAAGCAATGATTGCGCACTCGGTACGCTGCCGTAGGAGAGCGCAAGATATCTTGTTGCATAGAGATATCGGATACACTGGTTGATTGCTTTGATGTGGGTTGCGCTTGGGTTGGTCAGGAACCGTGATAATTGCGAGCAAGCAAAAGCGACGTCTGGTCTGATCATTATGGCTGTATAAAGCACACTTCCGACCTTCTCCTGGAAGCTTTTTATTTCTTCCTTCGTTGCCTGCCCCTCGTTTGGTTTGAACTCGTACTGCGGAAGAGGGGTGGCTGGATTTATTGAATCCATGAGGTCGAAGCGCTTAGCAACCCGTTCGATGTATGCGTCGTGGACCAGGTAAACCTTGTGAGCAGTACGGTCTCGTATAATCCGCACTCCGAGGAAGTAATTGATCGGTCCATTCTCCTTGAGGTTGATGTATTCTTTTATGCCGTCGACGACCTCCTGAGCCGCCTCTCGGTCGTCTCGATGGTATAGAACTATGAAGTCGTCGACATAGAACACCAGCATCACCTTCCTGTCTGCGGTTTGGTAGATACAGATCTCCTCGTGGCTGTATATCATATCCATACTACGAAGTATGGAGGTAAAAGTCTGGAACCACAAGATTGGCGAGTCTCGCAGACCGTACAGAGCGCGTTGGAGTCTGCCTACTTTGCCAGTGATCTTGTATCCCTCGGGGAGTTCAACAATCACTGGTTTTTCGCTCTTGATGGGCGCGTTGAGGAATGCGTTGATGGCATCATACTGGTCAGCCTCAAGGTCGAATTGGGCAGCTATTGCCATCACAAGCCTGAAGGCCTTTGCGGCGAGCGTTGAAGCGTACGTATTTTGTAAGGGGTCGAGTGGTTGCATGTCCCCCCTTACACATATACGTGCTTTTACCTCGTAGACCTCGTTGTCAGCGTCGTGCTTGTAGGTGTATACCCACTTCAATGGAAGTGGGATCCCTTGTTTGGGATCACGGTCGACCTCCTCCCATGTGCCAATATCCTTCAGCTTTTTCATCTCAGCGTCCATGGCATCCCTGAGCAGCTTCTGTAGTTGCTGTGGGAGGTGTTTGATATCGCTAAACTTCTTTGGTGGGCTCAAGAAGTCAACTTTGTTGGGCCGTGGTTTTTGACCCATGCCGGGGCGCTCCAGGTAGGTCCTGTGGACTGCCCCTTTTATCACTTGGTGAAGTGTTGTATGTCCTACACTGCTTTCCTCCATAGCTTTCTGCTGATCAGGCATGAAGGTGGAGAAAAAGCAGTTCCAGCGGCGGTTGTGGTAATCGCCGTCTTCTGTATTCGAATGTAAGAGCGTCGCGAAGATGCTGCCGTCGAAGCGTTGTGGAGGTCTGCGGGCCCGGTTTGAACGTCTGGGACCTGACGGAGCTTCACTTGGCACTCGCTGAGGCGGTTCTTGTGAGCTCTGTTCTTGTGTAATAGTAGAGGTTTGTTGTGAGGGTTCCCTGCTGACGTCGACTTCAGCGTCAGGAATTGCATCCTCGTGATCGGCACCTCGTCTGCCGCGTGCTTCAGCTTCCTGCTGAGAGCCGTCAGGAATTAAGGGCTCAAGAACCTCCGCGGTATGTGTAAGCGCTCTTGGGGAGGACTGTGGACTGCGCAGAGCCGTCTGTGACCCGGTTGCTACATCCCCTTCCTCACCCCCACCCCCGAGCTCGCGCAAGGGGGTCATCTCAGGGGTTGGTAGTGCCGGCAAGGCTATGTCAGCCTCGTCAGTATCATTAACCGCACCCTGGAGTACGTCTGTCGGTTGCTCAGCGTCCTGAACAGTTGAAAATCCAACAGTAATACTATCCTCGACCACAGAGTTGTCTTGAGTGTTGGCATTTCCGAAGTCCAGATCCACTTCCCCGAGTGCTCGAACTAGCTCATCGTTGGCGTTGAAGAGTTCTTGCATTTCTCGGATTACCAGATTTGCTTGTTCGCCCACGATAGCTTGCTCCTCGTGTGCGGGATCATAAAAGACTTCTTCGTTGAACCTAACATTCCTCGTAACAAACACCTGCTCGAGCGCGGGCACCCAGACCCTGTATAGGTTGTGCGTTTCTGGCACATATCCAACCAGGTATCCTATATGCCCGCGGGGAAGCACTTTATACTCCTTCCGACGTATGCCCCTCTCACGATCCCTGTGAAGAGGGTATGCTCGGCAACCATATGCGTAGAGACCGCCAAGATGCGGGGTAACCGGTTCGGAATCCCGCACTCGGTGGCCCGTCTGCCACCAGCGTTGATATCGCTTCTGCCAGTTGATTTCCATTGTGATGGGCGAATCTCCATCGTTGGCCTCTCGTGGGGTAATATTATGGATAAAAATCGCTGCCAACACTGCTTCGTCCCAGAGATTCTCAGGGAGGTTCGCAGAAAGGCGCATCTTGCGAGCTTTGGTGATTGCGAGTTGACCTGCTCTCTCGGCATTGCCTACTGGTTCCTTCGTATGTGGAGGTGGAAGCTCTATTCCAATTCCTAGCTCACCACACCACGTCTCGTAAGCGCGTCTGACGTTTGCGGTGAGGAGGGCGGTCTCATTGTCGCTTCTGAAGAAGCAGATTGGGGTTCCTTTCTGACGACGGATCGCTGCCTCGAGGCTCTGCAGTGCGAATAGCACTTCCTCCTCGGTTTTGTTCCTCAAAGGGAACCCCCTGAGCTGTCCACTGTATTCGTCTGAGGCGATGAGCATGTATTGTCGTCCACTCAGAGATGGCTCGAAGTGGAAGAGATCCCAGTGCACACGGTACCATGGCCGTGAGGCTCTTTTTGAGGGTGGTCCTCTTGAGATCACTGACTTGGCTTCGGATATTGCACATGCCTCACACTCAACTTGTGATGGGGGTTTAATACGCACACCACGAGTCTTGTAGAGGAGTTGACGAAGGGCATTAGGTCCGAGATGGCCAGTCCTGAGGTGCCAAAGGAGCGCGCTGTCAGATCTCTCACGGGTGCGCTGGTACGAGCGACGGAATTTTCCACGGCTGACTGGTAGCATAATACCAGCTGGGCTCTTCAGGACACGCTTGAGGTCTGCGGAAGAAGGGTAGGATTGGAGGAGCTTGTATTCGAGGAAGACTAGGTTGTTCTTTCGGATGAGCTGCTTCTTGACAGTGCTCTTGCGGAGCGTTCCTTGTCGTAAAGTGCAATCCAGACCGCAGTACCAGAGTGCGCTTCTGTTTAGAAGAGTCTCCGAGACTATGTTGACATGGAATCCCTCAACGTAGGCAACGTTCTGAAGCCTCAGATCGCATGTTCCCTCCCCCTTAGGTCCGTCCAAAACGCCTCTCATGATACGAGTACCGCGTGCGGTAACAGGCAGTGTGGTAGTTCCTGATTCGACGTAGTCATCGTCGCCTGACAGCACACAGCTCTCGGGTTCAAGTAGGCTCTTATCGTTGACTAGGTGCATTGCTCCACAGCTGTCCATTACCGTGCTCTGGGACAACGGATGAGCGCCACCCATAGGGGTACTGAAGATTGCGTTTATCTCTGCCTCCTGACTCTTCATGAGTACAGCGACGATGTGGCCGTCATCCTGGTCTGCCGTTGAGCTCGCAGTGGGTTGGTTGGAGGATCCCTTCGGTTGCCGAGGCTTCTTTGGGGTTCCATCGCTCTTGAGCCAACCAACTTTCTTGAGCTCACCATGGAGGGATTTCCATTTGTTTGATTTGACCGCGGCAAGGACTTCCTCCACATGGCTGTCTGTCATTCGCATTGGCGACCCACTGGTGTTACGGCTTGTAAGTGCCCATTCCAACTTTCGGCACGCCGAAGGCCTCCAGCGGTGTGCGTGATTGCAAGGGCAAGTAACGTCCCCCTTGTCGTTTGCGTTCTCAACTGAGTCAGAGCGTCCAGCGAAAGTGGAGTAAGCCCCTCCTTGACCTGAAGGCCGTTTGGTGTGCGCCTCCTGGGTTACCAGGCTAAACGCATACGCAATCTCCTCGAGGGTCCTGGTGTGTGTTTCGAAGGCCATTGATTCGCGGAAAGTCTCATAAGTGCGTTGGCCCCATGTAGGGTTGAGTCTGGACTTAACCGCATCCAGGAAGTCGATTATGGCGATCTCTCCGTCAATTTCCGGGATATCGTACGTTTTGGCTCGGAGGTAAGCAGACTGCCACTCCTCGTACCAGCGTTGGGGGTTAACTCCGGTCCTCGCTTTGCTGAGGACTTGTCTGTACTCCTGGCGAACCGCACTCCTGACCATGGCCTCGGAGGGCGCCAGTTCCTGCTTCAGTCGTCTGACGATTCGTTGTACGCTGAACTTGACGCCGTTCTCGGTTGCTTTCTGGAATGCGTGTTCGTAGAGAGTGGCGTTAACTGATTTTCCCAACCACTGGGCGAGGAGTTTGATGTGCGTATTAACACTGTTACGTTCAGGGGCCATGATTTGATGGTATTTGGCAGAGAGCTCCCATTCCTTCTGAATATTCTCGAGCGTATGGATCCTCTTCACGGGTGCGGTATGGGGATAGATTTGATTGCGTGAAGTAGGTGGCATAGCTGGTATCGTAAAAGGAGTTCCAGCTGGATCCTGTGGGTTGCTCGTGCTCGAGGAAGTCGAAGGGGTCATGCTGGGAGTTGGGGCTGGAAGTTGCTGGCGATGGATTTCCCAGTCCTTTTGGTCGTTTTCGAACGCCTCACGGCGTGCCTCGTAGGCTCTTTGTTCTTCTTCATTACGGGTTGAGAGTAATAGTTCGAAGTCAGAAGGTGAAGTGAACGCCGTGAGAGGAGTGAGGAGTGCGTCGGAGTCTGGAGCGTCTGGGTCGACGTACTTCCAGACCTCGAGTCCCTCACTCATAAGGCGGAAGGCCTGGAACCATTTGATCCAACTGTCGCGGCCAGTCAATTTGGCTTGGCCAAAAGTGGATGTGAAGATGTCGGTCATCTTGAAGAGAACGTAGGAATCGTGTTGATGAGTGCGTTATCGTGGTATGGGGTCTTAACTAAGAGCTGGGCTCATAACTGTCACGAGTTATGGCACACAGCAATGGGCATACGGAGTGTGGTAAAGTGGCTTAACCTATCAAAGTGGAAATAGACAAAAGAGAAAGGTCTATATACAGGATGTATGTGATATACACGTGATACAGCACGTGACGGGCGCTTCGTGAGATGCGGTTACTATCCCTGTTACGTGACAACAAATCGCCAGTTCCTACCAGCAGACATCCAGTCCATGAGTGCGTGGCTCATTTGGTTGAACACCAGGATAAAAAGATACCCGTGCCAGCAAGTCCTCTGCGAAACCTGGCGGGCGCTCTTGTTCGAAGTCCCCTGCAGGCATAGAGCGTTGAACAGACCCCATTCTTTTTGCATCATTTTTTTAAATCTATTTCCTAGTGTTTTGTTCCATTTAATTCTGATGGTTCTAGGCATTCGTTTCCGGGTGGTTCGGGGAGTGTATGTAGCTGCTCCTGTGATCGAGGGGCGGGCTTGGGAAGTGCGACGATCGTCCAGACAATCAGCGGAAGGAAGACATCGAGATTGGAGTTGGCACTAACACTTTACTTGGAAAGAGCGATTCCATCAAAGATCCTACGTACCTTTCCTAAATGCGATGTGCTCATCTACCTGGCATCCTCCAATATCAATCCCTTCCCATCATCGTAAGAATTTCTCTCAGCTTAAATTACGACTTAGCAGGCTTTGCAGAGCTCTGGAACACTACAGAAAACATCATTCTATTCATTTCATCTCTTAGAAACATGACAGACCTACACACCCGCCAGTTCTCCCACGTCGGAGGCACCTCCTCCCAGCTCCTCGACCGTCTCGCTGTCTCTGAGCTCTGCAAAGGCTGGCCGGTCTACCGCGACGCAAGCGAATGGCTAAACTATCGCTCCCTCTTCACCAAGGATGCCTACGTCTGGACCAGTGCGTTGAGCCATAAACCCCCTTTTATGATGCCACCACTCTCACAAATATCTTGTCTTCTAAGCTGACAACACATCGCATGTCACAGCTTGGAGCGGCGCACAGCCTATCGACGACTTCATCCGCATATCAATCGCCGGAAAGTCATCGGGAGCCTTCATCATGCATCGCGAATGCGGCACTCTCGTCGAGCTGAACCAGGAGACGAACCGCGCCGTGGGCAAGATGAAGGCCACCATCACCCAGCGCTTCAAGCACCCTGAATGCTACGAGTACGACGTCGACTGCGACTGTCGGTTCCTCTTCTTCTACGAGAAGGCGAAGGAAGAAAGTGGTGATGAACAGAGAAATTGGAAAGTTGCGTACGTCAAGCTTGTCTACGAAAAGGACAAGATTGTTGCCGTGGACGGTACCAGGGCACCTATCTTTGCGGACGAAGTGTTGGCTAGGTATCCTGAGGGATACAAGTACCTCGGAGCTGCGCAGAGTACTTTGGGATACGAGATTGATGCCAAGCTTGTCACAGGAGGGGATGTGAGGGTCTGCCGCAAGATGTATCAGAGTATAGAGAGGTGGTTGGAGGGGGAAGATGGTCCTGTTGGTCTTTTCGAGACTTGAGGAATTTCTGGCCACAAGAAGCAAGTATTATACTAGCATCACTCAAACTCGGGTTGAGGCCTGGGGCCATGTCTTTCTCGCCAGCAGGTTGGCCTCTGGATTTCAGCCTGAAAGAAACCACCATTGATAGAACCTACTAGGTATGAACAAAATAGCGAATATGGAATAGCCGTCAGAGGAACCAGGTTCCGATAGAGAACATTCACATGCCATGAGATAACACATCATCCTACATGATGAGATGGAGTGAGGTCGTTGAAATAGTGCAAGATGTCTGCACATCTCTCCACAAGGCGTGCATAATATTTCATAGCGATTAGCTAAGCAGGAATCGCGCCATCACGGGCTAACGACTCACGGGGCGGGCGGCGTGGCGGATTCAGCTGTTAGATTTGTTTCTTCTTGGAACATTTCACCGGCCCAAGACATGAGCTGGTGTGCTTCCCAGAATGTCTCAACCACGGTCGGGTAAGCGGGTAGGAGGGTCCTGGGAAAGACTGACGCAGCTCACACGAGAGAGGAATGTTGGCGATCGCGTAGTGTGTCTATTTGTGCGCATCGAACTGCGTGGCCGTGTCCATCGGGCGGCCTAGGCTTCGGCTCTCCGGCGTCCCGGAGTACGTTATCTTATTGATGAAGTGTAGAAATGAAAATAGTTGAAAGTGAACAAGTTGATTGTCCAGTTCGACAGCGTCATGCATGCAGGTGTGACAATGAGCGGAAGTCCAGGCACAGCGCACAGAATGAATACAGATGATGGACAGCACATGGTAAGGTAATAGAAGATGCAGAGAGATGGGACGACATCGGGGAAGGAGCAATCCCGTGTCAATGCATCGTCCGTTCTTCCCCCCAAGTTTCCCCCTGCGTCAGCCAAAGCGCTGGTTCATCCAATGGGGGTGCTTCAGGTGCGATGCACTGGCTGAGAGATCTTCAGGTCCTTCAGGTCCTTCCAGCACAAGTGGCAGCACAAGTGGAGACGGCCCCAGCGGGCTGGCTGCTAATGCGCGGTGCCTGGTTTTTTTTTTTTCATCCACTGCCACCTCAGGTTCCAACTTCCAGTGAGTTGTGCTGGACACCTTGGACACCTCGGTGGAGCCTGTACTCCGTAGTCAAGTCCTCGAGTCCCCCGAGAGAGGTGTGCGGTGTGGGTGTATTCGTACCTCACGTGATGTCGCTTGTACTCAGAGAGCCAGGGCAGTCAGGCAAGTACCAAAGTACCCCCGGGCTCTCCTTAATTTCGTGACGTGCCTATACGACCGTCAATGTTTTCCTCCACTCCTCTGTGACCCCCCGTTTTCCCTCCTTTTGTGTTTTATAGACATCTTTGTCCCACCCGTTGTCGATTCCCCTTTGCACCTGTTCACTCTTTCACTCTTCCCAGTCATTCTTTTCGGTCCACGAAGAACCACCAACTCACTACACTCTTTTGTTTATTATAGTCACAGCCAAAGAGTCTGAACAACGCAGAAGAAGGCCTTTCCTAGTCCGCCCTTAAATTACCACCCTGGGACCCCTTTCCTCCACTCGACGATTCTACAGATCATCGACCAGACGCGACAATTCTTTATTATTTCAACCCGTTTTTTAACACATTAATCCAATCAAAATGAAGGCCTCCATCTCTCTCGCTGCCCTCACTGCCCTGGCGGCCACCGTCGAGGCTCAGAACTACCTTGGCTTCAACTCCGGTGCCACCAAGGCCGACCGTTCCGCCAAGTTCAAGGCCGACTTCGAGGCCGAGTTCAAGACTGCTCAGGGCCTCGTCGGTGCCCCCGGCGACTTCAACGCTGTCCGCCTCTACACCAACATCCAGGCCTACTCCACCCAGGACCCCATTGAGGCTTTCGAGGCTGCCATTGAGACCAAGACCTACATCCTTCTCGGTATCTGGACTTCCGGCACCGATAACATTGACAAGGAGATCAACGCTCTGAAGACCGCCGTCACTAAGTACGGCACCAAGCTCACCGACCTCATCATCGGTGCCTCCATCGGTTCCGAGGACCTGTACCGCAACTCCGTCGCCGGTGTCAAGAACAAGTCTGGTGTCGGTGCCGACCCCAAGACCCTCGTCGACTTCATCGACGACTTCAAGACCGCCTTCAAGGACACCCCTCTGTCCAAGGTCTCCATCGGCCACGTCGACACCTGGGACGTCTGGGGAAACTCCACCAACAAGCCCGTCCTCGACGCCGTTGACTGGGTCGGTGTTGACGAGTACCCCTACTACGAGAACGACAAGGGCAACACCATCGACAACGCTGGCAGCCTTTTCGACAAGGCCTACGAGGCCACCGTCGCCACCGCTGGCGGCAAGCCCGTCTGGGTCACCGAGACCGGCTGGCCCGTCACCGGCGAGACTTGGGATGAGGCCGTCCCCAGCGCCAAGAACGCCCAGAAGTACTGGCAGGAGGTCGGTTGCCGCAAGCTCTTCAACAAGGTCCCCACCTTCTGGTACAACCTTCGCGACTCCAACCCCGACAACTCCATGAAGTTCGCCATCACCAAGGACCTGTCCACCACCCCTCTGTTCAACCTCACCTGCCCCACCACCTTCGACACCCCCTCCAGCACCAAGACCGCCTCTGCCTCCGGCACTGCCACCGCTAAGCCCAGCAGCTCCTCTGGCGCCAGCTCCGGCTCTGGCTCTGGCTCTGACTCTGGCTCTGGCTCTGGCTCTGGCTCTGGCTCTGGCTCTGGCTCTGGCTCTGGCTCTGGCTCTGGCTCTGGCTCCGGCAACAGCACCAGCGGCGGTTCCGGTTCCGGCTCTGGAAGCGGCTCTGGCAGCGGTTCTAACTCGACCGTCTCCACCGCCTCTCCCTCTGCCACCTCCGGCTCCGGCTCCGGCTCCGGCTCCTCCGGCAGCGGATCCGGCTCTGGATCCAGCGCCAGCAGCACGCCCTCCGCGGTTGCTGGCTCTGGTGCCGCCGGCCTCCAGGTCTTCACCACCGGTGCTCTGGCCGTCGTTGCCGGCGCTTTCGCCCTCCTCTACTAAGAGACTCGAGGAGTAGTGCACTCACTCGTCTTGTGGTCAAATTTTTCTAGCGCATTGGCAAGGTGTCTTTTGATTCCCCCTTCTGGACATGTGTTTTTTTCGGTATCATAATCATGGATAGATCGAGGATAGACTGAAGGAGAAAAAAATGTGATTAATCCATACACTCATTAAAATTGTACAAATGGACCCTGCGGTGACGATTGTGACTAACATGTGTGACCATTTTTGTGTGACAATATCTGAAGAACACATTTACTCAGCTTGTGACAAGCTGAGAGCATTGTTCAAACTTCAGTGCCAGGCTAATCGCGTCATACAGGGCTCGAGCTATTCCTCCCGAGCAAATGAACGATTCGGTTCGGCAAGGTCGAGGTGTGCGGGCCGCACGCCCATTGCCTGACCTTGATTCACGATGCAATTGGGCAAAGCGCGGTGGCAGCCAAGCCGGCCAAGAGGAGCCTCCCTCCCTCCCTCCCATCCACCCCCGTGGTCACCACCCATTTGGCATCCCACCCCCCCAGAAGTCGGGAAATGAGATGGTGCTGATCAGTCCCCACCATAAGGAGGCCGCACTTGGTTAGGCACTAGGGGGCAAGTTGGCAAGCATACGAGGTCTGGACCGTCGAGCGGGCTCCGTTCGTATTCCCTCTCCCAGTCGGCGGTCAACCATCAAGGGGGGGGATATCCCGTCCCCGCTGAGGAAGCGAGAGGAGACTGGAGAAGGCTGGAAATTCTGAAAGTGACACAGAGTCAAGAGGAGATTCGAGACTCGAGGGAAAGAGAGGAACTGAGGACTGTGTGATGGTACGAGTTCACACTCATACACGGTAGAGAGTGGGAACTGGGAGAGGGACGAAAGAGGAAAGGCATTCATTCCCACATATCCAGGCGCAGTGGCGAGCTAAATTTAGAGCTTGGACCCAAGTGAGTGTCTCGTTGCGTTGTGTCCCATGGGACGTTCTGGAAACTGGGAACTGGGAGAGACGGCTTCGAGTTCGCTGTCGCGCCGTCGGACGCCGTCGTTCGGCACTGTTGGGATGTGCATTTATTCGCTCAGTTGTTTATGCGGATTTTTCCCACGGAACATGAGAAGAAGAAAGGCGAAACTTGTGTGAATACCTACGCGATTACGTACAAAACGTTTCTCCAATTGTCAAGGTCGCCAGCGGAGCCCGTTCAGGTACGAGACGAATCACGATGTCTCTGTACCTGGCGCTAGACCTAAGACGGGACTTGATGGTGAGGTAGAGTTCAACGGCACAGGTACCGGATCTGGAAGAAGGGGAGAAAACCTTCCTGGTAAGGTGTGAGCTGAGTGTGGAGAAGGCGCGTCTCTTTCTTTTGCACATTTATGCATGTTCATCCCATTTGTTCCGAAAGTTTGATTTGTTTACTTTGGCGTCCATCAGATCAGACCAGACCAGACAAAACAGAAATAACAATAAATGAGAGATGAATGGCTGGCTGATCAATAAGAGGAGAAAACTTGGCTTTCCTCGCTTGGAGTCAATACTCAATAGTGTTGGAAAGTTGAGTGGCAGTGCTGACGGCTCATGCCCTGACCTTGCTGGTGATCATCCAAAGAATCCAAGATCCAAAGGCCGGGTTTGCATGCTTAGTGCACGCACGCTGTACGGAGTACCGTATTCCACTTGCCAATTGTGTGCCAGTGACAGTTGGCAGTTGGTCTTTGTGGGCTCGCCAGTCAATATTCTCTTCGACTCCTCTGACTAGTCAATCTCGTTCGGGTATTTTTGGCAACTTTGTATTTCGGGGCGCGGCGGGACGAGACTCTGACGTTTCTGCGGGACCTTGTTCTTGTGATGCAATTGAATATTCATTGTTTATGTCGGGTAGCGGCACAATAAGCGGTAATTCTGCATGTGATGACTAGCTTGATGAAAGGACTTCGTCGTGCATTCCCCAAGTGCCTCCGTATACAAACGGCTGTTTTATGCCAAGACATTTTTCCCATCCCGTTTGTGCTTCTGGCGCGTTGTGAACCGGTTGCGGCTTGGCGGGTAGATTGGCGGAAAGTATCGGTCGCCCGACCGGGTCTCAGCCGCAACGGACCAACGGTTTTCAACCCAACGTCGTTGGGAACGTTATTCGACGTCATTGATTGTATTTATGAGTTGACGTTCGAAGCTGCGTGTGAGGTTGTCGCGATATCAAAACACATGGAGCACACCCGCACAGCTCCGATTGCAATGCTCTGCAGAGCACAGAGGCCGCCCGTTGGCATGATTACACTGTGGAAAGCTCTCCTGTACTGCAACGCCGAGACGGGTTCTTCCTGGAACGGCCGCGGGTCTCGACGGGATGCCGAAGTTTCTACCCGCGCGCTTCCGGAGCCGCCGCGTCAACGCCGTCGGACTTGCCGCCTCCAGATCTCATCACATGTTCACACATTTTGCCCCCTCCGCCCGCCTGCCGGTGGATCACTTCTCGCTCCGGCTCCATAGCCCTGAACCGAACCACGCCACGCACACAAACTCGTGCTGCAGAACTCACCCCAAACCCTCCGGAATATAACCAGCTTGCCCGGCTCTCACCGGCATCCGCAATCGCATCGAGGACCTCCCACCCTCGGAGCGAGCATCCTCAACGGAAGGGTGGCCGAGTTGGTTATGGCGCCAGGTTAAGGTCAGCTTAACATCTGTTTCCTGGTGGGGCAACCCGCGCGAGTTCGAGTCTCGTCCCTTTCAATTTTTGTGGTTTTGGCAGTTGGTCATGTGTTTTGAATGCGTGAGTGGGTTTGTGTTGAGTAGACGGTTAAGTAGCGCACGTCTTTATGTTTTATCTGGTAGTTTTTTTGGGTCTTCATGAGGGCAAGAGTAGAGTGTTGTCGAGGAAGCATTGATCAGGGCTTTGCGGTGCCGGCATCACCAACTCGAAGATGAACTCAACCTCGACCTTGATGCCCAAAGGTTTGAGAGGACTGGGTGCCACTTGGAGACAGTCATCATCCCCAGTCACCCCGTATGACACCTGGCTTCGCCCTTCACCCCGTTCATTTGATTCGAGACCATTCCTTGGCCAAGATGAGCTGTACCATACCACGGGGAACCAAGTGGAATTACTGGGTGTTGCAGTACTTGAATGCCACACATCATCACGAGCATACGAACGCTGATATGATTAATCTTGGTCTGTTTGTGGCCGCCACCGCCTCATTCATTCCTTGTGTTCTATAACCCTCATATCCTTCATAACCGAACCCTTCTCATCAAGACCATCGTCCTTGACCTCTTCCCCAAACACCTCCTGCATGCGTTCCAGGCTGTGACCCCGGGTCTCGGGGTACAAGAAGTAAAAGACGGCAACTTCAACTACAAGCCACACCACGTACACCAGATAATACTTCCATCCCAGAGAGTCCATACCGATAGGGTTGACAAACTGGTTAAAGAACGACGGGGCCTTGTTGGCAAAGACGAGAATACTAAGATCCATAGCTCGGAGCCTGAACGGAAGAATCTCCGTGGGGTGGAGGAAGAGGAAGAGGAGTGGGTTCAGGCAGATATTGAAGGCGGCGTAGAAGATGAAGATGAAAGCAAGCGCAGCCTGACTAGCGGCCGTGGTCCCCTTTGTGTTGTAGACTGCAATACTGGCCGTGAGCGACGAAAAGGTGAGCCACATGGCGATGCCGCCTCCGACAAACATCCACCGGCGGCCATTTCTGGTCGACAGAGCAGCCGCGAACAGAGCCGTGGCGTAGTTCACGGTGCTGATGACTCCGTTGAGCATAGTCTGCTTGCGCTGGCTGGTGATACCGATGCTCGTGAAAATCTTTGTCAAGTAGTAATACGATACCAGACCGTTCCCACTCCATTGGCCAAACACGGCGAGAGTGACAAGAATCAAGAGTCTCTTTCTTCCTGTTGGCTGGTATCTTGAAGAAGAGCTTTGGCCCAACATCCTTGACCTGCTTCTTGAGCTGCAAGGCCACCTTCATCTCGTGGAACTCTGCGACGACCAGAGGATTGGTTGGGTCCCCTCCCCCGTGATGCTTCACGAGGATGCTGAACGCTTCGTCGTCCCGGTCCTTGTAACAAAGCCACCGAGGCGACTCATCCAGGAACCACACGAAAATCATCTGAGTCACCGCCGGGAGCGCCTGCAACATTGTAGGAAGCCGCCACGCCCACGACCCGGCGATACGATAGCTCCCAAACGTGACCCATCCGGCCGTAAGAGCGCCGAGGTAGAAGCTGGTATTATACAGCGAGCCGAATAACACGCGGTGCCTTGGATGTGCGAGCTCCGAGATCAGTACCGGCGCCGCGGCGTGAGCCATGGTGATGCCGAAGCCGACGACGATGCGGCCGCCGATGAGGATGGACCATTTCCGCCCGAAGCGGTCCGAGACGAAGGCGGAAAAGGGGGTACGCGGCGCTGGTGAAGCCGAGGAGGGCGCCCTTGGGGCTTCCGAATTCGCGGTTCCATGCAGCGACGCCTTGGAGGCCTGTTAGGACGGAGCCGTCGTAGCCGTTTTGTTGCGCAGACTACGAGGCAGGCTGGTGCGAGGATGCTGTAGAGGCGGATGAGAGATGGGGTGAGGGAGGAGAGGGCGGAGCGGGTGTCTGAGGCTAGGATTTCTTCCACCGTCTGGGCCCGCGGGGGCAGAGACTCGGAGTCCATCGTGTTGGCTAAATGAAGGCCAGATTAGACTTCGGAGGATGGCTGTGAGGAGGATGACTTCTTCACCCGGGTCTCTCGGGTCTATTTATGCTGTTTGACAGCCATGATCTAGGGTAATTTAGTCGCCAACAGATGTGTCTAAGAAGAGTTGTTCGCTCATATGGAAGTGAAGTCCAGGGTCGATAAGCTCCCGAGCCTGTAGCGTGATTTGCCAGCCTTCTGGCAGCAGGACTGTCGACAGCTCATCGTTATGCAGAATGAGCTCAATCTGGATCTGGAGTCCAAAAAGCCTACAGAAGCGCGTGAGTTGTCTGAAATATCAGGTAACAATAGGTATGTCTCGATTCTCACATTCTCCAAGAGTTGATGGGGAACAGAAGGAGCCCAAACGGCTCCTGGAGGATCCCACCATGCAGCACCCCGATGATGGCGGAGGAGATTGCAATCTTGGCGCCTTGAACATCTTCGTCGGATAGGGCGGATGACCCCGAGGGATGTAGACAGCGATACACGTGAGAACGGTAGAGGATCGTCTTTGCGGCACAGTAGCGTGCCTTGAGGTGTCCTCTCAATCTTTGTCGCATTGGTCTGAGTGAACGAGGGGACAGTAGTTCGACTTCTTCGGCGAGCGGGAGCGTCTCGAATTGGAGGTCGGCTGGAAGACACGCCTTCCACTCCTCAATCTGACGATTCAGTTCCCCCACGATGGAGTGGGAGGGGGATTGCACTCTCTCTACACACCAGTCAGCACCTCGCAATGAGACTCAGACCACAAGGCATCATTACCTTTGTTGTTGTACAAGTGAAAGTGTATCCGGTTCAGGAGTCTCCTCATAGCAACAAGTGCCAAGAAGAAGAACTGAGTGTCTTTGCCTTGAGAGTCTGCGCCGGAGTCCGGAAGTAGTGGCAAGGGCACTGAACCTTCAAGACTACTCAAGCCGCTGGGCGGGAAGTCATACTCGGCAAGGATCTGACTGTCAGTCAATTAGCAAGCAAGCTTTCGGGGGTCAAAGATGAGAGCCTCGGTACCTTTCCTGCAGATAAGCAATCCAGTACAGCTGGCAGTGGTGAGCCTCTAGTTTCGCCTGCCTGGTTCCAACCTGTCAGTGAATCTCGCATCCTGGCTGACAGTCTATGAATCATTGGACCAACAGCGGCAGTAGAATCATGATCACAGAGCATGCCTTGTGAATGAAACGCCAGGAGTCGTGGATCCTGAATATGGATGAGTTGAAAAGGCTGTTGAGCGTCATTAGCGTTCGGCCTGCATCGCTACAAACATCCAAGCTGTACTTACGCCATGAGCAAAAGACGCTGGACGCCCACCCAGTCCGTTTCTTCGACGTCTTGAAACATACTACACGCAATAGTGAAAAAAGCCGAGACCGGCCTCATGCTCTAGCATGGACTCTGCGGAGTCAGACTGGGTCCATTCTGTTTTACCGGTCTGGCACGCAGCTACCGAGCCGAGGGAGAGGACGAGTGCTACCAAACAGCTATCGAGACTGCTAGCAAACCCTACCCTGAGAGCTTGGTTGAGATGATGGCTGCAGAATCGGTCTTCGTCCAACACAAGGTATTGAGGATGGAAATGACTGAAGTAAGAGTCGGCTAGGTCACGCAATTGTGCCAGTGACAGGTTGGATAGCCAATCTTGACTTTGTGAGGAAGTTCCAGCAAGGCACCGTGGGGGTGCCCTAGTTCTGCGCATCTTGGGCCGCTGGATCTCCAATGCGACTGGATATCGTAGATCAAGCTCCGTCAGAGTGAGTGGAGAGCAAGGCCATGATAGGAGATGCTGCGGTGCCGTGTAGTGCTTTTCCGGGATGGCGAGTTCCTGCCGGATCTGGACCGATCCCAGTTTTGAGGGCGAAAACACACTCATCGGGCTTACTACTTCCATCGCGTCAGAGTTCTCGGCCGTCGTGAAGTGATGGCCATGTGAACGCGGCTGCTCATCTGTAGTGGTCCGAGGATCCTGTGCATTCTCCATCAGAGTATCCAGCTTGGCTTCCATGCGCTTCAGTGTGTCATTCAACTCTGTTACAGAGAGATTCTTCCTTGGCAAAATTTAGTTGACTGGAATACCACATTGGGACGAGCTTACTGCATTACTTTGATGTGATGGTTTCAATATATGCACATTGCAGCCCCAACCTTCTACATCGCCCGCAGAAAGGTTTGGCTTCATCACAACTTCGTCATCCTCTCTCGACATGGCGCGCAGACCTTGAGAGGTCATTAGCAACGCCCGTAATTTCCGACTTGTGATACTTGCATTAAGCGCTTGGCGACGCGGTGCGTTACTTGAGAGCCGAGTTCGCGTCGTTTCGGAGTCCATATTAGTCCGGTGTTCCGGTCGTACGGAAGACGGCGGTGCAGGCTTGGGGGGTTTGGGGCCATTGCTGCTTAAATGCAGTCTGAGGGGTCTGCCAAGACGCCGCAGATGGCGCTGGTCAAGCCCCCGAACAACTGTAGGGCGGAACACACCCGCGCTACCGGAAGAAAGACGGTGGAGGGCCAACAAAAGTTGCAACGAGGCTACAAATATCTAGAAGCATATCTCATTTATCGACAATGGTCACAAAGTTCATCATATTTGATTAGCAGACATGTCAATTGAGACTCTTCACTGTGAGGGCTCTGATGACAGATGAAAGATTCCATTAGCTAAGCTATCCCAGGACCCACCCGGCGCCGGAAACCCCACATGACCCGGTGCCGGATTGCCGAAGCCGCAGGCGAAAATAAGATCGTAATATATGCGTTTTATCCTTATTCACATTTTTGGAATATTTACAGAGAACGGTCGTTGCGCTTATGCCGGGCATCCGCTGGCGGGGAAGTTGCAGCTGCTGGTCTTGCCACCTCCCGTGATCTTGGTGTTCTCAAAGGTGATGTCGGAGCAGCTGCCGTCACCGCAGAGGATGTAGTAGTTGTAGGCGTCGCTGGTGGCAGTTCCGGTCACGTCGATGAAGTGGATGCCAGAGATCTTGACACCGTTGGTGGGGGTGCCGGTCGGGCCACCGTTGAGGTAGTCCTGCTGGACATCAATACCGTAGGTGTCGATATCGGTGAGGGTGATGTTCTTGTACGTGACGTTGTTGATCTCGCCGGTGGTGCCGGAGTTTGACTTGATACGGCAGCCGTTGGAGCTCTTAACGATCTGGGAGTTGGAGAAGGTAACACCGTCAACGGCGTTGTTGCTCTTGCCACCGATGGAGCCGATGCTGAGGCCGTGACCTCCGTAGCAGTACAGGTTGTTGACAGTGATATTGGTTCCACTGGTGACGGCGACGCAGTCATCCTGGTTGTGGACCTTGATGTTCTCCAGCAGGACGTTGTCACTGGAGGAGATATCGAAGCCGTCACTGTTGTGGGCGGCTGCCTTGCTGCCGCTCTTAGCGTTGGGCGCATCACCAGCAGAGTTGTCGAGGACGAGGCCGGAAACGGTCAGGCCCTGGTTGCCGGTCATGGAGAAGCAGTGGACGGGCCAGTTCTTGATGTTCAGGTTGGTGATCTTGGCGTTGGTGGTCTTCTTGACAACAACGAAGTGGTTGGGCCTATTGTCACTGGTTAGTTCCGATTTTTCATTTGCCCTGAGAGAGCAGCCACTCACTTGTCGACACCACCGTTGGATCCAAGACCGTCCCAGTAAGCGGCACCATTGCCCTCAATCACATGCCCGGGAGCGCCAGTAACAACAATGTTGGTGCCGGAGATGATGATGGGGTCGAAGCTGCTGTCGACAGTGTCGGCAAAAGTCTGAGCGCGGAGTTAGTACCCGATCTTTTGTCTAGTCGCAAGTCGGAAAACATACGGTTGTGCCGTCGAATGTGACCTTGGTGCCCGTCTGAAGCTTGGAGAGATCGATAGCACCGTTGGAGGGCGCAGCAATGTTAGAGAGCGTGATGTCGGTGCACGTCTTGACAGCATTCGCAATGTCGTCGTACTTGGTGACAACACAGCCGGTCTAAAGTGGGCGAGAAACGGGTCAGTCAGATTGCCGGGTCTTGGCGCGCATCGGATGGATCACGGATCGCATAGGGCTGACTTACGGCGTTGCTTGCGCGAGCAACGGTGTTGGTGTAACGAATGTGAGGTGCGCGGTGGCCATAAGGAGACGCCGCTACCAGAGCGACGTTCAGCAGAGCCGCAGCAGGGGCAGTAAACTTGACCATCTTGGCGTGGAGAAAATAGAACAACGGTAGTGAAATCGAACAAAGAAGTGAGTGGTGGTGAGAATCGAAGACTGGCTGGGGAAACAAACGCCAAGTCGGGCGCCAAGGTAATGTGTTATATATCTTTCAGATCCAGTCTTGGCGAGCGCAACGGAAGAAGAATATGGCTTCACTGATTGGAGGACATTTGCAGACCCTCATCCGTCCGAACGGGTGAACAAGACATTTTGGGAATGACTGGCATGCCTGGCAACGCGGCTCAGTGGATATTGCAGGGCTTTGTTCGGTTGGATCCATCCGGAATCAACGAACGGGCTCTGTCGATATGACTTGAAATGGCCAACATCATATGTCAAGGTTTGTTTAGTGCGTCGGCCGTTGCACCGATCAGGCGCTTGTTCTTGAACAAGAAGGATTTTGTGGGGGTGAAGACCTGCATCTTTCTAATGACAGCGTTTCATGTCAATCAGGAACATGACATCGGCCAACGAGCGTTGTTAGAGCCCGAGTTGATATGCGGGAGAACTTGCTATCTTCTGCCCGGTTGAGGCGCACCAGTTGAGGCGCACCACCCCTTATTCTCTCCCGTCTCCACCGACTAATCTCTTTGAGTCAGGGGCGCGTTGAAGCAACCGGTCGAGGGCCCGAAAGCAGGGACCCCCATCCGTTTTCACAAATCTGCAATCAACGTGACTCGCTACAGAGGTTGAAGCCGGGATGTGGGACAAGCGTTGTTGAAGCCTCAAAGGCCAGTTGAGGTGTTGTAATTCATCAATAAGCGCGGTCTCAGCAAGTCATGTTTGCGATGACGAACTTTGGTCATCTAATGAAGTTTGCGCCAAAGTCTGAAGGTTCAAGACGCATGGCACTTGAGAGGTATCGGGACGTTTAACGTCCGACATCTTTGCAAGACCATTGGCCCGAATCAAGCATTGACTTCCCAGCAGGCCACGCGCACCGCCTCAGCTTCGTCCAGTCATGGTCTCTGCGTTTTGGGGCAACGCTCTTTTTGTTTCGTTTCTCCGGGAAGTCTAACGATCCGTTCTTCTCGCTGGTGGACAAATTTTAAGCGACGTGCTACTTGCAAAAAATGCTCAGCCGAACGGTGCTTAAGATGTGCCTGGCAATTGAACGGGTTTGGAAATTCCCATTTTGAGACTGGAAGAAAAAGTTGCCAACGAAAGATCAGTCAGCAATCATCCGAAACATGTCCAGATGAGCATTGGTGTTGGAGATGAGAGCAGATGAAAAGGATGAATGACGTAAATTGATCTCAGTGACACAGCTCTGCCCCGCAGTCAGAAGAATTTCAACAATCCGAGGCAGAATTGCCTCGGATTGAGGGTATAATCTGCCGGCAGAAATTTGAGTTTAGAGTTAGGGGCACGAAGTTTGCATGAACTCTACTCTTATTGAAAACAAAGAACATAACACAGGCCATGTGTCTGTAGTGAGCGTATTATAATTGACTTTGTCTACCTGTTGCGGAGAAGCTCTTGGGGAAGCTTTGGCCAAACATCAGGAGCTTAGACTTTTGCTTCTTGCACCTCTCAACCTTGAACTGCATTGGTGAGTATGGAATAAGTTAACCATGACTCAACAGACAATGACAAGTCGGTTTTCGGCACAGTTCACAAGTCGTTTGATGAAGGCTGCGTTGCGCTATGTTCAGAACCAGTTGTTCAGTCTCCTACGAGACTATCATTATTCATCGATATATCTATACAAGCAGCGAATGTCCTGTCGGGTTGTTTCCCGTGCTTCGTTGATACCTAGTAGTGTTCAGTATCCATTGCAGCAAAGTCAACCTTGAATTTACGAAAAAGAAAAACCGGGATGTATCACTCTGAGCGAGTAGGAACTTAGTCAGAAAAGTTGTCTTAAGCCTCGCTAATGCCTGCTTCTAGGAACATCTCTTTTGGAATACCGATAAAGCTTACTTACCTAGCAAACTCTGAAATATTGATGTCCACTAAGCAACGATATTGAGTTACGGGAAAGGCCTCAAGACCTAGTTCACGCTCACGAGGGAGGTCCATCAAAGAAGAGAAAAGAAACTTTATGCTTGCATCTAAGAGACATCTTTCGTGGAAGAATTGTGAGTTGCACACAGCTACGGCCAAGGAAGCCGCTGACAGGGAGAAGGCCCTCGGTACCGAGAACTACAAGAAGCGCAACTTTGACGAGGCTATCGCACACTACTACAAGGCGTGGGAGCTGCACAAGGACACTTGTATCTGAGAAATGCTCTGCCGCCTCAGTTGATCTCAATGCCAACCTTGCCCTGATGCTTTCCTGACTGCAGATACTCGTACGCCTCTTTCAGCTGTTCCAGATTAAAGACCTTGGGATCAATGACAGGGCGCAGCTTGTCCAAGTCGGCTTCGACGGCCCGGCACATCTCTTCGAGCTGCAGCCGACTGCCGCACCAGACTCCGCGAACGGTAACTAGACTCAGCCACGAATCCAAAAACGTTGGCATGTCATGCTCAGGCGGACTACCGCCAGCAAACCCTGTGGTGATTATAGTGCCGTCGAGTCTACAACTAAGGAGACTCTGTCTTAGAGTCGTTGGTCTTGCAACTTCGACGACCAAATCAACGCCAATGCCTCCGGTCAGCTTTTTGGCCTCTTTCCCCCACTCAATCGTCTCGCGATAGTTGATGATATGGTCAACTCCGAGCTTTTCGAGAAGTCTCGCCTTCTCGGCTGAGCTAGTGGTGGCAATGACCCTCGCTCCAACAGCTTTGGCGAATCGAATGGCGAAGATGCTGACGCCCCCCGTGCCCTGCGTGAGGACCCATTGCCCAGCTGAGACTTGCTTACCAGGTAATCCAAAAAGGGCGTTCCAGGCAGTAACGCCGGCACAAGTCAGGGCTGCGCCTTCAATGAAGCTCAAGCCCTGGGGTAGTGGAACGAGTCCCTGCTCGCTGAAGGCCCCAATGGTGCGGAAAGTGCCATCGAGTACAGCACCGAGTCCAGACTTTGGAAGGTCGTCGGTGAGCGGGCCTGCGATGTATCTCTGAGCAAGTGCCGTGAGCACTTTATCGCCTGGTTTGAATCGAGTTACATGCTTGCCGACAGCTACTACAGTGCCTGCGCCGTCAGATCCGGGAACAACATCTGGTTTGACGTCCCAAGGGTATCTGCCCTCAATTATGGTGAGATCTCGGTACTATTGGCAAGGTCAGTCGACTGGAATATACACCAAACGAGAACGAGTACTCACGTTCAGGGTGGCGCCTTGTACTAAGGTAGGAGTAAAATTTAGTCACGTACAAGGGCAATGAAAGTGTCGGAACGGCAAGGCTGATAAGGAGCAATGGGCAGGTATCGTGGGCTGGCTGGCGCCTGCGCTGGGCGAAGTGGGACAACCGGCTTAGTCATCACGGCCGGTTAAGGTGGGGCAACCACACAGGCCGTCCCCACCTACTTCGATCGGCCCCTGCCCACAATGTAAATAGGAAGAACAACAACAGAAATTATCACGGACATCGACGTGATTGTTGCCGAAGATACATCCTCATGAGGAAATGTATCACGCCTGTGATACCAACAGAAAGGCAACATGATCAACTAACACTTGACTAGGACCTGGTGTGGAGGCAATACTACTGTATTGGATCTGATGATGATGAAGGGAAAAGCTGAGCGCTGGCTGGGCTGGATATCTGGGCAAGGTGTAGGTGGGGCAGCTCCGAGATGTGAAGGAGCTGCCTCACGTGACCCACCTGCACCTGCCACACCTGGCTGTCACCAACCTCTGGAGACTCTTGATCCGAGATCTGCAGAGAATCTAAGCCCTTCTCGCCGACAACTCTCCATTGCCTGCTCGTTTTGGGGATTGCTTGTGTCATGGTGTTCGGGTGTTTCCGGTAGGTCGATACAACTTTAGCACGGAGAACCTGAGATGTTCATCAAGTGCTTCCTCACGATCGTCTCTGTGTCGAATTTCTCGGAGGTGAGACTACACTGTGCTCTTCCAACAATTTCCCCAACTTATATATAATCAGGAGCAGGCTGCAGAACTCACAAGATCCATAACCATTAGGTCTAGCTGTGGGCTTAGTGACAAATGGAACTCTCAGGCGGTGGTTTGCTGATTCATAAGCACTAAGGGACTTGAGGCCGTGGCCATTGCCCATGGGGATTACAATTGTGATTAGACATGATAACGTTACATGCAATGGCGTAATTGTATCCCATCAACTGCGGATCTCCAATAATCTCTGAAGCTGATCTTGTATAGGTATTCTGATTAGATGCGTCAGAAACAATCGAGACAGAATCGTTCCGACAGATGTAGGAATAAGAAGTGATTTGGCACTATCCTCACGTAATACGTCAAGTACGTGCACATGTACCGATATCATGCCGTAAGGTAGGTAGGTGATGGGATAGCAAACCTTAGGAATACTTCTGAACTGAATCTGCGTTTGCTGTTTCGACCTCCATTTAGCACTGCTTGAGCAGTTTAGGTGCACGCGGCGTGACGGATGCCATTACTAATTTGCTACAGGACTAGCTAGTGATACGCAAGTTACAATCATTGTCTCTACAGGCGCATGATGAGACCTCCAGCAATAGAATGCTGCGAGACGCCATATCGGCCTGTCTGAAGACTCCAGGTCAAGTTCCCTGTGCAGAAGAATTTGCACCCATCAATGTAGGTCTTGAGACTAGGCGCCAATGATGCATCATCAGCAAACTTGGCCATCAGACACGCGGCGGCATGGTTGAAGTCATTTATTGCTTTTCGATCATTTCCGTGACCATGGAGACTGCAATATCAAGACTTTCTGTTTCTCGAAAGAGTAAGGGCACAATGCTCGCGACCGTTTGCTGCGCCTTCGTGCTAAGAGTAAGCAAACGTGCCGCACTGGAAAAAGAAAAAGAGAGAAAGTGTTGAAGATGGCTTACTATCTCTTTCTTGAGAGAGAGGAGGTCATTGACGCTGGTTGTCTCCGTTAGTGCTCTGATATACACGCTTCGATCTAAGTAAGCAAGCAACCTACGCCCATACGAGAACGTTCGCCTGGTCCCACAACGTCTTCATTCCCGCTTCTCTGAGGACTTCGACTGGGAAAGAGATGCCGAAAGCGTAGCTAGTAAGGTCAGTTCATGTGATAGTACTCCGTCGTAGACGTATACGGAGGCGCATACTCGATTAAGCAGACGTTAACTGCCCCTGTGCCCATCCTAGTTGCAATGTACTCTCCTGTGGATGGGAGATTTGGGCTAAGCCAACGCTGTTGCTCTGTTTCGGAAGTCTCTATGAAGAACTCGATTTCATCGAAAAGAATCTGTCCATGGTCTGATTGATGCTCAAGTTAGCCAGATATACCGACTACTTGGTATGAGAGATACGGACTGATGGAGGCTTGGACTAAGACTTACCACGGTCATAAGCCTCACATACTGTATCACCAATCACCTTGGAAAAAAGGTCATGATATCATTCCCTAGGACTTCATGGCAGTCATCGCTGTCGGAAAGTTTGAGGCAGTGTTGCACGTAGTCGAGGGTCTCGCCGGAAAGCTTGTGCGGCTCGAAGATTGTCGTGCAACAAACTTGGGCTTCTGCTGATGAGCTACCTTACCCGGCATAGTAAGGCAAATATACAGTTGTACAACCACGCCTCACACGCTCTGTCAAAGAAAGGAGAAGGACTCATCTCCGAAACATACCCAGCCGAAGATCCACGGGTGTCTAAGAGTGGGATCCAAACTGGAGTCATGCCTCACTTGTCGGGCGACTTCCATGTCCTTTTCCGCAGTTGGAAGACACACCTTAATCTGAGAAAAGATATAGGTATGGTAATAGTGTCACTCGCATATTTGGGCGCTATTGCTACTGGATCTCTGCGATTCTATGAGGAAGACAGGGTTCAATCTAGAAAATATTTCTTTGGGTCACTTTTGGGGCGATACGTAGATTTAAAGAAAGCCTTCAGCATTTACGTGTTGGCACTCTTATCAGTAAATACCTAGCACGATGAAACAATCTAATTCGCCGTATAGTCCACTTTTGCGAGGTTCCAACACGTATACCCTGGACTTCGAAATAGGTGTGAGGCCAGTGAAACCTCGTATATAGTTGATTAACAATGACCAGACCCCTGCACCTCTAGTCCTATCGATGAAATGACCTTCCAGCTCACAGCTTGGATGTCGAAGCTGGAACACCCTTTCCGGTATCATCTACTTGATGCTGCCCTTGAGTATTCTGGTACCATGCCTCTGTCCAAATCTGAGAACACCAAATGTCTCATCCACAAGCACTGTTATACTTGGAATTCGCCCGTTGATTTGTCGTCAGGCGTTTTACGCATTCTATGTTTTTCAAACAGGTACCAGGCAAAAGCCAAGCCAAAGGTAAGGGTCATCAGTGGTAGCGATACTTCCAGAAATCTCTCGAGCGCAAGCGCAGATCTCACTTCCACTGTTCCAGGCGAAGTATCTGTGGAGATCTTGCTACCTTAGTCCTCTGAGCCACTGACCCCGACTGATTCATATTTGACTACATCGGTACTGAAGAATGTCTAAGTAAATTGGTCAGCTCTGGATCTTCAATAGCTCGCCCCCCACATGGAATGTTCTTTTTCCACAATCACTTACAGATACAAAGGTAGCTGGTAAATAAAACAGAGTGATCACGGTGATAATACGAACTGCGACTGCTTCCATGCTTGCTCTCTTGGCGAGAATCTCTTGCCGATGAGCTACCTTCTCTTGCCTAGATGCCGTCTGCGCCTGAAGGTTCTGGATAAGCTTTATGATGTCAGCTACAGAGCTGAAAAGGGTATTTGTAGGGCGACTGGCGGGCTACCGAAGCTTCTCTCCGATCGGAAGCCGCTGAAGCGGACTTCTCTATAATCGCCAAAGCGGGCTCCAAAGACGTAAAGGAATTCCACAACGCTTGGCATAACCTGACAGTAGGAGAATATGCGAAGCAAGGCATCTCGGGTTAATTCCATGGGCTGCGTGGATCCGCCCGTCACCAAGAAGCTTTTCCAAAAGATACGTTAGGTGCGGAAATAGATCAAGAGTGGAAAGTCACACATACATGAACCGGCAGTCCGGCTCTGGTTTGATCTCGGGATGCTCTGTTCTTGTTGGGGATTTCCCTGAAGACCCACCTCCGAGCCACCTTTCCAATGCATCTTCGGATCGATGATCTCCTCGAACAACCTCCCCCTGAGGGGAAATATCCCAATATGGAACAAAGATGTCTTCTGTAGTGACGAAAAGATCCTGTTGCTCCTGTCGATTTCCTAGCCTCTTCTGACATAGCTCTAGGAAGTGGCACCCGTAGCGTGCTCGGTCGATCAAGTTGAGAGGATAGTTGCTATGCGATCTGCATGATTTCTCGAATAGAGAGGGTATACACATCTGGTGTTCCATAGTTTTGGTACGAAATTTCGTTACAAGAATCGAGTAGATATGCGGGAATTGATGTCATCTCCTATGCTGAAGTCGTATGGTCTCTTTCTAGGTGTCTAGTGAAAGAAAGCTCCTCCCTTTCTTGTGCGACAATGAGGTATGATCTTAAATACGATAGCTTAAGTACTTATTGAGTCGACATCGCCACATGTAATCGCCGAAGAGTGCCTTGCTTTCTTTCCTGGGTTTCTCGGGCGTTCGCTTCCCGTGGTTGCTGTGTGACCCAAGTCTACAAGGCGTGACAAATGCCGGTATCACAGAAGTGTATCACAGGGAAGAACATTCTCCAACTAGGGGCTTGGTGTCAATCATTCGTCAACAAAGCCTCGTTTTGCATTTCAGTGTGTGCGTATAGCTCTAACTAGAGTGGCCATGACATTTTACACCACCTCGACCAGTTTCTCGGGGTTTATTGGTCAGAGCATCAGGCTGGTGGCGTATGTAAAGTGCTCAATAATGTTTCGCTAGCTGTAACACGAAGCTGCGGATTACTGCCACCAACATTTCTCAGCCTGCATCTCTCCTCTCAAAAAAGTGAGATCGTTCGTCGATTGTCCAAATGGTCGTTTCCTAGGTTGCCCCTGTTCAAAACGTCGGCGTGTTATCTCTACGTGCTTCAATCGTGGCGTCGAATGTTTGCTGACCTACCTGGACCGGAAGACACCAATCGGCACGACATTTGCCGATCTGGTGATGAACCCGAAGGTTATTCCAGAGCCTAGAAGGTTTGAGCCCGAGAGATGCCTCAAGTCTCATCCTCTTTACGCCCAGAGCACGAAATCCTTCTTCCCCTTTAGACGCGGACATCGTAATTGCATACGAGTAGGTCTCAAGTACGTTGACTCCTCATTTCAACAGCAGACCTGAGCAAACATGCACTAATTATTATGCGCCGCCAAGTCTTGTTTGGGCAGAGATGTATCTTGCAATTGCAAAGGTTCTGCGTCGATTCGATCTGGAATTATACAATGTCATCAGAGAAAGAGACATTGACCACCATCGTGACTGCTTTCTGGGCGAGCCTCGAGATGATACGAAAGGTGTTCGGGTCAAGGTTCTTCAGCAGCTGGACTGAATATGGCAGGGTAACAATGATCGGCGCAAGGCGGGTGCGCTTCGAATCCAGTGTGCATGGATAGCCGGGAGAGTCAAGAACAGCCGTTGTAGATGGGGTCTTTTCATCATTATTTCGTTGCACGTCCTTCTCCATTTCAAGTGTCACTGTCTCATCGGAAGCTCAATGCAGTGCCAGTTGGTGTCAAAACGTGGTCACGATGTCTCAACTCTTGAGCAGTAGAAGTTAGAACGAGGACTGGTATTCCGCGACCACTTTAAGCCCAATCTGGCCGAATAAGTGGGTCTATACGTGACGGCAGCACCCAGAGGCAGTCACGCACGGACGCGCTTACCCTCTGTTCTGCACCTTCCTTTACGTGCCCAAATATACATGTTTTTTTTACCCAAAATAACCACATTTCTTTCCGATTTCCGAAATAGAAAAAGCACCCCGAAATGCACTCTAATAAGCGCGCTTTAAATGTATATTTTCCGATCGAAAAATTTATTTAAAATGGTCTTGTTTGGTAGCTACTTAGTGAGGGCGAATTGGTACTTGGAGGTGGGCGCGGGATACGAGTCGAGTGGTCGCGGAATACTAGTGCTCGTTAGAACAGTAGCCCTCTGTTTCATCATAGTAGCTTTTGCTTCAATTACGTGAAATAAGGCAGACTAGGAACATTCATCTCCATAGCAATTTCAATCGATGCTTTCCTCGCGCGGCTACTGTCTTCTGATATTCGCGTTCTACCGAGTCAGGGCCGACGCTCACTCGGTCATAAGCGTTAGAAATACTGGCATGACAAGTTTCACTGCAAACATGCGAGTTGCGACCTAGGTACGTGCCAAGCAATATCAAGTGGACAAGAAAGTAATCTGCTGTTCAACGCCTCCCAATAATATATAAATCTTGTCGTCTCCAGAACCACTGCCGTTGCTACTCTTCAAGGCCAGCGTTGGTCTCGAGATATTCTTCATGTAATACGGCACGAGGGGGAGGAGTCGTTCTTCCCCGTGCTGTCCGCGCTGACCATCCGGGCGACGACCCCCGAAATCGTGGCCGCCCTCGAGAACTTTACGACCATCCAGCACCTGCAGCTAGAGATCTATTCTATACCATGGCCCGCCAGGTGCCCGGCCTGCTGGAGATGGAACTAGGCTTTGGTTGCACATATCCAAACCAGCGGATGATAGTTAGCGCCGTCCAGTATAGTGCTGGAGAAGAAGGGGACTCTGGACTTGTTGCCGGCGGACCATGGTGTCACCTCCTACTTCCATATGTAACCTGTCTAGCACCTGTGAAAGCTGTTATCCTATGTCGTTAGTTGAACTCGGATGCAATTCTCTTTCAAGGTCCTCAGAACCTGGGTGGAACAGCGTCGGGGAAAATAGAAGAGACCATAAAATAGTCGAAACTTTTTCCTAGAATAAGAGAATTGAATGTTCTCAACGCGAATCGGGGAACATTAATCCTTTCAACCGGCCTCAAGCAACATAGCGCTCCGCTCTTATTGCTTCATTCAACCCTTTTGCGAGGCTTTTGTTAGAGACTCTACCGGGAGATTCATTTATCAACCAGGGCGTCTATTCCCAGCAGACTTTGGACGCATCGTACTACACCTGCCTCGTGTGTCTCGAACCCCCCCAAATCTACACCTCTAGCACCACTGCAACTGCATTCAATTCCCATTGACCATGACGACATGCCCAAGGCATATCTTCATCTAAGGTACTTTATGCGCCAAGCCACTCCTCGCCTGTGTATTAACCGGTGACGCTACACAAGTCGAGGAGATATCGGCTCTCACTCGCTCCGCAAAAGTGGAAATGTCGCCCATTACTCACTACACGGCTATGGCTACCCAGCCGTCATAGAGGAAGATGGTTCGTCCACAAATGGATTTCTCTTACGACCACAAACGCATGCGCTCTCACAGCGGAAGAAGCTTGACGACTTTGAAGGCGAAGTTTACCAAATCAATAATGTTCAAGCCATGATCTTGACTCGCGATGGTGCAACAGTGGAGGGCCCGGTTAAAGCGGATATTGTCACGAAATAGGAATAGCACCAGCACTCTGTAATCAGCTCATCACGTGCGTTATCACGTGATTCTCTCATTTGTTCCTATGCACCTTTCCTTGCTCGATTTTATTTGGGTTAAATACAAGCCACTTTTACCACACTTCATATGCCCATTGCTGCGTGCCATAACTCGTGACAGATATCTACCTGTGGAATGGTGACAAAGACTTGGTTTCCGATCAATCTTGGGATTTGGAATGGTTCCTTCATGAGAGACTGGAGGACTGGATTGATCTTTTTTGCGGGAATGGAAATAGTGGGGGATGATGATGATGATTGCGATCTAGGCAAGAAGCTTCTTATTGTTCTCGGAGGCACCCTGGACCTGAACATAGATTGCAAAGCTGTAGTTGGCTCTACTTCAAGCATGGAGTCGATGCCTCGATCGACGGAACAATACAATGAAAACCAACATCCAGATCTCTCATGCATTCCCGCCAATCAATGTGGGCAATTGAATTGAACATCACTGTGAGTAAAATTTACGTCCGTCAAGCTGTAAAATTCCTAGCCGGAATCCGGGGGACGCCGCTCGGCACGGACAACGAAGAGCACGGGCGCAGAGCCCATAAATAGTTATGCCATCAGGCGCTGCACAGAAGAAGTCTAACCTTACTCGGTTCATCTCAGGTGGGCGCTGACTGAAGTGTCTTTGCATTTGCATTCTTCAGCAGACTTTGGAGAATTTTAATGGTAGACTCTTCTACTTCTTCAACTCTTCGCTAAGTGTTTGACTTCTCTAATGATGGGCTGAGAAGTACATGTGTATGGTCTGATTATCTATGGCACCTGAGCGATTTCAATGCTCTCCTTGCTTCAGGGCAGACTACAAGAGTCCGGGGGATCTCTCAGAATGTAACCCAGGATTGGCCAGCGGCAACTTAAGCCTATCGAGCAAGCACTGTTGCGATCCTTGGATCATCGATATTATCGCTTTCGGGTTATAAACTGTGGCGCAATTGGTCCGGATCATATCGGCTGTGATCTCTCCCGCACACTCAGGTCGCATGTACTCGACCCTCTGAACTCCTGGAGCTCCTTTGACCCGTCGACTTCTCGATGAGGGCTCTTGAAGAGATCTGAGGTAACCTATTCAGGACTAGCGGCCGTGGCTCTCACACCAAATCGCATTTACTTTCGTCTCAGGGGTTTGTCTGATCTACGATGTCCCACCGTTAGCTCGCCTGCGGCCCCTAGTCAACTCTGTGACGCCAGGCCCTGGAGTCATTGTTTGAAGTGTCCGTCGCGACCACTCACAGGCCCGTCTTGGATGTTCGAAGGTGCCAAGGCCGAACTGCCAAGTCTCGCAAGCTAACAAGTCTGGCATCCCTCCGCTAGGGTGAGACGAGTGGAAAAAAGCAGGAACCTCTCTGAGCATACTGCAGAGGAAGGTTGTCGTTCGTCCATGTGCTAGACAATTGTGTGTGTGTGTGTGTGTGTGTGTGTGTGTCTGCAAACCAGCACCCCCGAGAGCGAAAAGTATCCGTAGGAATGCCAATGCCGCGTGAGTTATGTGTCCCGTGTGCCACATTTGGATTTTGGCTCAGCAGCCGCACCAGGCGGGAGGATGCTCGACAGGGTCCTCCCAAGACTCTGCACTGACAAGGGATGTCAGAATGGGTTTGTTGTAGGGAAGAAAACGTGCGAACCATGCTACTTTGAGACACCATGGTTCCTCATCATCGTTGGCTGGTCCCCCTCCCTTGGCGCGGTGACAGATGGGACAGGGCATCGGCTAGTTCGTCTTCTCTCTCGCTCTTGGTCTTGGTCGATCTATTCCCATTCTCGTTTCCCATCTCTATTCTTGTCACAGCAATTCTCTTTTTCGTTGCCTCTTCTTTCCTTTACGCTAATTATTTCCCTTCGTCTTCAATCGTTGTCTGCCTCGACGGTGGAGTCTGCTTCTATTCTACTCTTCCCACCTCTTGGTAGCTCTTGGTAGCCAAGGCGTGTTTTGCATTGCGTTGTGTCTGCCGTTTGAAAGGCAACATTTCTTCACGACTTCCCGGTGGGATCTTCAATACCATTCAACCATCAACAGCTTGCTGGATCAGCTTTCTTTTTCGACTTCTCTTCGTTTCTTCTCTTCATTGTCTTTTCCAGCTAGTTGGTTCCTGATCTATACGCTCCTTAACCAACAACCGATTTTCTCTCACCGAAGGACATTTGAGATCGACCATCGAATCCACTGCCGCCACCACGAGACGTCCAACACCCTCCATCAACTCGATCAAGCGCCATTCCGTCAGATAGTTCCCATGTGGCGACGACCGCGATAGCACGCATCACCTTTTCCAGCGCCAGAAATGGCGCTCCTCTCATCCGCTCTTTTGGCTCTTTCACTAGTCACTGGAACCCAAGCATGGCCTCAGCTACCAACCGACGATGGCGTATTCAGCACTCTCATGACACTTCCCGTCATCCCGTATACCGCCACACAAAATCACGATGTCGAAGTAGTCCCGCGCGGGCTCTCCCTCCCCGCCGATGAGGGCGATGAAGTCAGCATGATGATGACGCTGCCAGTGACTTCAAAGTCAAGAAGAAAGAGACGCATACGGGCACCACGCAAAGTTCTACTCGACAATCTTCTCGGCGATGACTTGAAGGCTCTTCCTGCCGCCCCGGTGGTCAAGCCTCCGGTAGTGCGGGGCCTGCCCGTCGATGACAGTGTCGATGTAGACAGCGCTTTTGTCACGCTGCCCGTCATTCACTCTACCAAGCGCGGTGTTTTTAGCAGACAGGTTGAGGCGAAGCTTGCCAACCGTTCTGATGTGGCTTACTACGCCCAACGTGAGCAGCAACTCCCATTGCCTTTACTGATGAGCATATGGAGCATACACTAACTCCGTTATAGTCAACATTGGCACACCCCCTCAGCCAGTCTACGCTCAGCTAGACACCGGCTCATTCGAGCTATGGGTAAACCCAGAGTGCGGGGCCCTCGCTGCTTCTGATCAACGTTTCTGCGAAGCCGTCGGCTTCTACGACACGGCTCGATCATCAACCGCCGTATCGCTACAGACCACCAAAACTCTCCGCTACGGTATCGGCGCCGCAAACATTACCTACGTCCGCGACAGTCTCGCCCTTGCCGGCTCTCGAACGACAATGCAGCAGGTTCAATTTGGCGTCGCCACCAGCTCCGAAGATCAGTTTGCAGGAATTCTGGGCATCGGCTATGGTAACGGCGTCAACACCCGCTATAAGAACCTTGTCGACGAGCTCGCTACACAGGGAGTCACCCGCACCAAGGCTTTTAGCCTCGGACTGGGCTCCAAAGACGAACAGGAAGGAGCAATTGTGTTCGGCGGTATCGATACCTCGAAGTTCTCCGGACCGCTGGCACGCCTCCCGATTCTCCCCGCAGACCAGGCTCCCGACGGTGTTGCCCGGTACTGGGTAAACATGAACTCACTCAGTCTCACTCCACCGAGTCGCCGCGTTCGCATGTACCAAAACAGCTCGATGCCGGTCTTCCTAGACAGTGGCGCTACTCTAACACTGCTACCCGAGGAGCTTGCCGTGCAGGTTGCTACCGACTTTGGCTCACCTGGTCTGGACGCTAACGGATTCTACCCTGTCTCGTGTACTCTTGTCGATCTCAACGGCACAGTCGATTTCGACTTTGATGGCATGAAGATTAAGGTCCCTTACAAGGAGATGATCCGTGAGCTGCGCACCACCCCGCCGACATGCTATCTAGGTATCGCCCCCAACGCGGACTTCACGTTGCTGGGCGATACCTTTTTACGCTCAGCATATGGTAAGTTGATCCTACCCTATCCTTTTAAAGAGATGCCATCCTGACTCACATCGGCAGCCGTCTTCGACTTGGACACCAATGCTGCTTACCTAGCACAATACGTCAACTGCGGCACCAGGACGATGCCCATTAGCCGGCCGGAAGACATTGCAGCTATCCGAGGATTGTGTCCTGCCCCTGCCGGATCTATTGCTGTTCCCATACCACCAGCGACCAATGGCACCACCACCTCACCAGGGACGGGGGCAGGTTCCGGCTCAGGATCTGGCTCGGATGCTGGATCAACCTTGCCCACGAGTCCCGCTCCTGAGATGTCTGGCGTGCCGGCGTCTGATACGATATCATCCACCTCAACGTCAGCACCAAGTACTCTCGCAATTGTCTTGGTAATCGGCTTAGCAGTTATTTTGATGTGAAAAATGGACAGTCGAATGAATTGTTTGGTGTGCATGCGGGCACACTTTTATGAGCATCTTGAGCGGGCAATGTGTGATTTTATGGCGTTTGGAACAGCGTAACTGCCAAACTTTTGATTCTGGCATCATCGGGATGACTTTTATTCACTCGGCGCATAGGATGAGCAGCGAGCATTGTCAAAAAGTCGAGGTTTGAAACAGAGATTAATGTCATGTGCCACATGAACGGCCATTCGAAATATCAGCTAGTCTTGCTCCGTGAAGTGAACTGATTTGACACCTCGCCATTGGATATCTACTTGATCGTAACGGCCCTCTTCTTTGCGCTATTCAAGACATTCATATCTGTGAATGTTGCCAGCCCAACTCGACGGTATACTCCACCGGATGCTTCATCTTCAACCACCATGAGCGCAACGAGCAGCTCAGCGTCTCCGAGCAACGTTTTCCCTAAAAGAAGGTACTCGGTCTCCCTGTCCCCGATCTCAAGCGATACATCAGCTAAATCAGGATATTCTGTTACCCACTCTTCGTCCTCATCAACCATTGACTCGTCCACGTCGTCAAGTGTGAGGATTGGGCACGACAAGACCACGTTGTGCGGTTTGGTACGTTCTTCCAAGAGAGTCATACTCCGGACCTTGGCAAACTCCGTTGTGAGCAAGCCAGTGTACCGGATCCGCCCATTCAGAGAAGCCCAAGACCAACTTGGTGCCCGATTCGACCTCTTCCTTTCCGCATCCCTGTCTGCATCGCAGCCTTTCTTAGACCAAGTCAGCTGTTCGATGAACCATCTTTTCCATAACCCGAAAGTGTTTCCATCTCGCCACAGGCTCTCAAGCTCTATTGTGATGCCCTTCAAGGCGTTTAGCCTGTCGTCAGCTTCACCCAACAAGCGGCGCGAGTACTGCTCAACCACAGTCATCCAGATGTACCTCTGCTCCTCCTCTTGAACCCCAAAAATTGACCCTGCCTCGTCATTGAAAGCCAACCAAGGCAGACTTTCCAACGGTTGCAAGTACTCCAGACCATCACCAGTAACACCCCGCAACTCAATTTCCTTACACTGCCACAGCAGCTCATATTCCGAGAAGAACAACATCCTTGATGAAAGCATGAACTCCTGAAGAACCCACCCGCGTGTGTCTATGACATGCTTGGGTATATGTGTACCACTTCGGAGGTAGACAGTGCCTAGGCCGCTCGACATGGGGATGCGAAATTTGTCCTCAGGCAAGTACGTCCCCTTCATTCCAAGAAACCCATCTTGAGCTTTCGCTGCGGTTCCAGCCGCAATCATGACCGCAGCATTCTTGTAGATCAGAGCCATTTCGCCAATCTCCTTCTCCTTGTCTTGAACGCAATCCTGAATGATGCAGAATGCATCAACCCAGAGATAGCGGAACCCGAACTTTCGCGTGACGACTACCGCATCTCTGACCGTCTGCTCCAAATCGCCCATTCTTATCTCCTCGGTCATGCGGTTGAGAGTAGCTTTTACGAGTTTACCGGGCTGTTCGCCGCCCCAGCAGTAACTCAAGGCGACGTACTTGCCTTCCTCTTCGACGTCATTGACGAAGAGCTTCATAGCGGGCGACTGGACTGTACCAACGTCAATTACTCGTGTCGGCAAAACACTGTCTCGGCCGTAGCGGCATTGGTCATGAGCTTTTCTGCACTCTTCATACAACCGTGAAGCAGCGGAGAACACCTTTTGGCTCTTTACATCTCTCTGCAGAGGTCTCCTGTATACGAAGCCAGCAGCGGAGTCTCCTGCGTTTCTCATCAGACGTTTTCAGTGAATTTTCCGCAGTACATCTGGTACTTGTGGTCACGTACCGTCCTTTGCGTAAGGTAAGATGCTTAAAATAATGTCCCCTGAGGGTAGACTGCCCTCCATGATGTCGATCCATGGTGGTGCAACATTGGAATACTTTGTAGAAGAGCGATTACGCAATGTCAGGGTCTCGTTGCCGGCCCAGATATGTTCATGATGCCTCTTGGATGCAGTACATATGAAGTGGCACAGAGAACACCCACCCGTAGCCGCAGAGCAACATTGCGTATAGGTAGAGTGTTCAAATCCGGTAGTTGAGTTGAGCGCCTTCAGACCCTCTTCCGAAAAGACGAGGAGACATCGGGAGCAATATTTGTCGGTCTTATTTGGCCCCCGAGATCTTTTAGAGCTTGACGAAGAGTCATCCAGCTCAGCTTCAGAACGGCGTCGAGGTTGTGCCGACCTATGCGGCAGAGATACTGACATATCAACGTATTGTAAGACTTAGGGCGCCTAGCTGCCATTCACCGTACCAGGACAACAGAGTAAGACCAGGAATATATGTAATGTCGAGTGGTAATCATGCGCCAACGCGGGAGCGCGGGAACACGCGAGGAAGCGCCCATGGGCGGCCTTCCGCACGTGTGGCTGAGCGTGCATGAAGGCAACCAAGCTAAACACATCATATGCAGGCTGTAGACAACTAGGCTGCCCAACCTTCTTTCTCTTTGGAAGTCGCGCTTCGCCTCGTTAGGCATACTGTCTGTCACCATCCAATCATGAAAGAGAGCCGCAAAAGATGCGGCCAACAACCTGCTCATTCAGGTAGCGCAGGCAACTATCTCCGTGTTGCTGCCGCAGAGAGGCGGCTAGGACATTATGATGCTAGGTCAAAGAAAGCTATGTGTTGCTATATTCTTACGAGACTGGCAGTGTTCTATGATATTGTAGAGAAGAAAATCAATTGGGTATTATTATGAGCAACTATCATGGCGAAGCTCTGCTTCTATACATGATGGCGCTAGGCTCCTGAAGAGATACAACTAAGTGAGATGCCTGCATCGCATCGCAATGACCCCTCGGAGGACCGTAGAAATGAATCATTCAAAAAAATATCACCATCAAGTTCATCAAGACATCAATTCGCACATTTCCCGCAGCGAACCATCACCTCATGACCTCAACATCTCCTCGGCCTTCTTATGACTGATCCATCTCGTCATCAACACCAGGAGGCTCGTCGAACCCAATTGCTGCCAGGTTCTTCTTGACGTTCTGCTGTGATCTCATTTCCTACACCAAGGCAATGTGATTAGCCAAAGAGTTGAAACTATTGACGGCGCGAACCGCTTGCGATGATTACATATAGACAATGCATGCCTCGACTTACCTCTTCTACCGTGTTTTTGATCACGTATCTCGTGACGAGCACCTTTTTACCCTGGCCGAAGCGGATCGCACGGGCGATGGCTTGGTTCTCGACGCTGGGGTTCCACTGCAGCTCGACGATGAACACGCGGTTGGCGCAGGTTAGGTTGAGACTGGTGAAGGGCGGTAGTCAGTATGAATGGTGTGCCTTGGCATGTGAATGAGACAGAGTATGAACACACCCAAAGGCACCTGTGCCAGTCGTCATGATGAGAACCCTCTTCTCCTCGTCCTTTGCAAATTGTCGCAGAATGTCCTGTCTCTGCGACAAGGGACAGTCGCCGTCAATCTTGTGGTACTTAACGCCGACCTTTTCTAGGTGTTTTGCAACTAGGCGGAGTGTTCTCGTCCAGCAAGAAAAGATGATGCTGTTTTCCGAAAATGTTGGTGAGCGTCCCGTTGAGACAAATGCAAAGAGCTGTGATTCTTGTCGGGTGACTTACCTCTTGGTTGTCGAGACGTCGACTTGGACGTCACGGATGAGGGCCTCCATCTTGGTAGAGTATCCCACCGTGTTAAAGTAATCCGCATCGTCCGCGCCTGATGTGGTCTGGGCAGACACGTCAGGTATACCCCCGGCATCCACCGCAGTCCTGTCAACCCTCACCAGCGGAACCGTCGTGGGACCAGCAGAAGAAATCTTGGCCGACTTCATCCAATTGTCACATACGGGACAATGCCGCCCCCGAGAGCCGGAGACCGGGGCCGACACCGACGCCGCCGACGACAAGTCCGAGTCCTCGAGACACTCTGAGCAAAACACGTGTGTGCACTGCTCCTCAAACTCGTTGCGCAGCCTGCTGGACCCGAGGATAGGCATAGGCTGGTGACACCCATCGCACGTAATCTCGGCGTTCTGCCCCAGCGCCGAGACGGCGGCCTCGCGCTCGTCGAGGCGGTAGCTCCGCCGGTGCCAGGAGAAGGGCTTCTGGAAGGTACCGTGGTTGCAGAAGATGCGCATCTGGAGGTTGGCCTGGAAGAGACCGAACTTGCTGCTCTTTTCGACCTCGCCTACTTTCTGCTTGATGGTGCGCATGAGAATTTTCTTGGTCTTGTCGTACTGCTGCTGCTCCTCGGGGCTGAACCTGAGGTCAACGATGCGTTCCTCGAGGCCGGGGAGGTCGAGGAGGTCTTTTGTGCGGCGAAGGCAGAGGGATTCCATGAGGGTGACGAGACGCTCTTTTACCTTATCGAGGTTTTCCGAGTGTTGCTCAAAAGGCACCTCGATGTAGCGGCGGAAGGCGGCTGGATTGTCAAAGGGGGTTGCGCGGATGAAGGCGAAGAGGGCGCCAATGTCGGCGAGTTTGTTCTGGATGGGCGTACCGGTGAGGCACCAGCGGGAGTTTGCGTGGAGCGATCTGCAGGCTTGGTAGAATGTTGTTGCTGGGCGGCGGATGATGTGCGCTGTGTTGTGATCTGTCAGTTTGTTGTCTACGATGTAGAGATGGAGAGGGTATTGCAAGTAACGGGAGGAAAGCTTGCCTTCATCGAGGACCACTCGGTACCAGCCAATCTTGTGCAGGATAGACGATTTCTTATCAAATTCTGCAGATAGTGTGTTGTAGGTTGTCACGATGACATCGGAGCCCTTGATCTTGTCGAGGTCCTTCTCTCGATTCGGACCGTGGTACTTGACATGCGTCAGGCTCCCATCCACGTGCCTGTCAGGTTGTTAGACGTGAGAGACCAAATTGGTGGTCGCGGTTATAGTTACTTACTTCTCAATTTCATTTGTCCAATTGTAAATGAGTACTAGTCATGGTTAGTTTTCGGACTCGTCAAGGGGGTTGGGAGGAATAGGCTGAGCGTTTTCTTGGAGACTCACGAGCAGATGATACCACTACGAGGGTGGACCCGGAGTAGTGCAGGTCCTTGTTCTTCTCCCCGTTCATGTCTTCGTCGACGGCCCAGGTACGGGCGTCGTCGAGAGTCTTGACGATGAGCGAGAGGATGGATAAAGATTTACCCATGCCCATCTCATCTGCAAGAATGCCACCGCCCCTCTCGTCCGGCTGGATCTTTTGCTTCACGTTTGTGATCTTGTGGCGGTACCTGGGTGATACCGATTAGAGTGATATCTAGTGATCCACAAGTTTTGAGAAACATACCATTCTTGTCCTTCTACCGTCACTGGGTACCAGAGTCTATAATTTGGATGAATGTCACCAGACTCCCGTTCCAACATAAACGCGAGCGCCTCCTGTTGGTGCCTGCGGACGACTTAGCATAACACACTCAGAAGAGGGTGTGATCAGTGATAGACAGAAGGTAGACGTTACCCTAGCAGGTCATTCTTCAATCGCTTGTCTCCGAGTTCTCGGTTGAAGTGGCGCTTGTTCTTAATCGAGTCATACACCTCAATCATCATCCGCCTTAACTTCTCTTCCCGCGGTTGCCGCCCAGCCGGTTGGCCGCTGTTGACCTCGTTGATGGTATGCTCGGGCATCGCCTCGCCGCCCTGAATCTTGAGAACATGCGGGTTCTCATAAGAATGCTCTCGGCGCGCATGGTCCGACTTTTGCAGCCAGAGCTTTCCCTCGGTCAGCTTGTCGCCGACGCTCTTCGCGGCGCGGCGCGGGCCGTAGACGTTGATGTCAACTTTGACCATGGCCTCGACAGGCTTCTTGGCGCGGCCGATGGTCTCACGGAGCGTCCTGGTCGGGGCGATGGGCTCAAACTCGACGTGAGAGTCTGGACTGAGCAGTCGGGCGAGGGCCTTGCCGGGCCCGGAGCGGAGGTAGCCGAATTCCGTAGTATTGTCGTCCTTAAAGGAGAGGCAGATGTGTTCTTGTGAATCGGTGAGAGTGAAGCGTTGGTAGGCTGTCTTGCCTGGGGCTGAGGCTTGGCTGGACTCGCGCAGTTTGGTGTCGATGACGGCCATGTCACCTATTAATTTGACGTCTACATTGTAAAGCTATGACTGATGAGTCGGGGTTGTCCTTTACATCATCTTGAGAGAGAAGAGGAAGGAGAAACAAGACTGTATGTCTAGATGACCAAGAGACTTGATGAAATGAGTTTATGTCTTACCATGCCGTAGCAGACCTTGTCGGCTTCGTCCTCGCCCGCCGTCGACGAACATGAGTCCGAACCTGCGATGCTGGAATCGGGGAAGAGTGAGGGCGAGTGTGTTACAGGCAAAGAATCTTGTGACGATCCGGAGCTCTGGGGTGAGCTGTACGTCCCCTGCGCAGGAGAGTGTGCGATAGTATTGCGACCCCATATTTCCAGGTCGGTCCCGAAGTCGTAGGGCGCGAGCTCGGTTCCATCACCGAGATTGAGGGCCCCTAATTGATCACCGACGCTCTGGCCAAAGAGAAGACTGTCGAACATGGCATTCATGGAAGGGTGGTCCTCGATTACGGGAACATCCTCTTGGCCGCCCTGGTTGGTGTAGTCAAAGCTTTGAAAGGGGGTATGGCGTGGATGATATCCGGGGTCCGAGTAGTCTTGGAAGCCGCCTTGGTAGGTTGGCGTGATGGAGCCGTACGAGGAGACGGACGACGGGTCGGGATAGTGGAGATCCTCATCTTCCTCGTTGAGAAGTCTCTTTAGCGACGACATGACGGCTAGGGGGTATCGGAGACTCAAGGTAGTTTACTAAGTCAGTCTGTCGATGAGTGATTGAGACTAAAGTCCTTTTTCGGAGTTGATTCCGGAACTGGAGGTTAGTGTGTTCAAAGCTAGTGAAAGCTTCGAATGACTTCAGTTGAATGAACGGACGGTTGTCGAGTCTATCTCGCAAACGGGTCGATCAATGTTTTCCCACTGTCAAGTGCTTCTTCTCATGCAGCCAGTGCCTTGAGGAACATGATGAGGCTCTCTGCGGCAAAGCAAAAGGCGCCGGGCGAACCATTTTTGACCACATGATGGTCGGTGACGTGAGGCAATCGAAGAGGTTACCGTTTGCTGTGCAGTCTCCCTCCTTGAGGCGCAGTGCGCGGACGATGATGAAGGCGATCGTGCTTCCCGTTGGTGGTTCGCACTTCGCCGAAGACTTGTAGCTGTGCTCCGGACGCGCACAACCCACACCGCGTACTTTTTCCACTTTCTTAGTGTCGTTGGGGCCTGTGAGGGTCCTTGTGGGCGATTTGGGGGTCCCTAACTGTCCTAACTGTCCTTAGGGTCATTCTCGCACCCGCTTTGCACCGCCCCCGAAGGCCCCCCGGCACCCCGGTTCACCGACGGTTGCTCCGCCCCAACCGCTCGGAGTCCCCCGACCGGGGCATTTTCAAGAGCCTCACTAGCCCGGAATGAGGTCAAATGATGGGGAAATGCCCACCTGCCGATGCTTGTTCTCGAGAATAGACACCGGAGAGGGCTCCGGTCGGTAGGGTTGAAGATGACGTAGATTGACGATGCTCGCGGGATTCCCATGTCGCGGATCGAGTCTTGTGACGCGGGATTTCTCAACTGACGATGTGGACCACTTACCATTAATACACAGCGGAGATATATCGTCAAGACAGAGTAAAGGCAACTCACAGCCGGCTAAGTCGGCTCCAACGGTAAGTCACTGCATATGAGCCAACCAAAGCAAGTCACAAGAGTCGACACTGCTCAACAGCCCTACGAAACAAAAGGGACACTGCAGCAACCAACAGGGCGGAAGGGCAACTCTGCCCCTCACAAGGCGTCCGCGGGGCACGACAATCTTGAGCCAGGCTACGAGACTGCGTGTTGGAAGACACGCGGGAACTCGTGCTAGTAGGTCAGTCGTCAGGGGTAAGATGCAGTGCACAATGCATGTCGAGTGGCTTGTTGTTGGCAGCACAGAGAGAGAGACACATGCAGACAGCCTGACAGCGCGCCAGATACCACTCGCTCTCTCTGCGAATCCGCAGTGACGCACACAGCAACAGACAATAGAACTGCAGAAGAAGAATGTGGCAGTGGCAGTGCTCACTGCCTAGCGCCTCACACATCCCTGGTGCCCCTGTTCTGTTTACTGTGCGGGCCCGACGACCACAAGAAACTATTGGATGCCCCTGTGAAGACGTTGGACTTGGGCAGGGGTTGCTCGGACGGGGTGGTATTCTATTATACGCCTGGCTGCCTCTTTTGCTGTGAACAGCATCAGCCTCAATTCGTATCGACCGCTCTCTCGGTGCAAGCTGTGGACTCTGAACATCAACCCCATTCTCATTCTTCCATTCTCCAAAGACTTTCTTTCCTTCTTGTTCAGCTCTCTCCACTTGGTTCTCTCTCTCACTCCATTTCCCCGCGAGTTTGTTCATGTTTCGTTGTGGTTTGCGCCGCTACATGGTCCACAACAAACTGGGTTTAGTACACGTACCTAGCTTGTGGGAGCCTGAGCCCCCGTAACGGCCGTGAGCAATTCGACACTTGTCCCGGAGCCAGCGCCGAGTTCGCCAAGTCCGCAACTATGGCCCAAGGGTTCGAAGTCTACCGGGTTCCAGACCTCGATGTCGACGTCGAAGTTGCTCTCAGGAAGAGCGCCGATGACTTTAAGGGACTGCTCAATGATATCCATGTCGATAAGATCGAAAAGACTACCTTCTCCGATGTATGCCGAAGTCTTAGCGCTATTCAATTTCAGCAACAAGAGAAGAAGACCTTGATGAATCTCAACAGGATTGAGTTATTCCTTAGCGGCATGCATTCATTACAAGACGTCCTTAGAGGTAGGGGCATGGAAGATGTCGAGGGTATCATGGCGTTTATTTGGGGTCCAATGAGGTTTCTTCTTGAGGTATGGACGCACATCTAGGATTCAACAAACTCAGCGTCGCAAAACTCTCCCATTGCTAACCTACCTTTCCCCAACTCAGACCACCAACGTCAACGACAAGGCATTTGATCACATACTCGACGTTTACCAACGGCTTGGTATCCAGATTCTTCCCCTTGACGAATACAAGCAATTCTTCGCAGAGTCGGTCAATGGCAGAATATGCCTCCTCAATATCTACAAGGACGTCGCCGAGTTCCACAAAACCGCATATAGGTTATTTTCTCTTCGCAGCTCGTGTAAGCTAAATCACTTTATTAATCAGTTGGTTTACTACCTACAATGTGCTTAATGTTGATACTGACAGTGGGAAATACAGTATGGGGTAAGCTATGCAAAGCGACATGGAAAGATCTAGGATCGACCTTCGATCACCTAGCAGCGAGCCTCAAACTTCACGCAGACTTCATTCGAACCCACGGAGATCGATATGCTTTGCGCGTAGACTCGGGCTTCGAATCACCACAAAACAACGCCCTATTCAACAATAACGACTTCCGTCGCAAGTCTCACGAGTACATGGACAGGTGCCGCCAACAATGGAAGGATTTCAGAGATAAAGAAACAGCCAGGAAGAGGAAGCAAAAAGGCAAGGTCCTCAACTGGATCGCCGTGCCTAAAACGCTAGAGAATCTACACAAGAGCTTTGTCGAGAAGAGAGAGCCGTATCCCGAGACAGGACGCTGGCTTTACACCCGGTACGACGAAGTCTCGAACTGGATGCGCGAAGATATTCCCCAAGATTCTGCCCTTTGGGTCCATGGCAAGAGAGGTATGGGCAAGACCGTCTTGTCGTCGCTCGTGGTCACCCGCTTGGAAGAACTCATCAGGACCAAATCCATACCCTCCGACGTGCAGATTTGCTACTTCTACTGCCGCGACGACGACCCTGAGCTGAATACGTACTTTGGAATACTAAGGGGCATCATCCACCAGCTTGTCTCCGCAGTCAGCGTACTCAGCCACGACCCAGACGAGGTGAACGATGAGGAAGATGAGGGTCCAGACCACTGCAGCAACAACAACGGGTTTATACTCCCTCTCTGCGACGACAAGATCTCAAGTAGCGGCGGCTCAACTCTATCGACCGCAGAAGGGTGTCTCTCGCTTATCGAGGCCTTCTTCGAGATCCATCCCCGTCTGTATATCGTCGTGGACGGGCTTGACGAGTGTACTGGCCGCGTGGAGATTCATCAGGCGGTCTCCTTCCTGGTAAGCCAGGTCTCACGTCTTGACGAGATCAATCAGGGACAGCTGCGCGTGCTGTTCATGAGTCAACAGGCCCCCGACGTCAAATCGGCCATGACGAAGCCTACCGTCAGTCCAATCATAGGCGAGGTTGAGCTCAAAGATAACGACAACACGCAGGATATACGGACTTATGTGAGGAGTCGGATGAGCCCAGCAGAGTTAGCCAAAACGCGCCGAACTGTGAGAGGAAGGATCAATCCTCGTGAGGAGTTAATAGTCCCTGGAGACAACTTCAACCTCTTCGAGAGAGAAATACAGCGCATCGAGGAGGAGGTATCAATGCAGAGCGAAGGTTAGCTGCTTGAGGGACGTGTGTTTCGGGACTTAGGCTAACCAGACTGTCAGGGCTCTTCCTTTATGCGGTCCTTGCAGCGGACTATCTATCGAATCAATTCACCAAGGGAGACCTTCTGCAGAAGGTCAAATCAAGAATGCTTCCTGTAGGTATAGCCAAGATGTACGACGACCTGCTGGGGACTCTCAAAGAGAAGATGCTGGACTTGTCTGAGGCCCACTGGGAAAAGGCAAAGTTGCTCCTCGGATGGCTAGCCTGCGCTCATCGCCCGCTCAAATGGCACGAAATACAAGCTATCATTGCTTTCGATCTCGTGGAGAATGAGATAAACTTCGATCTCCGGATGATTCGGAGAGACAACATCAATGACTTTCTCGGCTCGCTGGTCGAGGTCTTACCGGGCGATGAGATCCGGCTCATGCATTCAACCGTCAAGCAGTATGTTGACTTACATCCCCAACGGGAGACCTCGAGAGACTAACTTGGCTACCCTAGACATCTGGTGGGGAGTAGACACATTCACTCGAAATCAGTTCAATGTGATCTCGCCATTCTGTGTCTTCGCTACCTATCCCTGCCCTGCTTTACGGACGAGGAGTACACCCCAGCCGAACGCTATGAACAGATACAACTGGGCTACTTCTCATTCCAAGACTACGCCGTGCCTAAGTGGTACAAACACCTTGAGACCGTCATCGAAGACTGTCATGACATCTTTGCGCCCGATTTCTACGTCGACGCAGAGCAGGGACGGCGGCGTAATTTCGTCCACGACTTCAACGATGCCTTACACAGGTTCACACAAGCCTACGACGCAGACCTCAGAAGTCTGACGGACATACACCAAGAGTTCACGCACGAGCATCTATCAAACTTCATCAACTTACCATTCTACACTAATCTTGTCCGGTTATGGAACCACATCTACACACACCAGAAGGAATCCGTCGACGACCGCAACAAAGCCGGCATCAAACGTCTACAAGACGCCTTCCTATCCCACCGCACAGTCTTGGAAGAGGAATACAAGCCGACTACAATCATGTGCGGACAGGACACGATCGAGACCTACTACGGCCCCAACCAGTTCAAATGCGAACGCACGCTCTGCAAATTCTTCTACGAAGGGTTCAAGACCAAAAAGGACCGAGACTCCCACCACAACCGCCACAACAGACCCTACTCGTGTCGCCTGGAGACGTGCAGCGCGGCGCCCTTTGGCTTCTCGTCCAACAAGGATATGGAGAGGCACATGAGGACGTACCACCCGGATGACAGCGAAGGACAGACGCCCTTTATACAGATGAGCAGGAGGGTTGAGCAGGCCAAGTTCCCGTGCAATATTTGCGGCAAGTGTTTCACGAGGAATATCAACTTGAAGGGACACATGAGGAGCCATTTTGGCGAGAGGCCATTTGCCTGCTCGAATTGCGGAAAGGCGTTTGCGAGGTTGAACGATTGCCGCCGGCATGAGCGGATTCATACCAGGAAAGGTTCCTGAGAAGGTCACTCGGGATATGGCTTGGGGTTAGGGCGTTGGGCGTACAGAGATCTCGACGAGGACTATCGATACGATGGGCCTTTTGAGGTACTCGGGCTTTCAGGTTTCATTGGTATTCAATAACATATCTAATCCACTCTCTCTGAAAGCCTGTTCGTAAGATTATAGGGGAAGCCATCGGGTCAAGTGAAGCTAGTACGTGCAATACGGACGCAAATCGACTTCATCACTATGGGCATATCGAAAGCGTATTGAGGCTTAACCTTGAGAGAAATCAAACTCTCAGAGAATGCTTCATTTATAGCATCGTCTACTCTCGGATCACCTTGAGACAACACCTGTGCTACGGACCACAAGCAATTCTGCAATTGAGAGTCGAGTTTCGCAAAATCGCAAAGGCTGTGGCAAATCCAGCATCATCCTTCAATCCTTCGGGAAGCCTTCAGGATAGACATGCCACAATATCACTATATCAATCATATCAAAGTCCCCCAGAAATTTCAATGACGTTGCGCCATCACTGCACTCGCCCTGGCAGCGACCACCAACGACCGTTGAACCGTCTCTGGGCGCGCGGACACGATGGACGATCACGACAGCGATCAGCGGGTGGCCAGGCCATTCCAACAGATTGTCGAACCCCCTCCCGTGCACTCCCAACTGCCGATAACCTCCGAAGATCACCTTTGGGACCCAAGATGCAGAAGATCAACCCGAGAGAACACAAGGACCCTGGCCTGGAAGATGGAAGAAGGGATCAGATTGCCAACCGCTCGCTTCTCGCATGCGCCACACATTGGTGGGTTTCGACCTTGCCGTAAACTGTCAGGACTGCATGCAGGAATTGAGGAAATAATACTGCATTTCATCCAAACAGCATGATAGCCACCCTCACCCGAACTAACGCCGTGTCGCCGAAATATGCTCTTCTTTCCTTCCAAGAAACTACTCCGTGATGTAGAATGATCGGCGCCGATCGACAGACCGAAGGGCGGCCGGTGAAAACGCTCACGGGCTAGTAGCGTGGCCCGGCGTCGCCACATCCAACCCGTAGTGCGGCCGTCAACTCGGTTCAAAGCAAACCGAATGTCCTGCCAAGAGCCACGCCAGCCCACAAACCCGAAGATGAGGGACGGCCGTTGTGATTTGGAGGCTGGGGAGTAGAACGTGATGATCCAAGCCTGGGACTAAGTGTAACTTCGCGCAAAGGCGTGGCGCCTGCTCGTCTGTCGTCAAAGCCGAAGAACGACTCTGTCGAGCGTGACTGGGTATATTGGCGACGGGCGCTTGCTAGTCTGCGGGACATCGTCGGTCCCCTGAAAAGAAGCGTTTCCCAAGGAAATGTCAAGGGCCAGAACAAAGACCGCCCACCATGACTCAATGTGGCGTGGTTCAAGCCGACGTTGAGAGACGACCGAGTCCAGGAACGGCAGTTTGCCTCTGCTCAAGGCCACCAATGATGACTTCGGGCCAAAGGGCAATGGCGCGGGAATTTCGACCAGTGGCGACTCCCAAACAGTGCTATGCGCCCGACCTTGGCCAGCGACGTTCAAAAGAATCACAATCTTTTCCCTTCTCTGCACAACACAGGGCCCCTTTCTATCTAGCGACGCTCACTACCAGCGGCAAAGAAGAATTATCCGCGACATGGAACGATGGATTGGCATGGCCAAAGTCTGCATGTTCTTTGTGTGAGTGGGTGTGTGGGCCAACAGGCACACCACAAGTCCACAACGGAGCCACGAACGGGTTTGGCTCAAGCAGAGCGAAGTGGCATCAGAGAACCAATCAAGGTGGCCGTGGCGAAAAGCGAAGACTGGCTATGAACTGCTTTTCTGTAACCGAAGTACTTTGGTGTGGCGATTACAGCTCAGCGGTATCCGTATTAAACTGCAAATGCAAAGAGTTTCCTGTCTTGCTGATTATAGACGATCCTACAGAAAGCTGTGACGAAGGTAGCATCAAGCTCAATCGAGGTTCCAGCGCCGCCTCATTGTACGCGCAGTGACGCAAGGACGGCCGGATAGGCGACAGGCTGCCATCTGGTTTAGTGACGCCTACGATGAGACCAAACTGCTGGGTATGTGTAAGGTACCTAGGAGCGGCAGCAGCAGGTGGTATGGTGGTGGTGTGTATATGTGAGTGTAGTGTGCATGAAGTTGTGACGATGAGCCAAGTCGATTCCTCCATCGGATAAGCAACGGTCATCGGATGCCAGACTTATTCCCGAGAGCGTCGACAGCTTTCTTCCCATTTGTTGAGGCCACCCTCGAGCTCCCGGTAATATCGACCATCTGTTGCAGCTAGTTGGAACATGGACGCCCGCCCGTCCAGCGCAGTACGAATTGTGATGGACACGGCATCGAGATACCTCGGCGACTGCGTCTCACGTCCTGGGGAATTCGGAAAGGACGGCAAGTCAACCCAACAAAGCTCCATCAACGACCGCCGGCAGAGGTCCTCCGGCTCCAGATTTCGGATTTATAATGCCAATCACACACATCTAGCAGCGAAATATCCCACATATTCATCCTGAGAGCTTACGGTGGTAGGAAGTCGGGCTTGGCGTTGGTGCGACACTTCGTCTTGATCATTCGCGGCGAAGCAGGCTGAGTCGATTGAACGCTTCATGTGCGCCTTTGAATTTGACTTGGCGTATCGATGAACCAGGAAGAGAGCTGTTCAGCCCTTACGAAACATGTGTCTTTTGCTAAGGTAGTTCCATGATAAGATGGATAAGCCCTGACAAACCAGCAAGCGAAACAAAACTGCGACTTTTCAATCGATGGTAGAGCCGTAGCTCCGGGGCGAGCCCGGAGCACCTACGTCACGAGCACCATGCCCAGCGAATGTCCCCGGCAGACATCCATTCTCTGGGCTTCTGGGCTCTGGCGCACGCATCTTGAATGGTATGCAGGCGAGCGGCGTCGATATCACGCAGAGTTTCTGTCTTTGGGGGTTGGGCAGTACCAGCTACCTCGATTCGGCACCCGAAAGCTTCGAGGGCCAAGAAGCGGACGTCTACCGGATGGCCAGCAATTTCAGGTCGTGTTTCCCATTGCAGCATCATTCCGTGGTGACATACTCTCAAATCCGAGTATCAATCATATCAATTGGCTCAGATGACTGGAGCATAGACTGTAAGGAAGGGACTGATCGGCAAATAGAAGACAAGACTGAATTTGCTCCCTGGCCCAATTCCCGAAGATGCTTGCAAGCCGTGGGTGGTCCAAGAACAGCAAGATACAACTGGAAGAATCTGGGGTAAACAGGGGTGACACGCTGCCGGGGCTAGTACCAGGGGTGTCAGGTGCTCATATTTGGGGGAGGTGGCCGGCTAATACCTTTCGACGGGAGGAATGTCGAAGGAGTGATTCCCTCGCAGTTGGACGGCGTTGTTGCGAAGTGCGACGCCGGCCGTTGGGCCGTAGGCTTGGGGTTCGATTTGGAGAATGCCATGCGTGTGCTAGGGTAGCTGGATGCTTGCGAAGCTGCGGGCTGGCTCGGTTGGAGAAGTACGTCGGCCTGGATTCTCTGTTACTTGATACTTGCCGTGCTGTGTGAGTCTTCGATGGCTGGATTGGCCCGGTAGACAAGCTTGGAGAAGCTTGGAGCTTGATGCCTCTTACTCTTCCGTTCCTTCTACCCACCCACCCACTGATCCATCCATCCATTCCGTCCTGAAAAGTGTGAGCGGATTTGGAGACAGTGTGCGTGGCCTTAGCTGCCATGGAGGGTTCGTCGAACGTGCAGGATGGTGGGAACCTGTGCGTGGTCCAGGAACGCTGGTCCTTCTCTCAGATTTGTCACTGGCGCTCGAGAAACGTTCAACACTTGAGACAGCCGGCGAGGTCGACATGATAGGTTGACGGAATCAAGGGCACACAAACGCAACGAAAGCGGTTGAAGCTGCAGAAAGTCAGTCTCCATATCGGCTGCCGTTCAGCCAGGAAAAAGCCGACAGGCCCAACTGCTCAATGGTGGATGTCCGATGGATGGACGGATGCCCTTTTGCACAGCCTCAAAAAGACGGTACCGATTTTGAAAGACAGGCCAATCCAAGTAATCCAATATCAGGGTGGATCGGCAAAGGACACCAGTCGAGAGTGAGACGAATGAAAAGGCGGTTCATGTTTCAACAAACTGTGATCCGTCGTTGTCCATGTGTGGGCCCTAAATCTCGGCGCACCTGATGCATTGCATTTTTGCAATTGCCTGCACGCCTTGTTTCCAAGACTCCAAACCCAGAATCGACCGGAGATACGCACCCTTACTGTAGTAGAAGCCGTAGCTCACTTGCTTCTCATGTCCCGTCGAGTCGTCAGTCGTCACAAATGTTTACAGTGGACCATTCTGCAACTCCTAACGCAAGTGTTCTCGTTAACTCAGGGGGAGGGGGGCATCCTTCGTCGCTGGGGAAGGGTTGCACTCTGACCTGCGGCTAGGGTAGAGCCCGATACCCCCTCGATGATTAGAGTAATTTGGGGAAAAGTTGGAGAATCGTCTGCAGTCGAGAGAAGGGTGACAGTGCCGAGCCGCGAAGCTATGTCGTACAGACGGTTGATTCGATGCGGCCTTGTCTACAGTCTATCGGAGCAGACGCGACTGTCTTGAAGTGCTAATCTCCGTCAATGAAACTCGACCCAAGCAGCAGCAGCAGCAGCAGCATACTTCGGTTGGCCCTCTCTTGTGAGTGCCCGTCTCTGCTTGGTACTGCCATCGATTGAGATATGGCTGTACCCGTGCCGCTCAAAGATACAGTCTTCTGTTATGGCTTCAACAGTGGCAGAACAAATGTACCCCAAGCTTCGAAGCTTGCAAAGCTGCAAGAGAAATATCCTCTGTTGAGCAAGCTTTCGTGCTCATGCCGGCGGAAGCTCCGCAAGCAACTTCTCAGGATTCGTTGGGAGCTTGTGTGAGCGCCTACCACACCATTGAATCCTTGCAGTCGTTCCACCGTCGTCGAGCAGAGCTAATCCCCATTCCCCACACTATGCCTTAGATACTTAGTGCATGGTACGTGCTGAGATATGCGATGCTTGTCTCTCGATGAACACCAAGCCGGCGGGCGTGGGCCGCGGAAACGCGCAAGAGTTTGTGTTGATGCGAAGATGCAGTTGACAGGCCTCGCGATCGGGAGCACAAGCTGCAATTGTAAGGGCTGAGCTACTTGCAGCAGTTGCTGCTGGACAGGGAGCAACGACGGGTGATGAACAGCCCAGTATACAATCAGGAAATTTATTTAGACTGTAATGGATGGATCCGTTGGCAATTCGATCGTCGTCAGCCAGCCGTGGAGTGTGGCATCTGAAATAAGACACCCAGCCTATTGGTATTCGTTCCTGACGCAGACCGAAAGGCACGTCAGTTGTTTGCGCCGTCGGTGAGAAACCGTGACCACGCTGATCCTCGTTGCTATTGCGGGCCACACTCACCGTCTTCCATCGAGAAGCCCTGGACCTGGCGCGGAAGGGGGAGCTTGTGTCTGAGATAGAATGCCGGCAGCGGTATCCCGTGACGGCTGCCAACACTATCAGAACGCTTGAAGCAACTGGAACTTGCAATCCGTCGATGGACTGGCGCCCGGTAGCTAAAACAATTTGTTCTCAAGCGTGCTACAGCTGCACGTATCATCACGTCCAAGGATGGGATGGCATTGTTGGCTGCGTCCAAGGATAAAATGTCCGTCTCCCCAAGCAGGTAAGCCGGCGTTGAACCTCATATCCCTGAGCTGACAAAGTATCGGAAGAGGTCACAAGGACACCAGACGAGGGTGTGGGACAGGGGTGGCTTGTTAAGCCGTTGATACCCCAAATCGCTAGGCTCGCTGCTGTGCCCTGACCGGTCCGGGCGTCGCCGTGAACAGAGGCGGTAGCGGTAGCGTATCCGTAGCGTGGGCGCTGTCAAGATGTTGGCGGCATCACCGGCGTCAACTACTCGGCCGTTTTCTCTCATCGTCGCAGCAAGATTCGTTTCAACAGTGTGGGCAGGACAACGCAGAGCGACGGGGTCCTTCAATCTCGTATCTTGTGTCGGGCGAGGCGGGCGTGGTAAGCGAGCTTGGGACAAAGTTTCGACAGCTCTGGATTCCGAAGAATATGTTCAATGTCGAGTTCCATCGGAAAGCGCGCGAGAGAGCCCTGCCCAAGTCTGGATACCAGTCGCCGACGGGCTCCCTCAGCATGACATGTCGTTAACAGGAGGTTATTGCGAGGGTTCCATGGAGGAGGGCACAAAAGCCCACCCAAGCGATTCGCCGTTGGACAATGAGGGCGGGTAGCCAAGCCCCTCCATCCATTGACTTGCAGATAGGTAGGAATCGTTGCGTTTTCCCGTCGTCCAATTCCAGTCTGCAACCCTGGAGCTCCACCGACGTAACAGCAACGTGTGAAGGTGTGCGGGCTAAGACCCCGGCCCATGTCGACGAAGCACAGTGAGCTCCGGTCTTAGCCAACACTGTCAGAGGTACATGGAGGACCGAATAGTCGCAAGTACCTGCTCGATAATGTCTCTTTTTTTGTGTGTCTCCGGGACCAAGGCGGCTGGATAAGATCGACGGGCCTCTATGGGTCTCGACTTTGTGCTTTTAGTGTTGGCACCGTTATTAATAGAGTACAGATCGGAAGTTTTTGTGCTTGCTCTGAGTTGTAGCAGGCAAGAATCTGGAAGCTCAATTTCAAGCGGGCGGTATTCGTACGTTGGTGATAGCACGGCTCACACTCCGAATTTTGATCTTGATAAGAGGTTGAGAACCACGGTCCCAAACGGAGTCGAGGCTCGGGCGATGCCCGGTATAGAAAGAACGACTGCGTACAGAGAGTCCAGCCGATCGCTAGCAAGGCACGTAGGACGGTGACATTTCCCGTCACCTCCTTCACGAGAGATGGATACGTCGGCGACGGGATGGAACTCAATTGCCTGACGCAGGGCATACTGGCGTCGATGTTGAGTGATCTCATTTTCCTGTCAGCGCAGCTCGAACGACAGGCGTCCGAAGATGGGAGCCATTTTGACCCATGATAGAGATCCGATATAATCTTTCGAGAGACTGTCAGTCTGTTTCTGTCTTTCGGCCCGCCTCTATGCTCGCTCTCTCTCTTCATGCGTGCTTCGAGGTTGCCATGCAAGGACATGCTTTTGTGCAAAGATCTGAAGCTGTGACGCAGCTTTGGCAGAGTGGAGGGATCTGGATCGCGGGTGCTACCAGGCAGGCCCTGCTAGCTCCGTGTGACTCTTATTCTCGCGATTGAGGCGCCATGGGATTTTCAATGAGTTGGACCCTCTCGTGCCTCTGTCTAGGTGTTTCGGTCTGTGCCATTGGCGCACAATAACGGGCGGCGGGCACATGTGGACATCTGCAGTCAAGCGGAGACAAGTGGCATCAGTGTCTCGCGTTTCTAGACTGCCCATTGATAGCGAGGCAAAGCCGTCATTGTGTGCGCAGGAGGTGAATAATACGGTTGTAGTAAGAGGCCGCCGCCGGCGTCGGACCCTGAGAGGACGGCGTACGCTGCTGACGACTTTGATCGGGTACGGCGACCGATACAGTGAGCACTGGGTCTACAGAACGCCTTCATCCTCGTCCATGAGCCAATATGACAGATTTGGGGAGACATTCGGCAGGCGGGGGGAGTTGAAAAAACTAGAGTACAGCCAGATCGTTCGTTGCCTCATCTCCGTACGCTATTACAGTGTGCGACTACTCCGTACCGCTTCAGTTATGACGATTTGTGCCAACAGGCAGGTTGTCGTATGAATGGCCTTGGAACTGACGCAGTTGTTTGCATTTCGAAGCACGCTGACCGCAGCTCGCACAGGCGGTCGGTCATGCATGCTGGACATTCTGGAATCCCCAGTGGCGGCGGCGACGAGACATTAAGCCGGGTCGGCTGCCTGGCAGGGCGGGAAGTCAGAGAAACCCACTCGCCGTAGCCGAGACGGGTCCATGATTGCTGGATCCGTGTGTATCTGGGCTTCCTGTTTCCCGTAGTGCACCGATAGCCGTATCGGAGATATTGCTGTCAAAGTCGATGGCTGGGCCAAGCTATGGCCTTCTGGTGGACTGAGCAGAAGGTTGGGCCAGGTCAGGATGTGCTCATCTGGCCGATGGAGGGGCAAAGCCGCTTGTGCTGAAGAACTGGTGGTGGTTGTGACTGAGAGTGTGACGGTGGCGACGATTGGTGGTGGAGAAGGGCGTGGAGACCTCGGTGCTTGGGTCGTGGGTGATTCGGTGAGGGAGCGAATGTCCACCTCAGATTGGAGTCTTGGACTGTGACAAGGTGGAGTCTGTGCCCAGGGCTCGAAACGAGAAAAAGGGCTCAGAATGGAGTGACATGACAGCTGGCCGTGATTCAATCATGTGCTTTGGGGATGCGGCGACGGCGTGGGTGGATGCGATGCGAAGCGATGGTTGTTGTTGCGGCCGCCGGTCAAGACTGATTCTCGAAAAGGACAAACCGAGCCACCGAGGACGCCTCAAAGGACAGGCTCAGAGATGCGAACAAGGCAAGAATTTAGGCCCGATAATCAAGGCAACAGGGGTCTTTCCGTTCCATGCTGCGCTTCGAAGGCAGGTGGACACTGGCACTGGACGTGCCTACCTAGGTACGGATATCTTACACAGTAGTAGGTACGGAAGTACGGAGTATCCGGCCCCGGGTAAACCTGGTGGAGCGGGCTCCTTCTTTCGTATCTTAATACTTTGTTTGATATCCCATCACGTGAGAGAACCTTAAGTATGTTCATGGCAAGATGATGAGAGCTGTGAATCGTGCCTTCTCTCGGATGTTGCCCGCGGAAGTGAAGTAAGGTGATAATGGGAAGGCAGCAACTGCCAAATATGAAGCCTTGGGCAAAAGAAAGCTGGTCGTACCTTCTTGCGACTGCAGCACGGGACGACAGAGTGGGCCCTTCCGCACTGTGCTTGGTGGGATCTGAACTGGTGGCACGGTCGCCCAATCATCACTGATAGGTCCCCACTATGTGAGGTACGTGCCACTCCAGCCCGAAGACTGGGAACTCAAAATCTCACGTTGCTTCTCGTCTCAAACACCAAACACCACACAGCATCTTAGCGGACAATAGGTAAGCAGACAACAGGACTTGGAGGTGGGACAAGGTGCTTCTTTCGAGTATTGCCTTACGAATACCTTACCATACCTTACCACACGATCCACGACACAACTACGAACTGCCTTGCATCTGCTCATGCACTCGGCCCTGTCCTGCTGCACCTCGACCTCCAGGCCCTAGACTCTCCCGAGTTCCCTTGGATAGCTAGCTGCACTTGCACATTTCCAAGCATCTACTCGGCCACTACCTATCCATTCGCACTTGCACTTGCGTTGCAGCTCGATGCAGCGCGCTAGCGTGCAAAGAGGCAGGGTGTCGCCATTCTCGCCAGCCACTCACGATGCACCTCACGACAACGCCCTTGCTCCCCCAGTTTCCAACCCAGCACCAGCACCAGCACCAGCACCAGCACCAGCACCAGCACCAGCAGCGGGCTCGCAAATCGATCGACTGATTCTGCTTACGGCACGCCCTTTCAATGGAACTCTCCATCTGCCCTCCTGGTCTTCTGGTCAGTGTCTGTCGACCTGTCGGGATCCGGCCGCTGCTGTGCTCGCACCATCCCAGGTATCATATCGAACAACAACTAATAACAACTTGATCCCATGGCTGTCGACATATTCTTCCGCTTTCACTCACCCTAGGCTTCGACACCGAGCAAGAAACGTACGTTGGGCAATAAACCACTGCCACATGCCGAATCAGAGTTGAGCAACAGTTGAGCACGGATGCTTGTCATTGGACGTCGGCTGGCCCATCAGATACCCGACGCGCTGATGCTGATGCAAGTCGTCTGCACTCTGCAACATGCGAACAGAAACGGGCCTGGTGCAGCAGAAACAAGAAGAAGATGCATGCCATTCGGCCATGGCCCCATCGGCCACCGACGCAGCAATGAATGGAATGAGCGGGTGCTTCAGCCTCCAAAACCCTTCATTTTACCTTGCCTTAGCTTCACGACGGCCTCCATACCTGTCCCGACTGTAGAGGATTGCGAATTATACGGTATTCCTCCCAACTGACCACAACGCTAGGACCAAGGTTGCTAGACTTGTTGACCCTCCTTCAGATTCCCAATGGCACAGGAGGGGAACTCCGTCGATCACCAGAGCGCGCTCGTATTCACACTATGCGCCAGCTTACATGCCCACCCAAGGAACCCAAGCATTAGAGTATCGTCGATTTCCAACGTGGTTTACTCCAGAGTCCGGAAAGTCAGGCACAAACGAACCGCCGACTGATGATGAACCACAGCTGGCCTGACCTCATCTTGCCGCTTCGATGATACCTCGCTCATCATATCCATTGCACTACGGGCTGCTTAACTTGCGCTGGATTGGCTACAACGTGGAAACCCCTACCTCATATACATGCAAGCACACACACCGGATGCCTTGCTGTCTTGGTGCCACCTACAGATCAATACAACTCATCTGTATCCACAAAGGACGAGAAACTTCGGTACCTGCTCTACCCGGCTTTCTTCGCGTGGCCCGAGGTACAAAATAGTGCCGCCGGGCTCTACGGTGGACGATGTACCTACCCAACCCGGCTGACCACGAGGCACGATGTTGGATACGGAGAACCCTGATCAGCGCCTCTTGGTACCAATGTATTCAAATGTCTACCATCTCTCTTCCACTCTGCGTTGCCTTCCAGACGTGTGTCATTTGCAGCCACCGGGACTGGTCTGGTTTTTCTTTTTCCTGCCACGGACGGGCTGAGGTGAAGGTTGCTTTCTTCAGTGCCCCAGAGCTGCCCCTCCAAAAAAGCACGGCCACTTCGTCCTCCGGCTATCGGTCTCGATCTACCTCGGAGTTCTTTGCCATTGGCTGGAGCTGACGGCCGCAATTGTCAGCACGTCGATTCGAGTGAGCGACAGCGGCCTGGCCTGGTCTATCATGTTTCGCATTTCATCGCAATGGCTCTTGTCAGGCAGGGCGGGAACGAAACGAAAGCTGGTAAATCACCTGGGTACACACCAAGCAGCCGCACCAGCAGCTTGTTATACCGCTGAATCCGGTCTGTTGTCAATGCCGAGCAAACCGGACCAGCCAGGCACAGAATGAAAAGAACAAAAAGGGTGTGTTGCTTTGGTCGTACGTATCCGCCGTGCCACGCCAGGCCGGTGTAGGTGTGCGACATCACTCAACTAGTCAACCTAGCTTAGCACTCACACCTCACCGGGTGTCACACACCGTCTTTGCTTCGGATCATATCCTAGCTGAGCACCAGTGGGAAACTCAATTTCACAGCGGACACTCGCCCGGGCCAGGCTTGGCCTGCCTCTGGAACAACCCCGGGCCATGAGATATCCAGCGCGGGATCCTCCATCCAATCCACTTTGCCGCTGAGCCAGCCAACGACAGGCCTGGCATGTCGAGTGATGCGACTGGACGCGGGCTGCTCTGCGTCGACAAGACCTTTGGGTACAGATACTTTGCGCTCCGTGCGGATAAGAGCCATGGACTCTGGAGCCTGAGACGGCACTGGGCAGTTGCTCTATTTCCGAATATCTGCCCTGGCCTCCCGGTACCTTATGCAGATGAATTGTGAGAGAAAGCCATGGCACGGCACGGCAGCTGTCGTGCGGCGACTTTGGCAAAGGCGGGCGGACAACCAACCACAACAGCGGCGACGGGCGATGGACAACGTGACGACCTACTGACGGAGCCCCGGTGAACGGCCGGCAACGAATGGCTTTGACCACGACGCAGAGATACAGCATCTCGGAGCCGCAGGGTATTCTTCAGCATTCACGCTTGCTATTTGTGAGGCAAGCCGTGTTCGCGAGAGCCCAGGATGGGGCTTGTTGGATATCAGCGGGAACGGCTTCGTGCCGATTTACCATGTACAACGACAATGGGCAAAACTCAGTCTGGCCGTCTGATTCCTCTACCACGACCAGCCTTTTACCTCTGGCGCTGTCATTGGCATCAGTTGAATAAGCTCGCATAGGCTCACGCGTCGGGCCCAAGTCTCGCCGCCTTGCCGAGATGTCCGACCCCCCGATACAAGTGTCGCATGTCTATTTCGCCATCGGCCAGTGCCCCGTGCGATAAGCCTGTGCAGTGTATTCATACACTATCCGTACGGCACAGACAGAGGAGCCTTGTTTGCTGATGGATAAGATGGTCTTGTCGTTGAATCGGTATCGCATCTTGAAATCGCCCAGTCCACCACGCACGTCAAACCCCGGCATTAAGCAGGCTGTCTTAAGAGAGAGAACAGACCTTTTGGCGCATGGGAAGTGGTCTCCAGACCCGATTACGTAGGAAACACGGCCGAGCCCATGTCCATGTCCGTATTCACAGCCCTGCCCCCTTTTATCCAAAGTGATTCAGGCTTCGGGCTCCAGGCTCAAGGCCCAAGGTTCCCGATTCCGCGGTGGATTGATTTTATCTTTTTTTGGCGAGGTGGTCCAAGGTCAAAGGATACACAGTCCACAGGAGGGCGCGGCGGGCGCGGCGCGCGCTGCTCTCAGCCTGCAACGGTTCCCCCATGCCAGCCTCCCCTTGTTCCCTCTCAACTGGTGTCCCCCTGACCAGTCTCTGGGGGCTAGCTTGGGCGGGACTGTAGCCATGTAACCTGAAAACGGGAATGAAGCTGTTGGCGGAAAGGCAGGTAATTAGCGGTCCATACAGAGTACAGAAAAGGGACCGTAGCGTAAGCAGACGCTAATTCTTTTGGCAGGGGAATGCAGGACAGCGAGCAGAAAGTATATATGGGATTTCCAGACAAGATGGAACGCAGGACTATTATTACCTTTTCACATCTACAGTGTACGGATAGCTGGCGAAGTATGGCCAGCGAAAGTCTCTTGTAGCATAACTCGGTTCGGTGTAGTGACCAATGACAGGAAATGTGTCAAAGTGCCTCCCTCCGCCTCAGCCTCAGCCCACCGCTTTTCCGCACCAGGCCTTACATCATCTTGCCTCACTACCTTACAGGTTACTACTTGTCATTTTCAATCAGAAACTAGACGTAAGCAACCAGGGAAAAACTGGATGGAATTCAGTATCCGTACGTCCAGCAAGTTTCATGGAGCTTCTTGGAGTCTCCATGGAAGGCAACCTAAGGTAGGCAAGGTGATGCTGCCCCCCCCCGTCCCCCACTACAGCCCGGACGGGGATGTTCAAAAGGCCGCTGATTGGTGACAGACTGGAGCTCTCCAGAGGCATGTACCTGATTAAGGTAGCCATTGGATGAAGAGCAAGAAAGAGAGAAAGGAAACAGGAAGGAATGGTGGACCGGGCCAGAGGTACGACCCATGGAAGTACTTTGTTCTCATTGGGTCAAGTGATGCCGCCGCACTGTGCTCGGGCTACGCCTGCCATGTACAACTGACCTTGCCATCCCAGGCTACCTTACATTTACCTAAGGCAGGGAAGAAAGGGTCGGGTACGTATCTGGGTAGGTAATCCAGAATGGAAGCAAATGCCCACAGCTGTTGCAATAATGCAACAACCGTATGTTTAGGCAGTATACGGAATGATGCTGGAAGTCTTTCCATGAGCAATCCTGGTGAGGCCACCGAGGTTTCTCTCTTTCAATTGCATCTCGCATGTTGGTTTAGGTATCTTCACTGATGGAAATACCTTACCTTACTCCTTGGGATACTTTGGGTCTCTGTACCAAGTAATGGGGAAGGCTGCGACGGGACTACCTAGGTACCTTCGGTATGGTGACTGACGGACAGTGGTGCTTGCTCTCTTTCCCATCCATCAAATCTCCCATCCCGCCGACGGACCCTGCTTTCCCGTTTTGTGGGGCATCTGCGACTTTGTACCAGTCCCCATCCCCGGTCTGCACACAGTATCTCCCGACTGACCGAGGTACTTTGCCTGACGTACCACGAGAAGGTTCCCTGCCCCTCGTCGATGGGTTACCCTTCACGTCCCATCGTCGAAGGTACCTCGCACTAGGTACCCGCCCACACACCCACAACGCACACACACACACTCTCTCGCTCGACATCTGCCTCTGCTCCTGCTCTGGTGGCAGTCCACACACCAACTCCCGTGGTCCTCGCTCTTTCTCTTTCTCATTTTGCCCACAGATGCACCAGGCTGTGGTCTGCGACGAGCGTTTCCCTAACAAGTACCTCAACTCCCCCTTCCCACCATTGCACCATTTGCTCCCCTCCTTTCCCTCCTTCTTTTTTTCTCCCTTCAAGCAACTGCTTCGACCGGTGGGAATTGCTCGTTCGACGAAAGCTTCCAATAGCTCTCTCCAGCCATACGAGGAACAAGACAAGAGAGTGACAAAGGAGAACAAGACAAGACCCGAGGAAACCATTTGCTGGCCTGTCTTCTCTCTTCTTTCTTACCAACTCTCTCCGGCTACCTACTCTTACTCTTACCTACCGGTACTCTCTTCCTCTACGGATACTCTGGGTTGGAATTAGCATGCCAACTTCGGCTTACAACAGCGACTTCTCCCTCTTGTCTTCCTCTCCCTCCTACTAAACGCCGCACCCCGAAACAACCTGGGCGCCTTCCATCACCCCCCGTCTCCAATCCACCCCGCCATCCCTCTCAACCAAAGTCTCTCTCACACACACACACACACACACCACAAACATTCAATAACTCACACGCACACAATCACTCTTTCTCTCTTTCTCTTCCTCTCGTACACTTTCCTATCTGCTCTATCTATCTCTTTTCTCGCTTGTTGCTATTGCGCACTCTCCCGACCGCCGAGCTGCGCCCAAGCCTCCCCCCCAAAAGCAATCCGACCCTTCTTCAACCCACCCAACCAACCTCCCCCTCCACCTCCTTTGCCTTTACGATCACGACGAACGACGATTACGAACTTCCCAAAAAACTATGGCCATGAACGATAGCGAGGTCAAGGTCGAAAAGAACACCAGCATGACTACTCCCGCTTCAGCTCCGGCCGCAGCTGCCGCCAACAACGCTGCCGCTGCCGCAACCACCGAAGACAGTGGTATGAGTCGCACCTCACCTTGCCCACCCCTCCAAAAACTGCCCCTCCTGTTCCCACCCGCATGTCCCGCCATTCAATTCGATTCAATCCCACCATCACCCGCCGCCCATGGCTTTCCGAGGAATGCAATGCAATGCAATCGACCCTTCTGATTTGTTTGAATGATTCTGATCGCAGCTGACAATGTCCTCGCAATCATTTTAGTAGCTTCTACCATCACCGTCAACACGAAGACACCTGCCAATTTCCCTCCTCCCAAGACCGATAAACCCCGCCCTCATGTGTGCGCGACTTGTCAGCGCTCGTTCGCCCGATTGGAGCATCTGAAACGTCACGAGCGTTCCCACACAAAGGAGAAGCCCTTCGAGTGTCCCGAGTGCACAAGATGCTTTGCCCGTCGCGATCTGCTGCTGAGACACCAGCAGAAGCTTCACCAGACCACAACACCCTCGTCACGTCCTCGCAATCGTCGTGAGAGTGCTAGCAGTGCTGCACCTGGAGCCCGGGCACGTAAGAACAGTGTCGCTGGTCCTAATGCTGCCGCCGCCGCAAATGCCGCCGCTGCCTCTATGCGACCCAGGGCAAACACCATCAGCCACGTCGACGGCAACGCTATGCAGATGATTGCCGCGGCCAACGCACAGGCAGCGCGGGGCATGCCTCCTGGCACACACAGCCGTCACCCCAGCCTCGCGGGGTTGCCCGTGCATAACATGGACTTTGCCGGCATGTCGGCTGCGATGGGTCACAGAGGCATGTCTCACGGTTTGCCCAAGCTCGAGACGCACGGCATCAACAACATGGACTTTAGCGGCCTGCGGACCGCGCCTCCCATGGCCGTCTTCAATCCCGACTTTGACTTTGAGGGTCTGCTGTTCGGCCCGGGCTCCACCATCAACCCTAACGCGCTCCACTACAATGATTCGCCGCAATCCATGGCCATGGACCAAGCTTCACCCTTTCCCCACGGCCTGGCCGGCGACATGTCGACGACGCAATTGGACGACAGCTTCGACTGGCTGACAGGCTTCGAGCACCAGATGTCTTTTCAGGGCGCCGATAACGCCGTAGACGGCTCGAGTCCCTCGGCAATTAGCACCACCAGCCAAAGTGGCATAAGCGATGTAATGGTGGACGGCTCCAATCATCACCCTGCTCCGGCAGGGACGAGTTCAATGTGGCAACCGGCTGTTATGGGTCCTCCTCAGGTCCCGAACCCGTTTGCCATGGATCTAAATGGTTCGGTCTTCCCAGATCTCTTAAACGGAGCACCCGTCTCACCACAACCTGCTGCGCAGAAAATGAACGATGCCTATTTCTCGACGCCGCCTCCCTCTCTTAGCTCCCTCAGTCCGTCGATGGTTTCCGGACTCAACACGCAAAACCTCAACCAAGCGCTCAACTTCAACGGAGGGCCAGAGACCCCCTCGTCCTTGAACGGCGGTAACCACGGTGTGTCGCCCGTCTCCACCATTACGGAAACGACCCGAGGTGCCATCGTTGGTGCTCTTTCGCAGTGCTCTCCCTTTGGTGGACGGAGATACTCATTTGCGACTCCAAGCTCGCCAATGTCGCCGGGCTTTCAGAACACAGCCAACAGTGTTCCAGACCATGTAAAGAATTTACCTAGCACTCAAGACTTACAACGATATGTTGGCGCTTACCTTCGTTACTTCCACCCTCATCTGCCGTTCTTGCACATTCCCACTTTGACTTTTGAGATGCCACCCACCGCTGCCAACCGATCCAACACCGTCGGTGGGAGCGGATGTCTCATCCTTTCCATGTCTGCCATTGGCGCCTTGTACGAAATGGACCACGTCCAATCTCGGGAACTTTTCGAGATGGCCAAGAAAATGATTCAACTGTACCTTGAGGAAAGGCGGAAAGCCGACGTGAGAAAGGCCGACTTACGGAGAGCTCCAGCATCTGAACCGACCTCTCACAACCAGGAATCCTCTCTTCACACCCCGGTATGGTTGGTGCAAGCCATGCTCCTGAATGTCGTCTACGGCCACAACTGCGGAGACAAGACGGCCAGCGATATCGCCTCTACCCACTGTGCGGCTCTTGTCAGCCTGGCCCAAGCTGCCGACTTGCTCCGCCCCATTCGCGTGGAATCCACAGAAGCTCATGATACCCACATGCATGACGATACGTGGAGCGGCCTTCGGTCGGACTCCGAGGAGCAAGCGGGGTGGCTCCAATGGAAGGTCATGGAGGAACGCAAGCGTACCCTCTACGTCGTCTTCATCCTCTCTAGCCTTCTGGTTGCGGCATACAATCACACTCCGGCGCTGACCAACTCGGAGATCCTGCTCGACCTGCCATGCGATGAGGACTTCTTCGCCGCTGAGAGTGCTACGGCCTTCGCAGCCAAGGGCGGCATCCGCGCCGCAAATCACAACCGGATGACCTTCCATGAAGCCTTGGGTGACCTGCTCAGGTCTAATGAGAAGCAACAGAAGCAACTTGCCTTCCAGAATGGCCAGCAGGTATTCGGGCAGGGTGGCATGAACGACCTCAAGAGCGATCTCAAGCCGTCGACGTTTGGTTGCCTCATCTTGATCAACGCACTACACAACTACATCTGGGAGACGCGCCAACGCCATCACAACAAGGTATGGACCAACGAGGAAACCGAAAAGATGCATCGTCACATCGAGCCGGCTCTGAAAGCCTGGCAGGCAGCTTGGGCAAGCAACCCGAACCATAGCCTCGAGAGACCGAACCCGTTCGGCCTTGGACCGCTATCTGCCGATGCCATCCCACTTCTCGACCTGGCCTATGTACGGCTTTTTGTGAACCTCGCCCGCTCGAAGGAGAAGTTCTGGCAACGCGATTGGGATGCCATGGCCGACGAGCTCTCCCGGGGCAGCGAGATTGTCCAGCACGCCGAGCATTCACCCGACTCTAACCCGGAATCGACAGGCACAGATCACTCTGATAACTCGGTTTCGAGCTCCGTATTCGTTGAATCCCCAGCAACCCAGTCGTCGTCATCTCCAGAGTTTTCTGCCGTCAAATTCCCGCAGGCCCAGGCCGCACCAAACCGGTCCACGTCTCGCAGGGAGAAGCATCTTCGCAAGGCCGCCTTTTACGCGGCCGATTCACTGGCCATGTCGGACAAGTTGGGCGTCACATTTGCGGACTTCTCCAGCAGAGAACTGCCTCTGCAGTCGGCCATGTGCGCATTCGATTGTGCTCAAGTCCTGGCTGAATGGGTGGCAACCTTGCAAGATCGCGTTGGACGATACCTTGGAATCCTCGGTCAAGATGATGTTGACCTATCGCAAGTCCCTGCCATTATGCTGCTGGAGGAGGAAGATGCCAAATTACTCGGCAAGGTTCAGGAGGTGCTGACTTCTGCCGAGATGAAGATGAACTTGGAGCTTGTACAAGGGAACATTGCAGGCGTCGACACTAGGATGCAAATGGACGACCACGCAGGCCACGCGGCCAAGATTCTCAGAGTCACGGCTTACATGCTTGACAAAGCCGCCGTCTGGCCAGTCACTCATTTGATGGCACGATGCCTTGAGACTCACGCCACTCACATGCGAGCTAGGGCCGAGAAATCTGTAATTCCCTGCGAATAGGGGGTCGATGGTACGAAGTCTTGTGGGGTGCGACTGTTGTTGGTATACTGTCATTGGACGACATGGAAAAGTTGAAGGTCGCCAGCGACTAGTCTCAGTTGCTGAGGGGTGCATTGCTGGATGAGGATGAAAGTTTCGACGGGAACCAAAACGGACCAGACGCCGAAGAGCGAAAAAAAACTACGATACATGGAATCGACACACAAAAATACCCCGACGCTTTTGTGGGAAGAGCAAAAAAGTTTCTAAATGACGTTACGACGTGTTCCCGGCCAGGGAACATATTTCAAAGCACGGCATACTACGACGCCGCCATTGTTTACGTTGACGCTGCGAAGCTCTCTGGCCATATTGCCATCAGAATACGACGCAGCGGCGGATATTGTACATCAAAAAGTTTGCTTGGGCCCCCAAGCTACTTCGAGTGAATACGAAAGGTCATCCATCTACTTCGCACACAGGCTAGTCATGCTACCTCCCCTTTGAGACTTAGTCCTGAAGTCGCATCTAAGGGAGTCTTCACTGCAGAAAGAAGCCTGTTTGGATCGGGTTGGGTAGGGTAGGGGTGGCGTTCCTTCTTTTCTTTCCACTTCTTTTGCGGATGCGGTGTGCAAGTTCGAACTTGAAAAGTCAACACCAGGTCTCCGTCGATCTCCATCGATGTGAGTGGCACATTTGCAATTCGCTTCGCTAGTCCCTGTCGCGGCACTGCCACATCTCGTAGATATATACAGATGGGTAATGATGAGCGGCCGTGAATAGCATTTCCGATACAGCCTTGTCGACTTTGTTGTCCTCAATCGACTCGAGGTTCGGCATGGCTGAGGGACTCTTTATGGTACTTTATATGTAGCAAAATATCGGGGTGGGATATCAATTGAGGTTGGGTATGAGGGGTGCTTTGGTTCGTCAGCTGTCCCTGCGCAGGAAATCCGGTATCTTGGGGAGAGTGGATGGATGAAGATACCGGGTTGATATTGAGGTTCACTCGATGTGTCATCTGCTTCTCAACTGATAGGCAAGATGACGGAGGACCTAGATATACCGGCAGGACCAGGCTCAAAGACGGACCCGTCATGATGGGATAAGGACCAAAACACAATCAAAAGGAATGAGATGAGAGACGTAGTCCCCTCCTGCTCCGCCTGCCAATGTGCACGTTCATGCTACTGCTCATCGTTGACCCTTGAGGATGTTCCTTGGGTCGTATCGTCCTCCATCTCATCCATGTTCACCCTACCAATATGGGTTAGGTGCTTCACTGTAACAACCTTGTGGGCTTACAAGTCGATCTTATGATCTTTCCATAGATGTTCACAAGATAGATGACATGATGTCTTTCTTATTTCTACGCCTTAAAAAAAAAAACATATCGCTTCGCTATTGATCAAAAAACCCCTCCACCCCCTCACCCACAGGTCCTCATGACCATCTCAGCAAGGCTGGAAAGTAGCCTTGAACCCACTCGCGAACTGCGGCGGGAACTTGGCCGCGGTACACGCAGCCCCAAACGCGCCCTTATTGTTGGAGATGCAGCATTTCTGGTTGCCCTTGAGCGCGCCGTCAATATTGCCGCTCTTGCAGGCGACCTGGGTGAGGTTGGCTGTGAGGGACCCGCTGGGCTCGTTGCGGCCTTTGTTGGGGGGCCGTGTCGATTGTGCCGGCGCATTGGACGCGGTCTGCTGCTTTGCTGTGAATGGTGTTAGTTGCAGGTTCTTTGCTTGCTGGGGAAGGGGGCGGGCTATGGAGAGTTTACTTACACTGAGAGAGCGATTGTGAAGACGGCGGCGATGATGGCGGTGAACTTCATTTGGAAGGGCGGGGGTTGAGTGCTTTGACTTGTGAGAGCGAGTGTGGTGATAGATGAGAGAGTGAGTGACTTTAGTCTACCAGGACTTTATGAAATGATTGATGCGAGTGATGATGAAGAAAATACCATTCGTAGCTGGGTTCTCATCATGTTTAAGTATTCCCCCCGTCGCACGATCTTCAACAAGGAAAAGTAGACATGTTTTCTGCCGTTTCTTCATCAAACGGCTCCGCCGATGGCAATGCTAAGGTCACTTGAAACAGCCTCGTCAGCCAGACTCGAATCTCGCGCAACATGAAGCCAACGATGGCGTGTTCCAGTCCTCACGGAATACCATGACTCCTGTGGTGTTTGTTCGTATGGTGGACCCGGTCGTTCGGTTCGGAGAGACGAACTTTCCTAAAGGGGGATGTGCTAAGCTTTGCCTGCCCACGTTTTAAGCACCCAGGGCGAAGGATCTGGAGTCGAGAGTCGAGAGCCCCCCCAATGTTCAAGCTTTGTGCCTAGTTTGAGGGTCTTTGATCTGAGCGCGTGGATGAGGGAAGAGAGAGCGTGTTCTAGAAACGGGCTGGCGGGGCCCTTTTTGTGAGTGACGTGAGTCAGTTGCTGACTGAAGACATGCATGGCCTTTCCAACTGCTTCAGTTCAACTGAAAGATTGGTGGACTAATTGTTTCCTTCTTCGAGTGGATTGGGATGATTGAACCATACTCTATTGCCGACATGACAGTTTGGGGAATGGAGGGCTCTATGTTGTAAGACCCAGGCAGACTTCGATTAGGTTGAAAGTAAATGATTCGCATCCGTTTCAACAGATTGTTCATCGCATGGAGGCCATGTGTTCAGCTTTCGACAGATAACCCTTGGTAAAGACTCTTGTTTCCTTTCAATAGTGCCGCAGTGGAATTGGTTGCCCTTCCTGGATTCATCGAGTCATGGCTCGAGGATTTGTCGCGAGCCTTGTTGATCTCAAGTGAGATGCGAGCTGCTCGCAAGGGGAGAGCAGTGGTTCCACGTTCACTCCAGACGAGTCTAGAAGCATCGAGCTGGCTTCTCTCAGCTTTTCTTTGAGACGGTTGGTTCCGTCTTCGGGGCTCTACTGCAGTTGAGATGGGCCGAAATTGACGGGCGTATGGACAGGATGAACATGATCTACCGACACGTCGATCTGAGGGCTTCGCGCAACAGGCAAGAATTCGGAATCCAACATCCTTCGAGGAAACCCATCAATAGAAGCATAGATTGGTTCCGATGTTCGACAAGATGTCTCCTCACTTGACATAGCCTTCTACATGATCGGCCACTGTAAGGAAGTCTCGCCGAGTCTCAACTCCGACTGCCTCCTCGGGCCGCAAAATAGACACCGAGCATTTCATAAGGCAGGGTCACATGGCTTTCGCAGCCCGCAAGATCACGAGCGAATGCCGGTTCTCCGAAGAGCGAGTCGTACCGGCTGTCTGGGCCGGAGGTAGGCATGAGTCGAGGGCGGAGCTTGGGCCGGTTCAGCCGGCCTGGTGGGATGGTCTTGCGGGCGATCACAGCCATGGATCCATTGACTAAAGGTATTGGTACTCCATGATACCAATAGGTAGGTCTTTGGGGTAGCATTGCGGCTCCTCGATGGTCTATATTCGAGAAGAAATAATAAGCATTCAAGTCTTGGGGAACAACAAGAGTGCATGCAGTCAAAGGTTCAACTCTCAATTAATACTTGTAACGGCCAAGTCAAAACATCCTGCCAGAACGACCCGACACTGTTCGATATCAGGTGTACTATGGGCGCACCAGAACCACCAAACGCCCAGAAACGCCGGTACCTGTGCAGCATCGCAGCGTAAAAGGCTAAAACGACGAGAGCCTCCGGTTGATGTTGGTGCAGTGCTTCAATGTACTCGTCCGGAATACACAGTGGCCAGGCCATCACCGCATGAACGCCGACTTCGAACTTGGACCGTTGTCTTCCGGCCAAGTCGAGAACCCATTGAAGCTTTTCGAGGGCCGTGATGCAGGCAAGGGTTGACACTGACGACGTTGGGATGTTTTCCAGTAATTCTTTCAACTGCTTCGTTACTGGACCCGGAGTTTGAAAGCTCTCCTTGTTCATGATATCCACAATGAATAACAAAGGCTTCAGATCAGACTGGAGTATCTCGTCCCAGTATTTCCCGGTGATGGATCGTACCCCTCGATGTAGACGCGAATAGTTGACAAAGGCGTCAATGAAATCTGCGAGAGAGCCGCAGTGCCATTGTAATGTTTCGTACAGGACATGTATGCCTAGAAGAGAGGTAAAGACAAACGTCGGAATATACGTCGCATCTGAGATGTGCTCTTTCGTCTGGTTGAAGAACCCCAGCGCTCGTGTCTGCAGCTCAGTGGCTTGGTGGAAATATATGGACGCCTTGGCGCCATTCTGAGTTGAAAGATGAAGTGACGATAACCCGAGGAGCTGGTCCAAAAGATATGGTGCCGTCAGAGAGTGCTCGATTGCCGTATCAATAAGAGGTCGTACATTGCCAGTTAGAGCCATGAACTCTGACATGTTGGACTGAGCATAGTGAAGGAAAGCCATGTGGCTCGCTGTGAAAGCCTGTCCAGTACACGAGTACACCTCGCCAGGGTCCTTGGGAATAGCCAAACACCGGCTAACACTGGTGTCTCTGGGCGCCGTATCAGTGCAGACTGGCAATGAGGTGGAGGATACAACTGAGGAGTTGTCGTCGGGTTCCGATTTCAGGTACGAGCATACCCGCTCCGCCATGACGCAATTCCGGCAGTCCGGCCGGGTCTCGTCGCATTTTATGTGGCGTTTCTTACAGCCGCTACAGCCATTTCTTGATTTGCGGTGTGTTCTACGGCCTGCGAGCCGATCGAGAAGTTGTTTTGACATGGTGAATTTATGTGTAAACCGCGGAGGTGAATGGAAGTGAACCACCAGATACGCGGATTGTTATGAGGTAATACCAAAGAGGAGAACACGCGGAAACATCATTTAGGTCGCGCCAGGCTGTATTTAAATTCTTCTACGTATCTCTAGATCAAAAAAGTCTACTTACTCAGGGGCTGAGGCTCTGGTTTCGCGCGTGGTGGCTTGGCTTTGATAAGTGTCTTTTCAAGTTTTGCCTTACACGCGTATTCCGAGAAGTGCCCCGCTCTCTGTGCGGCGATGCGGTATCTAGTATGGAAGCATTGCGTTCCTACACGCACTTGGCTCGCCGGTCTTGATGTGCGCACATCACCTTCGAGTCAAAGATTATCTACGTACTGTCGGATACATCGAATGGCTTGGATCGACAAGAGCTCCGAGCTACTTCATTTAAGAGTTGACGGTTGATTTATGTGAGATGCCTTTCGACAAGCTCTAGCTGTCGTCCGGACTATCGGACCTTTTCTATAAACCCCGTCGCCGTCGGAGCTGATCAACATTCTTACCCCATAGTACTTCATTACTACTTTCAAACTCAGGGGTCACTCAATTTCTCTGATGTCTCTGATGCTTTGGTCTCTATTGGGGCTGGAAACGTCGAGTCGGGCTGCGGTTCTGATCAGATTACGGCCGCTTGCCGGTGGGATATCAAATTTGACTACGACTTGCAGTTGTCACTGGCCACTCTTCGATAGTTAAACCTAGAACTATGCTGGAGTATCTACATTTTTTCATACATCGGGAATCGTAATACTGCAAGGAAAACCTCAAAGGTGACAAACCTTGCCTCCAACGCTCAACACACCCACTTCGCCTAAGAAATCACTTGGGTTTCGGTCGTAGCTCTGATGTCCTTCGAGCTGGAACCAACCATGAAGCGGAATGCGCCACTGGGGATAGTCCACTGCTTCTGGTCCGTATCCCAGAAACTCAAATCTCTTCTCATGAGCTCGAAGGCCACAGACTTGGTTTCACCGACTCCAAGATGCACCTTTTCGAAACCTCTCAGAACCTTGACGGGCGTCCCCTCTGGTGTCGTGGAGTTGGGAAAAGAAACGTACAGCTGGGGCACGGCTGATCCTGCCAGGCTTCCTGAGTTCGTGACCTCAATGGCCGTTGAGGCCACCACCTCCCAGAGGTCGCTTAATTCGCCTGGCCCCACGCCATTCCCTTCATCCGCAATAGGGGCGATTTCGGTATCGACATGGATCTCTAGAGTCACCCATCTCAAACTCTGTATAGGGCAGTCCAAAGACAAATTCATGTTGAGGCTCGATAGCGTTCGCGTCCAAGTGCCGGTAGTCAATCATCTGTCCTTCCTCGAAGATTGAGTCAGACTACGGTCCGTCCATTGTCAACCTGACGGAACCTGCCACCGACCCTGATGCCTGGCACTCCTTCGGAATAGAATACGGAAGACGGCCCGATGGCTCGACCGCCCCCCAAAGAACATCGACAATGGAGTTTCCCGTCTGCTCTCCCGGGTAATGAGCGTTCAGAATGGCCGTGACGTTCTCGTTGTCCGCCCACGGGATGACCACCACGCCGGGCCCGTGGACGATGACGACAGTGTTGGAGCACATTGACGCGGTGTTCTCTACAGCCTTCGTAGCAGACCACTGTAGCTCGGCAGACTGTCTGTCTTGGCCCTCGGTAGCGTAGGACTTGAGAAAGAGAAGGCAGACGTTCGGGACGGGGTAGATCGTTCTGAAGCGGCCATCCGCTAGCTCATCGTTGTCGAAAACCGCCTGCACTCGCCCACCCAAAGACTCCACGTGCTTTCGGATGGCTTCAAAAGGGCTGACCAAGTCCGTGTGTCGAACGGTCCCGGAACCCCCGCCAATATCGACGGTGCCCATTTCGAATCCTTCTGGCTGGGTACCGATATCAAGGAAGACCGAGCCAATGGTAGGATAAGGGGCATCATTGCCGAAAACTCCAATATTGAGTTCGTCAGTCAAAGATAGAGTGCCGTTGACGTTCTTCAGGAGCACAGTTCCCCCAGCACCGATCTCTCGAATGAGCTCCGCATGATTCCCTCTGACATCACGAGCAGGAACTTCCGCGTAGCTCGATGGGATTGCAATCTGATGCCCGTACTGATAGCGCAGGAATGCGGCTCCGCTGGACGGATCAATAGAAGGAAATTCCTTGTCTTGTCCAAGCAAGAAGTACGGTGTCAGAACTCTTGTTGCCATGTCGCCGAGGCGTTCCGCTGAAACGAGGCCGCTGTTGACTGCGTCGAGGAGTGAATCGCCAAAGTAGGAGGCTCCAGCCGCGGCACTGACATTGCCCGGCATCTCCAAGTCGAGCCCAGAATTTGCGGAACTCAGCGTCTCGTGGGTAGCGTACCAGTCGGAAACCACATAGCCTGGGAACGCTAGCTCATCCTTGAGGATCGAAATCATCTCTGGATTGGAGCAAGAGTAGTTTCCATTGACCCGGTTGTATGAGCACATGATGCTTGCTGTCCCGGCCTTCACGGCATTGGCAAATGGCCATAGGTATAGCTCGTGTATAGTGCGGTCATCGATGTCCGAGGAGATGGCCTCAATTATTGTGCCGTTGTCGCTAACAGTCGAAGTCCGTTGGGTTTCCTGCTCGTTTCCAATGAAATGTTTCGAACAGGCTTGTACGCCGACTGACTGAATACCGATAACCGAAGCATTCATGGCAACTCCAGCCAGGTAAGGATCAGGCCCGAAGCTTTCCCAATTACGGCCGCCCACTGCGTGGCGTCCAAGAGGTCCCGAAGATGGGCTGGAAGGAAGTCAGTGTCGTCATTGGCACAGCTTAACGCTCCATGTGAAAGAAGAGGTCAAACTTACCCCAAGTGAACGTGAGCTCCCTTAGCTCTAAACTCTTTTCCGAAGGCGACGGCGCATCGGAACATGAGGTCTTTGTCCCAAGTAGCTGCTGTCGAGATCCCGGCAGGGAAGACACTGACACCATCGGAACGCGAGTACCCGCTAGGTCCATCCGAGTAACACACCCCCTCGAATCCCAGTCGCTCGATAGACCCGAACGCACCCACGCATGGAAGGTTGGGACTCGAGTAACCTCCTGTGACGAGACCAATCTTTTCGACTGTGGTCAACTGGGACACGAAGTCTTTGGATGCTGCGGAAGCCTCATCCCAAGCTACATCAGGTTGTTAGTAGTTATTGATGGGTCAAAGATAGGGCGTCGGGAGCCGTTACTGATTGTGTGGCCGGGGGGCAATGTTTGGCTCAAGCTAGGTCCAAGGAATGTAGCGCTGGCCGCAAAGAACAAGCCTCTGCTGAACATGATGCGGGAAAGATTCTCCTGTCTGTGTGATGATGGAAATGTCAAACTTCGAGTGTTAAGTGAAGTTCGAGAACACTTGCCAGTATAAGTATCACGAACGACCTCGCCTCGGCTAGCTCATAGGTAGCTCGAACGCGGGGCGGATACCATCAAATGATACCTTCGTCACCCGTGCAAGTGCTCCGCAGTGACAGGCCGTCGTAGTATGGTCCAGAATCAATCTCTAAGGTAGGATGAACAACGTACTATCCGTTCATTCGCGCGTGTTCGCATAGCAATCTACCCTTAAAGGGCATGTTCATTGTCACTCGGCGATCTTTGTCAAGTCAACAGCTCCAAACACAGCCCTTTTCATCACGGATCTATTTCCTTCAACGTAATGGCGGGAACAGATACCCGCGGATTCAATCTGTCATACCATAGTAGATTCCGCCAACACGCGGAACGGTTCTTTCTGTTGGAATAGGCCTACATTAGGCAGCAGGAGGTTGCTGCCGCGGTCCGTTCCAGCCACGGTGGTCCGTGTGGCTCAGCCACACGAGGGTGGTATACCCCAGACTTCCTGCCGCCGCTGGCACCTGGTTAGACTTCCACTCAAGAACAACAAGAACAAGCAATATCACCACTACAGTCGGTGATCGTTGCTACCCACGATACTCGAGTGTTTTCCTTTTCCACCTGTGAATCCAACACTTTCCTTGTCGCACAAGGGGCGTTGGGGGCTAGAGGAGCGCTGTGTCCAATGATTACCCGCCCTACACGTTTGGAGAAGGTGTGTCTGCCTGATTTGCCTTACTCGCGGGTTCATGCCACAGTGAGGCGCTTGCGTATCCACCATTCCGCGGATCAACCTCTTTATAGATGCAGACTTGCAATGTTTTGTTGTTTGTTTTATATTTAACGCCATGGCGGCAAGGGCGCAGCCGCCCTTGCGGCAGACCTCCCGGAGGGTATGTGGCGTGGAGGGTCGCAGGCTCTAGCTATATACTATATAGTTAGTACACGCCGTATCCTGATGTCCTCCAAGTCTTGCTCGTGAGCTACTATGTGTTCTATCCATCCCTAGTTCCCACTGGTGCCCTAGTTCCGTTATAACCATCTGGTTTATTAATAGAAGTAGTTTGTCGTTTGGAGGATAGGTTATGACCTATCTCCTAGTACCGCGGGCAGATCTTCTGGAAGAAGTCTGTCACGCAGAGGAAGGCCTGGAAGCCTTCAGAGTCAGTGATTAGCCCCTTGAAGTAGCGATCGAGGGACCCTATAGGTCCTACGGGCTCCTGGCGGCTGTAGGGGTAGAGGGTGGGCCACTGTTGCCTCCTCAGTAGGGTCTTTCGGCAGTAGACTAGATGGTCTGCCTCCTTAACCCCTCCACAGGAGCAGGTGAGCAGTGCTTCTGTGTGGTTAAAGCGTTGGTGATACTGTTTAAAGTCCCCGTGGCCTGACCGTGCCGCGAGGAGGTGAATGCAGACTTGCAAGTCACCCGTACGACCAATGGCGCAACAGAGAAGTAGTAACTGAAGCTATCAACAACAATTACTGGGGTGCTCACTCAGAGACCAGTTGGAAAGATGCTTTAAATATCATTGCAAAGCCATGTCGTTACTTGAAAGAGGATGAAACGTCCTGGATCTATCTAGCCGCACCGTCCTTTTGCCCTGTTTTACAATGTTCGTCACTCTTCAGTCAAGAGCCGACTCTGGCTTCAAGTTATAGTATTATGATCCTTTGTTTGCTGAAGCAGTTCTCTTCGCCGTTGTTTTCGGTGGTTTATCCATTCGTCACTTGGTCTTGTTGATCAAGACACGGACTTGGTGCTTCATTCCTTTCTTCGTAGGATGCCTCTGTAAGTATTAGTCGAAATGAAAGCTCGTCCTCTGCTTGGTTCAGACTGTAATCTGACTGAACTTAATCGAAACTCTGGGATACGCTGCGAGGAGCTATTCAGCAAAGCAAACCCCAGATTGGACTTTGATGCCGTATGTCGGACAAAGCATGCTCATTCTCTTGGGCCCAGCTTTCTATGCCGCTTCAATCTACATGGTGCTTGGTCGCCTGATCAGCAATCTTGACGCAAAATCGTATTCCCTGATTCGGGTCAAATGGCTCACGAAGTTCTTCCTCATGGGTGACATTCTGTCCATCTTCGGGCAAGGAGGAGGTGAGTGTCTCACAATTAATACTCCACCATCATCTCATGAGCCTCAGTTTTAACAGGCTCTTTTGGAAGGAGAACTAATTTTCAATCTTAGGTGGTGGTCTCCTTGCAAATGCGAAATCCGAGTCATCCCAAAACATGGGCAACAACGTCGTCCTTCTCGGCCTGGATACAAGTCGTCTTCTTCGGCTTCTTCATGATTGTCACGACCGTCTTGCACATTCGAATTGCCTTGAAACCGACGACGAAATCGCTGCATACAAACATTCCTTGGCAGAAGCTCATTTGGATGCTCTACTTTTCGAGCTTGCTCATCATGGTTCGCTCCATATTTCGCATGATAGAATACGCGCAAGGGCATGACGGCAGCTTGATACAGAAGGAGATTTACATTTGTGTACTGGATGCGCTTCTCATGACCGTGGTTTCGATAGTCTTCTCGGTGTATCATCCGAGCAGCATACTGAAGGACGATGGAAACTTGAAGGGCGATGAAGAGTTTCCATCGATTGGGGCTGATAGTTATCCATTGCAGGGTCATGCAAATGGAGGCCGCGCTTAGCACGAGGTCGCGAGCTGGGTAGTTGGTAATGGCCGAATCTCCGCCTCAAAGTATTTAGAAGTTAAAATTGATCATACTTCATGTGGGAACACCATAAAGCTCTTCTGTCTTGTCACAAAATAAACGCGAGAGTCGTCAGTTGCAACTTGCATCACTACTGGAGCATTCAACGATTTAATTTGGCAAGTCAACCTGACCGTCTGACGTTTGACAGTTTTGGGGTTATTAGAAATGAAGTAATATCTAGCTGTTATTCAAATATTCATGATTGATCTATAACTTCTGCAACTCCGAGGCTCTGGACGAGATGAGCCGCCGTAATGAGGAACAAATGGGGCTGCGAGAACGCGGGTTCGGCATCTTGTCCAGCCAGGCTAGATCTGCAACGGCTCACTCAGCCACGCTCCAACCTTGTGAGCTGGAAAGGGTACAACTAGGGCCATGATTTCGAACGTCCAGCTTCAACTTCTTCAAAAGAAAATTTGATTACACGGCGATGTTCAATACGCGGTCAACACTGGGGCCAGTGATGGATACACAGGCGACGCGTAACTTTATTCAGTGCCCAGCGGCGAGGGACACCGGGAACTCCGACTGGTCTTTTCTTAGCTACTCACACAGCCTACTATGATTATACGTGTATCAGGCTCAATCAGGCATCAAGTGATACTATAGACATTACGGGCAGACTGCCAGTCGTCTTAGATCGTCTCATGATCTTTCGATAGAGTACTTATTACAATGGAATTCCCATCGTCATTTCAGTTAACTCAGGATGACATCCAACTCAAGAGAGAACGCCCACCATGTTCAATCACTACTTACCTGCAACTTTACTCCTATTGAGCATTGTCTTGGCGGACTCGCTTTGTAAAACCACCCCACACGACACGACCTGGCCGACGGATAGCGACTGGACTGACTTGAACCAGTCTGTCGGGGGCGCTTTAATTCAAACCCGACCTGTAGCATCATCTTGCTATGATGGTAATCCATTCTTGTCCGCATTGACCTGCGACGCCGTCGATGACGGCTGGTTCTCCTCCGCATTTCATGCAAGCCTTCCGGAATCCATCGACTATCCATTCTGGGCCAACAACTCCTGTGTGCCTCCGAGCGACTACGCATACAAGAACGATGGATGTATACTTGGAGGCTTGCCCGAATTCATTCTCAACGCTACGACTGCCGAACAGGTCGCAACAGCCGTGAAGTGGGCTAGCGCGCGAAACATCCGCATCATTGCCAAAGGAACCGGCCACGACCTCAACGGAAGGTGTGTAAGAAGCACGTGTTTGACTGCTGTTTAGCGAACTAACATTCTAGAAGATCAAGCGGCGCGTACGCACTGTCGATTTGGACTCACCAGCTTCAAAGCATTAAGCTGGATGGCCAGTGGCCACGACCATCGACCAACCTGACAGACAACGTCGCTATTCTTGGAAGCGGAAACAACTGGGCACGCGCTCTGGAGGCCACAGCCGTGACAGGAAGAACGCTTGTCAGCGGCCAGGTCAAGACAGTCGGTCTCGGCGGCTTCATCGGCGGTGGCGGACATGGCCCTCTTTCGAGCCACTACGGCCTGGCCGCTGATCAGGCCCTCCAGGCGACAGTGGTCACGACAACCGAAGACATTCTCGTGGCAAATGAGGCTCAGAACCAAGACTTACTGTGGGCTATCCGAGGCGGCGGACCGGGCCTCTACGGAATCATCACGGAATTCATCCTGCGAACACACCCTACCCCTAGCAACGTGATCCAGACAACTTTGTCCCTGAGCATGACCGGAAACGATACTGGATCTGCTGCCGCCGCATCTTGGGATGCCATGGCATTGCTTTCCAGCTCTCTTCCGGATCTGATGGATGCTGGCGTAGCGGGTTTTGGCAACGCGGCAACGTCAAATGTTTCCCCGACATCTTTCAGCGGCGTTGTTCAAGGGATCAGAGCAACCTTTACTTTCTTCGGTTACAACACCACGGCGAACGACCTCCTCTCTCTTTTGAATCCGATCCAAGCACGCATGTTACAGAGCGGAAATGGCACGCTCTCGGTGGTTGTCGCGGAACCGACTGTTTTCTCTACGTACCTATCGTTTGTTGACGACCTCAATGACCCCGCTACTCCGGTGGCACAGATCAGTCTCATCTCAAGTCGCTTGCTCGGCCGCAGCGAGCTGACTAATATTCCCCTGAAGAAACTTCGATCCCATCTGCAAGATATTACCAAGTCTCAGGTGGAGGGAGGTACTGCTGCACTGGTGTATGGGCTTCAGGGTGGACTGGGACCCCGTCAGGTCGAGGCGGGCATGCGAGGCGCGCTGAACCCTGCTTGGAGAAACGCCTACATCCATCTCATCAGCTCTGGAACATACATCAACACGACGGACTCTGCGCCGCAGGACGCCTTGGCCACTGCTGCGGCCTGGGCCGAAGAGAAAAAGGAAGCAGTGTGGCGAGATTGGGCACCGGGGACTGGCGCGTACATCAACGAAGCCAATCCATTCAACAACAACTTCCAAGAGGACTTTTACGGTGGCAATTATGACCGCTTGCTTGAGATCAAGGATAAATATGATCCCACTGCTAGCCTCTATGTCCGGTCGGGAGTCGGAAGTCACAAGTGGGACTACAATTTGACGACTGGTAAACTTTGCCGTAAGTAGCCTGAGCGTCGCAATTTGATGAGCCATGGAATGGCTCTCAGATCTCACGTAGAGACTTTACTCATTGCGCCTCTGGAAGCCTCAATGTACTTATAAATATTATTTTCTCATACACAAACTACTATGCTAGGCAGGGCCGTTCTTGTAATTAGTAGCGCGCCTGCAATTTCACAACCTTTGTCAGACAGAGTTTCAGCTAGAAGCAATGTTTCTGCGGGATGAGACATCTTCCCTGGCTTAAGAGGGAAGTAAAAATGCTCTAGTCCTCAAATATGTTTTGTTCAGTTTCTCCAGACGGTCATTTACTTGGCCAAGGTAGATCCAGTCATGTTCTTTTAGAATTCCCCAGCTTAGGATTGGGACACCTTTATTGAAGGCACCTGACTTGAGACCTGACAATTCAAATTTACAATACAGATCTCACACCCTGCTTGATGCCGCTTGTTCAACATCCCCGCTATCTGGTAATCGTCTCAGCTTCTCAGCCTCCATGGCCCAGGTTGCGTCAAGGGGTACAACATGTCGAGCATAGTCGGAAGTGCCCTGGACCGAAAGCGTGGGTTACACGTGAGCCTACTTCTCGTGTTAGTTTCTCTCAGAAGTTTGCAAAGTGGCTAAGCCTATGCTACTCTACCTTAGTGGTGGATCTTTACGACTCCAATGCTCTTGACCCCAAGGCCCAAATGAGTGCTTGCGCAGTTGTAAGTACCAGCGATCGACTCGGTGATAGGGCACAAAACATTGCTGCATTGACAGTTCGGGGCGTCGTAAAGAATGGCCTTGTGCGGGACGTCCGCCTCGTCGTAGTCAAATCAAACGTTCTTGACGTCAACTGAAAGCGAGTCCAGCTGGATGCATTCCTCGACGTTGGAGAGGTCGCCAGTGATCATGGTCGGGCCGCCGCTGCAGTCGTCACTGGTGAAGATTTCGACATTCCAAGCGGCAGCGCTGGAGACAAAGACCGCTGCCATGGTGGCAATCCGAGCGAGACTGAGCTGCATATTGAGCTGGAGGGTTCAGGGTCTTGTAGATGATAAATATAGCGAACTGTGTTTTCAATGAAGCGTCTATGGTGTGAGACTGTGAGACGATGCGGGAGCTGTTGAGTTGGCTTAATGAAAAGGTTGTTCTTGCGCAGGTTCATTACACCTTTATATAGGTAAAGTATTTATCTTGCTCGGCCGTCTATTCTTTCCTTTGTTTACCTGTCTCGCTGATAGAGCTTACAAGACAGCATCATAGCATTAGACCAGGTGATAGTGACGTCGCCTTGGAGACTCTGAATGGCTGAGGAACCAGCATGCTAATCCTACCCATATACCCTCGCGAATCCTGCTGATGTATCATGTGAGTTCTCAACCACTCCCAAAATGATTTCGTAGAATTAGACGTTAACAATGGGTTCCATAGAATAGCAGTCATTGTCACTTATGCTTATCCGACTAGGAACCAAAAAACTTTCCGGTTGCCTGCTATTACACCCACTTGTAATATGATTGATGTGATAAAGAACACAAAGAGTGGAGACTATCCATCCGCGTAACTTTCAGCTGCTTATGGTGTAAGTACTTGCATCCCTCAGGGGAAAAGAGGAAAGAGGCTTAACTCCCAAGGCGAAGGATTCATAGTAACTTGCGAGTCAAGTTCCTTCTTGTCCCGAGAATACTGGGTCTTTCGCCTTGGAAGTTGGCGATCACGCCCATCTTAAGGTGTTAGTCTCCGACATGAACCAGCAGAATAGGATATTCTGACTGGGTGCGAAGGTTTTCACAAAAAAAAGGCAACCTTTCCAAGTTATGTTGTATGGTGGACACGAACTACTGGCCCATCTCAAGACACTTAGTATGATGATGCCTACATGATCTTTCCAGGAAGTGGCTTACGCCGAGAAACATCTTCCTCTTGATCACTCGAATACTTTACGTAGCCAGTTGTAAGCTCCCAAACTCAAGATTCCTGACAAATCCCAATCATTCTAGGCAACACCGCTGGATCATGGTGGATTTGATCTGCGGCGGAAGCCTTCCAATGTGTCCCGGCTCAATGTTACGGAGACAGGACGAATAACACGCGTCCAAGAGAGGATCATAAAAAAGATGGAGATTCTTCAAAGTTGGTGTAAGTATTGAGATAGTTCACGTTGGATTGAACTTGAGCATTACAGTCCATGAAGTACGTACCCCGATGCATCCTTCATTCCTTCCTAATTTGCTCTTTCGAATAATATTAGCGAGAGGGAAGGCTCGGTCTTCCCCACACTGGCACGTAGGTAGTGACCTGCAGGCAGGTGCAGCCTGCAGCCAGTGAACTGTCATCCCCCACTTGGCAAGAACCCCACCGCGTCCCGTGTCCCGCGCTGCAGGACCGCCCGGACTTTGCTCCTGCCTCTGAGAGCTCGAGTACAACCTTCCATCCTTGCCACTCTCAGCCTCCCTCAACTTCCCGGTGTCATCTTCTCCTCTTCCTTCGAACGTCAGCATCATTGTCAAAAACAATCCTCGAACCGACTCGAACCAAGCTTGTTACATTGATACAACGCCACACCCTACTGAGCCGCGGAATAATCTCCAAGATGTCCTCTCAATCCAACCCGCTCCGCAACATCCAGACGTCGACCGTCTTCCTCAACACAACGCTCGCCGGCCTGAACCTGGGCCTCTCCTTCTTTGTCGTACCCCGCCTCCTTGAGTCGCCGACTCCCCTCATGCTACGACAGTGGTCCAACATGTTCAAGCGGACCAGTCGGGTCTTCCCGCTGCCGACCCTCTTCTGCGCGTTGAGCTACTGGTACATGGCCTATGCCGTGCGCCACCTGCCCAGCAAATCGAAGCTACTGGCCGCTGCCGGTGCCCTTTGCTTCTCAATGGTCCCCTGGACTGGCTTATTCATGGTCAGCATCAACAAGAAGCTGTTCAAGAAAGCCGAGGAAACGAAGGATATGGGTATGATGGCGATTGGTCTGACCCAGGAAGAAGAGGAGGGCGCCAAGTCTCTCGTGGATCAATGGGGGTTGTACAATCTCGGGAGGGGAATTGCCATCGGTCTTGGTGGTGCCGTTGGTCTTTACAGCATCGTTTCTTGATTCAGGTGTGATTCTCAAAGTCAAAGCAGAATCCTCTTGGCTGGTTGTTATCTGCAGCGCAACGGAGGTTCTCGTCAGCCACTTGGGGTCATCACCACGCTGCATTTGTTGAACTCATGGGTATCATCATTACAACTATTCTACTAATGTTACATCAGATTACTTTTTGACCTCCATCCCTAACTCATTCATATCGTCACCCGTCATTCTCATGATTGCGATCGCAGAGTCCCTGTCGTAACATCGGCATCAATGGCCTTCAGGGGCATGGAGCGGTTGAAGACCTTGTGGCCCACCAGGAGGACAAGGAACAGAAGAACACTGACGTACGCAGTGAAGAAGTCACTGGTGCTCCACTCGATGAAGACGGCGAAACCGTTGGTCAAAATGATGAGGACGTTGAAGAACAGGCCGTACCAAGAAAGGTAAGGCTGCAGTGGCGCCAGGTAAGGCAGGGTGCTACGCGGAATGTTCTGGGCCTTGAGAGCAGCCATGAAGCGCAGATGGCATATGTTGATGCACGACCAGCTAATGAAGCCAGCGACGGCAGTAACGTTCAAGAGCCAGTCAAAGACAACGCCACCGTTGGACGACAGGTTCATGTATGCGAGCAAACCGACGGCAGATGTGGTGGCAACTGCGAAGTAGGGAGTTCCGAACCTGTTGGTGTAGGTCATGAACTGAGGAGCGCACCTCTCGTTGGCGAGCGAAACGAGAATGCGGGAGCCAGAGTAGACGTTGGAGTTGGCGGCGGAGAGAACGGCAGTCAGGAGCACAGCGTTGATGATGTCGGGGAGAACCTTGACACCGGCCAAGTTGGCAGCGATAACCAAGGGAGACGCCGACGCATCCTGGGAGTCGAGCAGAAGCGATGGGTTGTCGGATGGCACAATAATGCCGACGAAGAAGATGGTCGCCACGAATAAACTGAAGATACCCCAGAAGGTCCAGCGGACGGCACTGGGAACGCTCTTCTCGGGGTCCTTTGTCTCACCAGCACCGATACCAACCAACTCGGAACCCTGGAAACTGAAGCCGGCGGTGATCAAGACGGACCAGAAGCCAATGAACTTGCCGACGGAACCCTCAACGATGGACTCGTTGAACGCACCGGGGCTCACCCAGTACTTGAAACCCAGATAGCCTTGCTGGCCAACGCCGGCGTTGATGCAAATGGCAAAGATGATGAAGCCGACGATGGTGACGACCTTGATACTGGCGAACCACATCTCGACCTCACCAAAAATGCGAATGGGCATGAAGTTGAGGGCAGTGAAGACGACCCAGAAGACGCTGATGAAGATGGCAATGCTCAAGCTGTCGTTCCAGTATTGGATAATCACACCAGCAGCAGTCAACTCGAGAGCGAAGGTGATGGACCAGCTGAACCAGTACATCCAGCCCATGGCGAAGCCGAGAGTGGGGTCGATGAATCGGGAGGCGTACGAGGTGAAGGCACCGGGGACGGGAATGTATGTGGCCATCTCGCACAGGGCCGTCATGACGGAGTAGACGATGGAGCCGATGAAGATGAAGGCGATCAGGCAACCGACAGGGCCGGATGTCGCGATGGCCTTGCCGCTACCGAGGAAGAGACCAGTACCGATGGTACCGCCTACGATGATGTGTCAGAACAACTGCGACCCTTGTACGAGGCGAGACTCGATCAAAGTGACATACCGATGGCAATGAACTGCAGGTGACGACTGTTGAGGTCTCGCTGAAGACCAGCCGTCTCGCCATTCTCCAAGTCGGTCTTGGAGGCATTGGTAGGAGTGACCTCACCCTCACTCGTGTGAGGAGTCTTTTCCTTGGAGCCGAACATGGTGATGGCTATGTTTGGCTTGGTGTATCGTAGTCGGCACGGGGTAACGTTCGCGTTCACGGACTAGAGCGACGAGTCTCTTCGACCGCGGCCAGAAGCAATGAGCACACTCGAAAGGATCGGGGGGACGAAGGAAGCCTGTTGATTCGCTTCTCCAGAAATCACCGGACGCATGTGCAAACGAAAACCTGGGGGGACGACAGGAGAGGTTCCGCCCCGAACAGAAAGCTCATGGCATGATTAAATACAATACGGGCCTTCTCTTACTCAACAGGTTCCACTCCGCGTCGACTCATCGCGACCGGTAACGGTGGCCATGGAAGGAAAAATCTCGAGCAGTGGACCGCGTTGGCGGCTAGACACACTCGCACGTACACGCAGGCGCACACACAAAGGCCTCGCTCGAGACCCTCTCCTTGGCTTCGCTCGTTGCGGGTTGGCCGATGGAGACGCGATGGTCTCACGCTCCCAATGCTCCATCACGCCCTGGTAGTGCGATTCGGGAGTCGGCCGGCCACGGGTAACAACGGCGTTGACCAGGGGGTTTGCCTGTCGACCAAGAGCAATGTGGGAAATGGAGTGTGGAGATCAGCAGCTGTAGCAAGCAAGCAAGCAAGCAAGCAAGCAATGACATGCCATTCCGCTGCATGGCAAGTCGACGCCCTCGCCGCCGCCTGCAGTTCGTCCGATCGGCCGGCATAAGCGTGCCTATTCCCATGGCAGCATAGCTGGCTTTCAGTCACCAAAAGGATCGATTCTCCCACGCCGCCGCCCTCGCGCCACCCGATTCCCACCGAGCTTGGACCGAGCCCCCTTCGTCTTCTGCTGTTTCTGCTTGGAAACTCTCCGATTTTTCTCTCCGCGTAGCCAATCATGACGGTCCGATTCCTGCAGAGTCACGGCACCCGCAAGCTCTGCCCAGCCGCTGGACGGGTAGAATTTTTCTCGAACATTTTGCTCACCACCATTGTCCATTTTCAGCTAGAGATATCAAGCTTCTTCCAACCGAATTTGTTGCATGAGCTTGTCGGTCTTTGCCAAGTTTGTCTCGACTCTGGGCAGTCTGACTCTCCAGCTCGGACATGTCCCCCCAAACGATCGGTGTACCCCGGCCGGTGGGTGATACGTTGCAGCACCGCGGTCTCTCGCAGCCGACCGCCATCGTCGTCACCAACAAGAGGCGCCATATGTCCTGTCGTTGTCAGCCCTACGACGCCCAACAAGCCTTGTACGCCGCGCCTTGAAGTGACAATACAGCAGACCAGACCGCGCTAAGCCGAGCAGCGAAAGGTGACTCGCAGGATTTCATTCCTTGGTCTGCTTCATTGGGCGTTCCCGCCCGGTTCCAACAAGTCTGGTGATGGACCGCGTTCTAGCGACTAGCGAGGATATTTGCCCCAAGCTCCCATCCCAACTCATCCCAAATCATCCCCAAGCTCGAAAATTTCTTCTCCCTAGTTTTCATTACGTCTTTTTGTGGAAACATTTGCAGAATTTTTTCTCACGATCGGAGCGGGCCGTCGAGACACTTGAGATTTGATGCTGAAAGCTCAGAGATAATGCGTTTTTTTTGTGTCAATTCGGTGAGCAAACTGCATGTCACCGTTTGCCGTCGCACCTGGTGACCTGCCCTCTGATTCGAGCTTTGATGGCTTGCCCTTATCTGCTTGACCATCGTCGTCCGGGACCCGGGGGTCCCCCCATCCCATGCATGCATGCCATCCGGGAAATGGTGCCGGCTTGCCGTTTGATGCTCGGAGATGAGAATTCGTCGACAGCAGTTCCGGTTCCGTGTCGGCTTACGATTGGTTTTATTTACCCGGCGCTCGCTTTTCCCTCTTTGGCTGCTACAGGCCGCCCGACTAGTTCTGGATCTGCCGGCACTCGATACCGGATCGAACATATGAGAGCCGGATCCGAACCCGGGTTCGGTTCTCTGACCCCGTTTGGTTCACGCATCGCCTCTCACATCAGCACGCCGCAACCCTCATAAGAGGTCGACAGCTATTGATACAAAACATTCCCATCTTTTGTCCTGCATGCGATGTAGCGGCTTCGTTTGGTCGACAGAGTTAAAATTTGTGACCTTGCTGGTTTGTGTCCCTGATTGACATGGACTACTTACCTACTATACTACTATGCACTGGCGTTTTGGAAGACGCAATGCAGTGCAGGGTTTTGGTGAGCTGAGAAGAGAACATCCTCTAGGGGGGTTTAAATCGCAGTGAAATGCCTCTCATAGGCTCCCGACAGTTCTGCAGCCAGTTGAAGTATGGTGGTGGAAATGCGGGAGGTTGGGCAATGGTGGGGTGTACACGAACTTGTGGCACCCCACTGTATGTGCATTCAAGCCCCAAAACTACAGACTCAGTCTCATAACTGATGATAGGTACCTTATCAACCCGTCGCCAATGGAAAATGAAATGTCGTTGAGCGATTCATATTCCATGCCCGGCGATACTATGTCACTGGGCAGAATCAACACAAAGGCCGGTCAGTAATTTATATCCACGTGTTTTCCATGCGTACGAGGTGGCAGACAGATCGCGGGCAGATTCGGCTGAGGTGGGATAGACCCAAGTTGCTACTTATTCCCGAAGCGCAATGTAAATTCGGCGAGAATTGCAGCTTTGGAAGGGATGTGTAGATGTTTCCAATCAATTGTTCAACTCTTGCATCTCATCTCAGGTCTTTCAGGGCAGTTTGAATTGCAGTGAAGACGACGGTGGGCAGAGTAATGCTCTTATTGGATAAGACTGTGGTGTTGACATCGCTGGTGACATTCCCTTTGGGGGAGATAAAAAAATTGCAGTGACGAGCGTGGTAGCAAGAGCAGCAGGTCACGTCGTGATTCAAGAGCGGACTAACGGGCTGCTAAAGCCGAGCGCTTTGTTGCGTTTCGCTGTTTCTCCTTCTGCAATGACGTCACTAGCAGTGGCTCGGAAATGGTACAACGTCTGTCTGCATCTTAAAACTCGCTGTAGTTGTCACAAACATATACCGAGACACAGGATACGTGTGTCGTAAGATCTGAACATAATTCACCATGGCAAACCTCATCGCGCTCGAAGAGCACTACGTTTCTCCCCTTCTTGATGCCAAGAAAGGCGGGGCCCCAAGCCCCGACACATTCGGGCCCGTCATAGTGGAAAAGCTGGGGGACATAGGCCCGGCACGCCTCCGTGACATGGCCAATAACTCCGTTGCCATGACGGTGCTCTCTCACTCACCAGTTCACCCCGATGCCGAAACCTGCAAAACTATCAACGATGACCTTCACTCCAAGATCATCCACCATCCGGCCGAATACGCTGCCTTTACGGTCTTGCCGATGCACGAGCCCGCCGCTGCTGCTGCTGAGCTCCGGCGCTGCGTCCAGGACCTAGGCTTCGTGGGCACACTCACGGGGAACCATCTCGACGATGGTAGCTTCTTCGATACACCCGACTTCTATCCACTCTGGGAGACCGCACAGGATCTAGACGTACCATTCTACCTCCACCCAACCTTCCCATCTGAGAATGAATCCAAAGTCAACTTCCAAGGTCCCTACGACGTCGAGATCGCAATGGCGCTGGGGAGCTGGGGGTGGGGCTGGCACTCCCGAACAGGTCTCCACTTCCTCCGCCTCTTCGCCGCCGGCGTATTCGACAAGTTCCCGAGACTCAAGATTGTTCTCGGCCACATGGGCGAGATGCTCCCGTTCATGCTCGAGCGCATCATCGGCGTGTCTGCGAGATGGCCGGCACCCGGAGGCGGGGAGCGAAAGCGCGGGCTGAGACAGGTGTGGGATGAGAATGTTTGGATTACGACGAGCGGCATGTTTTCGCTGGCGCCGATGGCTTGTTTGTTGCAGGAGACCAAGGTTGAGAGGATCATGTTTAGTGTTGATTATCCCTTTGCTGGGAATGGTGCTGGGAAGGAGTTTATGGGTAAGTTGAAGGGGAGTGGGCTTGTGAGTGAGGATGAGTGGGAGGGGATTGCGTGGAGGAATGCCAAGGGGCTTTTGAGGTTGAAGTTTGAGCCAAAGAAATGAGTGTGTTGACAGATTCTCTCAGGATTTGACGACTGGTATTCTCATCAATAAACACCATGTATGATAAGTTGATGGTGGCTGGAATCAATTTGAGAGCACAGAGTAACAGGGCATGCAGCTCCTCATACATTTTGAACGGGTGCAACACCGTATGATCAATGAGATGACTGATCATCTCTCCATACTCTCCTAATACGATGTCAAACTAAATGAGAGGAAAAGAGAGAGCGAAAAGGAGATGGCTCATTTTGATGAATCATGTGTGATCAAAGATGGCATCTGAGGCGATTGCTGTGCTGGGATTCTCGGTAACTATTCCCGAGCTAGGCACACTCCTCCGATCGGCGAGAGTTGCCGGGGTGCCCGCCTCGCAACTCTGCTCATTCAACATCATCGGACTCACTCATCAATAGCCTGCTACCATCTACAGTCATTATTGGTTGCGTTACCATCAGTTAATTCTACTCTCCATATCTTGACATCGTATCTAATTTGGCATATCGGTGCATGTGTCACTTGTCACCATGACGCTCTCACTCCCAAAGATCGGGATCCTCTCCATCGGAGACATGGGGATGGGCATCGCCAAATTACTCGTCTCGAAAGGCTTCTCAGTCGCCACGAACGGTCAAGGTAGGAGGTGAGAGTGAAACCAATCTCAACAGACTTCTAGAAGAATACCTTACTCACTCAATGACAGCCCGGCAACAATAGCCAGGGCCCGCAGCGCCAACGTAGAGGTCCTGAGCTCCGACGTTCATCTCGTTGAATCGCGACCCTTCATCCTCTCGGTCGCACCACCAAGAGATGCACTCAGCATCGCCCGACGTATCATTGACGCAATAGCAGCGATGAAACTGGAGAAGCCGCTTTACTTCACCGATCTCAATGCCGTCTCGCCAGCCACCTGCAAGCAAATGAGCCAAATGTTCAAAGAGGCCAATAGTCCCATTCGCTTCGTCGACGGCTGCATCATTGGCGGGCCGCCGAAGCTCAAGCCCAACAGCGGTAGTAATCCGTCAGCTGCGGATCAATGGTATGTCCCTAGCATGCCGGCGTCCGGGGAGTATCCCCTCAGCGAAGCATGCCCCGAGCTTGCAGAGGCGTTGAACATGCGCCACATATCCCCCGAAGTCGGCGCTGCCAGCGGGTTGAAGATGTGCTTCGCGACGACGACCAAGGGCTTCATGGGTTTGGCAATCCAGGCATTTACCACAGCGTCCAAGCTCGGTGTTGTCGACGAGCTGCGCAAGGAGATGAGCGAGGCCGCGCCGGGCTTGCTCGATTTTGCAGAGAAGTCGGTACCGCTTGTGCCACCCAAGTCGTACCGGTGGGTGCGGGAGATGGAGGAGATCTCAGATACACACCGCGCAGAGGGCGGCTTTCAGAGCGACAATGATGTGTTTCTCGGCATGGCAGATTTGTATCAGGCCATGGCGGATGATCCCGTCTTGGGCGCGGAGAAGGTTGGGGAGAGGAAACGACGGGGGACGACGATCGACGATCTGGCTGCTGCGCTGGGGGACGGCTTGGCCGGCAAGAAGACAGATAAGTCTGATTGAAGCTTAGTGTAGAGATTGATGGATGATCATCCGAGCCAAACTCCGTAAGGAGACGTCAGTGATGTTTTTGTACGCCTCGTCTTGGTTCTACGGGCCGCTGGTTTCGGTCTCACAGGTTGATTACCCCGCGATGCAGGCACGGCGCTAAATCGGTAGGTCTCAGTTATCAACGACCTGAAATACTCATCAATGTCAGCGCCCTCATCTTTAGAAACCTCTCTCTTTCCCATTATCCTTTCATTAGTACTGCTGATTGCGAAGTTGCTCATTCAATCCCCTTCTTGCGCGACCACATCACAGGCAACACTAATCGACAATGAGGCTCGACCTCGGAGACTCAGCAAGCAATGGCTTCACAGCCGTGCCCAGCTCATCCTCAAGGGCATGGGATCGCGAGGTCAATCTCCCGCCCGAAGACCCGAGCTTGCGTCTCTGCTCCAGACACCGCGTCATGGATCTCAAACAGTCCGATTTCGCAGCTAGGCCTCAAGAGCAAGCGCTGCCGCCCGACTGGCACTTTGGAACTCTATCAGACGTAATCATGCGCAGCGATTACTGCGGGTTCTGCAAGATGATTGCTTCGTCCGTCTCTACGAACAACTACAAAGACGACGTAGAGGTCTTGGGCTGTTGGGTTCCGGATGTGACCTTCGAGGGAACCGATATCAAGGGCACGGAGAAGACTCCTATGAACACGCTGAGGTTACGGATTGCTCCGGAGATGGTAGGATGGGAGGACGCGTTTGCCCCGTTCGACATTGTTCCACTGGCCAAGGATTGCGAGAATGATATGTTTGAAGGAAGAGTCTTCGATGCGAAGTCGATTAACGGCGACCTCCTGAAATCATGGCTGCAGACTTGCGAAGAAAAACACCATCTCGTTTGCTGGCGCAAAGACGAGCATGCCGCTGGCCCCATCGACCCATTCATCCGACTTTTAGATCTCAAGGACAACTGCCTCGTCAAAACGTCTGATCTCCCGGCCTTCGTTGCTCTGAGCTACGTCTGGGGCCGCGGGGCTGTGAATTTCAAACTCACTACTAGCAATCTTGACGAACTCTTCACGCCCGGTGGACTGAGCAATAACTTTGACAAGTTGCCCAAGACGATCCAAGACTCCATCAAGCTGACGACCCTTCTCGGTCACCGATACTTGTGGATTGACTCACTCTGCAACATCCAGGAGGGCAACGATGAGGACAAGAATGTCCAACTTAATCTGATGGACGTCATATATCGCAGAGCTTCTTTCACAATCGTTTCCGCCAACGGTGAAGATGCAAATGCCCGACTATCTGGCATCAACGGGGTCGAGAGGAGCAAAAAGCAGCACACCGCCGAGTATCCGCCAGAGCTCACCTTACTCTCCCTCGTTCCCGATTTCGAGGATGGCGTTGAGAAGATTAACTGGAACACACGCGGTTGGACCTACCAGGAACGACTCCTCTCGCGCAGGCTCGTCTTTTTCGCCGATAACACGGTCTACTTCCAGTGCGGCCAGATGACCTGCAGCGAAGACTTCAACATGCTTCGCGACGACGTCACTCAGAGCGCCTCGCAGCAAAACATCACTTTATCTCGCGGGGAGGCACCTCCGACTCTGACCCGGCGGAACCAGTATCGCCTAGGCATCTCGCCCGGATTCTACTATCGCATGGTCACGGAGTACACATCACGAGAGATGAGTCACACAGACGACCGAGTCAATGGTTTCAAGGGTATCTTGAACGTCATTGAAAAGGTGCCCGAATACAAAAGCGTCTTTATCTGGGGTACTTGGGCAAAGGATCTGCTCGCCTTTTCTCTGTTATGGCAGCCGCGACAGGAACTCGGCAGGGTAGTCAAGTACAAATCTGACCCGCCACTCGTCCTCTATCCCTCATGGTCGTGGGCTGGCTGGACGGGGGCCGTACGATTTGACGACCTCGACGATTGGAACGGCCTACCTGTGCTCGAGAGTCCGTTCGATCGGGTTCGTCCAGCGGGCTGGGGCGTCTCGGTTGAGCTCAACAAAGACGAGAAACCAGATCAGCACGACTTCCACCTACGACTACGAACGAGGGTTGGGAAGTTCAGGCTCACTCTCCACGACAGGAGTGGAGCCCTGAAGCCGCCCTCGTTACCGGATGTCAAGGGGCCGCACCCTGTTCGCTTCGGTATCACGCAGTCTGCACTTCCGAAAGATGGAGGTGATGACGAGTGGCTTGGGTCTATTCTGATGCCAAAAGGTTACCGGCAGAAGGGTAAGCTGGGGGACTCCTATGAGTTTGTTGTTCTCTCAGATGCATACGGCTTCTCGGGAGAGGAGCTCTCAAGACATGCCGGCCAAAAACCTTGGGAGGCTGTCAACGTGATGTTGATCAATCGGAGAGACGTGGATGGAAAAGAATCAAAGGCTGTTTCAGTTGTTCAACGGGCTGGCGTAGGCAGGATGTTGAAGTCGGCATGGGATGAGATTTCCACGGAGCTGGAGGAGATCTTAGTCGAGTAATAAGTCCTACCGACGCAAGGCATGAGGCTGACTTCCGATGAACGTGCCATGTAGTAACTTTCGACAGCCGGGACTTACTGTGAATGCCAACTCCAAGAAGCGCAATGAATGATTGTAGTTGTCACCAAGCCAACGAATGAAAGATGTCCGCAGACGGTGAGCAGAGGTAATAGTTGAATTGAGTGAAGTTCAAAGTCAATTGAGAATTGTTAAAGTATATACACTGAATGTAATCTGAGAGCAGCATGAGCTTTTCTGGTTGCCAAATTTCCCCCCGACCTAGACCATGATGATGGAAAGCAGCAAAACAGGGTGTTTGTAAGGCCGATGCCCAAGCAACTTCGGCGTGGGGTTTCCAAAGGAATATCGACGATGAACCTCAGCTCTCGTCGGGACCCCTCTCGTCTCCCTCTTAGTGACCATGGCCCCCATAGCCACCACCGTAGCCGCCTCCCTTTCCGCCACCGTATCCTCCACCACCGTAGCCTCCGCCGCACTTTCCGCCCTTGCAGTTGCCGTATCCTCCGTATCCGCCGCCATTGCCGTAGCCGCCGCCGCCTCCGTAGCCACCACCTCCGTGACCACCATACCCGCCGCCACCGTATCCGCCACCGCCGCCCTTGTTGTTAAGGATGTCAACTCCACCCTCCTTGTTCTTGTCTTCGCCGGGGAGACCGGCCTCATCTCGCTTGCCGAGATCGTTGTCTTTCTGGTCGCTATTTGCCTCGTCAGAGCCCTGGATACCGTGGCCGCCTTTGCCGCCGCCGTGACCGTAGCCACCGCCATTGCCGTATCCTCCTCCGTTGCCGTATCCACCGCCTCCCCTGCCACCGCCATAGCTGCCGTAGTCGCCGTAGTCGCAGCCCTCATCTCTGCCACCGCCCTTGCCCCGCTTGCATTTGCTGTTATTATGATATTGATCTTGGTTGTTTTGTTTCTTGTCATCCCGTGCTTCGAGTTCGTTTGGTTCATCACGAGCAGCGATGGCTTCGCTTAGAGACTGAGATTTGCCACATTAGCGCTGTAATTCTTTAATAGCTTAGAGGGAGTCTTACCGGCATATCTACATTAGGCTGTTATTGTCGGAAGATTGTCAGCATGAGGCTCAGAACAAACCTGATTCGCCTGTCTAGGAGTCACTTACAGCTGCCTCAGGGGCACGCTACTACAATGTCAAAACCTTTCCAAGTAAACAGATCTGAAAGAAGAGTAAGGACTCACTTCAACAATGTCGCCTGGCTCAAAGCCTGGCTCAGCGATAGGCTGGGCCACAGGTGCAGCGACGGCAGCAATGGCGTAGAAAGCCATGCCAATAGTGGCGGTTTGGCTGAACGATGGGATATGCATGATGGCAGATTTAAGAGTTGAAAAGAAAGGTTGAAAGTTGAGATATTGAAGCGACACTTGAGTCAATCCAAGAAAGGTAAGGATGTGGTGAAGAAGGAAACAAGACGGTAAACTAGGAAATATAGCTTCGTACTTATACTCGAGACTGCACAAATTTCCAACCCCGTAGAACAGGAACGAACATCCCCAGTCGTATTCTGACCATAGTCATCCGCGGCTGAGTCTTCCTCAACTGAATTCAACTTCGGGAATAAGTTGTGGCTTGTGAGTTGCCAATACGGCAACGCGAGATCTGCACGACAACGCGAGGTGTGGTGATGGTCCAGTCAGCCGCTGACTACCCAAAGCATACAACTTTCCAAGGCCACCCATGGAAGGGAGCTATGATCTACGAAGGCTTATATCACTCAAGTCGAAAGTCTCTGAGTAAGGTATCCGAAATATAGAGTTATCTACATGCATGGCCAAGCTGAGCCGCCCACCAACTTCAATCATCCGATCTCGGGAGGAACATTCGGGTGTGAGGGGGAAACGAGTTCCTCTCCACGTTTTGCAGTCGCTGTTTACCTTGGGTGAGACACCCGTGGATTCAGTTCTCATTTAGACGAACAGTGGTGCAAGAACCGTAAGTAGGATTTGCATCGGTGCTTTTTGACAGCTTGGTTGACAGCGCTTCATAAAGCAAACTTCTTGGAACACATCAGGGGGATTTCGTATCCAAAGCTTGCTTGGAGCTTTCTTGAAGGAATTGAGAGGAATGAACGCCTTGTACGTCCGATACTGCGGGGAGCCAACCAAGCTCATGAATACGCGAGCTGTGCCCCGTATTCAAAAAAGAAGCCTCGCTTTGCTCAAGGGATCTTTAGATAAGTAGGTTAGGCCCCTCATGATCAACCGCATACGACACATATTTTCATGTTCCGAAAGCTAAAGCTCGTTTTCATGCCGATTAATAAGGTCTAGATGTGGGGTCAATTGCTTGTTTACAGGTAGAAAGAGAGGCCGAAGTTGACAAAGAGAGAGAATCAACATTTGCCGTCAGCTTCGCCCTCCGGCAGCTTCGTAAGCCGTACTCTTGCCGGTCTCGACGCCGGAAGAAGCATGGATAAGGGTCAACAGTCCGGCTTTTAGCTAACCTTAAAGCAAGAACGCCTGCATCGTGGCTGCTTCGCACCCCTAGACCCGGAAATGAGGGCACCTACTCCATGGCCATGCCAGTAGGGCTTAGTCACAACATCTGAGGTAGGCGGCATAACCGGGATGGACTTTCTCATTCAACTGCAGTAGAGTGGCTTCTCTCAACTTACATTATGATTCCACACTGGTTGTTTCATATCCCGAAGCTCAACCAGTGGACGCGTAAACAAACTACTTACGTCCCGATTGAGTTGGCTCGGACCTCCGAACTGCTCAGCGAAATGTCACCGAGCCCCTCCACACCTATAAACAAAGGCAAGAACGACGAATTTGAGTTGACTTGGCAGACGTCAATATCATGATCAGCACTGCCCGAAAGATTCTTGCTATTAACCGACAACTTCGGTTGACCACAAGGGCTTGCAACGACCCGGTTCCGCATAGGGAGAGGGCTCTCGACACCGTATTTGAAGCCCATGTGCTTTGGGGCAAAGTACTAAAGAGAGGGAGCGAAACCGAGCTGCAAATGGTGGCACCGGGGAAGAAAGAAGGCCGCGATCAGCGCAACCACATTGCGGCTGGTCGGTATAGTGGATGTTCCAGACTGAGCACATGTCGACGGTCTGCCGGGCTCCAAGGGGTTCCTTGATGCCGAACTTCCACGCAGGAGCTCTCCGGTCCTCGTGCTCGCACGGCCTTAGCAACCCACACGAGATCTAGACCTCGATAGTTCACGTCCAGTTCGTGATCCTCTGGTCATCTCGTTCGGCTGGTGTGTAGTTTGCAGCTCAGGATTTAGGCACGTGAGCACGCCACCGGGGAAAACTTTCGAGATCCCACCGGAGAGTTTTCTAGGCATTTCATGCGGGACTTCATCTGTTGAAGCATTCGTCTAGTCATCAGAAAAGTCTCATTATGCTGAGTGTCGATGTGTCAGCAGAACTGCTGGAAGCTTAACTCCGCCTTGCAATGGCAGCAATGCCTCGGGCATGACATGAACATGACTGAGGAACTACTTAGCACGGACCAGATGGTGAATCCCAAGGGCTGAGACTTTACCCAATTTGTCTCCGAGAATGGCAATTTGAGTTCATCCGATGATGTCGATTACACGTCGTCCAAGATGGACACAGCGGTTGGTAGGTGAGTGGTGTGGACGGACAGTGACTTTTTCCGACGTATTCTCATCGACACCCTCTATGGTCCCTAAATTACCGCGGACTCAATCAAGGGATGATAATAGATCAAAAGCACTAGTTCTATGAAAGAAAATTACACTTTAATCAGGCAGGCTACACACGTGTTGTAGTGCTGCAATCAATCTGTGATATAAATTACTTTAATTTTGGTAATAGATAGGAAATAATCATCCGTTAGAACAAGCTGATATTACCATGACATGATTAGACTTAGTTTGGTCACAACGTGGACTAGATTTCAAGCCAACAAAGAGCAATTCATTCGGGTAGAAATTTACTGATGTTTTCCGGCACCTGGCTCGAACTACGATTCGCCAATGCTGAAGGTGATGGTGTAAGCGTGAGGCACTTGTGTGCCTATGAGGTGTTCACCAAATCTTAATGAGCTGGCATTCTGTGAACTCTACTTTTTTCAGATCAAGCTTCATTAGGGTTTACCCCCTGGGCTTTGAATTCGCTTTTGGGGCTTATCAGATGATCAGTCAGTCCTCTCTAACTCCTGCACCGTCACTTGTAGACTCGGCCTGGACCGATCTCTGGGACTTTGACTGTGTCTACCGCAGCTGTCGTGAAGGCACACTTCCCAACACCCCCAGTCATATTTAGAACTCCCCACTGGACAGGAAGTAAATAGCCACCATCCCGGTCTCTTTCCAGAACGTGGCAGGCAGCACTAATTGCCAGACTATTGGTCGACACCATTGGCATTGTACCATCGTAGCGCTGCAGCCCCATACCGATGATGATGACAACGAGAAGGAGCCCCGCAAGCAATGCTAAGATCAGGTCAGAAATGCAGACACAAAATAAGGTCAGAGTATGTAGACTTACTGACAAACACAGCTATAGGACTATAACCACATGTTGAGAAGGAGTTTACATCATCGTCACTGCCGTCTGTGGATATGGCTCGAATCCGCGCCAAGAAAAGACTCTGTGATACCAGCCAGTGCATGATACCTGAGCTAGCATAGAGGGGAATCCCATATCTCAGGGGCAAAGAAATGAAGTAACTTGATCGCTGAATCCCGATCGGTTCAGAAACCCTCAGTGGCTTCCGGTTACCTGGATCCCACATGCGACTGAATTCCCTTTGGACTAGAAATGTGCTTAGCATGGTGTTATAGACAATGTAGAGAACCGAGAGGACGAGTTGAGGCAAATTGGCCAGAAGCACATTGGCTATCAACCCTCCCGGATCTGTGCGAGGCATGTTAATGACTAAGTAAGTGTAAGGAGTCAAGGCACCAAAGCCTAGCTTCCATAATTGTGGTATTTTGACGCCGAAGCCTCGTTGTCTTAGGCTTACGAACGACATCGTAAGAAGAACAGCAGCGATTATGATTACGAGAAGACACCTAGTGGTAAATCAGTAAAACCAGACAGATTGCAGTAAAGCAAGAGTAGCGTTCCTACATAGCTAACGTGACGACCCAACGTCTAAGACTTGCGGACGACCTCCACTGCTTTGGTTTCATTTCAAATTTCCGCGGCTGGGGAACTTCTTGGAATATAGCAGGAGGAAATCGAACGAAACGGTTCTTTGGTATTCGGGTAGTCAAGAAGTCGTATTTCGTCGCAAGTCCCATATCGACAGTTTGCTCGCATGGCTCCCTCATGAAAGAAGCGATAGCATCACCCAACGTGTATAAGACTTCTTTTTCTTGGTCCTGCCTCTTCGGATTCTGCCACCTCCTTAAAGCCCATATCGAGAGCATGATGGAAGCTTTAATCATGTTCATGATGCAGATAGTGAACATGATAGGAGGCGAATATTCAAAACGACAATTCGCGCTGAGGCCTTCTGGCGGCTGTACAATACACCCTGACACCTCGTAATACGGAGGCCCAAGAAACCATTTGGTCACGGGCTTTGGAGGTGATAAAGCCGCAAAGTGACCAGTACCATTGCCCAGAGCCCACATGTTCTTGGACCAGTCGTCTAAACGAGGAACAATAGAAACGTACATGAGCAGACTGTCTTCCGGTGGATTCTGCAAAGATTCGTTCTTGACTAGAATAATCGCGTTTCCTTGTGGATTGAAGTAGTCATCATACAAGTCGAAACATGCTGATACGTTGCGTTCTTCGTAGACATATGCATTGCGCTGTATCCCAAGTACTACTTCTTCGTAATCCAGATTCAAGGGGTTGACTCGCGTGTCTTCCCAGCCGTAGTCGCCGGCTCGGTTGGTTTCTGCTGTCTTTAAACTCCATGTGGCATTGTTTAAGAATGAATCTTTGACAACCACGACTGTGTAATTATGAGATGATAGTGACTGGAACACAGCTGAGTTGTATCTCAAAGGGGCAGGTGTAAGTAGATGAGCAAATATCTCAGAAGAAAGCGAATTATTCTTACATGAGATGAATGGGAATAGAGGTGAGCGCAAGTAAGGCCCACGAGCATCGCCTCCACATACTGAGATATTTCAAGTTTCGGAGACTAGGGATGCCAATGTCCAGCCACTTGTGCTTCGCGTGAGCAGCATTCACGTTCTCGCGGGTCGGTGCAGCCTGTAGTTGCATGCAATAATTTGAAGCTGACAGCATACCGGTTCCCAAAAGATTGATGAGCAAATGCAACCACTGGTCCAGCCTCTTCACGGTTGAGCAATCGCCCTCGTATATCAACCCGACACCATTTCGGCTTCCGTAGCTTTTGACAGCAAAAATGGTCACCCCGAGATTCGTCATCAGGATGAAGCCGATGATCCCGATCTGGACCATGAGGGCACGGCTTCTCCGCGAAAACCATATACGCCAGCTACTGTGTTCGTCGCTCTTTATCTGTGGGAACCATCCTGACAAGGTGGTCTTGTCGGCAAACTGCTGGGCTTGAAAACTTTCAGCTCTTTGCTCTGAGACTACGGGGTTGGCATTGGTGCAATCATTATCATCGGCGGGTTGATTCGGAGGTGTTTCGGACAACGCTGCGGTCGTCAAAGGTGACTCGGTCGGTGTTTCCCTTTGATCGTCGGGCACAGCGGTTGGTTGCGCAACTGGTGCGATACTGCGAAAGATTAGGTTAGCTAAAAATACGGTTATCGGTAAGGAGTGAAATGGTTGCGCACCGTTCTGAATCTGCATTGTATCCAGCCATCATCGTTCTGCTATTTTGAAGGAGTGCTCATCCTTTCCATACCGCTTCGAGGTCTACATGACAGCAGATTCGACAAGATGTCGAAGGGAAAAATGGGACAGCAGCAGGCTGGCGGGCGAGAGCAGGACGTAAGACTCCCATCGTCTTTTGATCAGGCTCTATCTTTAGATACCATGTTCTCAGCTGCCAAATCCAGCTTCCAATCCAGGGTCATGTCTTATGCCGTGCTCCGAGACCTGCATTTGCGGCTTCAGTTCATTGGCTGAGTTGTTGGCCGGTGGGCTGCAATGCATCGCGGGAAACTAATTGGTAGCCTGATTTGGAACCGATGCCGCGATGGGTCTTTGATTAAGGCGGCCGCGATTGGCGCTGGTTAATGCGCATATGCCTATTGACGGACACTGAACTCGCTTCAAATGTCTATCATTTTATACTGTAGAACTTTTGATGATCCAGCATCTTCCATCTTATTCATTTCACAGGGCAATTCTTCATCGACGATGATACGCGATAGGTGAAGAGGCAAGGAGGCTAAAATTGAAGTCTACGAAAGTGTACTTTATTTGCACCTTGGCGAGGACTCCAGGGTCAAGCGCCAAAAATATCATCAACCGTTTATTGCGTATTCCACATTAAAAGCTCTAGATATGGATAATAGCCTTAAGTCAGGAGCGATTCCAATCTTTAAGCTTCCTGCAATGGTCTCTTGCCATAAATCACCCATCTGGCCATTGTTAACGTCATGTACTTTCGCAAGGAGCTAGTCGAAGTCCAAGTTTGCGAGAAAGAGAAGGTGAAAAGACACATTGATTTTCGAAGAACTGGAGGCTGTGACTCACAAAGGGCAGTAATGATGGATGCTCCGGTCTTTCAGATCTTTTCTGACTTGAGCTAGGAAAGCTTGCACCTCTGCATTGCTCCAGTCGAGCGCCCTGGTTAGTGCTGCCATCGTCCAGGCTTCGAGGCCCTCCGATGCATTCTCAAGAGCCCACTCCCCAAGCTCTTTGTAATGCGGATCTTTTGCCCACGGGCCAATGGGCCACTTGAACGGAACAATAGTCACATCGACGAAACCAGCTTCTTCGAGAATAGGAACAAGACTCGGGACGTGGACGAATGAACGGCCGAGGATCTTGCAGCATTCGTCCAGCTTGTCAGCCCACTGCCATAATGCATGATTAGGAGTCAAGGATCCATCGTCTGACTGGGTTCGCGCATGACCTTCGAATAGTTCGATATAACCACCGGGAGTAAGGCCACTGGAAAATATTAGTTCATGGTACTATGGCCAAAACAAGAACGCGTACTTGTATGCTTGCTTGAAGAATCCGTGCCAGTCAGAGACACTGGAAGTCATACCACGAATATGGATATAATCGAAAGGCTGGGTGAATGTCCAGGGTTGCTCAAGGTCGTCAACTTCGAATTTGAGGTTCGGCGGAACACTGAAAACGTGTGAGTGGACGGAGATGATCTGAGAAAACGGCGAAAGCATACAATTGAGTCTGCACCGGAGTAAGATCGACACCTAGAACCTGCGGACCCCTTAGCTCGTGTTCCTCCGAGTACCTAGCCTGGGAAAGAGGCCAACCTCAGCTTCGGGGTGCTCATCGGCGAATTCAATGGCCCAGAGTCCCGTGCCTGTTCCGATGTCCAGGACGCGCTTAACGCCCGAATTCTCGTTGTTCGGGGGAGCAAGGCCCAGCTTATAATCCAATGTCAATAGGTAGAGGTTATGCTGTAGATCTACAAATCTCGTTAATACTGAGACTGCTCAACTTCTCAAACCACGAACCTAGCCTGTCATTCTCTCTCTCGTCGTTGGGGAAAAGATATTCTATTTTGGTCAGATGTTGGATAGCAAGCTGGTCTAAAAGAAGGGAGGTCGCCCACTTCCGTCTTTGTACTTGTGGTAAGTTCTCCCATTCTCTATGCGATGCTGAAGGATCGAGCTCGATAGGCTTGTGCTTGAAGATGCCACACTCTGAAGCGAGTTAGAGGATCACATCGTAAACTAGATAAAACACGCCAGCGTGAAAGCTTGCTTACTGTTCCTCTATCCGAGGCATCGTCATCTGTCAACTATGTAGCAGGGTCAGTAACTCTATCCTAACAAAGCCTATGATATCCCTCACATTGTTGTCCTCTGCTTCGGCCTCTAGAACGGGCCCGTGGTTGGTTGCAACATTAGGGCCTGTGCTACTGGTAGGCTCCGGGTTGTCGACAGATGCTGATTGTGTAACGGCTACACCGCTTTCCTCAGCTCTAGCCGCTTTCTGACTGTCAGCCATGGCGTATGAAAGTTGGATCATGAAATTGCAAGAAATCTTTGCGGACAGCAAGAAGGACCATTGCTCATTTATGTCTGTAGGTGTCCAAGGGAACTTACCCCTCATCTTGGCCAAGCAGAATAATGCAGGTCTGTGGCACTGCGATGGTGGAGTAGTATGATTGCTGATGATGTTGGTTCCAACAAGCATGAGTTCTGACGGGCTCCGGCATATGATAAGTAGCGGCAAAGTCCGACATAATACCACCAACACAGGAAGAGCAGTCTTGTCTGCACTGAGGTGTATCGAACCCGGAAATAATCCGGCCAAGCGCCCATACGATTGACTTACAGTCCAGGCCTACTCCGTACAGACGATACATTAAAGCAGGCATATGTAGGTCGCTTACAGCGGGATGGAAGGGGGGAGTTCTGGAAATTAGCTGGATGGCATGGATCGATTGTTGGAAATACTAAATACCGTAAGCAGATGTGCGATTTCACTCCAGTCAAATTATCAATATCGGATTATTCTGCAGCTTCCTTGCGATCATACTCCATGCAATTATTATGGAGAATGTTCGTATCGATGACAAAGCCCAGGGCAATCCGACCAATACGTGTGAAAAGACATATAGACACTTTGAAGCATCGCTCTGGGATTGTGCTGTCAAGTGTTGGGGCACATATTGAAGCACAGTAAGCCCCTATGAGAGATGCTGTCGAACTTTTGGAGAATTAAGAGTTGAGGAAATGAGACAAATCGCCAAAAATTTGTAGCATTATTTGCCTCGGTGATAGCTCAAGATACGACGAATTGCATAATACTACATTGGACCTCAATCGTCGACACCTTTTCTTTCGTTGACACTAGACTATTTGAGGCGTTGAGGCACCTTAATTTTAGGCTTAAATAAACGCTGTTCTTCTCCACTGCCAGCGCTCCGATTGACTCGGGCCCAAGATGGATAATGACAGAAAGCCATCCGGAGCGGGCCGAACTTTAAGTCTCACTCTCTCGGTCACCATGCGCCTCAATCCCACGAGTGGCTGGACGCCTGTTTCACACAGACCAAGCATGGCCGATAATTTTAATTGTGAATACTTGACTTACTCACTGATTGTTGATGCCTGGTGGTCAATCGCGCGTCATCCCATCATTTCTTCTCTCTGCCCCCAGTCGAGTCGCTTGAGACTTGGCCAAGAGCCCCGGCGTGCTCGTGTTCATCTCAGAGCGTCTAAATTGAGGGCTGTGCACAACTAGTGCTTTGAACGGCGCTGCAGGACTCCATGGATCACGTGGAGACCAAAGCGCGACTCTTCGCTCATGATTCCCTGCCCCCGAGCATCCCGTCTCACCTCATCCTTTTCTCTTCAGTCTCATCGGTGGGGTTCATTACACTCATCATGGTCTCATTAGGCGGCGTCTTCCTTCTCTTCGTACTACTAGCAACACAGGCATCAACGCGCGAAATTCCGAGCAATGTAAAGGACTTTTATGAGTTCGTTCGCGGGCGGAACAAGTGCCATCATGTGCTAGCAAGCGGGTTTCACAGCAGTGAGGGTGACAGCGGAGGTACGTGCTTCAGCCCCTCAACGGCTAAGGCCAAAAAAAGCTCACAGAATCCATTCACCAGGTTTTAGCTATTGCGGAGATTATCTTGATGATTACAAGATCATATATCTCCAAGGGAAAAATGGCGAGCTGGCCAACATGGACGTGGACTGCGATGGCGAACAAGCCGGAGGCGACGGACGCTGCGGCAGCTCCACTGACACTCAATCTGAGACGACGTTCCGCGACCAGCTGAGAGGTTACGGAACTGGGCGACGAGATCTTAACGCCTCGGTACATACCTATGTTGTTTTCGGTAATGAAGGTACGAAGAGCGGATGGCCTACCTTCGATCCAGAAAAGCACGGTGTCAGACCACTCAGCGTAATGGCTGTAGTGTGCAATAACAAACTGGCGAGTCTACCTCACTCCACTTGCGATTCGAGTCTAATGAAACTTTGTAGCTGTACGGAATCTGGGGAGATACAAATGGTGATGATGGGCCTCAATCCATGGTTGGAGAGGCGTCAATATCACTCGCCACTGCATGCTATGGCAATAGCATCAACGGCAACTCAGGACATGATGATAACGATGTCTTGTATATTGCTTTCACGGGTGACGATGCGGTTCCTGGAGCAAGCGGGGCCAATTGGACTGCGTCAAACTATGAAAACTTCCAAAGCAGCATTGCAGATCTTGGCAATAAGCTCATTGACCGTGTCGGGAGCGGGGGCAATGGCAGGCCATTGGAAGATCCTCACTGGATGCTCGTTTCTGCGGTCGCCTTTGGCATTATTTCGTTCCTGTTTTGAGATTAATAGAAAGGCGAATCGAGAACTTAGTATCATTCAGCAGGCACGTTCGAGACATCCCAGCATGCATGGCTAGCGAGGTGAATTGATATTTTGGGCCAATAGGCTTATCTACTTCCGTTGACTTATTCTAGCATCTTTCTCCTAAACAAAAACAAGGCACGTGTAGAATTGGCTTGAAGGATGTTGTAGCCTAAGTGAATTTTCAGCATCAGATTTGAGCCCCATAATGAGTATGTATAAGCTACATCCATCCTCTTCTTTGCGAATAGAAATCTCCTAATTGCTGCTCCTGGGTGAAACCCTGCATAACATGTCAACCTGCTTAACCAACCAGTAGTTCTCATGCCTTATCCGTTCCGGTTCCAAAGGCGTGAAGTCAAAAGTCTTGACCAGGATGGGCACAAGCTTGTTAATTTCTAGCAAGCTGATGTTTTTCCCAATGCAAGTACGAGAACCAATTCCAAACTAAAGGGAGTGTCAATCAGTCATTATTTGGGCGTATCAATTCATCTGGTGTCACTCACTGGAATCCAGTTTGATTCCATGAGAGAAATGTGCTCTCTGTCCTGGCCGAACCACCTGTCAGGGCGGTACTCATCGGCATCAGCACCAAAGATGTCCCGGTTCCGGTGTAAGACCCAGGTATTAACGCCGACAACGCACTATATTCATTGCAATCGGTCAGATATACTGAAGTTGTCTATTAAAGCCGTAGTAATGGGACTTACACCCTCGGTGAAGTCTCTTCCAAGAAGATTTACGCCACCTTTTGGGACCACACGGGCCAGGGGAAGACCTGTTGCTGGATGCAGTCTGAGTGACTCTTTGATACAAGCCTGGAGATAGCTCATGGCTTGGACATCTGTGAAAGGGATGAACTTAGGGTTTCCTAGCTCTGCAAGCTTTGCATCGATATCTTCGCGAAGCTGTAAAGATTATTAGAACGATCATCCGAGCCAGGCGCGCAACATACCACTCAGCTGAGTAGGGGACAACAACATACCTTCCGAAGGACTTTCGGGTGGGACGCAAGATCATGGATGACAGCGCAAAGAGATATAGAGGTTGTATCAGAGCCAGCTCCAATGTTGGTCATGCATATCGTGAAGACGGCACTTTCTGGGAATTTTCCGGGATTGTCGTGGTGCAAACGGAAAAGCTTGGACATAAAATCTTGTCTCTCTGGGCTCCCCTTCTCCATATCAAACTGGCTTCTACCTTTGTCTAGCTGTTCAGCGGTGAAGTTGACCGCGTTCATCAACTTTCCTGGAGGAAGCTTGGACAGCAACCAGGTGAGAAGTCCGTGAAGCTCGTGTTCTATTCCAACCATGGCGCAGTACTTGAGGTAAACGTGTTGACCAGCGAAGATCCCAAGTCGATCGCTTCCTGTATCCAGGCAGCCAAATCTTTGTCCAAGCTATGGAGAATGGGTGGCATTTTGTAAGAAAAAGAAAGGTGAGAAAATTTTGCGCAGAGACTTACCGTAATTTGACTGATGACATCAAATGCATAACATTGCATCCAAAACTGAAGGTCGATGGGATTTTGAGCCTTACTCAAGTCTTCAAGTCGCTTCACGTAAACTCTTAAGCAGTCTTCGACATCGGACTCCATTGCTCTAAGGGAGGTGACAGAGTAAAGATTTGCTACGAGACGCCGATTTGCGGCGTGACGTGCGCCATCTCGTTCCGTGAATAGGTCTTGCCAAGGAACACCGGTTGGACTTGAGGCTTCGTACCATGCGGACTAAGAGGTGACAAATGTCAGTGATAGCATATTAATGTCATGGGCTCGATCATGCGTGCCTTGGGAAATCCCTTTCCAATGCCGTAAATCGTCTTAATCACGGTCGGATCGTTGATACTATATTGCTTCGGAGCAATCCGCACTATGGCACCTATCCAATGCATTGTCTTGTAAGCGAGAGAACCTCATAGTTTCCACAGAATGAAGACAACATACCGTATTTCTCGTGGAGTTCAATGTTGCGATGGTGGAAATTTCCGTCTCTCACTTGTCGAAAGTACCAGAGTCTTGAAAGGCGAGCCTCGAATGGGCCAGGCAATTTCCGAAGAGACGAGGACGTCTCTGTGATGACATCTACTGAGGCCCAAATGAGGGTGGAAAGGACGAGAAGGAGGGCGTAGATCGATGGGGTGAGAGTGTTGGTCGAGTTATTTGGGTCCATTGTGATTTGTGAAAGTCTAATCCGCGTTCCGGACAGCCTGGTACAGGCAAGTGGGTTGATCAAACTATGAGAGTTCCTCTCTAGGCTATATGTAAGGTGAAAGCTGCTCTTATGGGTTGAACAATGATCAATCGGGCAGTATGCACAACAATGATGATTGAACTTCTGAAAGCGCGTAAGGTTCGAGGTTGACGTTAATTTGTTTCGCAGAACACTTAGAAACAGGTATTATGTAGTATTTGCACCAAACCCCACAAGCCACTTGCTATAGATCAAGGCTTATCACGCAGTTGAAAGTGACTTCGCTCATTGTGTATGTGCTTGAGCATCAAATCAAGCATCCGGAGTCCGTATCGCATCCGTAAGCTAGGTCATGCTAACGGGCTGTGACCATGCTCCCCGGAACCTTACCCCGCCAGATCTCAACCTCGCAGCGCTAGAAGACTATTTGATGTGCCTGTTACCCCACATGGCATTACTATTACCACACATATGAGGTATGTCATATGGCTAAGCCATCGCAGCAAGATACAAGGGTTGCCAACAATATCAGTTGCTTTCGGGATACCTTACTGATGCCTCCCTGCTCATGATAGTCAGTCTCTTGCTCGTTGCCCCTCCTGTACATGGTTCCAGCAGCACGCTTAAAACTATATCACACACCCGACTATTTTCAAAACCTACGCAAGGTTTTTCTAGTCCTCATCAACCATGGGCGATGACAATCGAAAAATAATTCGTCACTCGAATGGACAAACGACTGCATACATTCTCGACTCCTTTGTCGACCCTTGGAAACCAGCTGAGACCATATTACTCCAACATGGCTTCGGGCGAACCTCAGATCACTTCTATCACTGGGTTCCGGCCCTAGCTAGAAAGTACAACGTCTTGCGTCGCGATCTGCGAGGCCACGGCGGTTCAAGCTACCCGGGCCCCGATGACGACGAAGTCTACCAATACACAACTGCCACGATTGTGGATGAGATCAAAGAGACCTTAGATCAACTGAATATTGAGAAGGTTCACTTCGTTGGAGAGTCGACAAGTGGCATGCTCGCAGAAATATTTGCTGCAACATACCCAGAACGAGTCAACTCAATCATTGTGTGTTCATCGCCGACCCGTTTGCCAGCCTCGGCGCAGCAGTTTCTTGCTTTTGGTTTGGAATCTTGGCCCCAGGCATGCCGCCAACTGGGATCGAGAGGTTGGGCAGAACGCCTCCTGGGTGCGAGCGGCACTGTGGCGAGTAGTGATCCCAACTACCTCGCATGGTGGAAGGACAAGGTCGCTGTCAGTGATGGAGAAGGGCTCGCAGGATATGCCGAGTTCCTGAGTCAGCTGGACGCTCAGCCTTACTTGGGGGATATAAAAGCTTCTATGCTGATCTTATCACCTACAAACAGTGCTCTTGTAAGCGTCGAGTCCATGAAGAAGCTGGCTGGTGAGATTGCCTCGTCGAAACTGGAGATCATTGAGTCTCAAGGGCATGAGATTTATGCCGAGGCTGCAGAGGACTGCATTTCCAAGATTGAAAAGTTCCTGCAGGAACTCTAGATTCGAGAATACTATCCTTCGACTTTAGAGTACTTGAGCGCCCACTCTTTTCCACAATATCCTGCGAATGTTTCAGTGGTTCTTCTTTGCTAGGCTGGGTTCATAACGTTGAATGGCCGATGATAGACGTGACATGAGCTTCGAGTCAACTTTGAAGCCTTGATTCACGAGCTCAGATTTTCAATACGTCATCTCTAATCAGAAAATGTAGGCTCAATGGAAAATATTTGCTACATCCAACTCTAAGCATGCAGCCGTCATCTTTTACGTTCTACCAATGTCCATCCGTCTTAAGTCTCCGAATCTGTGACATACAGGTACACCGAAGAGCCATCCCGGTCCTCGAAGGAATGTTAGTTCACTCACTTCCAGGAACAACACATCGATTTACTTACGATACAGCGGGGGTCCGTTGCGGCCTTTTCAAATACCCCATAGGCCGCCTCTGCCATAGTCGGCTGGATATTCTCCTGTTTTGCAGCCTCGATCCCCAGAGAAAGATCCTTGAGAAACATCTGAGTCTTGAACCCCAGCCTCCAATTATTACTGCTCGGGGCATGGGGGACAACGCCAGGGACTGGGCAGACATTATCTCCCATGAATGTTTGACCAGTAGAGTTGTGGATAATCGTCTGAAGCATCTTTGGGTCCACTCCTGACTTTACCCCGATTGCCATCGCTTCAGATACCAGAAGTAGAACAGAGCAGGAGATGTAGTTATTGCTGATCTTAGCAGCAAGTCCTGAACCAACGTCACCGCACCAGAAGAGCTTTTCGGAGTCGCCTATCATTGACACTACCTGACGCAGTCTTTGGGATAATACATCTTCCTCATCTTGGAGTTTGCGTCCGATCATGAAGGAAAGAGTCCCCTTCTCTGCTGCTGGCACGCCTCCCTGGGACAAGATGGAGTCAGAAAATGCTGTTGCCATTGCTCGGTCGAAGATATGGAGTCAACCATCCATTCTCGGGGAGACTCACGGAAACAGGGGCATCAACATATGTTCCTTGGGAAGCCTTTCTTATCTGATCTGCCACGTGCCGTGCGGTGGTAGTATCAATGGTACTGCACTCAATCAACAGTCTTTGTAGGTTCTTTGGAGCGGCGACAATCCCGTCTTCGACGTCGAGATAGACCTTCGATACTTCTGGTGCTCCCGGTACCATGGAAACCACTACATCTGCTGCAGCGGCGACTTCGCGAGGACTTGCAGCCACTTCCACTTGCCCGAGGCTTTCAAACTGGTCGACGAATTTCTCACAGGCTGATTTGTTGACGTCAAAAACATAGACGGTAGATTGGCGCGATAAGTTCCGACGAATCGATGCAGCCATGGGATAGCCAATGGCGCCAAGGCCTACAGGAGTCAACGATCGTTCCGTAATGGCTACGGCTGAGGCTTACCTATGAATCCAATGTTAAACTCCATCTTTCCGGTATCACAGAGGCTTGTTGTAGTTTTTCAAATTATCTAAAGTTTTTGAGATTGAAATTATTACTAGGAAGCGATATCATCATTCGCATTGGGGTTCGGGCGTGTAATTACAGATGTCAGTAATTGAAGAGTCCTCTGAGGCACTCCCCGCATCGCATTTCTCACGGGCAGCTCACAGTTGACATGGGTCAAACCAGCCCAACCAACTTGTCCCCCACATCACCCCGCATCCTCCTGACGGATAGTGATCAGTCAACTGGACCTAGCACAATGGCAGCGCCGCAGCGACATGAACACACGTGTACGTAAAGAGCCCCTGAAGACAGCGAGTACAGATGCCCAGAAGGATCGGACGGTCAAAGCCTCAGTGCTCTGTCGGTCTCTGTCAACACGCACATCCAGCAGCTGCAAACATTCCGATTACGAACTAAATCATCATGGCTAAGAATGACGAAAGCTTGAAAGTTGGAGTGATCGGGCCGGCCGGTTTCGGAGGCTCTTACTTGGTCGTCGAACTCATCAACCGTGGCCATCGTGTTGTCGGACTATCTCGCAACCCACAAAAACTTGGCAGTCATGACCTCTACGAACCGCGGCCTATCAACCTTGAAACATCAACTGAAGGAGAATTGGCTACGGCCATCGGCGATCTTGCGGTTGTGGTGTGCGAGTACGGGCCTCATACAGCTGGTCACGAGGCCTTACAATACAGTACGTTGTTCAGAAGTGGCTCGTAGCAATGAATTGTCTGACGAGAGAACAAAACTATAGTGCCGTTCATTGAGATGGTCAGAAAAATCATCTTGGCTGTCAAACGTGCCAAAGTAGGCTACTTTGTTATGGTCGGCGGTACTGGTAGCTTGCATGTGCCCCATGAAGACGGCGTGTGCGTGGCGGATAGCAATGACTTTTTCTTGGCCTACCGCCGTGGGATTGCAGATAGTCATGCTCATGTCACTTACATGGAAGAAAGACTTGGCCCGATAGGAAGTGCCTTGAGAGTATACCGCGACGCTCGTCTCCTCCTCAAAGAGGGCAAAGGAAGCACGGAAGAGAAGGTGGCAGCCCAGCAGACGATAAACGCTTACGAAGCTCAACTGAAAGCGCAACAAGACGCATCGAGCAGTTTCATCAAAGCTGCGCGAGCCAGTTTCATGTTTTTCGAGGGCAATACATCCTTCGACTGGACATATGTGTCACCGAGCGCTCTGTATCGCCCCGGCAGACGTACCGGCAAGTACGAGACTACTCTGGGCAATTTGCCGCTCAAAAATGGACCTGATGGTGATAGTCCGCTGGACGGGAAGTTGATGGGGATTTCGGCAGCGGATCTTGCCATAGCCATCTCTGACGAAGTCGAGTCGCGAAAGCACAAGCAACAGCATTGGACTGCAACAGGGGATTTGTCGGACGACACCCCCGCTCCATCGTATGTAACCCTGAATTGAATAAGATTTTCTCTTAACAGAATGAAACATTCTGTATGATTCTTCCCAGTGAGACACGAATGCGGAGATCTGGTGTGCCCACCTTTATCCATGTTCCTGTATGCTGTGCTCGGGGCCTCCCCCAGTTGGAGACAGCCTGGATCAATGTGGAGTATGGACGAAGTTCGGGCATATTAGTGTGCCGTGTGTGCGTACCTATTAACAGAGGCAGCCCCAGCCGCCGCGATGGTGCTTCAAAGGTAAACCTGGTCCATCTAAGGTAGACTTCTGAGGCAACCGCGACAACGCAAAAATGTCTGCCTACACTGTTAGCGATTCGGAGTTCCAGAAGTTGGAAGGCAAAGTCATATTGGTCACTGGCGGTGCAGTCGGCATTGGGAGAGCCATTGTCGACCTCGCCCATCGTAAGCAACAGGAATATGAGCTGTTAGCGCTGTGCTGACCGTTTCGTGACAGGGCATGGGGCAAAAGTAGCATTCTGCGATGTTGACGAGACTCGAGGAAAGCAAGTTCAGAAAGAGCTTGGAAAGTGAGTTGCATCTTCCCCCACAGTCTTCTTATGAAGCATCCTATTATTATGAACACTTTTGGCTCATATTCAAGCATCGACAGCGTCTTCTTCAAAAGATGTGATATATCGGACTGGAACAATCTTGTCAGCTTCTTCCAAGACGTGCACTCGAAGCTCGGTCCCATCGATACCGTGATTTCGAACGCTGCAATCAACAGGCTTGAGACCCTTGACGAACCCAGCTCTGGTGCAGACTGGTACCTCCAAAAGCCTGATATCTCAGTGCTAAACGTCAACATGGCCGGTACTTGGTACGTAACCAAGTGTGCCATTGGTTTCTTTCGTAAGACGCCCGAAACGAAATCTCAACTGGTTCTACTCGGGTCTGCTGCTAGCTTCTTCGATACACCACCTTGCTATACATACTGTGCCAGCAAGGCGGCTGTTCTGGGTCTTATGCGCGCCATGAGAACTCAGTTGCCGAAGATGAACATTACTGTCAATATGATCGCACCTTGGATGACAGGTGAGCGCATTCATCCGCTTGAGCAGTGGTCAATATACACATGAAGCTAAACCTTGTAGATACGGAAATGATCACCGATCACATCAGAAGCATTTGGAAGGAGCTACCTGCGAATACGCCAAAGGACGTTGCCACAGCAAGCTTATTACCTGCTATGCGACCTGAAGTAAACGGAAAATCGTTTTTCATTCACGGCGGAAACATCAGCGACCTGGAGGACAAGCTTGACGAGACTCAACCTCTATGGTTAGGACCCAAACTCGATAAGGAGATGAGAGAAGGACAGCGTAGACTGATTCCCTAGCTAGATTATGAATTGAAAGCAGAAATGTGGCTGTTACTGTTCGATAGTGTTGCTTGAATCCTTTGTTGAAGAAATGAAAGGGCGCAAAAAAAGGGGACCGCTGCAGCAGCGTCCAGAGCAGGCGCTGGACCGAAGCCTAGGAATGCACGGACTCCCTAAGCCAAGCCCTGTAGCTCCTGAAGCATGCCCCGAAGGGATACTTCTTACGATTGTATTCAGATTTTGACATGATGTCTGCGCAGAAACATCATGCCAATTATTGATATGTTGAAGTTTTCACGGGCGCCACGACAGCACAGAATATGTCAATGAGGCCCATACGTAGCGTTAATGATGTTTCAATTGCTCCAAGACTGAATGTGACTCCTCATTCGTATGTACAAAGGATACGATACACATTGTACTCCAGGCAGAGAGAACGCGATTCATTGTTATGCGGACACTGCTATTCCCAAGATGCTTGTCATCAAGACGATTTGCATGACTCTTGGACATAGATTTTGGTCAATGAGCCTCTTCGAAATTCTTTTCCTTCAACGCGCTGTACTCCCTCCGAATAATTTCTTCATGCGCGACAGAGCGACACGTGATGGAGCATTCGAAAGGCTCCGGAACGCTAAGAAAGCCAGGCATCATTCGAGTTGTGGGGACTTTCTTCGTCCCGTTAGAATCTCGTTTTTGCTCAATATTGAATGCCCATAGGATACGAGAAATAGCAACAAAGAGCGACTTCTCAGCTAGATGGACCCCAGGACATGCACGCCTGTCAACATGTTAGCCATCTATGCCATCCTCTTGTGATGATCGATCTCGAGATAGGAATACGCACCGGCCAGCACCATAGGAAAAGTGATCTCGCTCATAGGGATCCTGCGAGTTCATGTACTCCGCTGCAGAGAGAGGACTGTTGAGGAACCGAGATGGATCGTATACATCGGCGTTTTGGTAGCGAGTTGGATCGCGCTGGATAGCCCTACACATTTGACATTATTGGTTAGCCAATGTTCTTGGGAGCAAGTGACTTGCAGGTACTCACCACCAATTCAGGACAACTACAGAGTCCTTCGGGATGAAGTGACCCTCATACCAGTCGTCCTCGGTGGAAGCATGATACATTCCAAACTTGTTGACTGGACGCCATCGCAAGGTTTCCTTGATCATCGCCCGAACGTAAGGAAGATCTTTCTCATCTTCCCATGTGGGCATTCTGTCGTTTCCCACGACACGGTCAATCTCTTCTTGACCCTTCTTCATTGCCTCCGGGAAAAGAGTCATAGCTAGAGTCCAGTTGTTGATAGTGGTAGCTGTTGTCTCGGAACCAGCCTCGACTAGACCACCACAGGTGTACGCCGCGAGCAAGTCATTGATGCCATTCTTCTTAGGATCACCAAGATAAAAGTCCTTGCAAAAGCAGTCCTTAGCGGTACCGTCGTCCGTGGTCTTCTTCAGCGCTTCCCAGAGTTCAAGCCAGATCTTGCTGTCGTGAGCAAAGGCTTTCGTGCCCCAGGTACGCCAATTTCCCAAGAAAACTTCGGGGAGATTGGTGAGGCCGGGTAAGCTCTCGACGGCAAAGGCCCCAGGAGCCATCATGATGGACAGATTCTCCAGAACGCTGAAGATCTTGGAGATAATCGGATCTTGAAAAGAAGAAATGCGATAGCCGTAGGTAGCTAGCATGATGACAGAGGTAGAGTAGCGTCGATTGATGGTGTAAAACTCATCAGGCTGATCTAGTAAATCTTGAAGCACCACCTTTGATTCCAGGTCTTGCGATGGCATGTACCTCTTCGAGGCATTCAAGTTGAGGAGTGCGTGGCTGTGTTTTCTCAGGTTTCTCCAGTCTTGTCCATATGCCATGAATAATTGTCGAGACTTTCCGCTTGCGACATCCTGAGCCAGCGGAAGATGCGGCCGCGAGGAGTATATGGCCGATTTCTTGTCCATGAGATCTTTCACAGCTTTCGGTGTTGATAGCCATATGTAGTCGGTTGCTCCAATTTTCGTGTAGAAAATATCCCCATACGTACGATGCCATTCGCGGACCTTTTCTCGCACCAGTTCTGAGTCTGCTAGGTCGTAGAGATTGCCAATGATTGGAAGTCCTCGAGGTCCGGGGGGTAATTTCTTCCTTCGTGGGTCCTGTCACATAGATGTCTCATCAGCATATTCAAGCTCATTGAAAAATATTTACCTTACTCACTGTCAACTGATTTGGTACATAGCGAAGATAACAACCAAGCAGAATAAGAATGACTGCCAGGCTGATACCCCTAAGATGAATTGAGCCCTCGTTGGGGAAGATGGGCACACTTGGTAACTGAATCTTGACGAATTTCATCTTATCGAGGAAAGATACGCTGTGAGACTTGGCTAAATGAGTACCGTGTTGTGGACAGTCAACAAATGATGGGCAATTTCATTCATGTAATCTTCGAATAATACGAACGAGTCTCAAAGAAGGGAGCTAGACATTGAATTGCACCAGACTTCCCCCCCGTCTGTGTGTGTCTACATAATGTGGGGGGCAGGGGTTGTTTCTGGGGAGCTACTACAAGTCCCTAGTAGATGCGGGGAGCTTCGTAACTCTGCTACTCTATGCTCTGATCCATGTCACTGGGAAATGCCAACCAGATCGAAAGAGTAGTCTCAGAAAAAAATCGAACAGTGGGAGTGCCCATAGACGAACTTGAGTTGACTTCACATGGCCACTACCCGCCAAACCCATTTGGCTGAATTTGCTCAACGTATGCAGAGATTCACCAATTCATGGAAATTATGGGCCAGTTTAATATAATAACAAGTGATCACAGCTATTGACTTGATAACATTTACTCAAATCCGGCTTAGAACTGGATTTCGTAGGTGCTCACAATCCTACGACTGACCACTAGTTACTTCTTTGTCTCTTCGTTCCAGGCAATGATGACCTTTTCAGCAACCTTAAACCCTTCAATACCAGCTGGCATTCCGCAGTAAATAGCCGCCTGCAGTAGTGTCTCCCGAATCTCCACTTCACTTGCCCCATTGTTCAGCGCCCCACGGACATGTGCTGCAAGCTCGGGGGCTCTGTTCAGAGCGCATAACATGGCAATGTTTAAGAGAGATCGTTGTTTTCTCTCCAAGCCTGGTCGAGCCCAGACCGAACCCCAGCAAGCCTCTGTGACGAGTTCTTGCATCGGCCGGGCAAAGTCAGACGAACCGCCGGCCAAAGCTGCGTCGACGTAAGAAGTCCCTGCGACTTCATATCGGGTCTTCAGTCCTTTGTCGTAAAGTGTCTTGTGAGCCGCTGTCTCTTTCTCGGTAGTCGCGGAAGTCTTGTCCGCCATGTTGGTGTTTCCAGCGCTCACGAGTAGCTGTAGTTGGTTGAGGCTGTGTACGAGGGGTCTGCAATTTGTGAAAGTGTTGGTGAGATTTGGTCTCAGCTTGCCAGTACGTATCATAAGATCGTTTCTACCTTAATCGAGTTTACATGAAAGTCCTATGCGATCACTCAATTGCCACAGGGGGGCTGCTTACATGACGGGTGTGATTTCCCGGCCCCCTTCCATGTTCTTACCCCATATCAGAGGAAGTTCTCTCTCCACATGACCCCACATCACCATGGAACGGAGATCCGTATGCACCCCGCATTATGATGGCGGGGTCCTGCTTCCGTGCCGTCATCTCGTAGACCGGAGTGGGGAATCGGCATCCTGGGCGCCTGGGTGTCAACTGAGCAAGTCCTTGCTTGAACGGGGCCAGGGTGTTGCAGAGTGTCTGTAGCTCGGAGGGGGCAGAGTGGAACGTTGCCGCTAGTGGACAAGATCGGTAGCAGTTAACTTCATGCGAGATTGTGACATTTCGTGAATTGCATCGATGAGGGCAGAACCTTTTGACACGGAGCAGTCTGTTTGTTGAGATTCGGTTGCAATTAAGGGAAATAAAAAAAACAGGGTGTGATATGTGAATTTCGACAAAGCTGCTACAAGGTGCTCTAAGCTTAATCTGGCTTAATCAACCTCCCAGTCCTCGCTGCCTCCAATGTATCTGTAAAGTACGCGAGAGTCGAGATCGCGACATTTAGGATCTTGACTCGCCTCCTTGTAGGCTCTGAGGCCAACAACACCGAGAATCAACTTGGCGCCAACCTTCTCTGCCGTAGAGACAGCTAAGCCAAAGTCCTTTGCCATCAGCTGAATCTTGAAACCGCCCTGGTATCCGTGACTTGCCGGGGCATTTGGACAGATACCAGGCACGGGATTCCACTTGTCGCAGATCGTGCTTTGCGCGGTACTGTTAGAGAACACTCGTGCGAGGAGTCGTGGATCCATGCCGGCTCTCATCCCAATATTCATCGCTTCGGATGTGGCGAGTGAAATGAGCGCTGAGCAGTAGTTGTTGCACAGCTTTGCCGTAAGACCCAAGCCTGGACCACCACATGCAATAATATTCTTGCCCATTAGGCTCAGTAGTTCGCGAATCTCTGGCCAGTTGGAATCACTCTCGGAGCAGCCAACCATCAGCGTCAATGTAGCGGCTTCAGCGCCGATAGTGCCACCAGATACAGGTGCATCACAGAAAAGCGCTGTCGAAAACTGGGATCTGATAGTGGTCGATACCAGTTGCGATGTCTCCGTGTCGATAGTTGAGCAATCGATGAGAAGACGGGACCTCAGTTCGGGGCCAAGTATTCCAGTGTCTGGATCCAAATACACGGTTCTCACATGACTACCCTCTGGGAGCATTGTGAAGACTATGTCCTGAATCCCGATGTAAGTCACTCAATATGATGAAATGTAGTTTATCGGGCGTTAACTTACAGCCTTCTGTGAAACCTCTCTTGGAGATTTGCACCCTGTCACTACATCCTCTGACTGATCGACGAGCTTCTTCATGGAGCTCTCTGATATATCGTAGACATATATTTTAGAACCCTTCGCGACCTTTGCGACGAGATTGGAGGCCATGGGCAAACCCATAGCCCCGAGGCCAATGAACCCTAGACTTAGTGGCTGATCCATGAGAAGACGGAAGGGCAACGATGGGGAGCAACAGTATTTGTGTGCATGCAAGAGTGAAGGGGTTTTGATACCTCCAGTCTAGAATATATATGGATAAAATGAAGGTGTTGACGCTTGCTCAAGTAATCAAAGAAATCTGAGAGGATGTTGAGGCGGGGTAAAGAAGAAGGAAGACCAAGTCTGATGGCAAAGCACATCCCACAGCACGAGCACTAAGCTGGGCACGTGAAACCAGCGCAAATTTAGATACTTCAAGCTTGAAGACTTAATGATCATTAAAAACTTCTAGAAAAGGCAATTGCGGTAAAATCTTTGATACCTGTTCTGTCATCTGTGTCTGGAGGTTCAATCGATCTTGCCAGGGAAAAAGGCTTCTTGGTGACTTTTTGCCCAAGCTGCATCATGAGCAAAAATGACCTGCAACACGAGATCGCTTTGCATCGAGGCTTTCTTCAACATTGAAATGCTGCTCAGTGTCTCTGTAGCCTCTTCTTTGTTCACATGGATACAACAAGCTCGACCCTCACCATCCTCCCATTCAGCTATCCGCATCTCGCCTGTTAACAGACGAGCGTCGTGACAAGCATCTCCGATGAGCAAAACCCAGGATTGAGGTTCTACTCTTGCCAGGAGACCAAGATGACCAGGCAAGTGACCCGGCAAATCGACAACATATAACGAGCCACTGTCGTTCTCCCCGATCTCTAGTAATCTCAGCCTTCTCAAGTTTTTCCATCTCTTTGCAGACCCTGCCTCTCCTACTTCTCCCCTCGGGCCCGTGATCTCTTCAACTCGGAGGCCATCGAAGAGATCTGCTTGGAAATTGGAGTGAGACATGTGACCGTTCATTCCCTCGCTCAGCAATTCGAGCGATCCTTCACCAACTCGAAAGCGAGCATTGGGAAAGTCAGAGGGAGTCCCAATATGGTCCCAGTGAACGTGGCTGAGAATGACCTCGTCGATGGCTGCCGCATCAAAGCCTCCATCGACCAAGCTCTGGCGAACATCCGGCAGTAAAGTCATCGGCTGCCGGTTCTTCGTGTGGCTTTGTATTGGCGTCGAATAACGCTCAACATTTCGTCTCAAGCCCAAATCGAAGAGGATGTGTCGGTGACCCCCGTCGACTAGCTGCTGCACCACGAGGAAAGAGAGTGACGGGACAAGTGCTGTCTCGTTCTCGGATACCCCCGCGACGAAGAATCGCTTGGGGAGGGTGAATTCGCCGCCTCTAAGGGCGGAGACTTGGACTTTTCCTTGTGCGGTCGATTCTAGGGCTGCAAGAGCAGCTATCATGTCATTGAATTCAGACATTTTGGCTTGGGATTCCTTGAATTCTTGCGTGATAGGAGATGGGGCGGTCGGTAAGTAAAGAGCGTGGGTGAAATGTGCGTGTACTAACAATCCAGGCGGCCACAGGTACATGCGGGGTAACTATACGACCTGATCATACATCGCCATGTCGAAGATCAGGTCCTACTTGGGAGGTGGGACTTCCACAACTGGTTTATATGAACGCTTCTGAGCACGCATTTACGTAGAAACTCATTCTTTCCAACTCGCTACTTTGCGACCTATCAAGGTACCTTACTTAGGAAGGCTTCAGCACGCTGCTCTCCCTTGCGCCTAGCGATTCCCCACGAGAGAATGATCAACTCCGACCTCGCAGTTCCTGGCGCCTTAGTGATTAACTCACGGCTCCTGTCTTTTCCTCTTTCATAACGCGTATAGCTCCCTAGATATTCTGTCTACTGTCTTAGCCTGCGGGAAATAAGTTTGAGTTGTGCCTTCTGGCTCAACATTACAGCCGCTTGACGTATTTGACTACTAGCAAAACACGTTCTGCAACATAGATGTTTGATGTACCCTTAGACCCGTCTTTTCTACGTTGTATGGCGAGCCGGTAGAGGTGCGGCGGTTGGCATCATATGCGTCCTGATACGCATCGGCCAGTTGATTCAGTACTCCTCCCATCCGTGGCGTTATGCCCCATACCCAGACCTGAAATGTAATCAGTATATCAACGTGCAATACTGCGTGAGGACAAAATCTCATCACCTACATCTTTTAGAAACCAGCCCCATGTCCTGGCGATCCCGGCGGCGAGGGCATGTCCCTCGCCGATGTCGCACTCAGCCTCATCTAAAGTCTCTCGGATCAAAGTCAGTAGTTCCAGCTCGCTTTGGCTTGGTTGTACCCCAACTACCATGTCCTGTTCCATGGACTGGGCCCATTTCGACACAAGAAGACCTGCTCATAGCTATATCAGCGTGATGAAATTATCTTTTAGCTTTCGGGAATTTGTTCGGATTCACTTACCACCAGTCCACCCTGCTACAGCGTGCTCGATACTCCATCGGAAAGCAGCAGTCTTCCGGACCAGAAGATGCCCCATCTTGACTGGGACAACCATTCCTTCAAAGGACTTTGATACCATCTCAAGGAGATGGGAGCTTCGTTCCATCCTGCCTTTGACGAATGATGACACGCATGACTCAATGTCCCTGTCTTCGAGGTTCAACAGGCTGATTCGACAGGGAGTGGTGGCGATTTTCGACATTCTGGTGTAAGCAATACGTAAGACTGCCTGGCAATTGAAGACAAGTGAGAGCTCCCTATCCTTCTCGTCTTCTTCCGGACGTGGCTGACGCAACTCACTGCTAACGCCTTTGAGAAAAGCACCACACCGAGCCAGCGACTGCATGGCTCCGTTAAGAAGCGAAGCTCTGAGTGGGTCTTGGTCATCACCATTGCCTGTCGTTGCCATCGAACATGTTGAAGCGAGGGCCTGGCAGATTTGTAATCTCTGCCACATATGAACCACAATCGCATGGGTCAGAACAAGTGCGGTGAAAGACGAGACATGGTACGGTATTGTATCGGCATGATACTTCCCTTCCAGTAGTATGTCAACGAGAACGTCCTTTATCGTGTGCCGACGGCTGTTTGGTGAGCTTTTTGAGGCAGCCGTGCGGAGCTCTCGCCATTCTGCAGGTGACCTTGCGTTCCACATCTTTTCATCTTGATATGTTTCAATGTCCAGATCTTGGGTCGCATGAAATCCAGGGTTGACGTCGTAGATCACCATAGTGAGGGTACTCTCTATGAAGATGCCCCCTAGCGCGCGTTTCCATGACTCGAGCTCGATCCATGTGTGCCATGTCATCTCGGATGATTCTGTTTGAGTGTTTTCTACCGTAATTCGAGCCTTGTTATAGACCTTTGAACAGGCAGTCAGTACAACTCTTTCGAAGTTGTCTACTACGACTCATTGCAAGATACTGTAGGTAGACTCACCAAAGTGTAGAAGCCATTGTCTTTCATCGTTGCATCGACTAGATCCTTCTCCCCGCTCATGACTGCATAAAAGCTGAGAAGGATTTTCGCCTGCACGAACCAAAGAAAGTAATCCTTTACCATGGATTTGGAATCATCCTTGGTTGGTTGAGGCACCTGTTCCACACTGCGGATCGCCAAGTCATAGAGATGACGCGCCCGACGACGGTCCAGGCGGTAAAGAGCGCCGATGGAACAAATCGAAAGCACCAACGGGCCTGGAGTGTGCGCTAAATCGAAGGTTTGCATATGAATGATCGGGAAATGGCTATGAAAACTCGTCATGTAAGCAGATAAGAAGCCTTGTAATGTTTTGGCAGTGGGCAGCTGAAAGTCCACAGTTGATAACTTCACCCGCGATGATGTGTCTTTGCGAAGAGACATGTGCGTGTCTTCATCAAAGGTGACGGTCGGATATTGTTGACGCCCGTCCTCGAGTAAAGAAGGGAGATCGCTGCCACCCGGCGATGTGTGGCAGCTAGCCCATCTAGGGGGACCTCCGCTTGAAAGGTCCGCAGTGTTGGGATGGCGTAAGGTTTGTCTGCGATCATCTCTCTGCTCGGCGGTGTTGCTTGCTAAGGGCGATAGGTTAAATGTGCTCATGCCGAGGTGGGCCAGCGTATTCGGTGAAAACAACTCATTATTTTCGGTTGCGTTCATGGACGGACCAGCAGCATCAATTCCCTCTGGTGGGTGTTGTGGATGACGCGGGGGTTGTTCCCCTGAAGCCCCGGTCTCATGTCCGTTTTCTGCTGGATATTTACTCGGTACGTCCATGGCAATATTTTCGAAAGGAAAATCCATGTCCATGAATAAGGCTGGATCTAAAGGTGGCAACTCTTCAACTGGATCGACGTCGTGAAAGTAGTGAAGAGGCAGCAAATTTCCCTCCCGTTGAGTACCATGCTGGAAGATATCTGCGGGTCGACTTTCGGTGGCTCTTGGATCCCTACGCACCTCGAAGGATTGATCAGTCAATGGCTGAAAAGACATCAACATTTGTTCTAGTTCGATATCAGGATCGGCTGTCCGCCGGGAGGATGACTTCCGTCGAGAACTGGCACGGTGCGCTTGACTGGAACATGGTGATGTTGTGGAAGAAGCGGCGCCTTCGTCTGGCGACCGCGAGTCTGGAGATTCTTGGCCAGATCTTTCGTCGTCGTCTTGATCTACGTTCATGTAGTCATTGCCTCTCGACGGCGAAAAAGCTGTCGCTTGCGCCAGTGACGCGCATGCCACTGTCACCACATCCCCAATCTTTTCTCTTGCTTGTTCCTTCGCATGAAGTGTGCGCTCGTGTCTCGTTACGAGGTCCCTAGAAGCTTCCCATTAGCCGGAATCCGTGGGTTGTCTCAGTTCGAAAAGCCTTGCCAGTACTTACTTCCTCGCATATGACTTGTGACAGTATCGACACACGTAGGGCTTCTCGTGTGTATGGGTTCTCTCGTGCCGAATGCAATGCTCGCTGCGCTTGAAGGCTTTCGCGCAGTGCGCACACTTGTACTGCCGTCGTGGTCGACCTCTTCGCGCGGCGCTGGAGGGATTTCCTTCGGGCCCTGAAGACATGGACGTGTTGTCTGTAAGCTCTGTATCTCTGAACGCGGCGATCGTGTTTCGATGCTTTCCCTCCGTCGATTCGAATAGCTTCAAGGAGTGCTTTGGTAGCCTCAAATGCTATGATGTGGTGTTGGCAAGGAACGCTACCAACAGGTCGGATTCCTGAGATGCCGACAGAGGCCGGGCTTGACTTCCGGGGGACCAGGACAGCCCCTACACTCTTCTCCGCACCTGATGCGTATTGACCTGTCAGTGCCCTGGGAGTCTGAAATCCACGGCCTGCGACTCGCTGATGGCTGATGAATCAGGGCTGTGTCAGCTTCTCCCGCAGCAAAGGGGCCCATCCTAGCGTCACATCTCATGCACCACACCGTCGGCAGCGATGGAAGGGCGAACCCAGCAAGCTTTATGGAGCCTTCTGCACCCCAGAAGCCCCTACGGATAAGTGATGTTTATATCGGCAATGGCTGGGGAAGACTGCGGGGAAGTGGCAGGGGCCAGCTCTCACAAGTGACAACGCTAACAGCATGATGTGAGCATCTGTTTCTTTAGGTACTACTTATCGGGCCAGAAAGAATGTTTTCCTGGACCATCATGGCCTTCCATGAGCTTTGATTCTGTTCAGGACAGTGCTATCAAACATGGGGTGCAAGATTGACATCAACACAGGATCATTGCCGTCCTTGATGAACTCAGCATCATGAGCCATCGCAATGTGCATCTCATACTCCTCAGCTGCCTTTCTGAGCCTCGAAATCGTATCAAGCGCTTTGTCTAGATCTTCATGCAAGCAGAAACGGGATCCGTCGGCCATTTCCACGTTGGCGATTTCTCGGTGACCAAGAAAGATGTCCCTGCACGAATGTCAGACTATTGTTCTGTCGAAAGATGAGTCCAATGCAAGAGGCTCTGTAAAAGATGGCGTGAAAACCCTTGATATGGAAGTACGGAAAAAGGCTAACCTTGAATGGCAGCAGTCACTGGCCATTATGATGCGTTCGCCCGATTCTAGACGCGCACATGCTGCGAGATTGCCTGCCATATGCCCAGGGGCTTCGATGATCCAGAGACTGCCGTCCCCGAAATAATCCATTGCTGATTTGAATGGTCCCCAGGACTGCCACGAGCCTTCAAGCTCTTGAAAATTCTCTGTCCGAACTTTGTCATCGCCGAAAATTCGAGAGTCCCACTGAGCCATCGGCTGGACTTCATCATTCTGGATATGCCCGGGAGAGCAGTGTGCCGTGGTTCCGCGGCCAAAGATGACCTTAGCATTTGGAAATTCTTCTCTAATCGGACGGCAGTGGTCCCAATGTGCGTGACTGCTAGCCGATTAATTGTCCTGGCATCCCAATGAACGTAATTGGTTTTGATCATAGAAACAATACCTGAAGAGCACTGTGTCAATCTCTGAGGTTTCCACGCCAAGGTCTCTCAACTGGTCTGCAAGCCGTCGGCGTGGTCCGACTGGGTTGCAGCTTGTCCAGTGGTAGTTCAACACGAACGGGGTGTACATTTGTCGGTCCTGTTGCAGGCCAGAATGTCAATAGTGCACCTATGTAGTTTCCAGGGTCCTCGACTCACATCACTAATACCAAGATCCCAAAGGATCTTGCGACCTGATGCTCTGTGATGGATATAGAAACACCAGTCGTAAAGAAAATATGGCCTGTCATGCCCGTCTGCGTGGATCTTCGTGTCGTCTGTTGTAGTGAAACCTCCTCCATCAAGTAAGGTAAGGTCGACGGCGCTACTCGAGGGTAGAAGGATTTTGAGGTCCTTCATGGTGTTTCTATACAAATGATATATGTTTTGCCGCGAACTTTTCTCGTTACCCCAAACCAGCATGCGGTCAAAGCGGATGTGTCCAGTCTTCATATATTGTGTCAAGCTACCTCCACGTCGACGCTCCCCCGCATTGTTCTGCGCGGTATTTGGCGTGGTAATAAAGCCACCGGGGGCCTTGTTCCTCATTCCGAAGTCTTCATCTCAACACTTCTCGTTGGGAACGCGAGGCGCGGGACAAGTTCGCCAACAATGGTGCAGAGTGGAGAAAGAGCATCTCGGGATTATCCACTTACTCGATCATTTGTTTGTTCAATCTAGAATTTTTCTAGTTGTTTATGGAATATTCAACCGCCACAACGTTTGTTTATTTGCTCAATCGTTCCATATTTTAATCTTTCATTTCTTACATTCTTGATTGCTCACCGCCGTTTTCACCTTACTATGTGGTAAAGGGCACCCATGTCATCAGAGAACTTCTACACGTCCCCTCCTGAGACCCATTATTATGAGAGTCGTGAGGGGAGTACAAGGTTACCATCCGAGAGTAATACGACCGCCTTCCAGTACTCCCAGACAAAGTCCTTTGATCTGACTTAATTGCATAGGAAAAGATTTTCTTCGTTCATCTATAGCCGTATATTTAGAGAGCTGGCTTCGCCTGGAAGTCAATATCAAAAGCCTTGTATCCCACAAACAGATCATCAGGGTCCCACCGCCTTCGAATCTCCATGAAGCGAGCGCGAGCTGAATTTGTCCAAACTTTGATCTGAATTCACGTCAGCAGTGCTTTCATCTAGCCCCAGTCAGAAGATGGCACATACCCCAGGTGAATGCAATGAGTTTTTGGACTGGTCGAAGTCAGCGCTGTAGATCCCACAAGCAACAGCTTCAGCTTTTTCGTACGATGTCCGCATGGTTTCTCGGACTCGAGGTACAAGCGCAGGGTCTTTCCACCCACTGAATGTTGATATGTAGTACTGCTGAGGAATGCTGAAGACGGCATCCTTCTCGTCTGGCTGAACGGTATCACAGATGTATATGCAGCCAAAGGACGACTTCGTTGGCAAGTCGCACATTGCAGGTTTGATGGCTTCAATCAGCTGAGATATCAGGAAGTCGTGCGTCAGCGTCATCTCATCTGTACCTTGATGGATATTTCCTCACCTTTGGAAGAGGAACTGAAGGATCGTTGAGGATACTGTTGATCCCCCATTTCTGGTCTGGTGATTCTGGGTTGATCTGTCGCTGAAGCTCGAAGAACTCCTCCCAGCTCGCTTCCGTTGTCGACTTTGTCTCAGTGAGGCAATCTTTGATGCTTTCAGGGACTCCATCCCAGACTTCTAGCATTGCAGTAGCCTCGACCAGGGTATCTGCGTAAGCACAAACATTGATCGCCATCACCAAAGGGGATGTTTTGGGAACAACTTCTCCTGCTTCACTGTCGAACAACTCTGGATGAAATACGCAAATGGCCGACTCGGTGAACTTCCTTGGCATGGCGTCGTTCCGTTTGAAAGCGAAAGTGAGTAGATCTTCGAACTTATCACCAACGGTGAATGTTGTAGATCTCCAGAGGAGACGTTTCTTCGGTATGGTCCGACTCCAGATTCGCGTCACAACCCCGAAGAATGCTTGACCACCGCCTCGAGCGGCCCAGAAGAGGTCTGCATTTTCCGTCCGCCTTGCGATCAGCACTCGGCCATCCGGAACGACAATCTCCAATCGTACAATCCACTCTGTTATAGTAGCTCCCCATGCTCTCATGAAAAGACCTTGGCCCCCCGCTAGACAGAACCCTCCCAGTGCTACGTCAGGCGCATGCCCGAAAGGAAAGAATCTGCCAACGGCGTCTGTGGCTTTCCAAGCTTCATAAACACGAACTCCAGGACCCATTTCGACTTCCTCGGTGACCGGATTGTATTGAACATGATGGTTGATGTTGCTGACGTCAATAAGAATTCCGTTGTGGACCAAGGAGGGTTTGGAAGGGAGGTGTCCCCCAGATCGGACACCGACTGAGACCTTTAGCTCTCTGGCCTTGCGAAGTGCTTCGACGATATCCTGAGAGGTTTTTGCAACATGTATCTCAGTTGGATATCTGCCGGTTTCTTCTCTATTGAAGTAAGACTTCCGAAATTCTTCGTATCGTGCAGTTCCACGTCTCATAGCGACGCCTTTTTCGGGGTAAAAAGATGCCATGTTGAAATCAATATTACTCGTAATGCTACTACATGGTCTACATGTACCCGTCAAGAAGAACAAATACAACTAAGTTATTTCTTCTCCATCCATTCAAACTTGGCCGTTGCCTGAGTCCAAGACTTGTAGATACCCCACATTGGACCATTGCTGGCGGACAACCTTAGGATCCAGCGGATGTGGGGGGCGGGGAGGTATCGACCGCTTGGGCTACGCAGATTCCTACCCCATAGCGTCGCGGTTGACTATGCTAGCTCATGTTCATCGTGTTAATATTGGGTCTGTCACTCACAGTAGCCTCATATTTTGGCTTCAGGGCCGATGCCGGTTGGGTCTATGGAATATATGTGAGCGGAGAAATCCTATTGCCTCAAGCCGTTCTTCACACTTGGAAGGCCGATACAACTAAATCCTCACACCAATGGGAAGCAGGGGGGACAGCGGTAAATTTTGAGAGATATGACTATTAGTTCCGCAGGCTTTCATAGGCCCTCATTCAGACTTCAATTCCTTGAGGATACCGCCTGTCTATAGAGTTATGCAGGTAATCGTCAAGGTATGCCAATAAACACTCAAATACACGAACATTCTTCGTCGAGGAGGTGGAAGGGTGACGAGGATTTGCACTCCTTTGAGCTCAGAAACAAAACAAACGATAGTACGGTCGCATCTTGTCTTTCAATTGGATTCATAGCTCAATCGGAGCTCTGGGAGAAAGTCATAGAGGATGTTCCGTTTGTTTCTCTTCGTTGCAGATGGAGGAAGTGTTCGTTTCATCTCATCAAGCTTTGACTGAGACGACCCCGAAACGCTCCGAAGAGCGCAGCACCAGCCATGTATGAGATGGACAACTAAGAGAACAATTGGCTCACCTTGCTTTAGCTCCGGTCGTCTTGTCTTTCGATCAGATCAAACAATAAAACTGGCTGAAGCGAGCACCTCGCCGGCACCTCTAGCTCCCAGATTGGCGCAAGCTTTCTGTACATCAGCAGCTTGCCACACCCTCGAAAGTCAAGGGACACTCTCGGCATGATGCTCTTCGGGTCCCGAGTCAAAATGCAGTTGAGTCTCCTCTGTGAGGCCGTTTCTATGCAGGTACGGTGCCTCGGGAAAGGGTCTACATCCCAGGTTGCGCGTATTCTGGTCCGTTAAAACAATCAGTCTTCCCCAGCGAGCACGTGCGTGCAAGTTGTGCTTTCCTGTCAGTAATTTAGGTCAAGAAGCTTGTCACGATGCGATACCTTTATGCCGTTTCTGCGATTTTGGGATTAGTATCCCTAGCGGAAAGTAGGAGTTCGTACGTCGCTGACTTGTCCATCTTGGCATTTGCTGGCACTCCGGTTGGAAAGGTTGTTCCTTTCAATGGGCGTAAGTGATCAATCCATCACTAAGTCTTGCGCTCAGTGACGTCTACTAATGAACTCAGTTGACCTCTACGTCTCGATGCCGCGAAACAAGAGCGAAAAGGGGCCGGATCCAATGAGACAATTTGGAGTTCTCATGCTGCCTGACGTGTTCGGAATTCAATCGACTGAGAACATGCTGTGAGTATATCCAAGATCCATACACTCATAGAGGGTAAATTCTATGCTCTGGATAACTGATGTTCTCAAAGTCTCGCCGATAGCTTTGCCCGCGCGGGCTACATTACCGTTGCCCCGGACTTGATGGACGGCAAGCCAAGAACCGAAGGCTCAATGTCGGGGTTCAACGCAAGCGAGTTCTTCAAGTCACATGGGCCTAGCGTTACAGACCCCAAAGTTGAGAAAGCCATCATGTACATGCGAGAACAAATGGGTGTCCGCAATATTGCCTCGACCGGGTATTGTTTCGGTGGACGATATGTTTTCCGAGCACTTGGGCTCCCCGACAAAAAGGGGGTGCAAGTCGGGTTTGCTGCACATCCAAGCGCACTCGGCGATGACGAAATTAAGGCCATTAAAGGACCTGCGAGCTTGGCCGTAGCTGGTACGTCCATATTCCGCACTACACTCTTTCACTTCCCAAAGTTCAGAGATATGTTGCTGACTTCTACGCCGCGCAGAGGGTGATACAGGCATGTTGACGAAGAGGAGGGTGGAAATTGAAACAGCCATGGGAACCACCGGTCAGCCATTCACAATGGCGCTTTATGGCGGAACACCTCATGGGTTTGCTACACACCCTGATCTCAACAATCCTGTACAAAAGGCTGCGAAAGAGGATGCTTTTCTACAAGCAGTGCGGTTCTTCGAGACATGGTTGTGAAGAAGTTGGTCTACAGAGATTTACTTGCATGCTACCAGTGGCATGTTGGAGCGTTCTAAACAGCTAAATAACATAGAGAGGAGTAATCACGAAGGTACTTATCTATCGACGACCGAGTATCAATCAATGAACGATCAAGCTAGCTGCATGGCTTGCATCACTATTATGATCTAGGTTGATAGAATCTAGAAGACAAGAGAAACATTCCGCAAGCTGCACAATTCTATGCCAAGTGTACTCTTGAAATCAGCCAGAAATGGCAATATGGTTATGAACAGCTCCTGCCCCTAACCTTACCTGCGGTTAAACCGTTGTCCCAACACGCAAGTTTCGGGTGTCAGCGAGCTGCGTTTGCGTGCATTGGCGGAAAAAAATAGCTAACAGTGAAGCTGTCGTGCTCTTGGGTTCAACTTAGCAACAGTCTGAAAGAGATCACGAGATCCGGTGAGTATGAAAGCATTGACGTGATGCAATGACGTGATGCAATGACGGTCTGATAAACAGCTTATTAAGGGGTTTCCCTCTCCAGAAAATGTACGTCTTTTGCTTACTTTCACATTTCCTCGTCTCCTGTCGCCCCGAAGTCGCATACATTACATGGCCGAAATGTCTCCCGGCTTGAGGAACGAAGTCATCATTGTGGTTGGCGCGGCATCTGGAACGGGCTTAGCTACTGCAAAAGGTCTGCTCAATAAAGGTGCCAAGGTTGGGATGTCTGATGTCAACAGCGTAGCTCTTGAAAATGCAGTCAGGGACTCAGACGCAGAGCAACAAGGCAAGGTCTATGGCGTTGCCAACTTTGCTGGTTGCGGTGGCCATGAATTGGGCACTCAGTCCATCTAGGAAACCAGCGATGCCGAACTTGACTTCATAACCAACCTCAACATCTGAACATCAGGGGAGCTTTACATGTCCTCGCTGAAGCTCTAAACCCTGGCTTCCTATCTCGAGGCGGAAGTTTTGTGCACATATGTTGGAACCATGTTTTCACCCCAAGGTTTTTTAAAGCGTGCAGTGTTTGCCGCTTCTAAGCATGCGTCCCTGGGAATGGTTCGCAATGCGGCTATGGAAGTTGACGACAGGGCCAGAGTTAACTGCGTATTGTTGGGAGCTTCCATGGTTTTCGTTATGGTTAATAGGATGCTATCGAAGAGGCAGCGGTGCGATTGATACGCCCACGCATCAAGGCCACCTGGCCAGGGTGGGCAAGGACTTCCCAGCCCCAACACTCGTGGGCAAGGCCCAGGAAGTGGCTGATGTTACGATCTTGATGCTCAGTGACAAGGACACATTTGTCAATGGAGCCGCTTGGAGTGTGTGTTGACGGGGGTGCCGGTATTTAATCGAGGCCACGCTCGCAACTCGCAGGTGCGCATACCTTAGGTACTTACATGTAGGTTCAGGCTTTGGTTTCCAGATGACTCCCTTGCAACAGCGGGGCGCTGTCTCCTACAGACTTGAACTCAACGCAGCATGAAGAACGTTAGGCTTGTTGAGGTCTCAACTATTCCATTCGTACTTTAGTCAACGAATCTCTGCTGCAGTCACTCGTAACAAGATAAAGTAGCGAATCTTTCCTTGGTGAACCCCCAATTCATGTGTCGTAAGATTTCTTCATTACTGCTACTATTCCCGATTGTCGGATTGGAAGTCCAATTCGACCGCGGATAAGGGCAAGAGCATGGGCCACCTCGAGGTGGTACAATTAGACCGCGACTACCCAACCAACCTACGGTTGGAATCTCCCTTTTATACAGAGATATTGATACTTCGTCACCCCCAGGACCCTACGGTTCGAACCAACTTCCCTGTGATAGGGATACCAACACCGATATAGCTGCGGTACGTATTTGCGCAGTCTTCATGATCCATTCCTCCGCTCGGTGCTCATAAACGGATTCGCTCCTCCCGGTCCAAGATATCATGCCATGTGAGGGCACTTAAAGGGTGGCCTCCTTGGCGTCCTCGCCAATCAAGAAGACGGGCTCCTTGTTGCTGTAGTTGGGGACGTCCTGCATGACCTTGGCCGTGTCGGGCGAAGCAAGCGCCTTGTGAATGCTCTCGACGCTGTCGAAGGTGAGGATACCGGCGAAGGCGTACTTGGGCTGCTTTCCGTCGGGGGATGCCGAGTACTTGGTGACCTTCCAGGATTGAACGCCGGCCGCCTTCCACGTGGCCGCGGCCATGGGCATGTGGCTCTCGACGTAGTAGTCGATGTTGTACTTGGCATCGGCCTCGTTGGGGTAAAGGACAGAGACGGTGGCAGGCATTTTGACGGGTTTTTCGTTTGGACTCCGGTTGTATGAAGGAAAGGTGTGATTGAGTGTTTGACTTGTGAGTGACTCGAGTTCAGTCTGGTGATATTTTGAATTGAATTTGGCGTTGTGAGTCGAGTCTAGACCGCCGGGACCCGAAAGGGATAAATACCTCCGCCCATCGTCCCCTCACTGACGTAAGGCACAACTACCATTCTCCATTGGGGCGGAGACACGGCTTACCAATTTTCCCTTCGGTAGCAGTCTTTTAGGTTTCCACTCCGTGGATTCCGGTGCGAATGGTGGCCCTTGACAGTGTGCCAGGTGGAGCGGATTCGGGCGCTGCGTGCTCCGTCTCTTGAATGTAGAGTTGATCTCCCGTGCCTCGGCATGCCTCGGACACACGGAGTTTTGAGCGGGGAAGCTTGTTCTCTAGAACCCCGCTCCAATTCGAATCGGACTACCATAGTAATCAGTGAGAGTTGGGTGAGTTTATCGGATTCGCTTTTAGGTAAGTGACCAGCTGGCTGTTGTGGATGGTTGTGATTGAAGTTGCGGTAGGCGGTCTGCCATGGCAATATACGAGAGCGGCATTTGTACATGGAGAAATGTCACATCCAAGTCTACCTTAGTAAGTAGGCAAGTGATCGATTCGAGTGTTTAACTAATGTGTGACCTAGAGAAATATATGTACCGATGACCCGACGATTACCCATCGGAAAGATCTAAGTACACGTGCTGAATCATCCTGTTGACTGTTCCGAGTTCATCCGCATGTAAGTAATTGCCATCCTCTTAATTGCGGATGCGCAACAGAAAGGTTATCATAGAGAGCTCCAGTCCGGAAAACTCGCACTCCCGTGGTCCCCTTGGTAGTCTTCGATACAGTATGCGTAAGTTTGGGCACGCTCATATCATCAACAAAGACTTTGACCTCTTTGTTAATGGCAGTCACCCTTAGGTGGTAGTTTGTTCCAGCCCGAATAGGCGACTTGGCGGATGCTAGTTGAGTCCAACTCTGATCCATTTGACCCAAAATGACCCCGCCTGAAGCATCGACGGCAGCATAGAACCCAGTCAAGTTGTCGATTCCTGCGGACGCGCTTGTGACACCGAAAAGAACACCCGCATCGCCAGAATCTTGAGCATTTGACCCAACATCTGGATCAACGAGGGCGATGTCGATGTCAAATATCAAATCCTCAAATCCTGTGTTTTGAAGGGCTTTGCCGCTTGTAGCCTTCTCCGCGCTGAGCTTTCCGTCCTTGACAAAGAAGGTTCCTTCAAAGGAGGTGTCCCAGCCAATCAGGTTCCCGTCATCAAAATTGTCCTTGACGAGCATCGTGACCGGCTTGATTGTCCCATCCTCATTGAAGTACATTCGATCATAGGCGAGCTGACGATAATTGCCGTCACTGTCACCCAATGGTCGGCGGTGGTAGAAGATGTACCAGATGTCGGTCCCAGGGACGTTGATAATCCCGTTGTGGCCAGAACCAGTTGCGACGGCGGTATCCTGCTGGAGGATCTTGGCCTCTCGGTTGAAAGGGCCAATGGGCGAATCCGAAATGGCGTATGAGACTGAGTAATCCGGGCCCGTCCAACCTTCTTCAGACCACATCAGATAGTACTTTCCATTGCGCTTGAACATCAGTGAACCCTCCACATAGTTCTCAGGTGTGATTTCCTTGAACTGGGTGCCATCTGAAAAGGTGCCAATGCTGACCATGTCTCTGTTCAGCTTTGCAACATTGGTTTGTTTGTTTGTTTTTTTTATATTTAACGCCATGGCGGCAAGGGCGCAGCCGCCCTTGCGGCAGACCTCCCGGAGGGTATGTGGCGTGAAGGGTCGCAGGCTCTAGCTATATACTATATAGTACACGCCGTATCCTGACGTCCTCCAAATCTTGCTCGTGAGCTACTATGTGTTCTATCCATCCCTAGTTCCCACTGGTGCCCTAGTTCCGTTATAACCATCTGGTTTCTTAATAGAGGTAGTTTGTCGTTTGGAGGATAGGTTATGACCTATCTCCTAGTACCGCGGGCAGATCTTCTGGAAGAAGTCTGTCACGCAGAGGAAGGCCTGGAAGCCTTGAGAGTCAGTGATTAGCCCCTTGAAGTAGCGATCGAGGGACCCTATAGGTCCTACGGGCTCCTGGCGGCTGTAGGGGTAGAGGGTGGGCCACTGTTGCCTCCTCAGTAGGGTCTTTCGGCAGTAGACTAGATGGTCTGCCTCCTTAATCCATCCACAGGAGCAGGTGAGTAGTGCTTCTGTGTGGTTAAAGCGTTGGTGATATTGTTTAAAGTCCCCGTGGCCTGACCGTGCCGCGAGGAGGTGATGAAGGGCAGCCCTAGGGAGGCCAAGTTCAGGAGGGCAAGCAAGGGTAGCCTTGAGCCATAGTTGGGTATAGCGGGGAGTTGCCTCTTGTTTCCACCATCGTCTATATTGGCGTCTTGGCCGCTCTTTAGCAAGCCACTTGATACCTGATAGAGTAGCTAGTTGGCCCCTAAGGACTGGTAGAGTTGTTCCCTCCTTAGCTAGGCTGTCTGCTTCTTCGTTTCCTTTAATACCTTGGTGCCCAGGAGACCAATGGGTTTGTATATCGTGTATCCTAGCTACCTCCTGGATCTCAAGGAAGGCCGCTTGTGAGGAGTCTGGGACCTTACCGCGAATCCCCTGAATAACGCTGGTATTGTCGATGCAGATGTGTATAGGCTGGCCTTGGGAGGTCTGAAGGGCCCGTCGGAGCCCAGCCCTCGCCCCCTCCGCCTCACCATCAAACACTTCTGCTAAGCCGAGACGGCCGCAGCCCTGGGCTATACGTTTATTGTTGCGGTAGATAACAAAGCCGAACCCTGTAGCCCCGTCAGGAGCTTTGGAGCCGTCTGAGTATACGACTGTATGCTGACCTGGCACAGTCTTGAGCCAGGCCTGGAAGATCCTAGCTGCTACTTCCTTCGTCTGTGTAACTGTAGGGTCATAGGACCCTGGGAGGTATTGCGGCTGTAGGAGCGCTGGCCTTGGACACTTAGGTAAAAGGCCAGCTGTTCTTTGAAGCCTGGTCTGTTGCCGCCCTGACTGCAGCAGCCTTGGGACCAAGGGATGCTGTTGGTCAACCTTCTGCAGGCGTATAGCGAAGCGTAGTCGCGCTGCTTCGAGGGCTACCTCTGCTGTGGGAAGGCCAGCGTCTCGGATGAGGCTACTGGTCGGTGTGGTTCTCCAGACAGGCAGGATAGCCCTTGCTGCTGCTGTAATAACTTTGCTAAGTCTACGGGCCAGGCCCTTCTGTCCTGTACCAACTGTAGGTATCTGTAAAGCAGTGCTACTGCTAGTATTGGTGCCGCTGTTTAGGGCTGGTTTGGTTAGGCCCGCATACCAGGTCTCAACTCCATACAAGGCTGTTGGAAGGACACAGGCAATAACCGCTTTTCGTACTGCGGCTGCTGGGAGCCCCCCTTTAGTATTTGTTAGGTGCCGAAGGAACTGGGCTACCTTCCTTGCTGCCGCCACCTTAGTTTCGACATGGTGACGGAAGGTGAGTCTCTTGTCAAACCAGACTCCTAGCCATCGTACAGGCCTAGCTGAGGCCTTGATAGTTAGGCCCCTCGCTTGTATATCTGGTAGGTCTTTTGTCTGTTTATGTTTCCTGCTGAAGTGGACTGCCTCACACTTAGCTGGGTCAAAAGCAACCTTGTTATCAGTGCCCCAGTTAATTATATGAGTGATCTCTTGGCCTAGAGCTATAGCATTTTCTTTTAGCGATGGGCTAGTAGCTACTAAACCTATATCATCCGCATAGCCGAACCGTAGCTTCTGATCGTCGGCTAGGATATCAGCTATATATAATAGAAAGAGAATAGGAGATAGTGGGGAGCCTTGTGGTAGCCCACAGGATAGAGGGAAATCCTCTGTAGTTGTATCCTCTAGCCTGACCCGGGCTGCTCGGCTAGAGGTAAAGGTGAAGATCAGCCTAATCAGATGCTTAGGCCAGCCCTGCTGTCGTAGCCTGATAACAAGTCGGTTTCTTAGGACAGAGTCAAAAGCCCCTTTAACGTCCATTGTTACAAGAGTTGCAGTGAGCCCTAAGTCTACAGCCCTCTCGATCTCGTGGGTCAGACAGGCTGTTAGGTCGACTGCAGCCCTCCCTGGTAGTGCTCCAACCTGCTGCGGGCTAGCAACCCCTTCTAGGATAGTAAGGTAGGCCATCCTTTTTGCTATTAGCCGCTCTAGGCCTTTACCCAAGCAGGATAAAAGGGATATCGGTCGCCAAGACCCAGTCTTCGAGAAGTCTGTTTTCCCTGGCTTCTGGGTCATGACAACTTCTGCTTTGCGGAACGGTCTGGGGAAGTGGCCCGTTTGAACGTAGGCCTGAAAGAGCTGTTATATAGGTGTAGCTATTAAGCTCCAAGTGCATTGTAGTAAGTTTGTAGTAATCCCATCAATCCCAGGGGTTGTGGCCTTTGTGAGAGTCGCCTGGCGCACTTTTTCTATGCTGACTGCCTGCTGCCAGGGTATTAGACGCCTTGCCACTATAGGAATAGTGAAAGGGTTCCTAGGTAGGTCGCCTGCAGCGTCAAATCTCTCTAGTAAGGCCTTCCGTAGGGCCTGTGCTTTGTCATAGCTGTTATCAACTGCCTGTCCGTCTACTACTAGCGGTGGGGCTTTAATAGCTAAGCTGGACTTGCGCCAGCTTAGTACTTGATAAAGGCCCTGGTTAGACCCAGCCTCCTCAATCCTAGCAGCCCAGTAGGCACGTTTTGCCTTCCTGATTGTAGTCAGAAAGGCCTTCTGCTCCTCTAGGATAGGCGGCGGTATAGCTAGCCCAGGCTCTTGGGCTTGTTGGCGCCTGGCTTCAATAGTCGCTTGGTGGGCTTCTGAGCACTCCTCTGTCCACTAGGGGGCTCCCCTACCCTGGTTAGTTCGTCTCTTCCCTACCGCCTGGATAGCTGTAGAGAGGAGGCTGACTAGTTGGGTAGCTAGGGAGTCTATTTCTGCTGGAGTAGGTTTCTCCCTTAAGGTAGGTAGGGCTGAGACTCCTACCTTTACTAAGTCGGCAAGTTGAGGTAGGGCCGTGTCTGGGACTGAGAGATGGCTAATCTGGCGTCTCTGTGCCTGGACTTTGCCTAGAGGAATAATTGTTATAATGGCCTAGTGGTCTGCCCCTAGGTGTAGGTGTGGGCTGATATAGGCCTCTGTAAAGGGGATATTTGAAAAGGTTAGATCGAGGGTATGCCTATGAGTATGGGTTGGAGCCCCAGCTTCCCCAATAAATTCCAGATTGTGGCCTTCGGCCCATTCTGCAATATCGTCTCCCCGGTTCCGGCTACGGGCGCCGGGTTCCCAGTAGGGACAGTAAGTATTAAAGTCCCTAGCTATAAGGGCTCCTGCTGGCGGTTGATAGCCCAAGAGGGCACTTGTTGTATGGTTTTTAGGCTCGCCCGGCGGCCTATAGATATTTATAATAGTAAAGTTACTAACCTTTACCCATAGGATATCTCTTAATTAGGTAGGTCTTTGTTGCTGTATTTGCAGCCTTAGACCCTTATGTATATAGGTCATAACCCAAGGCCTTGTGTCTCTATTGTTCCAGAAATCAGCTGGTACATAAGAGTTATAGCCTGGGTGTGTATTGATTTGCATCTTATCTCTATAGCCTATCCAGGGCTCCTGGATCAGTACTATATCGATCTGATCCGCCCAGCAGAGCTCTAGGAGAGCTGTATGAGCTGGGCTTCTCTTCCCCACGTTACACTGGGCGACTCGTAGTACCCGTGGGGAGGCTGGCCTGAGCCTACTGCTCTGAGTCGAGGTCGAGGTGGGTGTAGGCATTAATAACGTTGTAATCAGGCTTCTGCGCCACCCGCTGAGCCCTGCTGCTTGAGGTAGCTAGGGTAGGTTGGCTGGGTAGGGGGGGTAGGACTGGGTCGTCAGGGGCTTGCAGCCCTTCTGCTTCAGCCCCATTCTCATCTTCATCCATGCTGCTACAGCTAGCCGCATCACTAACGTCCGCTACAACAATTGAGTCCTGGGTAGGGGTAGGGGCACGTGGGCGCTTTGAGCCGGGCTGATGGCTCGTTAGGCTGTTGCTAGGTTGCTGGGTGTTGCTGGCTTGGGTGCCAGCCTGGCTGCTCTGATAGAGGGCCTCATAGGCCTTCTGACCAGCCTTGCGGATCCGGGAGAGTTCCTTCCGGTCTGGGAGGGTAGGGGAGCCATTAACCACTAGGGGCCTTGCTGGACAGTCCTTATGGTTAGCTTGGAAGGGGCCGGAGCAGTTGGCGCACTTCGGTCTAGCTATGCAGGGCCCAGTCTCGTGGGATCCCGAGGGCCTGCTACAGTTGCTACAGAGTGGCTGTCGGTGACAGTATCGGTTCGAATGATATCCCTGGCATCCAGGATCATGTCTGATTAGGGTCTTCTTCTTTTGGAGAAGCTGAGACCTGCTGCTTTGGTTAAATAGTCTGAAGGGTGGTACTTCCACAGAGAAGGAGATGACCCAGGAGACTTCGTTTATAATAGGGTTTATACCTAGCCGGGACTGCTGGGCCCGGGTAGGCTTACGTCCTGTTTGGGCAAGGACCTCATCTTCTACCAGAGTAGCTGGGTCAAGGGCGTCGCCATCAAGAGTCCACATCTTAGCAGGGCAACGTGGGACGACGTAGGTAAACCACTTAGTAGGGGTCTCAACCTCATAGGCTCCAAGACACTCTGCTAGTTTCTGTTTGTTTGCAAGGAGGGCTTGCTAGACCTGCTTATTCAGGGGTCTCAGTGAATAGCCAGTTACAATATGGTAGATGTGTGGGATATCTGCCAGCTGGAGCCTAAGGGCCTGGCAGACTGTCCGGCGTAGGGCGAAGGGGGCGTGCTTCCTAGCAGCCGCTAGGCCCTCTTCTGGGATACGGGTAAAGACCCGGAGGTCCTCCTTCGGTTGGGATAGAGCCTGGGCCCGGGTCTCCGTCAGACTCTGTGTCTGGACTTCGGGCCGGGTGGGGATTCGGGTACGGGTCGGGGCTACGGCCATGGCTGTAGTTGAAGCCGAGGCTGCTACGTCAGTCCATTTCCGGCTCGGAGCCGGAGCCGTAGTCGCGTTACCCATAATCCTCTTCAAGGCTTGGATTACATAGGTTGTAGCTTCTTTTGCAATCTGCTTCCTAGGCCCCTCAAAGCAAGAGATCACGTTGTCCACAGACTGAGCAATAGCCATAAAGACGTCCTTTCGGGCTTCATAGTGCTTAGCCTCTTCATTAACAGCTGTAAGGACAGCTCCAGTAGCTGTCCCAGTCATAGTCGAGGGCCCCTTAGCCGTTAAGGGGGTTGTTGTTGGGGCGTCGGGCTGGCTTCCCACGAGGCTGGGCCGGAGTGGCTGGGCCTCGGTTTCGCGGCGGCGTTTAGCCCTTGAGGATGGGGGCGGCTCTGAAGAGGGTCCAGAGCCTCGATCAGGGCCGGCCGAGGAGGCCGGCAACGGTCCAGAGCCCGCCGGAGGCTGCGAGGCCATCGCGGGAGAGCGCCGGAGGAGAGGTGAAGGGTTTTCAGCTGTTAAGGATTTTGGTGGTAGCCCACTTATTACACTAATAGTAGATGCCAAGAAAAATTAGGCGAGAGGGAAGTTGCTGCTTTGCAACATTGGCATGCCCATGGCCACCATAGTAGATGTATGCCTAACCATCATCGTCGATGAAGACGTCTTGATCAATGGGCTGGGCTCCATTATGGTACTCGCCAATGAGCGGCTTCCCAATTGCATCTTTGTAAGGGCCCTCGGGCTGGTCTGCTACGGCAACGCCAATACCGCCAATCTGTGTTTCTCCCTCTTGAATGTTATTGGCTGCGAAGTACAGGTAGTATTTTCCGTCGCGTTCGATATGGGCGGGCGCCCACATGGCTCTGTTTGCCCAAGATACCTGGGCTTTGGTGAGGATATTTGCATGCTTGGTCCAGTGCACAAGGTCGCGCGAAGAGAAAGCGTCGAGGTAGATCTGTTCGTCATAGGCGTAGGATGAAGTCGGGAATGCCCAATATTGGCCATTGTAGACGCATGTATCCGGATCGGCGTACCACCCGTCCACGAAAGGGTTGCCGGCCTCTGAAGTAGTGAAATTAGGGACCGCTCGTCTCATGGTTGCAGTGTGTGAACCACTTGAGAAGAGAAGGCCTGCGATGTAGAATGGTAACTTCATTTTAGGCGAGTCCGCGCGTCAGACGTTGACTGGATGGTGGCGTTGTTGAGGGGTAGCGGCACTGTGCTTCCGGAACAAAGAATGTCTCTATGTATATAAGTTGTCTTGTTGTCTCACACAGTCCAAAGAGAAACTTCGCCTTGATGCGATAGGGCACATCACGCGTTTTAAGTCACCCTTGACTTACCAAAGTCCAACCTAAGTTCCTTCTGATGCTCCCGGAGGATTTTAGCGTTCATCTGTAATTCTGCTGCCTAGCGATCATGATACCTGTCACGAGTTATGACACGCAGCAATGGGCATATGAAGTGTGGTAAAAGTGGCTTGTATTAACCCATGATGATGATGATGATGATGATGTATTTAACGTCTGGTAACAAAAGGACGTGCCGCTTGTATTAACCCAAATAGAATCGAGTAAGGAAAGGTGCTATAGGAACAAATGAGAGAATCACATGATAACGCACGTGATAGGCTGATTACAGAGTACTGATGCTATTCCTATTTCGTGACAATATCCCAGAGGAACTTTGGAAGCAAATGTCAATCCACTATGACGATCATTCTAGAATACTAGACATGGGCCTGAGCGTGTACTTCTGACAAGTAGAGACCAAAGAGCCCTCAATTACAACGCTACTCAAGTTACTCTTTCGGCCTCCTAGAGTAGAATAGCGACAATAGCGAGGTGTCGGAAGGGACATGCAGGATACTAGCGTACCTACCTATGCCTGCGTATAAATGCTCTGCAAAGTGGTCAATGAAGACTTGTTAACAATGAATGCTTGGGGCTATTCTAATCTCCTAGATAACTCCACAGAACCACTATACTCCGTCTCCTCATGACCTCGTTTGAAAGCATTCCTTGGTGGTATCATTGCATCTCCTCTTTTTGAGTGAAACTTCACATCTCCTACTATCCAGGGCCTCGGGGCCTGGTCATATCGGTCTGCCCGAGTCTCAGTCATTGGGTCCTTCCACTCTACTAACTCGAGATCAGATCTTGACCTCCTATCCCCTGGACTCGCTACGGTAGCCGTTGCCAGGGAAGCTGCTCCTAGACGGCGCATCATAGACTCTTCGTCGCTGGCAAATCGAGCAGGTGCTGCTTTGTGATCCCTGACCAAGGCTCGTAGTATCGGTATGGTTGCAGCGATGATTGTGACGACACTCTCTGCTGCACCCCAGATCACTAACTCGACAGTATCAATAATGTCAAAAGCCCCAATCGCAGCAATTGTTCGGATCTTGATGAAAGATACAGCGCCGGCGCTGGCGGAAGTAGTGGTTAGTCTCGCGGATTCCCCAAATTCCCAAGCGGATCATACTATCGTTGAAGCAGACTCACAATACGCCCATACTCATAGCAATCAGGACACCGAATTTCTCTTTTTTGGTCATTGTGAGTCCCCATATAATCTTCCAAGGCAGGATGGCGAGCACGATGTCCATGCCTCCGGAGTACGATGCGGTGAAGACGTTGTAGTTCATCATGATGCTCTTTGGCCAGCAGGTGCCAGGTGTTGATGCCGTTCTCCAGGTTTTCTCGACCGGCCAACATTGTATCCAGGTGAAGAGCACATTGACGCCGAGGAATGTGTTGATTGAGATGATGATAAACCACACGAGCAGCTTCATCCATCGTTCGGATGATTCCCGTGTGATGCGAAGCAGAGTCAGCGCGAATGACGTCTTGCTCCACGCTGCCGCGATAATCGAAAGCGACCCAGAGAGGTTGGCGTAGAGCAATAGCCACGACCAGTTTCCCGGTGTTATATCCCAGTTGTGCTTGCCAAAGTCGTATGACACGTCAATAGAGATGAACGATCCGAGAGCTAGCAGAGCGCACTACTTGTTGTTAGATATTGACAACTTCGTCATCAGCAGCAGTTAAGGTACTCTTACCCACGATGCAACCAGCACATGGTCGTCTAACCACAGTCCTCTTCCACGCGAGAACTTGCAGTATATCCGCAGGCCGATGAACGCACCAGCAATACCGATGAGCGTCCACACTGTGGCGAGCAACCCCGGGCCATAGTCGTCGTGTGGGAGTTCGTCCCAGGGCGTATCGTCCATAACCGCAAGATGTACTCAATCGCGACGCGGTATCGAGAAGCGCCGCATGAAGAAGTCTTCAATATCGCCCCAGCTGCCAAGGGGCAAGGTGGTATAAAATGGTTCCAAAGATCGAAGAGATCCCCGAACAGGGACCTGGGTCGCGTCTAAACGGCGATGCATGGTTATAAAAGAACCGGTCAACTGGCCTTCCCGCTCCTTGCCCTCAGCACATCACCCGAAAAAAAGGAGTTCAGCCGGTAGACCGAACTCTACCACGACAGTTACATGGTTCCAAGGGAGTCGATCCCTTCAAGGGCTGCAGTGCGACATCACTCGTGGCCTCACCCGCTGTCTAGCAATTGGAGAAGAAGGGGTGCCCCTGAGTGTCAGACCCGGAAGCGAGATGAAGTAGCAGCGAAGCGTATCATCCCCCGCACTCCCGCCCGGCCGAGAAGTCAGAGCACGGGCGAATCGGGCTCTCCCGCAGCGTGACAGCCGTCGAAAATGGTGGCACGAGGGATGAATCAATCCATCGTGGCGAGCTTTGCATGTATGGCTGGGATTTCCCACCAAGACCATTCGAGAGATGGGAGCTTTAAATGGTGCTCTCATACCGTTAAATATGCACGCTCGGGCCTGCTAAACAAGGGGCTCACCCATGGTTCTGTCTCATCGATCCCCCGGATTCCAGCTTGGCATGGCAACAAACAACACGAACACGGTCATCAGAGTCCGATCTATAACTGAAGTTCACACGTCAGTCTATTCAAGACACATGATGTACGAATATTCTGACTCGGGAAAGATGCTCTGGAGGTGGTGTTGCCTTGTTGTTTGTCGGGGTGCCTTCACCGGAGTGGAGTCCCTCTAGGACAACATGCAGACTGAATAACATCCTCCTCTCAACTACCTAATCCCCTCAAGCTTTATCGATTCCTCCCCGTTGGAGTCGTAATGATGAAAGATCACTCATACAGGTCCGATCATGAGACCTACAGTTACTTTCATGAAATGCCCGAAGCTGTGGTTGAATCGGGTATCATTCCTTGTTCGGCACCATTACCTAGTACCTAGTGCAGTGAATGTGTACTTGTCTACTCCGTTAGGCGGCTGTCAGTCGGACTCGGGCTCGACCTCGGTCTCTAATTACTGGCGTTTCCTTGCTTTAGTCGCAAATAATTACATTAGAAATCTGTGTTTCTATTCTCTGTACTCCGTAAGAACCTCGAGACCACTTGCAGCCGGTGTTCATTTAGCCCTTTTGCCTGTGCCTAAGGAACCTTTGCAAGGTTGAGCGCACCAGAGCGCGTCCATCTCGGCGAGCCTCTGCAAGTTTATTTCCGGGTCTAGACCACCAGAGAGAACCGCAAACAGCAAATTCGCCCGGACATCCTGGGGAGCAACCACCCCTCGGTCGGCTGGGTATTGGTATCGAATTCTCGATTCCTTTACATGATTTCGGGGAGATCCCCCCTTTAGTCCGGAAGAGGGCTTCCGCCTTCACACCTGGACTGATTTGGAAGCATTTCCCAACTCCAACACAAAGTTGCCGAAATAGGAAGCACCATCTCATGAATCACCTGAGCCGTGTCGGGCCTGTTCCTTCACCGGCTGTTTTGTACTGCCCGAAAGAGAAAAAACCCCAATTCCGCTAAGTAATCCCGCATCACACGAGTCACTCACAACAAATCAATCAGGTCCTTCGACTGTCCCTTGGAAAGCCCCTGTACAGCTTGTAAGATCTTTCCCGCATGATTGTCATCATAAACCGACGCGACCATGCCTCTGAACTTCTTCTCAACTCGCTCGTGCGAAAAGGGATGCTCGTCCTCACCAAGGGGAAATACCATCGCTTCTTCGATATCGCCTACGCCACCTATGCCTGAAAACGCCATTCGCACCTCGAATTCCTTCTCGAGTTTGTCATTGATCTCGACCTCGATCCTATCACATAGCTGTGCAACCTGCTTGCTCTCCATCTTGTCGGCATCGTAGGCACCCCAGCCGATGTCGCTACCGAATAGCCACGCAACGGCGACTTGGTAGTAGATGCTAAACTGGGCATCAACGATGGTTTTCGGGTGCTTCTTGTTGGGGCTGGGCTCGCCGACGATACCATATCCAGCACGAGTCAACCCTACGACTATCCTGTCCGGCAGCTTCTGTGAGTCGGACTTTGCGGCAAGTTTGGCTGTGATTTCAATGGCGGTATGAGTGAAACGACACGCGGGGAATGGCTTCAGCGCTGTTGCTGGATACAGCCATTCCGTGCCCAGGTTCTCGGTCAACCCAACAGCATTAACACTCGTAGAGTGAGCCTGCAAGAAGCCCCACTTGCCCTCAATGATGTGAGAAGCCCCAGTCACGCCAGCTTCCGCGAGTGCAACACACAGGAAGGCATCATGGGCGGCGAAGCCAGGATGCAATCGCTTATTCCAAGATCCATTATCGAGGAACTGCATCGAGCCAGCGGTCTTTGACCCAGCTAGACCAAATGCATGATAGATTTGCTCAGTCGTCAGGCCCTTGATCTTGCTGATGGCGGCAACCGCTCCGAAAATGCCGGCTGTGCTGGTGTTATGGAAGCCTCGGGGATAACCACCACTCGACAAGGCACGACCGAGACGAGAAGCAACCTCATAACCGACCGAGAGTGCCGTGAGCAGCAGAGTACCTGGCGCATCTGAAGCTTCGGCCTGTGCTAAAGCCGCAGGGATGACACTTGCGCCCGTGTGGATAATGCCAATAGCGAGCGTATCGTCGAAGTCGAAGGAATGCGCAAACGCTCCGTTCAGCAAAGCTGCTATTGGGATCGGGTAAGTCTTTTCTTTGCCGTAAACTTTACTCGTTCCAATCGAGCCCATCGCGAAAGCCTCAACGCCCTTGACGATGTGCTCACTCGACTCAGAGTGAGCTCCGCCGCCAGCTCCAACTCCGATGTGATCAATGACGAGATCGAAGAGTTTGGCAACAGCTTGGTCTGGAATATCCTCGAACTTGGTCCGGACTATGAAGTCGCAGAACTTCTCTGTCGCATCTTCCGCGCCAGTGAAGCGGTGTCTCTATTCAAAGTTAGCCTTGCATGGCATGAAGTATGAGGACATACGTGGATAGAAACCTACGTTGTGATCTTGTGCCATGTTGTAATCCGCTGGTTGAGTAAGGGAAGATATATACGGACCGCGCTACGCATAGGGTATTAGTCGGCGGAGATGTTCTTATCATGAACTCGATTTCCGACCATAGACATTAAACTATGAGGTCGCCTACTTGTGAGAGTGTCGTCATCACATAGCCGATCGGTTCACGGCTATGCCGGGGCTAAGACGGTGTTCAAGCTTAAAATGCGGGGGAGGGGCCGAGCGGATGCATACACCCGGCGCTCCATCGTCCTGCTCACAATCACATCCTTTGGTCCAGGTACCTTACCACGTATCTGGTGCAGAGGAAAAAAACCTTCAGTCTAGTCTCTTCAGTATTACTAGTAGATCCCCTTGAAATTGCCGCTTGTTCTCCTGTGATATTATCAATCAATGTAGATGTTAGCCCCGCTCTCCAGAATAAGGTACTTCATACTTTTCATTATCAAGCTAATGCGTACGTGAAGTTGATGTTCTTCTCAAAAGTTTGCTTGAATTCATGTTCATATAACGCAAGGAAGATGAAAGGTTCATTGCGAGAAAAATACTGCATTTAAGAGGCTTGAGATGCCAAGATCACCTTCTGCGAAGACCTACTGTCAACTCTGAAATTATTCATATTAGCAGAGCAACAGAGACGCTTGATAGAAGAATTGATTCCGCAGCATCTTTCATTCCGTTACACCGGTCTCCATTCATTAGGGACTGGGCCGTTTCACCAAACTTCAGACTATATGTTACTTACGCGAACCTGATGATAATCCAAACCTCTTCAGGACATGCATCAAGTCAGCGTCTAATATTCGCGTACGTGTCCTATAAAGTTTGCAAAGACAGATTCTTGAGTCAAGTCCAGATCTCTTAGTTTCGGGCATGCTCACAACGTAGGCTTTGTTTCCGACACTGAGTCTCTTCGTGGTTTCGAAATAGCTATTACAGCGCTTGTCGCGGCTGTAGGGCCACTCAAGCACAACAAACGTGCCATAGTGCTTGGGCATCTGCCTCCAACGTCTCTCTACGTGTGCCCATACCCTAGCCTAGATGATGAGCTTCATACAGCTATCAGTTACGATAGAACTTGACAAGCCTTGAATCATTGACGACACTTTTTCGTATAAGTGAGGTAGCAGAAGGGCCAAGGCTAGGTTCTCGAGCAAGACCTATTTGCTAACATTCCCAGGAGTCGTCAAAAGTTGCTATGATTCGAAGCAGCCGAAGGGACAGCCAAAGCGCTGGGCAACCGCCAAAAGGAAGCTCGTTTCTATACGTGCTTTAGCAATTCAAGTCGACATTACCTTGATCAAAAGCTGAGTCAACTAAAGTATTCGACTCAATTGTCATTCCGATTACCCAGTCGGCTCCTTGTCACTCAAAAGAAACAGCATAGAAATATTGAAGTCATCAATTGGATGCTGCTTGTGTGAGTTCTTCTCAGCTCTGGTAGGTGGGTTTTATTTGGCGCCAGGACAGAGAGGGAGGAGGACTAACGTCCTGCAGGAGGGTTGATCTCCTGTCAGATGTGTAAGCTGACAGACAAGCAGTGCAATCTAGGCAAACACGGCAAACTTTGCCATGCTTGGAAGAGCAGCTTGTGTGGCCTGCCAAGCCCTGTGGCTTTGGGGCGAGCCTGATCCCTTCAACAATCAGCACTAGAGCAATCTCGGCCACATCGCCTCATGATTCGACGCGGGGATTGCAATCCTATCGTTGGCTCTGATTCGCGACTGCACTTCCTCGCGGCACAAAGTCAGAGCCAAAAATGAAAATCTTCTATCCTTTAAAATACTGTAGTCAATGAAGGCGTGTTAAAGACCAAAGACGTTGACAGTCGATTTCTAGACATCGTTCGGTTGCCCGGAGAGGGGTCGACCCGGAAATGCAAATAGAGCGTGTCATCCCGTCCTCTCCCGCACCACATAGTAAGCTGCTTACCCCCTCCTCGGCCACAGCCGACCGCTTCATCGTGGAAGTTCTGCATTTTGTCCGCCTGTTGGTGTGGTCTCTGGCCGGTCAGCTCTGCACAAGGAGTGGGCCAGGCGTCCAATTCGACCGGGATCTTGCATTCTGCTTCCAACAGTTCATCTGACTGGCGCAGATTGGACTAGGTTCGATTGCTGAACATTCTCGGCTGGCCTGCCTATTTCAGATAGCTTGGGGGCTGCGTTGGCTGCATGTTGGTGTTGAACATCACAGTGCAGGGCATCTTGTATGCGCGTGAGACTGAGCCCCCCTCCCTTTGTCCTGGATTGTGCCAGTCAGACACCGCGGAGTCTTGAGATGAGGAGGAAGTGGTTGCACAGAGAATGTATCTGCTTTGTTACACGCGGGTAGGGCCTGTCTTCATAGAGATGGGAAGTCCCCCTCAATCTGTGGGTGCCTTTTCCTTTCCCTTCCCCTGGGGGTTTCGGTTCTGCTTCTTCCGACTTTCTTCTCATTCCACAACACCCGACCAATGCCGTTTGCGACTCGATATTGAGCGACTCAAATTCCGCCCAGTCCCGTTATCGCAATGTTGGCTTCAATGCTAGGAGGGGTCTTGGGCCTCTCTCTTTACTCTCTCGGTGTCTTGTCGCAAGAAGCGTCGTGTTACGCACCGGACGGCACCCTCGCGGATAACGAGACGTACGTTCCGTGCAACAAGCTCGGTATCAACCAGGCGGGAGTCTTCTCTAGTTGCTGTGCTCTTGACGGCCCCCCAGAGCAACGAGACATCTGCTCATCTTCGGGTCTCTGTATCAACCGTCAACAACAGCCGCAACGTGGTTTCTGCACCGACAAGACCTGGAAGAGCAAGGCTTGCAACCATGTCTGCACTGACATTCAGGTACGTTCCAAACCCTGGGATTACATCCAGCAATCATACACATAGAATAACGACTGACCTTGTGTCTCAGACTGGCGGGAATCCGAGTAACATCAGCTTCATGACCGCATGTAACGACGGCACAGCCAAGTATTGCTGTGGTCAATCGAACACCACGTGCTGTGGTACCAATGAAGCGTTCACAATCGCAACCCAGGAAGCTGTGTGCACAGCGAACACGACAAACACCGATGGAACCACAGATGACGGGTCCGCGTTTAAAGGCGCCACCATTGGCCTCGCTGTCGTCACCGGTGTTTGCCTTTTGACCGGCCTTATATCGACCTTTTGGCTCTGGAACCAAAACAAAAAACTGAAGAAAGAGTTGGCCGAAAAGGCAGAAACTCCAAGCCAACCGATGGAACCGCAATACACCGGCGCGACGAGTTCGTATGCAGCAACCTCGCCACCAACAGGTTACAAGCCTCCGTACAGCACATCACCACCACCAACAATGTCGCCTGGCTCAGAGTATCACCAAGGCAACATGCATCGATACTCGGAACTGGATGCGTCAGCAGCTGTAGCGAGGAGTGAGATGGGGTCACCTTCACCATATGACCAGCAACATCATCAGCAGGGGCGGGACTCGCCAGCTCCTAGTCATCAGCACGGACATGGACACCGGCAGGAGAGCTACGGGAGTCCGATGCACTCGCCAAACCTGCCTCAGTCATAGGTGAGGAGGTACTGGCACGGGATGGAATGATATTGATAAGTCAAGGTTGGTGTGGCATTAACACTTCCGGTCTGCGCCAGCCGCGATGTGTTTTCTCAGGGACTGTGTTAAATAAAGTAGATATTGAGTCGCAGGGGTCACTCGACAGCTCTTATGATTGAACTCTTCCAGGTTCTAGTATTACTATTATTACTTCACTTAGTTCTCAGTCGAAGTGACTAGGTACTATAGTTTTACTTCTGACTCTCGTCGTGGCCAAATGCTTTTTCAGCAAGTATCCTATGCCTCTGAGCAACCGAGGCAAGCTTCTCCCCTGACCCTCACCAACCCGCAGTCGGAGCAAAGGCGATGCCGGAGCCACAGAGTCAATATCCCCTGGTCGTCAGCCGCGAGCGTGCAGCAATCTTTGCACCGGCGCTGCCAGAAGCGATTCGGCTCTTCCTGCGCAAACTGTAGAGTCTTGCTGGAAAATTTGGCGGCTGTCTTGACCTTGAAGCAGCTATAGCAAGGGTACGGGTGTTCCTGTCTAGGCATCTCCCTCGCAACCGGGCTGGCACTTTCGTCCTTGAGTTTGAAAATCTCTGGGTATACCAACTCAATCAGAGGCGCTTCTTTCGTCAAAACTAAGGCAAAGCGCTTATGGATGGCTACCCAATCAAGCTTGACTTGATGCATAGTCGAGCAACTAGCCATGTGTAGATGTATGGTGTCGAGGCAGTCCAAGTAACCAATAGTTTGCCGGAGAATTCCCGTGGAAAAACGTTCAAAAGGCGAGAGTTGCTTGTCTTTGGAGCACTGTCTGTTGACGACGTTGCGGGATACGTGCTCGCCCCGACACCTGTTGAACTCTGTGCCAAGAAGTCCACAGTCATGGCAAGGGTAGTACAAAACTCTATCCTTCTTGACAGGTCGAAGGTCCGCGTAGTAGTTGTTCTCGATGGCACAGGTCCAACAGCGGCGCGATTTATGCAACGTCTGTGCGTGTGCTCGCTGTGAGCCTTTATGGCTGCGTGTTTATCCCCGAAAGATGACCTCGGAAGAACTTTTAAACATTTGTAACAAGCCCAAAATTTACTTCGAGTGTTTTGGTCGACTTTTTTGCATCCTTCCAGTCGTTCGGGGACGGGAATCGCATACTCTAGCTTTGGATAAAGTACATTGTGGAAATACCGATTAGTGGATGTCAGTAAAGTTGCGGTAGAGTAGTCGAGTGAGCGGAGCACTTTGTATTGAAGGTCGTAAGAAAGTTCGTAATGAAAAGTTCGCGCTGGTGGATTTTCCGAATGGGCTTGCTTTTCTTTGAGTTTTGTCGCTTCGCCGTGGTCCACCGTTGCTTCAGGTTGGGCCAGCTCGCCTTTGGGTTCTGGAGTAGAGATAGTTGACGCCATACTTAGAACTTGAGAGGGAATCTGACATATTGTGTGTTCAGATAAGCACCTCAGTTGGATTGGACGAATCCTTATTAGCAAGAAATGGCGGTGCGTATTTAGTATAATATAAATGAGGTAGGTGGCAATGAAGCCCGAGGGGGTGCTGAGCAGGGATGTTGGAAGAATGAAGTCTGATCCAGAACAAATGGGTGAGCGTTACGTATGTTGCGATGAAAAGATTTACAAGCGAGACTCTTTCACACGGACTTGCCTTAAATACCAGTCTTCTTCCTGAAGATGACGCATTCGGCGTGGGCCAATATGCTCTTAGAGTGAGTCATCCGTGAGAACCTGTATATACTTCTGGCACAAACTATGTCCATGGATTGGATACTTCCAACAAGGTCAGTATTACTACTTCTGATTCCAAGTGTCAATCTATCATTTTCAGGCGTGGATTTTAGCTTTCCGGATTAGATGGGTCCAAAATCACAGAGCAGCGCTTAATTTTTTGATCAAAACATGTGAAGTATCCCATCAACTGCGAGTGGGCGTCAGTACATCTCCAGTGCGGAGTACAGCCAATTAAAGCTCTGCCAACCAAAATCTTAGCCAACCAAAAAAGCTCGTTCGGAGGTACTTTGAATTATTAGAGAGTTTAGTTAGTTATAGAAGTTATATTGGTAAATATTTAAATTTTAGTTAGTTAGTTATATCATTACAATTATGAAAAATCAATGAGTCTAGATATATTTATGAAACATCTGGAGCCCTAATATTCATCAAGATATTAATATTTATTTCTTATATTATAGAGTAGTTACTAGTTTTAGGGTACTAATTAGGTATAAGTTTTAGAATTTTAGTAAATATTTGTTACGCCCGCCGCAACTTGTCACTGTGGGCGCGTAGCTATATATGCAGAACAAGGGACAATGATGCCGGAGTCATCATTATCGAAGCTTTTGCTTTGTGCCACAGTTGGTTGCCTTGTCCTGCTCGTAACATTAGGATAACTATATTTAACTAACAGCGATTCTCACGGCCGTACTATTAACTTATTATATCTCTCTAGTATATAATCGACTATATAAGCGACGGCGAGGTCCTCGGGCGTCACGGCAATAATAATATATGATCGAACGGATCCATTAGTCGTCTGAATCCATCGTAGGATATTATATCGGCAAGATATTTAATATTAACGGTGGAAGTATGGGAATGAAAACGGCGGCCAAGTGACGTACTGCACATCTACCCCTTTTGTGAGGGGCAGAAGTGGAGCATAGAAATGGGGCAATTGTACTGACGCCCACTCGCAGTCGATGGGATATGTGCTTTTTGGCTTCAAAGATATATACACGAATCTTCGACCGTCTCAATGGGATGCTATCCTGAGCAATCCCCTTCAAGTCCCAACCTTCCTTGATGACATGAAGACTTCCGCTTAGACGCACTGGCTGTAGTAGTCGTTCTGCTTCTGGCAGGTGAGGCCAGACTGGCAAGTAGTAGAGCCGGTGAACCCGTTGCCGCCGCACTGAGCCCAGCGACCGGCACCGCTAGTAGCAGCAGCAGGGGCGCTGGAAGCGGCCTCGGCAGTTGCACCACCGCCGCACTTGCTCTTCACGACAGTGCTGAGGGTAGTAGCAGGCACAGGGGTGGCAGCAGGGACGCTGGCCTTGGGTGTGGTAACCGGTACAGCGGGGGCAGAGCTCTCAGGGACGGAAGGCTCAGCAGCGGGGACGGAGGGCTCGGCGGCAGCAGACTCGGAGGTAGGGGCAGCAGCGGCTGCGGATGTAGTGACGGCGGCGGCGGCGCTGGTGGCAACTGCGGGAGCAGACGTGGCGGGAGCAGCACCGCCCTTGCCGGCGGCGGCGAGGAGGCTAGAGATGCTGGTGTAGGCGGGCTTGGGCTTAAGGTTCTCGTCCCAGGGGAGGGCCTCGCCGGTACCGGGGAAGACGGAAGGAATCCAGGAGTACTTGTCTGTGTAATCCCAGATGGTGACACCAACACACTCGGCGATATCCAAGCAGGCGCCGACGACGCTGACATAGTCGGTGGCTTGCTGCTCCTGGGCGGCGGTGTCGGCGGGGATGGCCTTGTGCCGGATGTCGAGCTCGGTGTAGGCGACCTCGGTGACACCGGCGTCGACGTAGGACTGGAGGACGGCGCTCAGAGCAGTGCGGGAACCGGCGCTACCAACGATGAGATGGGCCTGGAGGCCAAGACCGTCGATGCGAGCACCAGAGTCCTTGATGTTCTTGATGATGTTGAGGACCTCCTTCTGCTTGTTACCGGCCAGCTCAATGCTGTAGTCGTTGTAGTAAAGCTTAGCGTCCGCATCGGCGGCGGCGGCGGCCTTGAATGCAATAGGGATGAAGTCGGTTCCGAGAACCTTGTAGAAGACACTATCGCGGTAGGTACCGTCCTCGTTAAGGGCTTCGTTGACGACGTCCCAAGCGTAGCACTGGCCCTTGTAGTGGCCGGCGACGTTGGAGATGTGGGTGTCGATGATGGAGGTCAGCTGCTCCTTGGTCCAGGTGCCGGAAGACACCCAGGTAGGAAGCTGGGAGTGCCAGACGAGGGTGTGGCAGCGGAGAAGCTTGCTGTTGGTCTTGGCGAAGTCGGCGATCTCGTCGCCAGAGGTGTAGCTGAAGACGCCCTGGCTCTTCTCGGTGAACTGCCACTTCTGGCCGTTGCCAGGAGTAATCTGGCCAAACATCTTTGCGTCCTTCAGGATCTCGACGTAGGCCGTATCGGTGAGCTCAGAGTTGTCCGTGGCCGTGCCAAAGTACTTCTTGCCGGCCGCAACGGCGAGCTCGTGCAAGTTGGCGCTGACGCCGGACGCGAGCAGGCCTGCTGCTGTGATAGTCGAAAAACGCATGTTGGCGAGGATATTGGAAATGAGAGACTTGTAGAGAGAGACTGGTAAAAAAGAACGTGAAATGTTACGTCGAGGTAACAAGAAAAGAATGGAATTGAATGGCAAAAGACGACGAAAAAGAATTCAAAGTCAGGCCGTTGAACACATTAGCGGAAATCTGGTCATTTATCAATGTTCGTTCTCTTGACCTTTCCTTACTTTGTACGGAATACGCCCCTCCTCGCTTCCATTCCGCCCCAATCTACCTAATGCTGGAGGCTTGAACCATAGTGGCCGACGATCCGGGAGCCTCCTTCCCCTGCAACGGAGAATCAGCGTATTGGCTAGGAGACCTCGCTTCCTTCGGCCGAAAGATGAAAGGGGTTCAGAACTGTAGGGCCAGGAGAGGATCTCCCGATGTGTTCTGTGGATCCCACCGGTAGCATCAGGGATGGTGCTGGCGCGCGGGTGTAAAAGAGTTGACCATGGGCCGTCCTGTGGCCTTGTGGTCTTCACCTGAAGGCCACAGAAAGCTTTCCACTCTCAAGCAGGACAGAAACAGACCAAACAAACCAGTTCATGCATGTCACATTGTGCCATCCGAACGAAAGCGGTTAAAACGGAGCTTGCCCCGCTCCCGCCCCTGAATTTCCGGTGCTTCGGAGGGTCCACTTGCAACCATTTCGGGCCTTGCGCCGGCAGGCAATTTGTTTACGCGAAACACGCCATCTTTACGCTTTCAAGCATATCACCTTATTCACGACACCGTTCCTTAAAATAAGGGGATATTTTGACAGCTGCCAGGTTTGCTAAGGTTATTCTTTTGGTGCATTTGAATCAGTCCTGCCAGAAGTTCAGAAGGTACGGCTCAATGACGTCCTTCAATTGAATGCAACATCCATGTCCTTGCCTTGCAGGATAAAACTGAGTCAACTAAAGGATTGCCCACAAAAGAGGTCAGTTTGGAGAAAGGACCAAGGTGTATTAGTGTTCAGAACGACTCGATTATCACTATAGCATGGAAGTAAGAAAGTTTTTGGGTACTATCTTGATTATAGCAGTACTAAAGATAGTCCTATCGCTAGATAAAATATTACTAATTATTCAGAAGCCATCCGTCAAGGAGCGTAGGTCTTGTTTAAAGACGTTGCGGTCGTTATTGTCCATAATAATGGTAAGTCAATTCCCCCTTTTGTCATATTATTGTCATCCTCCAAATTCCAAATACTCGGCTGCGATTGTTGAAAGTTCTGCGAGTCTTGCTCAAGCTTTTGGCCGGCTAAGATGAGATACCATCGAAAGACCGGGCTAGAGAGTGTTGTAGAAAGTTATTGAGCTCTTTAGAACTGAACATCGGGGGTGGCGCCGAGGATGAGGACGGGGTTGAGCTTGACCTGAGCGTTGCGGACGCGGTCGACGATGGCCTGGGCATTGGCGGTCAGGGTAGCAGCAGTACCCAGAGCAAGGTTGCTGGCGGTTCCGATGGTGGCGAGAGTGGTAGCGGCGGCGGCCTGAGCCTGAGCCAAAGCAGGGAGGAGGATCGCGTTCTGGGCAATTCCTGCGACGGTTCCAGCGTTGGCGGTGACCTGAGCCTGGAGAGCGGCGATCTGAGCAGTCAGGGCTCTGGCGAGAGCCTGAGCCTGGCGGACAAGCTGTGATGGTTTTGTCAGTAATAGAATACCATGGAAGTGGATGATTCATCTTACAGCTTCAGCCTGGCCACCAACATCGGGAGTGGCAGGGGCAGTAGCGGTGGGAGCAGGAGGGCTCGGGATCGCGGTGGGAGCGGCAGCAACAATGCTGGCGACGTTGGCAGCAATGGCAGCGGCGTTGGAGCTCAGCTGAGCAACAACGGCCTGAACTTGATCCGCGGCCTAGACGTTTATGTTAGATCCATGTACATCTTGTCAAATTTGAGGAGTGATTATCTTACAGCTGTCGCAGTGCCGGTGGCCTGAAGGGCAAGGCTGTTGGCGAGAGCGGTGGTCTGGGCAATCTGGCCGGTGAGAACCTGGAGAGTGCGGAAAGCCAGCTCGTTGGCTCCAAGCTCGGCAGGGTTAAAAGAGACGCCAGGGGTAACAATGGTGCCAGGAGTGATGGTGGCGCGAGGAAGAACAGCTCCCTGAACCGAAGCGAAGGAGAAGGCGGCGAGCGCGGCGGTGAAGATCTTGGACTGCATGATGGCGGTTGGTTTGAAGCGAAGAGGATCTGTTATCAAGATAGTAGTGGTGAAAAGAAGTGTTCAGATGGATGTGTCTGAGTATTGAATGTTGAGATGCTGTGTGAGCTGATGAGGAGGAAAGAAATTGTGATAAGACGGGAGTCGTCAATGCCTCTTATAGGAAATTGAGATGCTGTCTTCGAGCCCACGATACCCACAATGTCAACGTCCTGGAGGTTCGATGCCGAGAAGCCCTCGAAATGTCTGAAAACGAGCATCATCTTACCAGAGGCGGTAAGTAAGCGTAGGGTGGCTTGCTGGGCATGGCTTCTTCCGTGGGCTAGGAGCCCCATCCGAAGCCCCGGCTATTTCGAGTTGTACAACGCTCTTCGTCTTTGTGAATCAACACAATATCATTCCCGAACATCAACTGCAAGGTATTGCCTCTTTTCCGACTTCAGACGAATGACGAGACAACAAGAACCCCTCCGTAAGGCTCGAGGCGGACGGACGAACTGGTGGAGGCACGCTAAGGGATGGGTCCCGATCTTGACGTCGCAGGCCTGGGCTGATCTAGAAGGGGCCGCATTCCTCGGCATCCCACTATCCTCCTCCATCTCCTCCCAGACCTTCAATCAGCAGGCAAAGTCTTCGACAAAATTACCGCTTGTCTCAATTTTGATGTCAGGCGCCGCCAAGGCTTCAAGCTAGACCCCAAGAACGTCGGGGCATCTTGGCTGTCCCGGGCTGAACTACCGCGCGGCATCGAGATGGTGGGTTCGGCATACATCTTTGAGCACTTACCATGGTAACGGAGCCTTCCATCATCTTGTCGACATGCACCGGGCCCGATGCATGTGCCTGTCTGAGATGAGGTGATGATCTGCTCCGTCATCTTGTAAATCATTCCTGTGTTAAGATGAGAAATTTTCACTGTCCGAGGTTCTGTGTAACGGGGCAAGGCTTGCAGTGATGGTAGGGTTCATCGGTGTGATATGACGACACGGCAACGCTCCCGCATAGCCAAAGAAAACCTACACGGAATCTCTTTGGAAACGCCTCTGCGCGGCGAGACAATCCCGTCCGGGCACCAGCTGAAGAAGTTCAAAGGAGTCTGAAAGCCCAGTAAGACACACAAGTCCCACGGAATCTTCCTCTCAAGAATGCTGAGCGGTTGAGGCGTCTCTTCTGCTGTCATTCCCGGAGCACCCCATCTTCAGTTCCCTCTCCCAAAGGCCTCAGTTCCCTTGCAAGGAGCTGGGAACGGACAGCTTGTTGACTCCTCTTTCAACTTGTTACCGCATATGGCGGGAGTGGATGTGGTTGGTCTTGAGCTGTCTCAGGGTCTACTGGAGTTTCCCGTGGACGATGTTGGTTGTCTAAGACCAATTAGAATCCACGAATCAGTACAATTCAAGACAGCCTCTAACCCCACATTCAACGGGAGCAACCCTTTCACAGAGCTCGAGCCAACTTAGACGTTATGCGAGCTGACTATTAGGCAATAGTGAAAAGAGCTAGATCCAGCCTAGCCGTGGCTTGGCGGGCAGGCTAGGCTTACGGGAAATATGTCAGCGGATAGTTCCCAGCGGGCCGCATTCATCGACAGCGGGGTGGTTGAGCCGGCTTCGATCATCGGACTGAGCTTGTTCCGTAGCGGGACGACGAGGTCTTAGCAATTACCTAAGGGAGATTCCGTCAATGGCACCGCCCGAGACAACGTTTGCGGCCGTACATTGCGGAGAGGAAACTCCATGTCATGGTGTGCTAGGCAACTGAACGAGATGACTCAAGCGCCCCAGAGATTGCATTCCGATCGTAGTGCCAAACTGCGGCCCGATCTGTGGACGTTGCTCGACTTGGTGCCCATAACTTCAATCGGCAAGTCCAAGTTGAAGATCAACGTTTTCAACTCAAAGTCCGCATCATTTCATCTAGACTCAGGTCGATTTACCTGGAATAACACAAATCAAGAGAGAAGCATTACAGAAGCACTTTGACTAGAAAGGTTCAGCTATGTGATAGGGTGTCGGAAGTTCCCAGCTCCCGTTCTCTTGATGTGGGGTTTGTGATTATTTTGACGCCTCATTGGTACTTCCCCATTGCTCATGGTGTGCTTCAAGCCACGGAGAAACTGCCATGTACTAAACCTCACGGCCTTAACTATGCGCTCTTGGCGCGCGTGCAGCGCGTCTCCTCAGCTTCTCTGCCACCAATGACTCTTAGCGTACTAGTACCTATGTGTTCTAACTCCAACTATGTGTGCACAAAATGGACTACCCTTCTGCTTATGCAATGATTCCTGATGCTCATACTGTGATGTCATTCCCAAATTTTGGTTGAGCATCTCACGTCCTTCGACTCCTTCCTCTCTGTTCGATTATTGTGCCTCGAGAAGGAAGATCACTGCTTGTTCTACCTCTGAGACAGTCTCAAGAGGATAAAAGTGCAAAACGAAGATCAATAGTTCTCAAAGACGGAGCACCTTCCATCTCCGTGGTGCTGGATGTTGCCTCCCGCCGGCCTGTAAGACAAGTACCCGGTTCCCTTTGCATGCTTCCGGCTTAGGTGCCATGGCGAATCACACAACTATTGGCCATTATAATCCCATCGGCACACGAATGACGTTTGATAGTTCTTTCCCTAGATGCGTTGACCACGCTTCATGGCGTAGCCTCACATTGAGAATGGTTGATCTTTCAGCAAGCCACAAGACCTGTTCCTTGCATCCACAACATCGGGCCCAGACAATGTGTTAAAGGGATGAGAGGGTGCTGTAAGCGGTCAGCATTGCTTCCGGCGTGTGATAGAGACGCGTGAAGTCATCCGACCAACCGGGCCGAGGGGATCGAGTGATCAGCTCGGCAGTCTGGACACATCCCTTTTTTGAAGTGCCGAGCCATGGCCCAGTCCCAGGCTTCAAGCCCAGGTACCATACAGGTCTCCAGGCATGTGGAATTTTCTTCCAACCTTTCCATTCCATCGATGGGTTCTGGGCGGTACATGGTTCTTGGCAGAACATACACCATGTCTGGCTGGAGCTGTCTGTCGCCAAGTCCGTTTTGGTGGCGACATGTGTTCTTGGCCGCTCGCAGAAAGGGAACAAGAATGAAACGTCCAGACTGTCTTGTTCCAAACGCAATGCTTCAGGTTACACAGACTGTGTTTGAGGTTATACAGACTGCTTGTCCTTCGGCTTCACATCACCCGACGCTGGAGTCAGCCCAGCCTTGGCCATAACAAGGGAGGATCACTCAGGTGCTCTCGAATGTATTGGTGAAGTAGAGACTACCTTATTCCAACAGAAGCAACATTCGCACTGTCTTTCTCCTGAGACTGTGTAGCAAGAGCGTTTAGCTATGAGCCTATTAGGGCAATGCTCTTTGGAGCTCAGCGGCCAAGGAGATTCTTGCCAGCACATCAATGATCCCACCAGTTTCAATAACCATAGGCGACAGGGAAGGCATAACCTCAGGTCACTTTGGATTTCTGACGCCTTGAAGACATCCGGGTCATTTAGTAAAACGATATGGTGGATGAAATAGAGCCTCTTATCGTCGAATGTATCTTCCAAGTGACAATACGGTGCCGATAGCATTTCTTCTAATAGTCTTGCTACAATCACGATATTCACTTTATTGAATTCCGGATCACACTTTGAAAGTTTACGCCATGTCATGTTTCTCAATTCCAACAACCTTGCTGACTTATTGTGTCATCACACGAGGTACCACGAGGTAATACGTGAAGAAGAGCTAAGCGATGTACATGGAGCCAAAGAGTCGGCCCAGAGTTGAGGTTAGCTCGAAGCCTCCACAGAAGCATTCAGCGATTGACTTGGAACTTGAATTTCAAGGACTGTAAATATTAGAAAAGAGAGCGAGATATCAGGCAGGTCGCATGAAATAAGAATTGAGATCTTGAAGCTTTGATGTGGCGTCAAATTATGCGCGTGGCCCACCACAACTCCAAAACTTCACGATATCAAAATATCGCCACAAAATCAACAAAAAACATACAACACCAGGTATTCGCTGGTCGTCACCGACCCAACTACTAATCCGGCCCTCATTAGCTTGTCTATGGGAGAGCGGACGGGATCCCGAATTTTCCAATGGGTATGGTCGTATGTGATAGCTAAGGGAAGCAAGACGGACTAGGACGGGAGTTCGGGTGGCCTGGCATAGAACAAAGCTGTCTAGAACCTATAGACTTTTGTTTATGTGATCTCATCTTGAGAAAGCAATGTATTCTGCTTTGCAATAACTATGTGACTAGGCACAAGTTTACAAATCATCAACCAAGGGGCTCAGTCCTTGAGCGGAGCCAATCTTGCTCTCAAAGAAAAGCTTCAGTCTCTCAACACGCTCACGATCCGCCATGAAACGCTCAAAGTCAATCGGGTTGGTCGAGTTGACATCCATCAGATCGGGGAAGCCAGCGGGAGCAGGAATATCCTTACGGACGCTCCACATGCCGGTGGTGTTGGGACTCTGGTACTCCTTGCTGAGCAAAAAGTTGTGAAGAAGCTTCGCGCCCTCCTTGTGGGGAGCGTCCTTGAGAATCGCAGCGCGCTGGCCCCAGGTCACGAAGAAACCATTCTTGGGAATGGAAACGTTAAAGGGGGCAGTAGGTGCCAGGCTGAGAGCACCGGTGAAGGTGACGGCGTATGAGTTGTTGGCCTGGCCCATGACGGTAGTCGGGGTGGCAGTGCCGCGGACCCAGCGGGGATTTTGGGCGAGGAGGTTCTCGAACCAACTGTATCCATTCTGCTGCATACTGCTACCGATTAGTACTCATGTAGGAAAGGAGGGACTTGACAAAGGTAGTTGCTTACGCCAGATCGAATGCATAAAGAACGGCATCATCATCGTTCGGGTAGGTAAAGACCAACTTGTCCTTGTACTCAGGCTTCAAGAAGTCTGAGTACTCGACAGGACCTTCGGAAACCTTTTCGGCATTCCAGATGTTGGTTTATCCAAAGACCACAACGGCGTACCATGAAGCCCATACGTCGCGGAAGCCAGGGTGGATCTTGTCAAAGTCCAATGGCTTTTAGCGCAACAAAGCACCTTCTTGATCCCATCGGGAATAGTCATGAAGGGTCTGAAGAATTACGCTGTCAACGGAAACGTTGCCTTGCGACAGCTGGCGGTCGATGTCGCCATCGATGTACTTGGAGATGTCGACGATGAGGTTAAGGGTCATCCCCGGAAAGCGCTTCTCGAAAGCTTCCTTCAGGGCATCCTGTTGGGTCTTCTCATCACCTCCGTGCCAAAGAGTAACCACACCGCCTTCGGCAACAGCAGCCTTGTGGATCTCGTCGATGTTGCGGGTTTCGACTTCGGGGGCACCGTGAAAGTTGAGGAGGGTATCGTTAGCTGCCACAGATGTAGCTAGGGCAGCCGAAAGAACGAATGTGGGCAGAACCATTTTGGATTGGGACTTCAGTTGGCTTTGTATACAAAAGAGAGACGATGGTTTAAGATGGTGTTAGAGTAGCATTCCTAGTATGCGGCGGATCCTACCTACTTATATCTCGTTACATGATGTCTATGTACTAGGCAGTAGACTGTATTGGCATTAGGGGATTCGATTTTTCATCGTGCATTGCGTTCCGAAAGCCGAGCAGGCCTCATGTTCCGAAATCCACTACACCGATTCATGTAGACTGAAGTTGGCTGTTTTCTTCCAAGTTTGGTAAAGTACATTACATATGACGCGATCCAGATCGTTGGTATCCCGGTAAATTTGCCTACCCCTTCCCAGCGTCACTACACCCCGGGCCGAGCTAAACCCCAGTCTTCGGATGAACGTAACCACTCAGCCCTCTTTAGCATGGGTTCCCAAGGTGTGGTCTCTCGGTTACGCTTATTGTGACCATTGTTCATGCGTGGGGTCCTCGTGGCTTGGGTCACATCGCCCCTTTAGACATGACCGCACTCTTCTAGCGTGCCATTGCAATGGCGTACTCTGTCATCGTATGAGCGAAGTGAGAAGGATTTCGGTCACGCCGCAGCGATCAGTCATTTATGTTTAACAGCGAATTATATCCTCTCTATAAGCTACCTTAGGGTACTTATGTGACACTCGTCTTCAAACAACGACAACTGAATGATACGGGTTCCCAAAGCCAGAGTAAAGATGTCTGTCACCTGTAACAATGGCTTCGGAGTCAGTGATGTACCTTAACCAGAGGTTCAAGTCTGCTATGAATGCACAGCGTATACGCCGAGAACACTCTAACCAAAAGTTCAGGATCAAGTCAACAAATGATATTGACGTAGAACTGGGCAGTACTAGCACGCCGGTGGGAACCGCGCGGGTTCGCAGGGATCTCGTCCTAATGTCTGGAGGCATTAAGCAGATGTGGGCGGATGTCGCTCAAGGATCCCTGCAGCCCAGCCAGAAGAACGAGGCCTTACCGCAATTGGCAAAACTATCCAGACACTGCCGGCCTCGAACACCATGTAATGCAAGCATTTGCGTGTCTTCAATGCTGTTAGCTGTACCATTTCCTTTGTATTACTCAACGAATTCGTCTGAGTATTGGTCATCATTCTAGGGAAAATAGTTAAAATACATCCGCGAACGGTCGATGTCTTACGGTGACATTTCAAGGGCCGCCTTCACCCACAGGATGCGCAGGTATAAGCCAACAAGCCCATCTCCCTCTTATGTAAGTCGTCGCCGACGCATTGGTTTTCGAAGTCTTCCGTCGATTGTTGAAAGTGAGAGTTCGGAGAGGCACGATAATTCACGCTCAAATGCTGAGGGCTTGATACCAAACCACAGCACTCAACGGTCCCCGCGCGTTCCGCACCGCGACAGTTGCCAGGACCATATCACAGCAGCAACAGGAACGCTAAGCGAGTCAAGAATGACACCACATAACAGACAGCCAACCGCCGAGTGGTTTCCTCTGGTAATCGTCACAGGGCTGTGCTGAGTTAGCAGCCTCACTTGTAATGTAGGTATTGAACAACCCAATGGAACTGAAGTACTAAATGACGAGGTAGGTTTAAACATTCCAGCTCTATCTAATCGTGACCCATGCCGCATGATTTCATCCTCCAACAGGGGCTTTTGATGATCAACGCAAGGATCATTTAAGCTTGGTGTACTGGTAGGAGAATTTCTACAAAAGTAAAAGTGCGCAAACCTTCTCTTATGATAAGCAGCTCATCTCAGTTATCAACAACAGTGTATGTCGGATGATACACCGAGAATCCAAGTCTCACTACCTTACTGTCCCAATGCGCTTATGCAAAGAAAGCCCAGTAAGTTGGATCGAGCGCCCCAAGACATTTGATGAGATCGTATCAAGTTCAGTAGTCTAACCGTCTAACGCAGCAGCAACTCGCTTGAGGCCTTCCAGCAGCAGCTCCTTCTTGTTCGAAAACACGATCCGGAACCATCCCGGTTGCTCAGCTCCAAACTGCTTCCCAGATGCCAGAAACACCTTCTTGCTAAGCAACGCGTGCATCACTTCTGTGCTGATATCCTCAACTTCTACACCCGGACGGCGCTCTCGATAGGCTTTCCCGAGATCAACCCACAGGAAGAATGCCGCGTTTGTCCCAGGTGCGTATTTGATCCCGTTCTCTGTGACCCAGTGAGCCACCAGCTCAAAGTTTTCTCGAAGCTTGCGCTGGTTCTCGTCGATGTAGCCATCGACCCACTCGCGGTCATCGAGGATGTTAGCGGTTGCATGATCCGTGAGCCCGGAAGGTGAGCTGTAGATGCCGACGGGGGTCAGGGAGCTGTGGAACGACGGGTTGTGCTGCGAAATTATGGCTCCGAGTCTGATCCCGTTGGCACCAAAGTCTTTGGACATTCCCCAGAGAACATGCAGTCGATGGGCGTCCATGATGTCCGTTGTACTGATGGAGAGACAGGATTCGAACGGAACCGGCGCTGGCTTCGTGTCGATTGTGTTTTCCCAGACAGAGAGAGCGTATATCTCGTCACTGATGAGGTGCGTATCGTACTTCTGGCACAGCCGCATCAACTCAACGATGGTCTCCCGCGGGTAACAACGTCCAAGAGGGTTATGGGGGTGGCACAGGATGAGGGCGGCAATCTTGATTCCCTTTTCCCTGGCAGACAGCAATGCCTCCTCATACTTCTGAACCGCATCCAACCCGAACGGGTCGATATCGTGGAATGGGACCTGCACGAGCTTGCAGCCTGTCCGATACTCGACGTCCGGAAGGAACGCTCCATAATGGGGTTGGCCGAGGAGGAAGCCTTCACCTGGGTTGCCCAACGCCCAGCAAAGATGTTCTATTGCCGAACTACAACCGTTGGTGACGGAGACATGTTGAGCTTCGATGGTCGTTACTGGGTGAAGTCGCTCTGTGAGGAAGCGCGCGAGTGATGCCTTCAGACGCTTGGAGCCCGTCATGCCATCTCCGTACGTGAACGAGTGGTTTGGAACTGCTAAATTCTCGTGGATGTGTTTCGACAGTCTATCGTGCATGAGAGTGTTTTCCGCGATTCCCAAGCTCACATAGCCTTTGGGATTTGACTCCGGATCCCAGAGGTCCTGCACGATCTTCCATAGAAGCATGCCATCGTCGGGCTTGGCTGCGATGCTGCCGCGAGTTGAAAGGCCGTGGCTCATGACGAAGTCGGAAGCTGTAGGAAAGAAAGAATGTCTAAACAAGAGAGAGGTCGACTTGGAAGAGGGGATCTAAGGCATTATCTACGATAAATGAAGAATGACTCAGTCGTGATAAGGTAGGTTGTGAGGGCAGTAGTTCGTCTCATTCCCCGCTCATAAGAACCCTTCAGGCGCAACTAGTCATGGGTATGCATGGATGCGGGGTTGCGGGCAGAAGCTCCACGAAGTTCTCCTTCGACCAAGGTACACTAACACGGCTCATTTTCTGTTTTGCTTTTCGGCACAGAATACCACGTGAGTAAATACACTGTTACTGGTCAATTAACATTATCTCGAGTTGCTTGGAGATTGGCGCCAGGAAGTAGCCCCCAAGGTTCTCGTAAGTCAGTTCATGGCCACGAGATTTGCGGCGGAGGAAGTTTGGTCCCTTACTCACAAGGCCCCTTCTGTACAGAACGTACAGAACGACTTCTTTCAAACGCCATATCGAAGACACCTCGAGAGTTTCTTGCAATTGAAATTAGCTAGGAGTACAAGAGACTAAGCTGCCGGAATCCATGGCTAATTATCAACGACTGTCAATTGCTAGTTACGTCGCCTAAGTAGATTCACAGACGCCGTCAACTTTCTCTGCCCCCGGGACTGTGGGACGGAAACTACATATTATGAGATTCTTCGTAAGGAGACAGAAATCTCGAGCTCCGTTACTTCGGAGAAACAGGGCGATTAGCCTTGCTTTGATAAAGCAAGTTGTCAATCTCCTGTGAAAATCCACACATTCGCCCATAAGCCACATCTGGTAATTAACGTTTCATGGGCTCGCCCACTTCTTCTGGTACATTTTTTTCATGCAGACACTTCCCAGTACCTCCTGTTGGATTGTTGAAGCAACTGTCAGCTTCATCCGCTTGGCGGTAACTTGGGTTCAACAGATGATGTCGAGCAACCCAAGACACTGTCAAGTGCTGCATCGCGCCTCAATCTCCATTGACTTAATGAAAAGCAGAGTACTGAGACTTTGAAGAAGGTCCCCTGAGTTATATCATTGCCTTGGCAGCATTCTTAGAGTATTCTACAGACCCCCACGCATAGATTGTTACACATTGCTTGACCAACTGAACTTATCCACGATCTCCTTAGACAACTACAACTACGTGCTAGCGAGTCAGGGCCTATCGAAGTAACTGAAGGTTTTCTCTACACTAAAAGCCATTGTGCTAATGTGAGCCCCAGGATATTCAGTCGACCTTCTTGTAACTTCGATAGCGCCAAGTATCAGTCCCTAAAAGGCTATTAAAGAATGCCAAAAGTCTGCAAGACCTGGCAATCAAATACATCGACCGTTAAATTCGAGTGTCAGTCACGGTACGAGAACGCTGAAAAGGTGCTAAGAAGTGAAACTTAACGTCGACGTCGTGTGCAGAGAGACATCGGAGCACAGAGAACTCCTCGTGCAGCACCCTTCCCAAACTGATGGAAGTCCACGCCATTCAAGCGTTTGACCCAAACGACACGCACTGATATACTCACCAAGTGCCACAAACTGGTCCTAGTCCCGGTATAATACCACCATTGCCTCATCCTCCCTCCAAGTTCTCACTTCGAGACTAAGTTCAAGGCGTTCAAGCTTCCCCCGGTTTAGAGCCAGTCACCCAAGACACGGCGAACTACATACTCTGTAAGCGTCAATCTTCACGCGTGCCATCCTGCAAACAAGCTAGATTCTAAAGGGCCTGTAGTCTAGACCTCCGGTCATGTCAAATGCCAGCTTTGCTTAGACCGACAACAATCAACACCAACCCTTGTCCACATCACCGCCCCAATCTTGAGCTCGAAGAGGTGTAGCCTCTTCGATTCCTGCCCAACCATGAGTCCAGGTCCCCCAGAGACCTGAGTAAGCTGTCTCCTCTGAAAGCATCTCGTCGGTTGGTTGAGAACATCAGACGGGAACCCTCTATTAGCTTTTCCCAGTTCCTTCCCGCAAAGCCCCTCGTCAAGACAAAATCGCGACCACGTGTCAAGCGCCGAATCTTCTTCTGCAGTAGACTCAATACATATCCTCTAGCAATAACGCATTCCAGCCCGTTCTGCCGCCATCGAGATTGAAGTAATTCGCAGGCCGACAAACACCTCGCCAAACCCATGATCGTGATCCTCACCCACCCGACCTCAAGCCATGACCTCCACCCAATATCTCCAAATCCATCCCCTGCATTTCAGCTCTGAATGACACCTGCAAACTCACTTCATCCTTCCAAAACTCTCTTCCAGAAAAGACTGGACCAATTCAAGCAGAAGACCCTCCACTCACGCTGCACGGTAGCAAATCCCTCTTCTTCACCACCACCATCGGAAAACCCAATCCCCAATCGGAAAGAAAGAAGCCGCCCCGAATCCCGTTCCCGCCGTCCGCACGAGCATTCCCGTCAATGCCATTGACAATACCTATCACTTGTTCTCCCTTCTCTAAACTCTGAAGCGGGTTTTCTTCTACCATATCTCAACTTCCCCAGGTGCCAAGCAACCTTCCACTGCTTCACTCGGGATATGCTCGAACACTTTGTCAAGAAGAACCTTATCCAGTTCAAATTCTGCCAGCTTTCGCAAACCAATCCTTCAATATCACCAAAATATCAAACCCCGTGTCCGGTGAGGTCACACTCCCCTCCCGCCCATGAAACAAACGCCACCCCGCCATCAGCTGAAGAAAACAAAAAAGAACCGTTTACCACCCCTCCAACGAATCAAACCAACAAACCAACACTTAAACAGAAATTAAAATAAAGTTCCGGCTACGGTTTCGCTTGCCGCTCGTCAAATACAGAAGTCGACACGCTGGTAGTTTCGTTCATATACTCTTTTACCCTTCAAACGCGGGGACAGGATTAACGACTCTCAAGGGATCCTTTCCCAAGTAATTCCCCGTTGAATGACGACATCTCACTCATGGCCCACAAGATCAACGACCAAAACGATGGGAAGTAAAGTGATTATCTTCGAACTTCCCACCCCCCTAGTGTCAAACTCTCGATTGATGGACGGCGCTTTCCGGTAAACCTCAAATGCCAATCGACCTGAGTTTCCTCCACGTGCTCCCCCCAAGCAAGGACCACCAATAGATCTCGTGTGTCGCCCCCTTTTGCAACCCCCTTCAAGAAACTCAAACTGCAACCCCCCAAGCGTCCCCCTTTCTATACTTTACCCTGTCTTCTGCAGCCCCCATTCTTTCCCCTTGTGCCAATAGCCGTCAGTGAAGTAGTACCGATGGGTCGGGACTGGGCCGATTCCATACGAATCGCAAAGTCTTGATGTGGCGAAAATATGGAACTACGGGCACCGCGTCTAGGGATCGTGATATTGAGAAGACCAACTAAGCATCGTGGGCTTGTTAACTTGGTCTAACAGGTGCAATGCCACGCTAGGTTCAAATGACTATGCCGACTCAATGGGCATTAACATAGCTTACCATCTCAGTGATCAAGTCATGTCAGTTGAACGCGTCGTCGAGGATGTCGAGATTCACAGTCACCAAAGTTATTTTTCCAAGTGATGTAAGATGTTTGTCTTCAAGTCCAATACATATCCAGGGAATCAATATTCACACAGAGCAGTAGACGTAGTGTCCAGGTATATATCCCAAATAAAAAGACAACAAGAACGCCCGACTGTGTTCCTCCCGGTACTGCTCCACATCTTACGAGCAAACACACCACACATTCCGAAAAACCACCCCAGTGAATACGCCGAACCAATCCTGATGAGGATGCGTTGATAAGTTTTGAAGGTGTCGTCTCAATGATCCATACAATGATGCAAAAGTAATTCGAGTAGGTCCTCTCCCCCAAGTCTTCGTCGTCCAAGTTTCTCGTCTCAATCATCTCATCACCTCCAAATTTGTGCCAGTTCTTTTTTCTGTGATATTACAGCATTATGTTCAGTTGATTTGCGGGTGGACTCCATCCCGTCGAAGGGTAGGCAGAGCGTCCATTCTCAGCTCGACGGGGGGGCGTTGGATCTCCATGCTGCGGCTGGGAGCGCGTCTGCCGCCGGGCGTGCGGGGATGCGCGACATTGACACGCCCTCCGCGCTCCGTAATACGGGCAGGACCTTCATCCGAGTCAGAGTCTTCCTCGGGTTCGTCGTAGCCGTAGTCTGCGAGCCGCGCAAAGTAGTCCGCCATGCCGTCGACGCTCGGCGTGCCGACAATGACATCATACTGAGGCGGGGGTGTCTGCAGCGGGAATTGGTCGTTCTCGGCGGGCGGTGGGGGGATTTCAGCGTCAAACGCGGGCGGGTTGTAAGAGGGCACGCGAAGTAGGTGAATGGGTCGGGGGTGCGTGTCGGCGAGCGGGTCGACCGATGTCTGGGAGTTCGGCGGTGACGACCGGCCGGTGCCGGTGCCGCCGGTTGTAGGTTGCGGTGAGGAGGGAAGATGAGCGGCTTGCGGGGGCGCAGGAAGGTTGCCAGGCGCCTCCATGACGGTGAGAGCGCCGGTCGATAGGTTGTTAGGTGAGCCCTCAGAGGGGCCAGAGATGGTGACAGCATCGGGGCAGCCGCAGGAAGTGTGACGGCTTTGGTTCAAGCCCACGTCGGGGCCTGAGTATTCGGGGAGGGAGGTGTTGGCCTGAGTGGCGCGGCAGTTGAGTACCGTAAACGGTGAGTCGATGCTGATCTCAAAGTGACGGCGTTTGGTACCGGTGGGATCCTCAGGGTCGAGGCGGGAAATCCGCATGACGATCTAGGGGGGGTTTTGTTAGTCTTTGCAAATCATTCAATGGACAGTAATCGTCTTACCTTGATCCAGTGGTACACGTTGACATTCTTCCAACTGCAATCAGGATGCAAACGCATCTCCTTGCTCTTGGCCATGGTCTCACAAGTCGGCAATTGAACGTTCATTTCGATCTCGGTAGACCCCCAGTAGCTCTCCAGCCCAAGATCCAAATCACCCAAAATGTTGTCCACCGGTTCGGGAAGAGGCTCAGGCATCACGCCGTGTCGGGAGGCATCGGCTGCGCGCCGCATAGCTGCAGATTCCCGGGCCTCCCGGCGTTGGCGGGGCGTGAGCTCACCACCATTGAGCACGCGAACATCCGACGACGCATAGGCAGGCTCCAATGGCTTGCCGGCAGTCTTCTCGAGCAGGAGGATCTTCCTGCCCGGGTCTTTGCGAGTAACCCTGCGGTCGTTGGTCCAGTACTCGATCGACTCGGTGACGAAAACCTTGAGCTTGTGAACCTGAACCTTGGCAAGCGGCGTGAGCTTGAAGGCAATCGGGATCTTGGTGCCCAAGGGGAAAGATTTGCCCGAAATGATAATGTCGTAGTGGAGTTGATCCTCCCATTGTCTGCTAATCGAGATGGGTTCCGTCATTTCGAGTGAGAGTTGATCTGGTACGCGAACGATGGCGACTTCCTTGGATCCGTGCAAGTTCGGCTTGAATGCTCCAGCTCGCTCGACGGTTGCCTGCAGCTCCCACTTCACCGAGCCATACTGGAGCTTAGTTGTCTCCAACTGATGGTGGTCGATGGGCAGCTCAAAGGTGTACTCGTACGTGCCTGGGTAAAACACCTTGTAACCCTTTGCCTGGTTGCCACTCGGGTTGTCGCCCTTGCCGAAGCTTCTTGACTGATTTGACTGCAGAGACAGACGCTTCAACTCCTTGGCCGTGAGACCCTGTCGGTTGGGCGGTATTGAGAGTAGCGAAGGCGACATCGAATTGCGGGGTGAGCTGGAGGCGAGGTTGGTTGAAGAGGAGTTCGTGGAGCTGTTCTTCAATGTGTAGACACACTGGTTGCCGTACTCGGTCTCCCACCCGTCGTTCACGGCGTTGAAAAAGGTCAAAACCTGCGTGCGCAGTGACTCTTCCTCGTACAGATCGACTTTCAAGGGAGGAATTCCTTCGGGCCATTCGGTGCGTGCCTTGCCCACCAACTTCAAGCTCACACCCTTGATCTTGATGTTCTTCGTGACCTTCAATTGGAGCTTTCCGCGCAGGAGAGCTGTGCCACCTTGTGAGTGTTGTCTGTGGCCATCATGGTCGAATCCAGTGAGGAAAATGTTCGGTTCCGCCATCAAGATCGAGCAGCTAACGCCGCTACCGTGGGCGACAGGCTTGGGGATCTCGGTAACCATTGATGTTACGTTGCTTTTTGCGCTCCGTACTGACATCAAGCTATTTCGCTGCCCGGGTGCGTTGTATGCAGAGCTCATCAAAGGCGGCCGTAGGGCCTCCGCCATGGCAGCAGATCGTAGCGCCATTGTGTCTTCGTCCGGAACCACCAAATCTACTTCACGGTAGGTAGAGAGTCGATTGAGGATGCTCGCAGCTCTGCTGGGTGGCCTCGAGAGCGTAGGCCTGGAGAGTGTGGATGCGCGTGACGTAGAACGACTCGGCACTTGTTTTTGAGAGAGGGAGAAGAACTGCTTGATGCTGAACTTCAATGAAGTCTTTCCCAACGCCGTTGTAGTTGGGGATACAGCTTTTGACGGTTTCCTCCTCTTGACGGGGCGCTCTAGTTGTGGCCGTAATTCGTGGGGTACAAAGCCCGAGGGCCACGAGGTGATGTGTATTGATCGCGGTCTTACTTGGCGAGCGCGAATGGGCGGCGTCGGTAGGCGATTTTGTTGTGTAGCGGGAGGATCGAGAAGATATCTGGGGCAGTAGTAGACGCCGCCTCGGGTGGATGTGGGAATCCAGTTTTCCGTACGCCGAGATCGCTCCGAATCTGTCATGGTGGCCGACATTGTTAGACACCACTGGTTGGAAAAAACATGTAGCGTGTGGCCGAGTGACAAAGAGTGCGGAATCACTCAGCCAGAAAGTGGGCGCGATATGTATGTATAAGAAATAGGAGAAAGAGGTTGAGGTTTAAGTTGAGTATGGAGTTTTAGAAAGGGCGTGTGTAAGGGAAGTTTCCTACGGTCAGAGACAATAGGAGACTGGTCTGGGGTACTGGGCAGATTAGGTGCATGAGATGGTTCTATGCGCTGGCAAAAAGCAAGTGAGGGTATCCATAGGAAGAGGAGACGAGGATGTGTAGGTCGGGTCAAGGAGTGTCGGGCATCGAGGCGAGTTAGGGATGATGGGGGTTTGAGGTGGGATGCAGGGTTGACCGTGATAATGTGGTGCAGCGGTGATGGGACACGGCGCGGTGCGAGCACTTGCTGCACATGGAGAGACAGGCATGGGGGGGCATAAGAAATGCGTCGTCTTGGTCTTGGGAGACCAAGACTACCGGCCGGTAAGGTATAGAGAGGTACAACGAGATGGAGATGGCGCTAGGCGGGCCGGACGGGCAGCCTCAGAATGTGAGGGAAAGGTACTAGAAGGAAAATGCAAGACGTACCGGTTGAGCAGCGTCAGAGTCAGGCGTGCATGCGATCAGTCAGTGACAAGAGCCGGGGGGAGGCTTAATCACATTCCACCCTCGGACCTCCTGAAGGAAAAGCAAGATCTCTGCGTCTTGTTTGGCGGGAGAAGAAAGTCTAGTTGCTAGGTACAACGGGAAGATCAGTACGGCATGCGGGTGCGGGTGCGGGTGCGGGATGAGGTGCGTGTGAGTGAGTGTGAGTGTGTGTGTACAGGAACAAGTAGTAGCCGTGGTAGGAGGAGGAGGGAAGAGAGAGAGAGTCTCCAATCGAAATCCAATCCTCATCCAGTCCCGGGGCGGCCAGGTCAAGTCGGCATAGATACCGCAGGACACACTCACAAGTCCGGACCAGTCAGGCTCCGTCCGTGTTGAATGGACGTCTCAAGTTTTACCTTCTGACTGCCTCAGTAAAGTGATGATGGGGAGCCCCGCGCGCAACGCCACTCGACCTGCTGAAAGCCTGAGAGGCCTGTGAAGGTACAGAAGGGGGGGGGGGTGAGTGAGGATTCCGTGACTGTAGTGACTGGGGGGGGGGGAGAGAATGATGAGATGGGCCAGAGAATCGATATCGACGAGTGAGATGTTCACGACAGGGAAGATGTCGACAACGATGAGGGGTGTAGGATGGGGGAAGAAGGGAGAGGCAAGCGAGGGCGAGGCGAGGCGGTTAGAGTCGATGACCCGGGAACTGCCCCTGTTCAGGCGGGGGGGAAGATGGATAAGTGAAGTGGTAGCTAGAGTCCAGCAAGGCGAGCGAACAACAAGAAAGGTACAGTTGAGCGGAGCGCACGTACGGTGAAGAGAATTGGCGAGAGAGAGAGAGAGAGAGAGAGTGTGTGTGTGTGTGTGTGAGAGAGAGAAAGAGAGAGAGTATGAGAGTGTGAGAGGCAGAGAGGCGTGGGCAGGCAAGCCGGGAGACCAGGTACTGCAAAGTAGAGCGGCCGCGATGGTTCAGTGTTGCGACGGTATCCCGACTTCAAAGTTCTGGATGCCGAATGGAAACAGTGGGAATTGGCTTTGTCGCGCAGCGTATCCAGCGAAATAGTGGAATTGGTTGCGACGGCAGACTCAAGCAACGTGCAAGGATGCTGCTGTCAGGCGGGGGAAGAGATTCTGCGACGCGGCCGCGGTGAGTGGTGTGCGGTGTGTGCGGTGTACGCCCTGTGTGTCCCCTCTTCCAAGGATGGATGACTTGCGAGCTTGATTTGGGGCGGGAGGAACAGTACGAAGGGGCCAACGAAGGACGGATGGACTTCTTCTCCTTCTTCTTTTGTTTGGCTCTCGCAAGAAAAGACGAGGCGACGGGGGGTATGTTATGGGTTGAAATGAGATGGGACGTTTGGGAAGAGGGGAAGAAGAAAAATAGTGAATAAGGTAAAAGAGCAGGGCCGAGAGGACGTAGGCAATAGGCATAGCTTACAATGGCGGACGAGGCGGGACGAGTTGGAATTGAACGTCTGAGTGGCGTGGGCGATTAGTAGCGAATGTCTACGTAGGTTCTAACTGAAGGTATGTCGAGGTTGCGGACTATTGCCCTCGGGTATAACGGGAGACGAAGGATAAGACGGGACGGTTGAGGAATTCCAATACGATGGCTCTGGCAATTCGTGTGTGTGTAGTTGTAAGAGGAAGAAGGGTATTTACAGACACCAGGAAAAGGACGGCGCGCAGGATGAGGTGAGGTATTCGTAGCGCGGAACCGATGGAAAAGACGGCATTGGCAACCATGGAAGTTGGCGGCTTGCGCAACTATTACCTGTCAGACCTTTCCTCGGTACGTAAGGCAGTTTGAATCAACTAGGTATAGAGCCCAATCCAGTCCAATCCAATTCAGTGTGGCCGTGGGCAATGGCAGCAGTTCATAGCAGACTTTCTTTCGTCTTTCTCCCAAGGATCCGCAGGCCGGCCGGATGTTCAGGAAGTCCCTGGTCGAAGCTTGCGTGAACGGATGATCAACCTATGATGTATTCAAGGCCTTGGTAAGACCCTGGTTGTTCCCTTTAAAATTGGGGCTTTGTTTTTTTCTTTAAATTTCCAGTGTCCGCAGCTGCTCGTTTCCAATAGAAGGGCAAGGGACTTCTGAACTGTGGCTCCGCGCTGGGCCGGGCTCGGCTTTGCTGGGCGGATACCAGTTGTCTGGCGTCCTGTACTTGCATCTGCCCGTGTCTTGCTGGAGAAGCAGGTAGTGGTGCGAGACAGAGAGTGATGACGGTGTCAAAGTGAATGTCTTTCTCGTCTGCGTCGTGTGAGTAAGCAGTGGCTACGCATAGCCGGGGGACGACTGGGAATCCAGCCAAATGCGAAAGGAAGATGCGGATTAGCGTGGCGAGTGGTTGGTGGAGTTTGTATTCGTGGCAGTGTGGCTGGTGCCCGATAAGAGAGACTCTATTTGACAAACAAAGTGTCAGCAGTCTGCCTTCTGCACATGTCCAGTATCGGCAACTTCAAGCCTGCCAGTCTGCGTGTCTGCCAATAGCTCTGTGGCTCTCTCTCGTTTTGACATGACGCACGACGTACTCGGTACAGACAGTTGTGACAGTCTCGAATCCGTATGGTCGCTTCCCAGGGCACACCCGGGATGTTGTCGAACCATGCTTGCCGCCTACTTTCTATCGGGACTCGATGGCAAGCAAGACCTTGGCAGGTCTATGCGATGAGCCGCGATCCAAGGGCGTAGCCGCAGGCAATATCGGGCAATGATGCGCCTACGTGATAGGTATGTCGTCCGTTGACGAGCACATCGTGATCCAAGTTTCGATATAGGGGGACCCTTTCTTGCCTCCAGCCGTTGTTGCTGAAATCCTTCTGGAAGATGAGAAGAAATGCTTCGGTAGTCATTCCGGCGTGGTATCCTCCAGTACGGGCGTTACGAAGTATCATGCCGCGGCCACCAAAAGTGACGATGTGCCGTGTCAGCGCGTCTATTGCGTCCTAGTGCCGTTGTAGTCTCAACTCTGTTCTGCCTCTTTTTGACAGATCAACGTGATCTGGTACCAAATTAGTTAGGCGATATGCAGAATCCCCCCCCCCCCCCCCCCCGTCTGCCGAGCTTCGGCATACGTGCCGGACTTTTTGCCCGCCAATTGACAAATGATCAAATGTTGGTTACTGAGCAGCATCTTCGAGGCCCTATCGCCGGGGCAGTGAAAGATGATTGCCGGTGTAATCCTTCTTTCTGCTTATACGCAGGCATTCCGTGATTCCATACCCAAGACTCGGCCCGCAATTCATGGCTGCGGAGCCAAAACGACGCTTAATGGTGTTTTCGTGGGTACGTATCCTTTTTTTCGTATGGCAATGCCAAAACACGCGACTTGATGGGATGGCTGGACTCCTGGAGGCCTGGCATGAGTATCAAATATCTCTGACTTTCTGTGGATGGCCTCCGCGGCGCCGAGACTTCCAAGAAGTCCAAGACCAACCCCCAGTAAACCCTGCGTGCGCCGTGCCCTGGCTGTCCTGTGAGATCTCCACGCCATCCTCATTGGTCCTTTGGAGAGTCATGCGCCACACTCTCTTGGAAATCGCCATGTCCGAGTCATCTTGCGAGAATAATGGGGTGTCGTCCCACTGAGATGCTTGACGGTCTGAAGGTCTGACACTTGACAGTTCGGAGAGTGTGTGTGAAAGGACGAGATGCGGCGAAAGGGCAACGCAACACATTACCGCATGCTCAGAGGTCGAAAGCAGGGGAATTAGTCGTGACTCTGGAACTTGGTCGTTTGCCTGTGCACCAGTTCCCAACCGTGTGGCGCCAAACGGCCATGTTTCACCCGCACGCCCGTTTGCATCATGGCCTTCTCCATCTCCTATCCTCTCGCATTGAGACGCAATCTCTGCCATCTCAACTCTGGTGTCCCAAACCGTAAGATCCGGGCTGGCCAGGCTAACCTGGGGCTCATTGCATTGAGACTAGTGGCTGGGGTATCAACAGGGGACCACGCAGCACAGAGAGTGCGGTTCAAGGTCATTGACTGGCTCTGTTCCTTGGAACAAAGCTGTTCTAAAGCACGCCTAAGCGGAAAAGAGGTGTACTTATTGCGGAAGGAGGATCTTTTGGCTTCTCGACATGGGAAACCCCAGGGCAGCAATATGCCACGAACTGGCCAGCGACTTGCGAGCGGTGAAAATGGCAGGGCCGACGATGGCTGTTGAAGAAGGGTATCGAGGATATCCTGGCGGGCTTGAGTACATACTCTGCGATCTGTATCCGTAGGCTCTTCGATTGAGGCCCAACGATGAGGCGCCCATCGAATCCCTCGTTGAGCTCGGATTGCTATGCTACACTCTGTATTTCGCATGCTCTCGCAATGCTTTCGACTCCGGGTAGGCATTGTAGAGAGTTGCTGGCTCACTTGAGAACTCTGAATCCCCTGCAGCAGCCACCGCGGCGGCCGTTGAACAAAAATGCCAAGAGACACTTGCGTAGTTTTTTTTTCCGGGTTGAGAGGCAGCGGAAGATTCACACCCGGCAGTATGGGGAGGCGGAGATAGGGACAGTAAGCTTGTCAGCGCGCCAGGGCGGGCCGGTGCCTGATAGACGACCCTAAAAAGGGAGATGGGGATGATGATGACGGCACCTTTTTGCTGGGTGCAGCTGTCTGACATGGCAGCCAGTCAAAGGCCAGAGTCTCGAGGGCCACAGCATCCTGGGGACGCCCAAGACAGGTATTTTGCGCGCAGCTTTGGTTGACAGGCCTTTGCCAATTCGCAAGGGAGGGGTTGGCTATGACCTAGCAGACCGCAGACGCATCACTGCAACAGAGTGCGAGTCAACCAGAGATGCGCGTGTAAGGCAGGTCTCGTGTCCGGGTCGGTCTGGCGAGGCCTTCAGATCAAGGCACAGAACAAACTCCAGAGTCTTCCTGGACTCGGAGAGGTGGGTGAGTGAGTGCGAGCAGGCCTGCGGCAGGTTGGTCGACCGTCGACGAAACAAGGCTCTAGCGCGAGATTTGGAGGTCGACAAGAAACAGTAGCGCGGTTATGCGGCATGCAGTTGGTTGCGAGTGGGTTGGGAGTACCGCAAGTAGCATAGCATGTGGTGTCTTGTGTCTTGTAAGTGCATGTGTAACCGTGTGAGAGCATGAGTCTACGAGGTCGAGGTCGAGCTAGTAACAGTCGAATAGATCAAGTTGTGAGCTGTGTGTTCCTCCAGTGCCTCCCCCTAGGTCGAGCTTAGCTGGGCGTCACGCGGGGGTCAGAAGAATTGGCCGCTTTTCTCAGGCTCGGTGCTTAGAAGACCGGCCAAATTCTCTGTCCCCCGCGTGGGCGTCCACGTCTTGCTGGGCAAGCCGGGGAGGAAATCAAGGACAAGCCGACGCAAAGTGCGTCACTGCATTCATGGAGAGTGTTGAGCAGAGTTCGGGCAAGGGGGTCTAAGGGCTTGAACTTCGCGGGTGAACCGAAGCAGAATCCAGACGCAGATCCGAGCGAGGCTTCTTGGAATAGACTCGAAGTCATCGCATGGTTCGAGTTCGTTTTCTCGCCTCCCCACGCGAAGTAAGGTAAGGTAGTAGAGTTTGTCTCTCGTCTCCTCAAGAACGGACTTCAGAGGGTTCGGCAGGGCCGGAAGGTCCACATTAGCGGTCTGTCGTCTTCCGAAGCCGGCGAAAAAAAGAAAAGAAAAATCATTGTTAGCTGATAGATGCCTTTCGGGACTAGATGAAATCAAACACACACACACAAAATAGCGAGGATGGGGAGGGGGAAAAACGGCAAAGGAACAAAAATGCTGACTGATGACTGATGACCGAGGGATCATGAGCGAAAAGGGAAAGAAGCATATGGGGATTGAAAAAGTCGACTGGGAAGGTGTGGGGAAGCCGGGATCCACCACCCCAGCTGGCTGCAGCCAATGCCATGAATTCAAGATCGAGGATCGACGCCGCTGAGGTCATCAGCAGCTGGAGAGTGGGGCCGCGTGAGTCGCGGATTCGTAACCTCCTGCACCTCTGAGGAAGGTACTCCGTACCTATGTACGAATAGGTATGCACATGCAGGCAGTTGTGCGGCATCTTGCTCCTGCCCCGCGAGAGTGCCGGCCAGCCGCAATTGATTGCATCAAGAAAGAGGCAGGAAGCAACCAGCCACATATTCAAGTTTCAGCAGGAAAGAAGCACAAGATTGAAGAAGCAGGTAAGAGGCACGGCAACATATTTCCGCATCGTCACTTCCACTTTTAGGTACTTTAGTACTTCGCAATGTGTAGGTAAGCTGGTAAGGTAGGTACGGGTACATTTGACGCGCCTGCCACAAGCACTTTGGCACTTCCGCAACCGTGACGCCTGCTGCATTGGACTCCGCGGAAAGCTCGCCGCAATGCGACGCTGTTGCTGTCATCTTCACTGTCATCCGTGATAATAACGCACTATCAGACTTCTCACTTCTCCCCAATTGGCAACGACGCATAGTCAATGTCAACCCACGTCCAATTGCTGCGGTCAGGGTCGAATCCTCCCATATTGCCATCTGGCGGGCGTAAAAGGCCACTGGGTAAAGTCCGTACAGTCTACAGACTACAGTCTGAGTCGCCAAAACAACAAACAAACCCAGCTGGCATTATTGCCATGGGTCACCAACTATCAATCAAGGCACACGCAGAGTCGTATCCGAATCTTGGGACTAACGAGCCACCCGAGCTAGCTCACCGCACATCTTCACGACAACAAACGACGAATCCCATCATCCATAGGCTCACCTCCCGTCAGTGTCACCCAGCACAAGGCGAAGTAGTAGAATGGATGCCTCCGCAAAGTAACTCGCCACAGCTTACATGAGTATTCGCCTGTCAAGCCTCATCAAAAGGACTGGACGATGAGATATTGGGCTGGAGTCCTTACATCATGAGCCATCAAAGTTTTGCAGACCCCACGTCGTTCTTCAGTAGTTCACTCGTACGGATACTTCTTCCTCCTCCTCCTCCTTCGCGGGGTGTCTTGGATGTAGGCGCCGATCATGCCTCTTCAACCCCCGGCATGCCAATAACCAACTACAGCGGAGCCCAATGAACAGCCTCATCAACCATCCCACCACATCCACATTGCTGGTACGGATACAGCCTACGAATACAGAGCATCTCCACTCCATAGATGATCTTTTTTCTCCGGTTCTGCCTCCGACTGGGGACGTTGGGACTCACCGCCCAACGACCCCTCATCGCTCAAGTTCGAGACTCTGTTCTGTTTCCTCGCCGGCTTCCCCAAAATGGCAACGCCAGCGGCCACTTCCACTGCGCTCGCCTCATTCGTGTCGTCCGCTGCCCGTTTCTGTCAGATCTACGCCATGGAATCAAGTGTCAGCGGCGGATTCCATCTCCTCGAGATTCCCCCCCCCCGGCAATGATTCCGCCCCAAACATTGGGATCTCGCGCTAGGAACCTGACTAACCGTGCTAATTTTCCCCTACGCTGCTACGCGGTGGAGGAGGACAACGGTTTGGGCAGCCCTGATTATGGTATGCGTCGGGCATTACCGATCATCGCAGTAGCGCCATTTACCTAGGTCTGAAGCTATGGAGAAGGCAGCTGGCCTCAACACTACAACACTATCCGTGCCTTGACTGAGTAACTGCGTAAGCTACCTTACGCTACCACGGCAGTCTGCACCACCGAGCCAGAGCCGCAAATGACGATGTGAATCCGCCACGGGCGCTGTCCGGGCCGTGTAAGGCTCTTAGTGGGCTGTCCGCAGAGGTCTGGACCCGTGCCCCCAGAGCTCCGGCATGACCGGTAGCATTCGTACTCTGAGGCTTTTGAGGCTTCTGAGCTCCATCAGGTCATGTCGGAAGCTCGTTTGACGCGGTACGCTGCTACCAAGCTACGGCCCTACGCAACTTGAATAGAGACGAGCAACAAAGCCGCTGCGCTATCGCGTTCGGCATGATATTGACAAGTCATCACCTCCAGTGGAACGCCCTGCTAGGTAATTGCCGTCAAATTGTTATTGCTCCACGTTCAAACAAGATGCATTAGATCGGCAAAGGTCCCAAAGCCTTTGCCTTGCTCTTGCTTGGACCCTGTAGTGAACCCGACTGACGAACTACCCCTGAATCGAGCAGGGCGTCTGCCAAGTTTGTCGAGCCTTTTCTTTCGCCATGCAGACTTGCAGAATGCATGCACTTTTGGTGCCTGAATCACCGATGTTGCGAATTCTGCGCCTCAATCTACCGCCGGCGTCGGGCCGCAGTAGTGCTTCCTCGGCCCAATGCGCGCAGCAAAACACTGTCTCGCGTCGGCTCCGCCCTGGCGCCGGCAACTCTCGCCCGAAGATCAACATTTCACAGAAACACCATAGAGTGACGATCATGACCGTGTTTGGGAGCATCGCGGGCTTCTTTAGATTTTCGCAAAAGTGAAAGGTAGTGCGGTAGGATCAGAGCCAATTCGACAAGATGATGAACGCAGCTCGTAGGTTAGCAGCAGCTTGATGTGCGATATCTCTTGCCCTCGCTCGACCCCTCAACCCATCATATCTGAAGCGGTTGGCGCTGATTGGCCTGGCCCCTATGGCAAAAAGGCTCCGATTGCTCGCAAGACTCAACAAGGATTCAGCCGCCACGTTGCAGCCCTTCGTAGACGTGAGGGTGTCGACGAGGCGTCAGCTGACGCTCATGAATCTGCTGTTGCAACATGAAGGCCGCGATGACCTCTGAACCCCCACCTTTCACTATCATATGCTTATAGTCAGCCGACTCGGTATATCAGGACATCATTTCAGCCAGCTGCCTCCCTATTTGCCTCTAGGTACCTTATCTTCCGTTCAGGAAAGCCTTTGAGCGCAGATAACCTTTTCACTTGCCAGGTTCAAGTACGCAGATGCGCGGTCTGGCGGCCATGGTGAAGCTATCTCTGCTCAGCCTCGTGGAATGGCTCAACGCCGAAGAAGGGAACTTCCAGTACGCCATGCTTTCTCGAGGATTATCTTTTCCTTTCTTTTCCCCCGTATGAGGAGTCCCTTCGCGATCAGCGGCTGACACTTGTGGGGGCTCTATAGTACCAGGTTGTTGTTCCTTATGGCGACAGTTGCCGTCGGCGCCGTGTCTATTGTGAAAGGATTCGGGCTTCGACAGGGGCGTGTTACTGGGCAGGACTCTGAATTGAGAGTCATGGTGCTGTGAGCATTGGGGATGATATATAGATGGGTTGAATTTGATGATGGGTATTGGTGGTTAGTTACCTAGGTATTGCGGGAGTGCGTGTCGAATATGAAGTGTAAAGACTCCAATGGTTAGCAAAGATTCACGAGAGAGAAGGTGTCCTACACAAGAGAAGAATGCCAACCTGACTGAGATGAAGGTGTTTGTGTATCTGCGTTGTATGTTGGCTCGAGTATGACTTCTAGTTCTGGCTAAATTGGGATGTGCTTGTCTCCTTCATTTCACGCAACCAACATATCTTGTCTTCAGTACCATAACCATACTAGTGTCGTAGTCGTGTCTATTCTTTCACATCTTCTTTCCATCAGCCCCGTCTATATTTGCAGTCATTCGTCATCGACGATATCAAAAGGACGATCATGGTCACCATCGTCGACATCTTTTCTAAACCCCCTCCTCCCTCCTCCTCCGAAACCCATCAAGAATCAACCTCGCCATCTGCCCATTCGTAATAGGAATCTCCCTCTCCCCAACCCTCTCCCTCCTAACCTCCTCCTCAGAAGCCCACACATAATCACAATGCTCCTCAGGATCGATCCTAACCCTCTCCTCCACCCCTCGTTCTCCGTCCTCCCTCACCCTAACCTCAAACGCAAACCGACAAAACATCCTCGTCCCATTCCGATTCGTAAACACGCTCCCAGGCTCGCTCCCTTCCCCCTCACTCACTACCCTAACAATCTCCACGGCCTCGAGCCCAGCCTCCTCCCACAGCTCGCGCGCGCAGGCGGCGAAGAGACTCGCGTCCTCTGGGTCCGCTGCGCCGCCGGGCGTTTCCCAGCGTAGGGGCATGCTGTCGTGGGCGGCGCGCTGGAGGAGGAGGATTTTGTTGGTCGAGGAGGAGAAGACTAGGGCGCCTGTTGCGAGGCCGTCCCAGGATTTGGAGTTGGTTGTGAGCCAGGTTGTTGCGGGGACGTTGTAGGGTTCTAGGGAGGGGGGATAGGTGAGGTTGAAGGTTGGCGGTGGTGGGCGTGGTGATGGTTGAGGTTGTGGAGGGGGTTGAGCAGTTTCGGGGTTGGCTGCCATGGTGGTGGTGGTGGTGGTGTTGTCTTTGGCGCTTTCGATTGCAATGATGTCTTGTGCTTGAATGAAGAAGTGACGAGAGGAGGGGGGAAGTTCTGTTTATCTTACATGCGAGATGGAATGAGGTGAAGTTGTGCCACGTTGTGCGGATGCGGAATGAAGCTTGTTTTGTGGGGGGTTTTTTGGTGTTCGGTTCCAGTCTTGCGGCTGACGATGGCCGCCTTGCGGGTTGACTTGAAGGCAGATTCGGCGCTGGTGCCTGGGACGTGAAACAGACTCCCTTATCACGACTTTCCGATTGTCTAAATCATTTGGGGATGCCGCCACTAGGGTAGGTGCCTGGTAGGCGTCAAAGTCGCGATTGCGTTGAGTCAATCATGGTGGGTGTTCTACTTGCAGTCTCGTAATGTTGGAATTCTACCTCAATGGTCTTGGACGATCGATGTTTCAGGGCAGTCATGTTTTGAGAGAGCTATTTGGCATTAGAGCACTCGTGTTTGAACAATACTGGACGTTAATTGAAGTTTGTTGTTTCACGAGATCTCCTTCGCATGGGTGGCACTGACATGCAGGCAAACAACAAGGGCGCCTTCAGGCAGACAGACATTCACGCTGGAGATTCAGGAGAGGGAACTTTCAAGGAAAAGGAGACTGAAATCCTGTGGTAGTCTTGTTGTCAGCTGTGTCGTGATAGACTGTAAGTCATTTCGCTACTCAGATCGAATGTCAATCTGCTCATAACGCCCTCCTCGGTCGAAAACCTATGAGAACATTTCCCTACACTACTATTCTTAGCTCCAGGATACTCAATCCTTGCCGTTGAATCTTCCAACATTCACTCTAGACCCTGCGTCAACCTCATCATGGTGTCTCTTACTCCACTTCGCCTACTTGAGGATTCCCAAGAACCACAGGCTCGTGAAAAGTCTCCAAGAAGACGAGCTTATCTTCATGCCCTAACGACGATGTTACTGTTACTTTTTTCTTTACTTGAGAGGATGTGCCTTTACTCCCACTGTCCACTAGTTGCGACTCGACGGGAACCTCTTCTCCAGTCCCGAGGCAGATCAGCTCCTTCACCCCGAGGAACCTCAGCAGCACCAAGTAGCCTCGGTCGCACTTCACCAGGACACAAGGGCACCTGAATCACCTCCTCAGTAACAGCTGCAGCAGCCGGATTATTGAAACCTCCCCAAACCGCAGCCACCCGATTAGCAGGTCTCTCCTCTCCACCGCACACAGGAGCAGCAGGAGGATACACTCTGCCCTGCTCCCCGCCACCAGGCTCACGCGCAACAGGCTCAACCAACTCTCCCTCCATAGTCTCCTCCTCCTCCACAACTCCCCCTTCTCCAGGATGAAACTGATTCGGCCGCGGGCAGCGCCGATGTCTCCCGCCACGACGCCTCTTCCTCCCCTCCCTCTCCATCCAGACGTCATCTCTCGAGGGTCGGCTTTCAAGGTCCAGCTCCAGGTACCGCGCGACTCTGCCCATGATTCCAGTGGGAGTGTGGTCTTTCTTACCTTGTGGGTATACTAGGCACTCTTCGCCGCAGGAGACGTCGTGGGGCGAGTTGCGAGCTCGCCTAACTGTTCGTAGTCGGCCCGATGAGGGGCTGCCCTCTCGCTCGGTGAGTTGTGGGGGTTCGTTCATGTAGTATAATTGTCAGTGAAGTAATTCTACCAAGTGATCTGTGATGTTCTTGAGGATTTGGTTGTGCGAGACATTCTAGGGGAGGAGAAACTGGCTTTTATAGGAAGCAACACCATCAGCAGATTCACTGCTCCGACAAGCGATAGAACAAGTTATGGTGCTATCGTCATGTCACACATTCACTCTGGTTCGACGACTTCATTAATGGGATATGGGCATCTGATTGCTGTATGCTAGCCCTGCTTGCTATCCTCTAGCCTTGCATGTCCACCTCAAGTAGTAGCCGCAACTCCAATGCCCTTTTCCCCAGTAATTCCATTCTGTGTCCTGAGTACCAATGCTGTCCGAGACCATAACCACTTGTCCCGATGCCATCCCAAACCAAACCCTGCCGAAAGGTGACAAACTAGGCTGTCATTATGGCGAGGGTAGAAAGAAAACCATGCTTCCCTTGCAAGAGACCAATGCACTACTGCTCACATGCTAGCGATGTGTATTAAAGTGCAGGTCTCATGAGAGAGATAGAGAGAAAGAAGAAATGCCGTAACCGATGAAGAAAGAAGTATTAGTGCCGAAAGGCGAAAGTCGAATGCCGTACCAAGAGAAAGGAGCGTCGTTATACCAACTGAGTTATTGTCGCCAAGTCGTGACTAAAGAGCAGTGATTGCGGAAAGGCCAGAAGCAAGGTTGACCAAAATCAGTCGGTACCAAGGCTCCAAAGAAGTCCAGAATATCCTTTGAAGTCTAGCGGCGATCCAGGAATAAGCAGCTACTCAAAGACGCCTAAAACTGAACTGCTGTGAAGTCCAATGCACTAGAAAAACTCTCTTGACTCGTCGTAGTACCTTATCGCAAAGTGTGTAGAGGCATGAGTGGCTATAATCGTTGCGCTCATGAGAATCGCGATTGCTCTTGCCTAAGATAATCAATTAGTAAAAGAAGCCAAGCATCAAAGACGTTGGTGTTGAGGACTTACTTGATTGTAAGATGCCCAAAAGACTCAGCTCCATGCCCACACTCAAGCATCTGGTGTCCCGAGAACACTCACTCCATGGTGCCGAAGGGGAGTCGGGGTTTGGGGGGTCTGAGAATCCTCGTGATTCTCGGGGTCAACGTTGGTGATAGTCGTACCGCCATTATTGGGAGTCTGGGGATCCTCATGATCGTTGACGGTGTTAGTCGTACCAGTATGGGTGGGAGTATCGGGATCGTAGAGGTTGTCAGAGAGGTTGATAGTACCGCCACTGGGAGGGGCAGGGCCACCAGTGGTAGGCGTGTGAGGACTCTCGACACCAAGTATGCGATGCTCGTATGACGGCTGACCGGGGGAGTCGATGATCAGTCTGAAGACGCTGGCCTGGCCCGGCAGGTAAATGTTGGCGTGAGGAATAGCCGTGTTGTGGTTGGGGATGTGAGGTAGGGCTTGCTGCTGTAGGGGCTGCTGCTGTTGCGGCTGTCCGGTGGGCATGGCTGTGGGAGGACCAGGGATGCCGTTCTGATTGTCATCGTGCTGGGTCTCATCCGTGCTCTGAGATTCCTCTTCACCGTCAAGTTCCTCGTCGCCATCAAGGGGGATGAACTCAATACCACCATGAGAAGGAACCGGGGTGTGTCCAGGGACCAGGTCATATGGCGAGATCTGCATAGCCTGATATGGGTCAAGCATCTGCAGGTACTGCTCCTCCTTCCACTCCTCGTATACATGATCGACTGTCTTCTTCACACGCTCTGAAAGGGTGGACAGGATCTCGGGAACGTTGTCGATGGTTTTGTTGTAGAAAGCAGCGAGCACATCAATGAGGATCTGGACACTCATCGTGGCATCTTGAACCTTGCCCTTCAGCTTCAAGTTTTCACTATCGAGACCAAGGAGTGTCTTGATAGTATGGCGAAGCTCGGCTCGGAGAAGGCGGTTCTTGATCTGAAGCCTGTCTCGATCCCGGTTCAAAACCAGAGCCACATCTTGGAAATCCGAGACCTGCCGGAACAGGTTCTCGCTCTGGGTTGCAGTATGTTGAAGTGCCTTATTCAAGCGCAGGATATCGTCTCGTAGTCTAACGTTTTCCTCAAAGGCGAGACCGGCGGTGCTGATGGCATCCCCCATTTTGTCCAGGTTGTCTCTGAGCTGCTGCTTCTCTGCCTTGAGCTGAGCATTCTCGGCCTGAATGGCCTGAAGCTGCTGCTCCATTTCGTGACAGCCGTCGGTGCCGAAAGGAGTGGTGGTGGTGGTCTGTAGAAGAAAGAAGTTAGAATCAAAGGGTTGAGAAGGGGGCTTTATATAGATATTGGTGAGCCCATCGGTGGGACACAATCAGTAAACCAAGATCAGTAATATGAGATGAACTCAAGATTTGAGGAGGAAGGAGCAATGGTGATCCTTCTCACATTAAATTACTGATTGGGGGACTGAAAGAAGAAGATAAAAGGAGACTCACAGTGCTGGTGTGCACAACTTCACCAACTTGGCCACTCTGGCCACTGCTGTTAGCAGCACCAGCCGAAGCTGGGCCACTAACACCCTGGAGGCCACCCAGGGTGGCGATGGCAATGCCACCGCCAGCAGCGGCCGCAACCGCCGACGAGAACCTCGCCGGGATGGCGTCCCGAGGGGCGCCACCAACGACCACCGGACCATTGCTGCGACTAGTGTCAGCAGCGACAGGCTGCCCAGTGACCGCCGGTTGCCGTACCGTCCGCATATTCATCGCAGCGTAGTCTTGGGGCGCTGGGGGGTGGGCGGCGGCGCCCGGAACAAAGGCCGAGGTGGTGGCCTTATAGGGGATGGTGTAGGGCGAAGACATTGTGGTGATGCTAGAATAGTTAGAAATGAAGCTCTTTATAGGTAGGGGAGAGTGTCAATACCTTCGTGGATGAGTTGGATGGTTGTGGTAGCTGAGATTGGAGAATCGAAAGGTGGGTTGGAGGAAGAAGAGAAAAGGTGGGAGGTGGGAGGAAAAGAATTCCGATAGATAGGTGGGAGGGAGAGTAAGGCAGCGAGTGTGTGCCCTTCGTCCGTAATAGGGCAATCCAGGGCGGTGAGAATAATTATAGTAGTCAAGAGGTTTTGAGACTAAAACTAGGAAGGGGCAGCTCAAATATAATAAGGGCCTGGCTCTTTCCGCGTGGTAGCTTTCTCCGATATCCCGCAGAACCATTGACCCGGTGGGCGAAATTAAACACACCGGGAGCATCACAGGCTCTGCGCCCTGCCAGCGAGTCAAGAAATTGAGCCATTGTACGATATGACTCAAATGGTTGAATGTTTGGAGTCGTGTTCCGCCATTGTTTGATGCTACGAATACTAATATGAGAAACTCCGGTTCCGAGGTCCGGCTTAGCCATTCGTCTATGAAGTGGCTGGCATCGTCAAATCTAGAGACAGTAGCCAGGTGAGAGTAAACTAATGACACAGAAATGCAATCATAATGTAGAACTCTCATCATTCTGGGCAATCGAAGGACCTTGGACGCAACATCGTGAGTCTGTCGTCGATAATTCAAGATCACGTGGGGCCGGAGCAACGTGAAATACGGCCCCACTACGGGAAGCTAAGAACGGCGCTAAAATCTTAGCGGCGGGTGCACCAGGGCCCAGGGGTAGGTACCTTCCAGTCGGGAAGTTCTCTTCAAAGCTCCTTCCAAAGCTCCCTTCGGACTCTTCCCGTCCAGCTCTGCTTCGACTTCTGTCAGCTGACAGCTTGGGCCCAGGGGGAAAAGTCGAACGTTGACTGCGAGCCTTGTCATCATTCTCTCGCAAACTTGGTGTCGCCTGACACAGCCGCAATCAACATCCTCTGGACCATTCCCATGGATCAGACGTCACAACAGGACAGTCCTCTGTCCATCGCGGCCAATGTCGCTGGAATTCTCACCTTCGTCGTCGCAATCATCGCAGCAGTATATGTCAGAATCACGTATCTGCGCAACAGCGATGACGAGTACTTCCGAGTCAAGGCCTCGCTGTCCTGGTTTAAAACGGAATCCACGTGGCTATCGGACCTTGTCCGTACAGCCGGTGAAAGATCAGGAGGTCTCCATTCTCGCCAACCTGAATATCAGATGTACGCCTTCGTGATGGACGACTTGATTAAGCTGGAGAAGCGTATCCTGGAACTGCTGGCCGAGGCCGAGACGAAAGCTGCGGGCCAAGATGCCGAGAATCAGGGCAAATGGACCCTCGTGCCCAAGAGTTGGAGCTTTACAACCAATGTCGCCATGGCTTGGCTGCCAGTCCGGACCAAAACATTAGAGCTGGTTCGCCAGCGAGAAGCATTGACGGCACGTGTGCAATTTACGCAAATGAGCATGATATCTTCGTAAGCCTCCTAATGCTGACTGGCTGTCGGTCGCTATTACTGACGAATTATCGCAGTCGAATTCGAGACTTGGAATCGAGAACCACGTGGACGGAGGCCAAGTCCGAAGAAAGCTTTATTCGTATGGAGAACCAGATTGCTGAGCAGAGAGCTCAGATCCATCGGCTGGAGGACCTCGTCTATCGTTTGATGTATCGGAGTCGGCTCAGCCAGGATCCCGATTCGTCTATGACCGATCCTCTTAAGTCGCGCCGATTATCCAGTCCCTCGCAATAGGTTCCAAGCGAGCTGACGAATCGAGGGCACCGCCGGCGGGCCAGTTCGCAGTCCACGAAGCGGTCGAAGTCCAAATAAAGAGTCGCGAACCACCTATTTAATGGCGTACCCTCCTTGCAGTAAATAAGCACCTGCCACTGCCAAACTGGCCACGGCCACAGGGAGGTCAAGCTCCAAAATCGACCAAATCCATACACATCCCAAAGTCGGCGCCTGCTTCATGATGTACAGATAACTGAACTTATTGGTAATGTAGATCAGATGGCATCCAGCCCACACTCCGGCCACGAAGAAGATAGCCTGTCGGATGGGATGCTGGTAACGAGCCGGCAGTCCCGGGACAAGATTTGGGCTGGATGGGAAAGCATGAAGATTGTAGAAAAGGAAGAAAAGCACTATCGCCCACCGTCATCATCAGCAAAAGAGCAGAGGTGAGGGGATCGACTTGAGACTCACCCATCAACGCAATGAGCGTACGGCTGACAACGTTGGACCATTCGATCTCCTTGGCGTACTGGTTCTGGACGAGCACGTCAAAGGTGCCGTGCACCATGGCGAGGCTTACGGTCCAGAGCAGTGTGTCCATTATACGGTCCATCAAGGGAGACAACAAGACCTCTTCGTCGTCTTCCTCATCGTCACTATCCTCGGCACCCGGCCTGTCAATTCGGACGGCACCCTTGGGCAGATTCTTATTCCTCGGGTCTTTGTCGGCCTGTTTGAAAAGACCTCTGTCCTGAGCCATCTGCAGCAAAGTGGCTTCGCTGGGAGCCGAACGATCAGGTTGGGCAAGGGGGATGCCTTTGGGGTCCTTCGCCCTCTTTTCCTTGGTCCCCTTTTTGGCCATGTTTGAGTATTGACTGAGGTGGTAACGAACACTCGGTGAGCCGGTGGTTGAGATTTCCCCTCGCCGTTCTTCGCCGATCTGCTAAAGGTCGCCTCGAGCTTCGGCAATACCACTACAGTGATCCCTCCGTCTGTGAGATGCAGCTAAGTGACAGCTGCAAGGTATGTTGTCGTCGGATGTGTTCGTCTGGTCGCGTGCCGAGGTGCTTTGGCTGACAAAGACACAGTTTACAGTTTGACAGTTCCTTGTCCCGCCGTCAGCTCATAGCTCCAGCTCACCTCACCAGCTGTCAGGGAAGCTCTGCACCTGTAAAAATAAAGGTACAGAGCTCCCTGGCCCCTGCAGGTCATTGGTCCAGTGACCAAACGAACCCATGCCCTGTCGCATGACACACTGCTCCGGGCAGCCAATTGCCAGGCGTCACTCGCCCCTCAGGGCGGATTTAGTGTTGTCAGGTACCCCGTTCCGCGATCTGTCACCGCCTGCATTTTCGGGAAGGGAAATGGGTGCGACACACACCGACGGCGCAGATGGCAGCGCACCGCACCGCAACGCGCCAGTTCCGACCAAGTGACTGAGGCACCGAATCCTCCGGGCCCCAGCTCATCCAATTTCCCAGCCGATCGTCTCCCGCTATTTGCGACCACCCACACCACCATTGACAGCCACCAACACCACCCGTTGTCGCTAAGAAGCTCCTCCGAGATTAGACCAGGGTCCCCCAAATCGAAAGGTGGCATCTCACGCTTCTCCTACTCTCTATCCCACGATGCCGCTTGCCTCGTGACCTCCATCTTGCATCCAGTGCTGCTTTGCGACTCTCTCAGGTTCCTCTGGGAACTCTTCCTCTTCAGCATACACCCTTTGCGACCTCCCCGGACCCGTCATCCTTCTGCGCGAGGCTGCGAATCGCCGATACACGCCACACCGCATTCTCGAAACACTCCTCTCGAAAAAGACCCCACCTTGGGGAACTCGAAACCTCCTCACCGACGAAACGAGATCGCATACCAGAGCTGCCCGGTGTTGGAAATTGCGCCACTTGTAGTTGACAATGGGTTGGATAATGCTCCTCGGCCCTTTGCTGGCGGCTATTGCACCAGCATTGTATATATACCTGGTCCCGCTGATTACGCCGCGACTCCCAACATTGGAGAACAAACGCATCTGCCTCTTGATTGCGCACCCGGATGATGAGGCCATGTTCTTTGCGCCAACCGTGTTGGCCCTCACCAAACCAGATACGGGCAATCACGTCAAGATTCTGTGTTTGAGCTCAGGTTAGAAACCTTCCTGGGGATACTGCCGAAAGGGCAAAAGGACGCCATGGCTGACTAGAGGGGCAACTGTATAGGCAACGCCGACGGCTTGGGTGAGACTCGCAAGAAGGAGTTAATCAAGAGCGGCATGAAGCTCGGTCTGCAGAAGGAGGACGATTTCTTCGTCATTGACAGCCCGTGAGCAATTCCCCCTCCTAACCCACTGCCCCTCAACTCCACTCCAGACCCTGGACGAGCTAATCTGACCGCCTCCTGGGACCTCCAGCGACTTTCAAGACTCCATGACCAACGTATGGGACAAGACCAAGATTTCTACCCTCCTCGGCCGCGCCTTTGCTCCGCAGCTCGCCCGCCAGCGCGCTGCCAGTGAGGAGCCCGACGCCAACATTGACGTCCTCATCACGTTTGACTCGACCGGCGTCTCCTCCCATCCGAACCACATCTCTCTATACCACGGCGCCCGTGCCTTCATCGCCGCCCTCTCCGACCCGCGCTGGACTTCCCCCGTCGACCTCTACACCCTGACCTCGGTCCCCTTTGCGCGCAAGTACACCAACTTCCTCGACGCCATCCCCACGCTCTTCTCCTGGGCCACCACGGCCGGCAGCAACCCCCCGAAACCACCCAAGAAGCCAAAGAAGGAGGACGACGACAGCGACGACGAGGACGAGGAAGACGACAACTACCACCCCACGGCGCTCGTGTTCCTCAGCGAGCTAGGCGCCAAGGGCGGTTGGGCTACGGCGTGGAGTGCAATGACCACGGCGCATAAGAGCCAGATGGTATGGTTCCGCTACGGCTGGATCTCGTTGAGTAGGTACATGGTTCTCAACGACTTGCGACTGGAAAAGGTCGAGGCCGAAGAGGAGACCAAGGCGTGAGTGAGAAGCTGAAAAAAGAAGGAAAAGGAGTTGATGGTAAAGCGTGGATTGAAAAAGAAAGGCATAACTAGCATCTCATATTCCCCCAGTCACTCTACTTCATCATGAGCAGGCGTTTTTGCATGGGCTCCATGTGTTTTGGGTAGATACCACCATATACACCCCAGGTACAAAATCATCAGCGTTGCAGTTTCAGAATGAATATCACGTACGCCGTAGGATGAGAATCGAGTTCGTCTCCGACTCTTCATCAGCCCCCATTTATAACAATATTGCAGTAACCTCACATCGGGATACCTTTGCCATAAGCATGAAGTAACTTGATATTGTCAATCCATTCGACTATTTACTGGAGCACTCTGGCAGCCTACCGCACCAGCAGATCTTCTCCACAAGACATATAATGTGCCACCATCTACCATATCAAGGCCTTCAAAACCCTCTTTCGATACATGACGCCGGCCTGTGGCAACGATGGCGATTTCAGAGCTTCGCCAGTACCAAAGGCCTCTTTTTCGTTCACGGCCCCCTGAGTGGCCGCCTTGCCAAGAAATCGTAGACGCCTCTCTTGCTCTCCAAATCTGACCTCCCTTCGTTGCCGGACCATTCGCCGAGTTGATCGTCTGAGGGTAATTGCCATGCTTTCATACACCGGGTCGCCCGACTCAGTTACGATAGGTACAGACTCTGCGTCCTCCCCAGCGCCCTCTGGTTTAGAAAACTTTGGCCGGCTTGGATCGGGAGCAAGTCTCCGGGTTGGCTCAGAGCGGATAATCTGCTTCACATATCTGACCCTGGGCGCGGCGATGTCTTGGTTCAAGATCCTTACAGTCCCTCCATACGTCGAGTACGTTATTGGATCAGGGAGAAAACGGCGGAAATCGTTGACAAAGTCAGGAATGATCTGGGATCCCAGCGAGGGCTCGCGGCTTAAGCGAACGCTGGCCTCTCGCAACCATTGCTGGCACAGGCGTTGGATGGAGTACCAGGACATGTGTTGCTGAGCTTTTAGCCGATGGTGTCGAGAAATTGAAGCTGGCGGTGGCGATGGGAAAAGGGTCTCAAATAGAGCTGCTTCGACATCTTTGCATAGTAAGTCGTAGTCGGCGCAGGTACGCCTTAAGGAGTCCCATGCTTCATTTAGCCTGCCAGAAGCAACCAGCGTCCTAGTGTAAAGGTCAACGTCACGAGAACCAAGGTGGGGTTTGACCGTCATGGCGTCCCATACAGCCAACACGTCGTTCGCACGGACGACCCTGTTTTTGTCGCCAATAGCCTTATACTCTTGAACGACCGGTCTGGAAGACATCAAGTAGGTCCACTCAAGGAGTGAGGACCAGGTATTTGGCGATATGGGGATCCCCCATTCTGTAGAGATATACTCGATCAGCTTTTTGGCTATAATGACATGGCCAGTGCAACCGAAAGACTGCACGATAGCGTCGATCAAAGGCTGTGTTGGAGTCGGTGTTCGCCTGATACTGTCCGCCCTCTTGGCACTGACGATTGATGCTGCTCGATGATCTCTGTCCGTAGTCAAGATGCCCCATACTTTATAGAGAATTCGAGTCATCTCCCTGACAGAGCCTGCGCGTGCGCAGGCGACTAGGTACGCACAGTAGAACTCTTCGTCCACTACTTTGTGCTTTTTGCGGGTGGAAGCATTCAGTCGTTCCACAGGCGCGGGCAAGCTGAGGAGGCGATGTAAGTCATGAGTTGGCTCCCAACTAGCACGGCCGTAGGTGAACCTCCCGTTGGCAAAGCGGTTGAGCCTCAGTTTTTCGAGGGGCCATAAGATCCGGGTGTCTTTGAACTTCTTCCTACGGCCATGTAAATTACGGGGTCGCACTCGAAGTCTGGCCTTATCATTGTGCGAATAGGCTGGATCTGTGAGAAATCGAGTCTTGAAGTATTCGGTATAGTCCTGGCCATTCCTGTGATGGCCATTATCCTCCCCCTTGGTCATATACCAAAGTTCTTTTGCAGCCTGGACGTCGGATGCAGCACCGGCGCATCTGAGGAGAACGACATAGTCGAGTCGAGAGGGCTCATTGCCATGATGGGATCTTAGACCGAATAGAGTACGCAATGACTGGAAGGTATCTTTGTAGATTTTGGGAACACCAAATCGATCGGCAACCGAAGCAAGAGAGCTGTACTGGCCAAGTCCATTCTCGATTCGCAGACCGTGAGTCGCATCGCTGCGAGGGCCGACGCGAGAGGGGTCCAGAGAGCGCACAATTTCCGAAAATGTAGTCGGTGATAGCTTTTGCAACGTGTCTGCCGCCTCAATGGCCCGTGGGTGACGTGCTAGGCCTTTGACACTCTCCAATATCTGGGTTGTATCCTGCGACTGGACCGCCCGTAGCAAATCCGCGAGATGTGCGTCGGGAGATGAATAATCTGGACGCGACTCTATCGCAGGGGTCGAGGTGTCGAAGCTGAGCTTATGCGACTGGGAAATGCATCTTGCTGAAAGGTCCAACCCGTTTCGTGGGATTAGGGTTCTCGCGGAAGCTGTTGTCATGGGAAAAGGGGAGTGATGCCCGTAACATCTTCGCAGTCGAGTAGCCAAGATTTTCGAGGGGGTGCCGCGAGGGGGTGACAGCAGCTGTCGAAAGCCATTGGCCTCCATAGCTGGTATCATGATGGAAGGTTGCGAGGTCTGTATCGAATCATCTCATGTAGTTCGAAGCCAGTGGCACGGCCAAGTGGACGTTGAGATTCTTTGAAGACGTGGCTGGACAAGCGTCTTGCTCGCGTGAGATGTGTCGAGTGAGAAAGACAAACACAAAAGCTGTCCCCTCACGGCGAAGCGAGAGGTACCACGTCGGCAAGACAATGGAGGAAAGCACTGTTTCCCCCAAGCACACAGCTTACGCAGGTCGAGGCGTTTTCCCCGACAGCTTCCCCAACTTTCCGTTTCCCGCTGCTGCAGCCGCCGTTGCTTGCCGCCTCCTCCTCCTCCTCTTCATCCTGCGTATCCGTACTCCGTACCTACTGGCCTGCTTTGCCTACCTAATCGCCCGCTCCAAGTTACAACACAAGTGCTGCAAGTGCCTGCTTTAGTGCCCTGCTCCCTTCCCCTCTAACCGTGCCATCCTGGACAAGGGACGGGAAGCTCCACGCAGACCTGGGGCAAGACCCATTCCTGGCCCACCTTCCGGTGTGCCGTGACACGGTTCAATCTCATTGTGGGCTGAGCAGCCGGAGCATTCCTTCTGCCGGTTCCGGGAAGTCTTGACCAATGACGCGCAGTTGAGCATTGCCCGCGCAAAATGCATAATTCCTCCAGTGTCCGGCCCCACCACCGTCTCTCGGCCATCCCAGTTGAACCGCTGTGTCTTCATCAAGGAAACGCGCCTATCCATCCCATCACAGAGCCCCCTGCTCCCTTTTCATCGACCCAACTTTCACTCTTCATACCATTATGGCAGACGCCGGCGAAGACACCACGCACGTGCAGGAGCCTCTTGACCTTGTCAAGCTCCTGCTCGACGAAGTAGTTTTCGTCAAGCTTAGGGGTGACCGTGAGCTCAAGGGCAGACTTCACGTGAGTTGAGATGCGTGTCTTGGAGCCGAATGAGACTTGCTAACTCGTATTACAGGCATACGACAGCCATTGCAACCTTGTTCTGGGAGAGGTCGAGGAGACGATCTATGTGGTAGATGAGGATGAAGAGGATGAGGAAGTGAAGGTGAGAAAGCTGGATGAGCTCAAAGTCTCACCAAATGCTAACTGCATACCGTAGACTATCAGCAGAAAGTCGGAAATGCTCTTCGTTCGTGGTAAGTTGCAGTCTATCCTGGGTACTGGCCAACCGTCTGACGGGGTTGCAGGTGACAGTGTGGTTCTCATCTCGCCACAAACGTCCTCATAACCATTGGGGGATCGCGCATCGACCATTGCCATGAAGGGGCTTTGGTTTGAGTCAACACCAAGTACGCCCGAGCCGACGACAGCAGGGCACCGCTGACAACGCGGGTCGACGTCTCTCGCCGCGACATCGGAGTAGGAAAGGCGTAACTCTTCATCACGAACATCAATGTGGTCTCTTTCCATATACCCTCATCCCGAGACCACGTTAGCACCCCTAGTCTGTTGCAGAACCTACACTATGCCACCACAACCTGGGACATCTCGCACATTGGTACGATGGTGCAACTAGGGGCACTCGGCCGCTCTCAACGTCATAGCTGAGGAATAACCGGGCAGATTTATCGATCAAAGCCAGACACTCAATCTCGTCGTTTGCAGTTCAAATAGAAATTCCTAGCAGTGGAGCAAACTTTGGCTCATGCTGCATTATCTGTCTTTCCTGTTGTTCTCAGTCGTGCCAGTGCAAGTTCTGGATGCGCCGTTTCGATCGATTTAATGACACTTTCTCCCTCCTTGTGGCCGTAGTCAACCAGGTCAGGTCAGGCAAGAGGCGCAGCAAACAAGGTACAGCCGCAGATCAACTCATAAGCAAGCAATTGACTGTCTGAGTCACACAAACTTCCACTTCTGTTCGCCGCGGCCTTTGTGATAAGTGTATCCAGCCATGGGGTTCACTAAGGTTGAAGAAACAATACCCAGTTCAGCCATTCAATCAAGACACAATGCGGGGCTCCGCATTCTGCAATCGTCTCAATCCACCACCATCCAGGTGCCAGCGACAGGTTGACGCTGGCCCGTGCCAAAGCTCTTATCGATAAGCCCCGCCGAGTTACTCATAATGTCAACGCTGCTTTAGACTCATCCATCTATGGATTCCGACCATGGTCATCTTGTATCTGCAAGAATTTGAGCATGATGCAGGATGTAAGGTGAGACCAAATAGAGTGTCTCAGCTCGAAGCTCAGCAGGTCAGAACTTGTTCTAACTTGAGATCCTCGTATTACAGGCACTTTCCGTGAGGGCTCTTGCATACAACCTTGATACACTTTACGGGCTGGCAGGGGGGACAGATGGCCCAAGAATAAACGGCCGAGACGTAAAGCAGCGGGGCATTCTGTCACCCGGGCGTGGTGTGGAGGTGGAAGTGGCCCCGACTGTCACTGCCGTTAGACTTCGCCGCTCCGAGTCAATCGATGACTCCTTTCTCTGTCCCGTCGCGACGCCAACTTTGTCGGAATTAAAATTCGCCCCTCTCTATACAGCCTTAACACGCTACATCGCACTCCATCATTCAATTCCATCAGGCACTCTTCTACAACTCCATTGTGTCGCTCTTGACACGCATCAATGATCCTAAGGATACGAATATAGCCGCTCCCATCACCCCACCATGACTAGCAAGAACATAAAGTCATTACCGCACGAGAAGCGTAAGGGCGAAGCTGTATGGAAACCCCACCAAGTTCGACTGGCTCTTTGCCCCGACCATCACTGACCACTTCCCTCCAGGCCCTTAGCGACTTTGCCGAGTATGTCGAGAAGCAGCAAGCATTGCGATACCCGAGTGCGAAGCCGGCCGACGTCTCCAAGGCCACTGAAGCCCCCGAACACCAGCATGCTGAGCTCGACGAGCTCTTCGACAACCTTGATCTAGCCGAGCCTACTCCTAGCGTTCGATTGAAGGACCTCCTGCTAGGCACCAATGACGACACGCTTCAGAAGTTGGAGGGAGTGCTCCAGGAAAGGATATTAGAGGGCCACGGAGAGACCGTGTTCGAGCTTGGTTTCGAGAACAATGGCGAGTCCATGGGACTTTCAATAGAGCAATGGACTGCGGCATACACCCGATTGAAGGAGGCGGCCAAGAGGATACGAGCTGACTGCCGAACGCTCATCACCAAGAACGTCGGTGGCGATGTTGAGGCCCCGAGCGCCCAGTCTGGCAAAGACAGCCATTGCAGTGGCAAGATCATGATTCGCCAGACACCAGCAACAGTAGAGGATGTCATTGAGACCCGAATAGCTGTGGTTGGCAACGGTATGTGTTCTCTACGCCTGTCAATGATGTACTTGCTAGACGAGCTGGTCTTCTCGCAACATCAGCACGGCCGTGATTATAGACTAACCCATACATCACAGTCGACGCTGGAAAGAGTTCTCTTCTGGGTGTCCTGGTGAAGGGCGACCTCGACGACGGCAGAGGACGTGCGCGAGTTAACCTCTTCCGCCACAAGCACGAGATCGAGACAGGCAGAACCAGCTCTGTCGGCATGGAGATCCTGGGTTTCGATACTCTAGGAGATGTTGTCGTTTCCGACACCCCTGGGAGTAGGCACTGTTTCGGCCCTTGTCGTCAGAGTGACTCACTGACGATTGCCAGGAAAACTGTCGTGGGAAGAGATTGGAAAACGCAGCGCCAAAGTCATTACCTTCACTGACTTGGCAGGCCACGAAAAATACCTGCGAACGACCGTTTTTGGTCTACTGTCGAGCAGCCCTAACTACTGCTTGTTGATGGTCGCGGCCAACAATGGTCTGGTCGGCATGAGCAAAGAGCACCTGGGTATTGCCCTGGCTCTCAACGTACCGGTGATGGTCGTCATTACCAAGATTGATATCTGCCCGCCCCAGATTCTTGAGCAGACCATCAGCCAGATCACCAAGATCTTGAAGAGTCCAGGAGCGCGGAAGATACCCATCTTCATCAAGGACCGCGAGGAGTGCATAAACACGGCCACTCAGTTCATCAGCCAGAGGATATGCCCCGTCTTCCAGGTTTCCAACGTCACGGGTGAGAACCTCGACTTGGTCCGGACATTCCTGAACATCTTGCCGCACCACGGACGCTATGATTCCGAGGCGCCATTTGAGTTCCACATCAACGACACGTTCTCGGTCCCCTTCGTCGGTACAGTTGTCTCCGGCATTATCAAGGCCGGTGTCATCCACGCTGGTGACAACGTGCTCATAGGTCCAGACTCTTTGGGCCAGTTCACATCTACCAGCATTCGATCCATCGAACGCAAGCGACTGGGGGTACCGGCTGCTTCTGCGGGTCAGTCGGCGTCCTTCGCCTTGAAGAAAGTCCGGCGTAAGGACGTTAGAAAAGGCATGGTTGTTCTGCCCAAGCTTGAAGGACAGCCGGCGCCCAAGGTGCACAGGGAGTTCATAGCAGAAGGTGAGCCACATTACTGAAGCCCGAATGCGACACTCAAGCTGACCAATCTCTAGTTTTGATTCTCTCTCACGCGACTACCATCAAGACGAAATACCAGGCCATGCTGCACGTTGGCCCCGTCTCGCAGACGTGCGCGATCATCGACGTCGACCGCCCGTACATCCGGACTGGCGACAGAGCAACGGTTGCGTTCCGCTTCGTTCAGCGACCCGAGTATCTCGCTCCCGGTGACCGGTTATTGTTCCGAGAGGGCAGGACCAAAGGCCTGGGTATTGTCAAGTCAGTTGGCTACGACCCCAGCAAGCCGTTATACCCGCATGGCGACTCTGCGACGGGTGAAGATGGCGCAGCGAACGCCAAGAACGATGAGAACGGCGAGAAGCCCGCCAACAGTCAGGAGGTCAAGGTCGGGGCGTGAGGAGATTGCACTTGGTACCTGTATAATTGGGCGTTCAGCGGGTTGATTTGAATATTGTAGCTAGCTAGCATTGGGGTTCGAGCGATACCAGGATGTACATTTCTGAGGAGGCACGCTTCTACCTGTCTCGTACATTCATTCAATCATACTTTGCATCTAAATCCTCCCGCACTTCCAACGCGCATTGTATTCGGACCGTACTCGTTACTCATCTGATCATACTTAGTCTATTCGCCTCGTTATATGGGATGCCTAACACCACGAAGGCATCACAACTCGCACTGATCCGCCATCATCCGCGGAAACTCAACAAGCCTCACCTCCCATCTCCCCCGCCACTTCTCCTCCAAGTATTCACAAATCGCCCTCGTCTCCAGCACAGCCCGCCTCCACATCCACCAATGCTTCCGATCACACACCCTCGCATACCAATACGCCAACAGCAGCATCGCCCTCTCGTCCTTCTCCTCTAGCAGCCGCCGGAACCGCGGGTCCAACTTACTGATGAAGCCCATGAACGGCTTCACAAGCTCAATCGAGTCCGGATCCGCTGCCGCCGCGGGGGAAGAAACCCGCCAGCACGCGGCTAGGGACGCGGCGGCCGTGAAGTACGGGTTCGCGTGCGTGGGGTCCTCGACGAGGTTGAACAGCTCCGCGAAGCCTTCTGGGGGGGGAGGACTCCACGCATCCATCATCTTTCCGTCGTCTTCGTTCCCGTCCCCGTTGATACTGACACAAGGGGTCGGTACCTCGACGGGCTTCATCAAGTGCGCGTAAATTTCGCTCGCCGCATCCGCAAACACGCCCCTCGGCGCGCGGGGCGTATCCGTCATCTTCCACACCTGCTTCTTCCCGTCGCCTAGCTTCAGCCAGTCTAGGTCCGAGGGGCATCCTTTTCGTAGGGGCCAGGCGTCGCGGGGCGCGGCGAGGGAGGCTACGTTGGCGAAGGCGGCGACGCTGATGAAGGCTGAGGCGAGCCAGAGGGCGTCGTGCTCGGAGGGGCGGATCGGGGCGGAGAGTTTGCGGTGGAGGAGGAAGACGCCGCGGTACCAGTGGTAGGCTAGGGCTGTTTGGGTCGCTTGGGGAGGGGGGGAGGTTGGGGTTAGGAGGGTGAGGTCGTGGAGGTGGGTCATTGCTATTACTGTGTGCATTACCACGGGGTGCTTAGGGGCGTTGTTAGTCTGTAGATGTAGGAGGAAGTATGTGTTGGCTAGAGGAGAGGGGGCCAGGGGCTTACGCAGAATGCGATGGGCAAGGTCTTTTTCTCGTAGATTGATTTGCTTCTCGGCGTCCCGAGGCTTAGAATCGTTCTCTTTTGGAAGCGCTCGAGGAGTCGGACGTCTGTGGGTGTTAACTGGTACGCTGCGTCTGGGCTTTCCATGGATCCTGTGGTGGGTAGCGGCGGAGGAACGTAACGGGGTGGAAAGAGAGTTTGAGCTGATGGAGGAGGAGGAGCTACAACGGCACTCCTGGACGAAGAAGCGGGATCAGGCCTTGGTCGAGCTTGAGCTTGAGCTTGAGCATGGGGGCGTATGGGAGCAGGCGAAGATGACGAGAGGTCGACTTTGAACGCCACCTCCACCGACAGGGCCGTCGCCACGGATGTAGGAGCGTAGGAGCATGTCACGCCGTAGGAGACGCACTGTACGCATCGGGGTTTAGTCTCGTCGCACTATGTTGACTGTTAGATATCGTAAACGGTAGGTATAGTTGAAGCCAGAGTTGGGCAGCTATCTCGGTCACAGGCACTGGGTGAGATTGTCTCTAGAATCCCAATGAGGAATGACTGGACGAAGAATGATAGGGGTAGTCTCGTAGGCTTGGCCAGAATCATGGAGCTGCGCCAGATGGATGCTCAAAATGGCTGGAATCCTTCAATATGATACGTACTTTCACTCGCCGCAGCTTGCAGTTTCCACAGCCCTTTCTAGACTTCTTATGAGCCCTGCGCTTGCGCACGTCATCGCTCGGGGGTGTTTCCGAAGCGGGCATATCTATAACTTGACCGAGATGACTTGAGATAAGTACTAGCCGGTAGCGGAATCGGTATATGGCCTCAACTGGTCAGCTCGATGTCTTGGCGTCCACGATGATACGGTTCAGATGGTCTAGCGAAGTCGAGACTCGAAGCAGGAGACCCCAACAAACACTAACGAGATGAGAAGTGATGTGAGGCTGCCAGCGAATACGAATAGAGGAAACAGAGCCGCAGGAGAATGAAGATAAAATGCGTCAGCATGAAGAAACCCGCGCCCTTTTTGATCCTCCCGGAGTTTACGAAGCCCACTACTCCGGAAACCCCTCCGGTCATGAGGCGCTCATTCACCCGCGATCGACGTCGAGCTACCCCGGTCGCCTCCGGACTGGATCCACAAGCCTCTGCTGGTTTGATCAATCTGATTGGATGATCTGTGGTCCAGTGGGGTATGAGATCGTTCGAGTCTAACCTCTGCTCGTATTTGGGGAATCCTGCGCTAACCTCGTTTCGTATCGAGAGAAGACCCCGCGTGACGAGGATGATGTCTTCGAAAGCAGAGATCAGAACTGAGGTTGTGAAGTACTCATTTGCTATTGAACTAGGGTGGCTCATAAATTCAGGAGTATGAATTTATCGGGCGTCCAAGATATGTTTGACTAGTTCTAGATCCGCCACAAGTGAAGTCCCTCGCGCGGGCGGGGTGAGGATGGTGAGAGGCCGCACTTGGAAATTCGTGTTCATCGTAAGAAAGTATCCAGCAATCCTAAGATATGGCCGTTGATCGAAGCAATCGGCCAGAATGCTGACATCACCATAAGAACCAAAGGCATGTTGATGTTGAATTATTATCTTCGTTCATTGCTTCATAGTGTGCTTCTATTTTGCGTGATGAGAACATGGGTATATATATATATATATATATATATTCACAAAGTCGCCAAATCCACGCTGCGAACCATCCATTCACAACAATTACGCCTTCTCTTCTTCAACGTCAATCCCAAATCTGGAACCACCCCCATCCCGCCACCAGCCAATCCCAAACCTCATCGCACCACCAAACACCCCAGCCCGACCAAGTTCCCCGTCACCCCTCCACTCCGCCCCCTCCGGAACGACCCTCCTCGTCGCCATCTCGCTCCCAGCAAGCATCGTCCCCGTCCCAGCAATAGAGCACGGATCGTGGGGCAGCACTCCGTTGATATCGATAAGCAACCTCGAGACGACGATACACAGCGCCATGACGCCTAGCATCGCCTGCAGAGCAATTTTGGGCCCGGCGTTCTGGTGCAGTCTTCTCGGACTCTCCGATACCAATAGTCCTTGGTACGTCGGCAGCCGATTCGATCCCGAGCTGCTCGTCGCGTTACGCATGTTGGCAGCAATGGCTTGCGCGATGTACGTCTTGTAGAGGCCATTCGAGGCCTCCATCAAATTTTGGGAATTCCTCTCGCCCGCTAGCTCCTCGATCGGCCGCCCGTTTCTACCCGTGACGAGCGCCCGTGTAAAGGGGTCGATGAGGTCGGTATAGTTTTCCATGTTCGTCCCGTTCAGTCCTTGAATCGTTATGTTCCGGGCTGCGGTCGAAAGATCAAAGAAGAATCCGTTTAGGGAGAACTCAAAGGACGTCGTGTCGGACTTTGGTGCCCGTAAGAGCTGCTTCGTCGACTCGTCCACCACCGGCGGCGATGTCCTGCTGAGTGTCATGTCCGGGGCGTTGAATGTGACGTTGGCTTCAACCTCCTGAATATTCTGATGGCATACGATCGTCGCCAGGTCGCTTTCAACATCAAAGTTGGTCCTCGTCGTGTTCCTGTACTTTTCCTTCCGGGGTATGGCCCTCGCGGTCCCAAATGTTACCGCTACCGTGGGACACCCCATACCCCCGAGGTCAAAGTCTGTCGTCGGCCAGCCGTTTCCGGCTGATGGGCTTATGTCGATTGCACCGTCGCCATAGACGTCGCTCGAGTTTCCAAAACTCCAAAGCATGATTGAGGTCTTTCCTAAGTATACCGGATCCCCTGAGCTTGGGATTTGGAAGTATTGCATCCACGTCTTGGACGTCACGTTTGTCGGCCTCCGTCCGCACATCCATGGAAGGGTGGTGTTAATGGCAAGCAGGGCAGTCTGATTGTTGACGCTCACTGAGCCGGCCATACCGCTTAGACGAACCTCCATGGTACTCCTATCGAACAGTATTGGCCTAACTTCGCGCTGCTTGGCAGGTATGACGGAGCAGTTCAAGTTGCCACGGATTCCCGTCATCTTTGCCGACAGCGGAACTTGACCATTGGCGATAGCCTCATTGCTAAGGCCCATGGGCTTCATCTCGTTGAAAACCAGATCACCCGACGTCCATTTTGGATCCGGGAGGTTGACGTACTCGATTAGCGATGTGATTGCAGTCGCCTGGTTATCTTCGGCCCAAAGATTGGTCTGGTCGAGTCGGAACGCGTCCATCTGCTGCAGAGCAACGCCTTCAACCTGCTGCACGGCCAAGACGCTATAGAGACCCGATACTACAATGGTGAGAAACCCAGCCATGATGTTGGCCATAAGAATGACTGTGACGCCGAAATGCCGTGAGCGGATAGACTCCCAGATGGCGTGCGGGGCCATCTTGCCGACGAGATTTAGGAATACGGAGCGGCTGGCAATGGCGTTTCGCTTCTTGAGCGCAGCGAATGGCGCAAATATGGCAGCCATCGACTCGAAGCTGGAATACATACCGGCCAAGGAAATGGCCACGGCGGCAGGTATGTATGTCGCCAAGACAGTGGAGGTCTTCGTGCCCACCTCCAAGAACCCATCTCGGTTGTCTGAAATGCGCTGGATGATTTCCAAGGCCGCCACAGCCATCAGAGGTAAAAGTAGACTGAGTGCTAAGAACCATGGAGCTCCGGCCAGCGGGCGCCACCAAGAGATTGACTGGTATTCCCTCGGCACTGCGCTACGTGACGGTTCCATTTGACCATGGCTAGGTTCAATAGTGTAGGTGGTCTCTGGCCCAGGTCGCAAAGACCCTTTGAACAGAAACCCGGATAACGTTTCCCGAATGGCACTTCTGCGTACTGATCCCAGGCCGGTGAACAATTTGTTCAAATCTGGACTCGCCGCCAGTATTGTGACACTCGACGCAATCGATCCCGGCTCTCTCGGTGCGACGTTTTGAGGTCGAAGGAATATCATGGCAATACTGATAATGGCCAGAATTCCCAAGAAGGAACACATCAAGGCTGTCGAAAGGCCCTTGACATGGAGGCGGTTCTCCAGGTACGTTATGGATCCCTGAGTCGTCGTATTGGCAGGCTTCAGAGACGTCTGGGACAGTACCTGAGCGCCTATCCCCTTGAAAACCTCAGATGCCGTGGAAATAAGGAGGTCAGTGTCCATGAAAGATCCTATGGTGGTCAAACCCCGCTTCATTTTCATCATGAGGAAGAAGGTTGGAACGGATGTCGATAAGACAAAGTCCACACCTCCTTCGCCAATCTTGGTCTTTTCTGCAGAATTACTAACAGCAAGACCCAAATAACCGTTCGGGAAGCCGTCGATACTGCCAGTCGCATTCGGGTCTTGAATCGCACTCTGCAAAACAGCCTCCGACTTGGCACCGGCGAGAGTTGTCGATTTGACTTCGTAATTGCTCATGGTGTAGTTGTACTTGCACATGACCGCCACGATCTTCTCCATGTAGATGAATGCGGGTCCGTTTCGCCTCGTGTCCATGGGAGAAAACCGCATGTCCGCCACTGTAAAAAGCATCCGGTGCGGAAGGCTGGTATTGGTCAGCTGATCGAGGGTGTACTTGGTCATAGGAGGGTTCAGCGGTGCGCTCCAGTCCACATTGTTATTGCAAGTGTAGTCCTGGTACCATGCTTGGTAGTTCTGGGTGGCGTTTCGCTGCGCGTAGATGTTGTGGTCCGGGCCGGCGGCAACGATGGCGCGGGTGATGTTGCACTCTGGCGTAGTGATATTGGCGACCCAGAATCCTCCGTTGATGCTGTACCATGGTAGCGAGGTTTTCGTCGCATTCTGTATGGGAAGAGTCTCGCAGCTGAACCCAATCTTGGCACCTGGCGTTGTGGCGGTAAAGTTGGCATCTGGACGACCGTTTCCCATCGCGTCGAGCTGAGGTATGACCATGTCTTCTGATGTGCCGGACGGGTAAGGCAGGTTTTGGAAGTTGATGGCGTAGTACACCTGTGCAGCACCTGGTCCCACATTGCGAATATCAAATCCATCGGCGCCGAAGCTTGTCGTCATCACAATGTCGACATTATCGCTTGTGACTTTTGTCGGCTCGAGAATGAGTAGACCAGTGGAGAAGACGGTCTATCAGCGTCAGTACAGCTTCCGTCTAATCTTCATGCCTTCTCTAGTTGATTTCTTACCGTGAGGAGGATCAGGGCCCAGCCAACAATGCTACCAACGACAGCCCAGTGGCGGTTCTTGATTGCTTTCCAGAAGCTGGTCGTCACCAGTGGTGAAACGTAGTCTAGAAGAAGAGTCTTGTGCACATCGGAAGGGCCACTACGTAGTTCCTTCCAGGGCATCAGGGTCTTGTTGGCGTAGTCTACCTGTCGCCATAAGGCAGCTACGATGACGAGAACTTGGCAGCGAAGTCATGTTAGCTTTTGATGCAGCCTATGGTCAGTGAAGTCCATACTAACCAGCTGTAGGACCGTACTTCCAACCATAATGGTTGACTTCTTGTTGAGTGCTGATTCCACGGTTCTGGACGGAGAAGTGGTAGAGCAAAGCCGTCGTAAGAAGCATAGCAAGAAAACACAGCGCAAAAGTGACGAGCACCGTCTTCTTCAGCCACACGGGGTTCCACATGCGAGGCCGGGACTCCTCGGACCATTGCGAAGGCGTTGGGCTTTTGCTATAGCCAAATTCGGACACATGAGGGCTATTCTTGTTCCGAGAAATTGCAGAAGCGAGGCCATGTTCTGGGGATAAGTAGTAGTCGCCATCGTGTCTGTTGTGGTCGCTGAAATCGATAGGCTCATCCAAAAACGCCCTGTTCTCGTCCAACATTGGGTGTTCGCGGCGATGTACACTGTCGTCGTGGCCTCGGTGCCCTCCGTCCCGCTCATCTTCATCCTGCACCCCAACAACTTCGTACTGCCCCGAGCCAACGGGTTTTCGGTGGATGCTCCTGGGCTGAGTTACGAAGAGGTCGCGAGTCGACGCGATGGGACCAGGCATGATGGGCTATGACGCTGGCCAGCTCCCAAAGACATGGCAGCTTCAAGAACGGTAGAGTGCGAAGATGGAGGAGGCATGTAGTCTGATTTATTATTGAAATAAGGTAGTGTAGGGTAGGAACAGGAGGCTGACAGTGACCCCAGGATCAAGGATGTCGGGCTCGGGTAGGCAACGAGATCCAACCCAAAAAGCCATCAATCAGAGTTGGATTGGTCTAACAGTGGCGGTCGAGGAGTGCTAGGGCTGGCGCCATTCCCGTCGAGAGCTCGACAAGCCATGTCCACAGGGGGATTGCTTACGTGGTACCGAACCAATGGCAGCTCGCGCCACTGTAATCATTGCAGGTCGAGGTCGACCTAATTAAGGCAGCTCGTCTTACTTTTCCAGATGAGCCCGTTAGATTTGGCGACAGAGCACTAGTACACGTTGGTGTCTCGTACCTGCGACTCTGTGATGCGACATGGCTGAACCGCCAATGGCCGGGTAGGTATCACCCCGCTCAAGAGTCAAGGGTCAAGACAGAATGCTGCTGCCTAAGCCTCCACGACTATGGTATGACGCGATGAAGCCTCACCGGGTACGGAGTATAGGTAATCCAATCTCTGAATCTAATAGACCTCTCATCTTCCGAGGCTACTGACGCGAAGGATGATCTGGAGAAGTGGCGTGCTGCGAAACGATAAGGTTAAGGCACAGCAATTAAGTTATAGCAAGGAGTGGTTGTGGCTGCGATGTGCATCAGTGCGTTCTCCACGGCGCCCAGTTCCCCGGGATTGCCAACTTGGATGTATCCGTAAGTGAGCCACGAGTGGCGCAGTGTGGGGTTTTTATCCTCATCATCCGCAATAATGAAGTCTCACCAAGAGTACCATTTCAAACAATCTTGTCGGGTTTTTTCGTTGCTACATCCGTTCATTCGCACAGATGAGTCGAGACGCAGGAGTCTTCCCCTGGTTGTGAGATGCCCGCTCACGATGGTGCTGCTAGATCAGAAAGTGCCATGACCAACCAGATGGACATGAACGGTGTCGCATCGGTTGGTTGATTCAAAGCAAGTGAAGGAGACTGGGTATGAGGAACATCATGTGTAGAGGACGAGAGCTATTGGTGTGAGATCGAAGTGAGAGGGCTCGTTGAATATTTATTGAAACATCGCTGGAATCCGTTTGTTTCTTACTTCAATGTTCCCAGCACTATTTTAAGAGTCATCCGTTGTGGGGGAAGCCATGAACGGCTTCCGTTACGTGGTCGCGTGTCGAAATGAGTACTGGTCCACTCACGTAAATGAATTCAGTCGTCAGCAAGACCTGAGATCTGTACTAATGAAGATGCGATATTGCTCTAGACTTATAGAGGCCTTGTTGATGACGAAGAACCCATTAATAAGAAACGCAATGAAAGGCAGCTTTCGGACGTGAGCATGTCTAAGTGCCTATGTGACCGCGATGGACCGACCTACAGTCGTAAGCCAGTGGGATAAGCCGCTTGTTTGAATGTGAGCCTCTTGTGTGAGCTGCAACTGATGCTGGCCGGTCGTCCAAATCACCAATAGCACATCAATCAATCGACACACGGTGCATCTGATCATCTCAAAGCTCATGAGCCCGACGTCGGACAGAGTTCATGAAGTCCCCGAAGGCAGGAAAAGCTTGAGAGTGACTGGATGAACGAGGAGCAGCGAGTGAGTTGACGAGTGGATGAGTGAGTGAATGGTTGGCCAGGGACGCCCCAGACTTCTCTCTCAGCTGTGACTTTCGTTGGGTTTGTTGGACGAATCACAGGCGCCAATGGCTTCCCCCAAGGTCGCCCCGGGCGGGCACAACCGACGAGTCTGTGCCTGTGGCTGCCACAAACGGCCCTGTGCGTCGTTCGCGGGCAGGCGGCAGGCCACAGCTGGAAAGACCTCCCCAGGTGCAACACAGGCCAATCACAGACCCACAAGGGGTAAGCTGCACCGTCACTTCAAACGCCAAAAGTGTTTCGTTCCTCTCCCTTTCCATCCCCCATCCCCCATCCCCCATCATCAATGTACCTTACCTTACGGATACTCCATGCCCATCATGACTGCAGACTGACTGGCTGACAGACTTCAAGGACGCAAGGAGCCCCTACTTCTTTGCAGCCTCCGTTGGCGTCCCAAATGCTGGAACCTGTCAGATGTCGCCCTGGCGTTTGTGCCTTTGCACGGAACTGCGGCTACGCAGGGGTTGATGCTTCTTGCCCCGTTGGCCGCATACCCAACTCCCCATGATCCATCGAGGAACTTGCCATCAGCCCAGCTCGTTGGCTGCGAAGCAACAACTATGACGGACATTCAGCTTGACGTCTTTCCCGAAGAAGAGAAGACTGAAAGAAAGACCGGGGTCGACTTGACGAATAGAGCCAGAAGGACGCAGTTGACTAGTGTCTTCCCGTTCCCTCAACTATTCTCCATCCTCACTACTCGTCGTCCTCATATCTGAGCGAGCTGCTCATCTTCTCCTTCGTTCAACGCGTTACCTACGGATACTTCATTACTTATCTCGCCCACTTCTCCATCAGGGCCACCTGCATCTCTTGCGTCCCCGAACACTCGGCTCCGCGTCTCTCTTCTGTCTGACCTGGGAACTCAAAGTCCAGAGGCACAGCAGCGTGTTTGGGTGTCATTGAGCAGCGGACGGCAGCAACTCTGTTTCACAAAACCTCGGATCGCCCAACCTCAAGATCAACAGTGTTTGATCGCACCTCCTTGCCCTCGCGGTTCACCTTCACCCCTCGTTCTCTTACGGATACTCTCCCTTCCTCTGTTCGCTCCGTCCCTTCTCCCTACCTTACCCCCAGTCCCAGCCGGACCGACGCCGACACAGACGCAACTGCCCGTCGCCTGGTGTCACCGACGCCCAAGTGGCTTCATCAATCAACACCTTGACTTCCATCTTCCGACCCTCCAACCAGCGAGCTCTTCACTTTCGGACAAACACCACCCGTCCGGACTGCATGCCACTTTCAAAGCGGGAAGACGGATAGACAGACGAACGAAGCTTCACCCTCCAACAGCGCAAAGACGGTTCCTGAACCTTTTTGCCTCTTTATTTCCTCTCATCTTGCCCGACTTGGTCCGTCCTAAAGTCTGCTCGTCTACTAGTTTGCTAGTGCAACCCTTCTTCGCTACGGTGAATCACGATCGGCAACCTCGCCGTCAATAATCCCACCGACCCTTCATCCCTTCAGATCCCTTCTCTTCAAACGGCCCATTTCTCTGCCCATCCTCTACCCATTGTGGTAGAAAAGAGAGGCTCACGTAAACCCTGTCTGACCGGCGCATCGTCCATGCCGGCTAATACAAGAAACGCGCTTCATCAGCAACGCCTCTCTTAGTCTCAAGCCGCCCCAATCACCAGATCTTGACTATACACCAGACCGGCCTGCTGGCATTGACGAGCTCGCCCAAAAGAGAGCGCACTCCCGCGTCCTTCACACCATCGTCATCTGTAAGCATTCCCTCAGCAGTAGCTTCACGGCCAGACAACACCAAAACCTTCAAATCAAGGCCCCGGCAACCCAACCGTTTGGTCGTCTAAGCTCTGGACCTCGGGACCTCGGGACCCTGCCGGCTCTGCGACCCGCATTGACGTGGTTCTCCCAGCCGATCGTGCCGTCATCCCCAGCAGCCTCTGACACGCGAGACGTTTCGGCCCTCTGCTCTTCACTGCCCGCCGCCCGAACTGCCACGCTTCTGTCATTCCATCCCCAAAAGTCAAGCGCCTCCCAGCCAAATCCTGGCCTGTCAAGTTTAGTTGGTCACCGTCTTCCTGGCCGCTTCGTCACTGTCTTGTCGACGACGACTCGACCACCTGCCACGAAACATTTACAACCAATATACGAAGAGAATCTCACAATCAACAACGCCCGCCGAGGGGGAAACTCGCCCAACACATATCCAACGGCGGCTACGCCACGCCAGAACGCGAATTTTCACACAGACGACGGACGAAAACACGCGAAATGAGGAGGTCGATACTCGAAGGCCCTCGGCGGCGCTTGGTCGAACTCTTAGTCTTTGTCTCAGCGGCAACAGCAACCACAATCAGCGTCGGAAGCACATCACTCAGTCTGTCTAATTTCCAGCTGATCACAGAGCTCTCCGTTCCACTGGGTTGCTTGTTATCATATAACAACCCCATCGAAGGATGCGAAGCTACCGACTTTGGTAGCACGGGAGCGTGTTCCCGGAAATGCAGAGTCGGTCTGGCTCGCATGCAAAGTAATCTCCAGGACGCTTGTCAGTCTGTTCAAGTACAGATCAACACGATACTTGGCCAAGCTCTGTCCGGAAACCTGGTCAACTTGGTTTGCGGCGCCCTGAACCAACAGACGTCATCGGCAGTGCAAACGATATCTACCACGACGATAATCGTATTGCCTTCAACCAGCGCTGTTGCTCCTCCTCCACCTCCGCCTCCGCCAGCCACGACGTCCGTCGCTCCACCGCCGCCGCCACCAGCAACATCGTCAATATCAACATCAACGCTACTACTTCCGCCGTCGAGCCAGGCGCCCCTCCCTCCTGCAACCACGGCGATACCGCCAGTATCCAGCCAGGCGCCCCCTATCATACCTCCTACTACTATTGTCACTTCAACAACTTCGACCGAGAACCAGGCATCGCCTCAAAGCACCACTTCGGCCCCGGTCAACCCTCTCGATGCTTTGCTCATGAACGGCGCCGTGGCCAGCGCGCCAAGAGGGTTTCTCGCGTGGGGTCTACCAGTCCTGGCCTTTGTCATGTATGGAATTGTTTGAGTGTTAGACTCGAAGTATTTGAACTTCGAAGCACTGGTGGAGCGAAACGATGAACAGACCAACTACTAATGTGTAAGACTATTCTTTCTTTTGTCGAGAGATTACATGGGAAGAGCACGACAGGAGGCGGAACCGAGGCACTGAGATGCCTCCAGAAAAGTGCTGGAGTTGCGAAAGATGGCGAAGAACGCCGAGTATGACGATTGCGTGGATTATGAACTTTCACGGCGCATCAAGATACCTCTACCTTCATTAAGACACGGACATTGTAACACTAGATACCACATACCTTAGCATGGCTTGAGCAGATATAGATAGCCAAGTCTGAAGACGAGATTGGAGAAGCAAGAAGAATTACTCAAAACTGAGCATTGGAACCCTTTCGCTACACAGGAATCTGGAATATGCGCCCAGTAACTGTTGGATAGCCGACAGGCGCCGCATCCGCAGTCATGTGTCTTTCTCCCCGCCTCTTTGAGCCTCCGTTAAGCCGCTGTCATGCAAGGCCCCCAACCCAGGGATCTTCCTCCAATGCACTCCCCGGCCCACCCCGGTCTGCCACGCATGAACCAAGCTTCTTCGGATACGGCCGCTGAAGTCTCAACCAGTCACCTCTCGCGCCGGGGGCGGGACAGTTCATGCGGCGGGGTTTTGACGGTACCAAAGATTGGATGTAGGCCTCTCGAGTTGGCTGTTTGTCAAGTCAGGGAGGGAGGGGGCCTAGAACGTGTTAAGGCTGCGTGTTAAGGCTGCGTGTTAAGGCTGCGTGTTAAGGCTGATGATTGATTGATGACGAAAGAGGGGTTCAACCAAGGTCCGGCCTTGGTGGTTACGAGGCTTGGGGATCCCGGCCGGGCGGCGAAGGGATTCATGTTAATCCGGCTTGGAACTACGGAGGAAGGAGCCAGGCGGTGTGTCAACCGCACCTACCTTACCAGATATTCATCCGATGACTTTCCCCCATTACCTAGGTGAGTGAATACACACAGGAAGGAACCCATATAGACCCCCTCAAGTCCATTCTCGTCACCAACGGCAGCAGGCGCCCTCGCAGGCTTGTGAGGGTCAGGTCAAAGCTGCCGTTTGGCGGAACGGTTAGGGGTGACGCCTTCTCGGCGGCAGGCTAGCCTACACCGGGGAGTTGTGGGTTCGAGTCCCAGCATGTGCACCAAGAGATGTAGCCCCCATTCGCCACCGGGGGGGTGAACTCTTTTTGGTTTGGAGATGGAGGTGATTTCTGTTTGGAATCGGGTTTGGGGAGGGGGTGGTTGGATGGGTAGATTGGATTGATTGATTTGGGTGCGTTCTTAGACGAGGCTCTTGTCGGTGATCTTTGGCGGGTTGATTCGGTGTTGGTGCAGGCTGGTACCGGAGGGCTTCGCATCGGAGCGAGTGGGGCCGCACTCGGGAGTTGCGGACGACTGCCGGCTCTGAGGCCGAACATCACAGGTATGGGCCATTGGCGTACATGGGGTGGGTCTCTCATAAAAAATCTCAGCTCTCATAAAAATGGAGGCTAACTCAAGTAAGACTATCTATCTATCCTTGCTGAAATAGAAGAGGATAAAGGAGTGAATAAGAATCAAAGTTCCTAGTCCGTCAAAGTAGGTCTGCCTGCACTCTCAATCTTCGAACCTTGTTCGCCTTCCAAATTCATCGCTATCCACGTCTTCGTTATTCATCACATCTTCATTATTCATGTCTTGAAGTTCCATGTCTTGACTTTCCACGTCTTCGATCCTCACGTCTCTCTTACTGCCCACGAACTTGAAGTCATCGTCGTCCATAACCCCAACAGTGAAGTGCATCGTTCGATCCGACTCCCTTCGAAACCAACCCATGCGAAAGCGTTTGCATGCGAGCCTGTCGTAGAGATCTTCCTTCGATAGTTTGTGAGAACCTTCTGGTATATGCGTCGAAACGTTCGAATCATCCAGCAGCGCAGCCATCATTGCGATGCTGCTGAATCCATCCTGGGCCAGGCCTTTGACATCCATGTCGAGTAATCCCCTCCGCCACTTCATGAACCGCCGTAAAGCCGACGAAAGAAGCATGAAAATATGGGCGATGCCGACAATTCCTAGAATTCCCACGAGAAGATAGGTCGACGTTGGGTTTTGGACGAGCCGCTTAGAGTGATTGTTGATCATGACCGCATTCAGTGGCTCTAGTTCCTTTGCCTGGCATGTCTTCTACACTCAGTCGATTCTCGATGTTGAGGATCTGTGCTCTGAGAAGAGCGCGATTGGAGTTAAGGGCATCGAGAATCTTCGAGCTTTGTTTTGGATCACCGAAGGCTTCTAGTGGAACCTGGCCGTAAGGCGGGACCAGGATGTTGAAGACGTTGAACGACGAATGCAGTCCCAGCGACTGGGCCACCTCCGTGAAAGCGTTGCCGTACTTCTCCGCTCCGATCCCATCGGTCTGAGGGTCGAGGTAGGGCACAGGAATCGGGGGTTCCCATGGGACTAACGTGGAGCGGTCGGGGCGTGGGGTGTTGCTGTGGTTTATGACAAGCTTGCCATCTGCAATGACCATATCAACGGATACCATAACCTTTGCCCACGAGTATTGGCACTGCCAGGCTTGCAGTGATATGAAATCATGGTTTCTAAAATCGAATGCCCCCCCACAAGTAGACTTTAGATACCAAAGGCGCAGAGTCCAAGACGCTACGGTTGTGGGAAGCCTCCTTATCCACTTCGCAAACCGAGCTGTTGCTTTGCGAACTCCTCTCAGATCCCGCGGACCCCAGGATTTCTGCATAGGCAATAGGTGGCTCTGTCGAATTTTGAAAAATGCTGTCGGGAACAACAATGGAAGTGTTCATTGTATTGGATGTCCCATCAGCGCATGTGACGGGCAACCGAATGGCGTAGTAACACGCACCATCGTCATCTGTTGTGTTGCTGATGCTGAGCGCAAGTCTCTTGCAGCGCGCCACCAATGTCGCTGCCGGTAAGGAAACTTCAACTGGCGTGCCTTGGGCTTCTTCGGCAACTGAAGGTGAAAGGTCGCCGATGCTAGGGAAAGCAAGATCACGAAACGTGTTTTCCGGGTACGTCAAATTCTCTCCTCCCTGTAAGACCATGCCACCTACAAAGTCTCGATTGTTCCAGTAATACTGGTCATCAGGCTCTAATGGTCGTTGACCAAACCAGCTCTCTTGTCGGAGTTGAATTTTGGCACGTTAGGGTACAGACTCGACTGTGAATAGGGTTGAGGCGATGGTTGCCAAAATGGCACAGAGGCTTGCTAGGAATTGTGAGAGTGAGATGAGCCAAGCCTTCCTCCGGATCGCTGTATACAGAGCCCGTAGTCCAAGCATATCTGAAAGAGTTATATCTAACTGTTGTGAGTAACTTGATGCCTTAGAAAGATTGTGATGGGTGAATAGAACTCTAAGTGATGCGTTGAATGATACTGTATACAGTGCAACAGCAAGCATGATGAGTGTCGGCAACGAAGCCCAGAGTAGGTGATTATTCCCCTCCATCGGTGGCAACCCACTCTTTGCGCCAGACAACTTCATGGTGTATAGAAGCAGAGCAATAAGGAGGATAGTTAACATCGCGAAAGCTGTCTGTACCCATTTCCTCAGGACGACTGGCACAAACCCGCCCTGGTTCCGCCAGGCAGCTGTGTGCGTTCGCTCAAAATGTGACTTCTGATCGACAAGCTGCCGGTGATTGTGGAAGAAAAGCATAGTTCCAAGTAGTGTTGCAGGGTCTCTGATCCATATCGTTGTCTGTTCTCGGTAGCGAATGGAGATGAAAATGTTGATTGAGGCGACGAGGGTGAAGAGGGCTATCATCGGGTATCCGATCTGGATCCAACCTGATCCTCAATTTCTCCACCAGCCTGCCCTCATCACCCGCAATTTCAGTGCTCTGGTTATGTCGTAGACTGTAGTGGCCTGAAAGAGGGCCAAGCTTTCTGGCCAGCCCGACCATAGAATCGTACAGCGCCTCGGTTGTGTTCAGCAACCCGATTTGGCCATTCGCGACTTTATTTTGATATTGCGCCCATATTCCAGCAGGCCCAGATTTGGAATAGCCATACCCCAGAGTGTAATTAGTCGATTCTGCAGACATAGAGAGCTTCCGCATAACCGAAACGAGCAAGGAGCTTTCAATCAAGGCCCATACCTTGACGCCGTGTGGCGTCTGCGATTGACCTTCCAGTATCCGAAGCGTTGGTTTAATTCCGTTATCCACAACTTCAACCTGTGAAGTCCAGGCTGTTGGAGAGCAAATAACAGCTGCAACTGAAGGAATCCCAGCAGATGATGGTTGAAAGGAGGGCCCGTCGTGCTCCGAGGGCCCTCCTTCTCTTAAACCCGGCAGGTCAGGGTCAGTTGGGTCGTCGCCTGGTCTTTCTCTCTGCCTTTCGTTCGATACCATCTCTTCATACTCGACTGGATACATGTGTCGAGTAGGGTTCTCGTCGGATTCTGTGATCGGATCGAATTCCTGAGAATACCGCCCATCTTTGGATGACATGGAGTCTGGCGCTTCGCTGTTGTGAGAGACCATTCTCTTTTGGATGTTTATTGATGAGCATTGGAACTCATTGCCCTAGTCACTTGATCAACTGGGACTGTCTAGTCTTATATGGGATATTCAGGAAAAGTACTGTGAACGCCAACGTGAGTGCAACAGACTGGTTAAACAGCGAAACATGACACGAGGCTGAGTTGCCCTCGAATATCGATGTAACGTAGCCAAGGTCCTACCAGAGCTTCAAGTGACACCTTCGCAATCGCAAGTGAAGCGGAGAGAGGGCCTTTGTGGCACAGCCATCCGATCAAAGTCATTTGCTTTCAAACACTGACGAGTTGTTATGTACTTCGAGGCAACCCAGTCCAAGTCCCTCCAACGTGATTTGATCATCAGCAATAGAATATACCTCGTTTAATCTTTCTATGAAAATGGCACTCTACCAACTGATTTGGATAATTTCTTCCTGCTGCCCATCGATAGTGGTCAAGAAGTGAAGTTTCCATGTACGAGAAAGGTGTTATGCGGCTAACTTGCTAGCAGTAACTGAAGTCCTTGACAAGTGTTAACGGAATAAGTATCATTACTTGAGGTCGAAAGCCATTAGTTACCCGCCATGGGCATGTAGACCGGCATGCCCAGCCATATCATCATCAACTTCAGGATCCACAATGGGAATGCAGGGTGGCGCAGTGGCAGGCTGGAACTGCTCACATTGTAAAGCGCGTGGGACTTGTATCCATGTAAGCAAGCACAAGGCACCTGCAAGACTCCGTCTGTAAGCGAGCAGTGGTAGGACTCCAGCTCAAGCTGCGTGCTCGTATGGAGTATAGAGTACAAATGTATGATTGCTGAGAAAAGGGACCACAGCCCACATCAGCGTAAGGGCCCATAGATGTCGTCTGCTAGGCACGCCAGCCAGGACTGTATTTTTCGAAGGATCTGGCTGCACGTTTGGGAAGCTAGTTGACTCAAATTACCCTTCTGAGGTAAGATGGCAGATTGCCTTCAAGCTCTGACGCCGGATCTGGTGCCAAATTCGACCTACGATCGTCAACGGCATGATAGTCCCTTCGGAGCGAGCCGCTTGGTCGAGACTTACGAAACCCAGGCTAGCCAGCCAGTTGAGGGTCTTATTGAGCTTCTTCTATTTTCGCTTCCCATGGCTATTGAGGCTGATGGGCCTCAAAAGCTTGACAGAAGTACACCACGAACGTCACAAGTCGCCGACTTCATGAGGTATGTGACAATGCCCCTGGCTTCTCACTCCGGGGGACGTTCAGGCAGACTTTCCACTTTCGACTCGCCGAAATTTCAGAAACGGGGCTGTCGCTAAGGAATCAAGGGCGCGAAGAGGGTTCGACATAGCCCACAGTAAGCTTAATATTGACAATCATGCCCCATCGTATCTCAGCACTCTTTGACCCCATTGATCCCACCAAGGTCTTCGTATATATGAAAATTTTGTCTCAATCACAGACCCTTTCGCATGATTATGGTCGAATTCTTCAAAATGACAATTTCTGCAACCCAGCTCATGGCCGTTCTCTTTCGGGGGTATCTGCCTCTTTCGGTTGCGACCCTGAACAATGCACAAGACGATGGGCCTCGGCTCTCTACGAACATGTCATTGGAGGAGCAGATCGAATTTAAGATAGCAAGATATTCAGAACCTGGGCCTTCAGCTTCAACGCTTGAGAGCTTTCATACTCACCCAAGTTGACAACTCGTGACTTCTCAAGATGAAGTTGTTGTTCTGGGCTCTGCCAAGTGTTCAAGCCCACCCTAACTTGCAGTCGATCAACTCAGTCTACAGTTCCCGGGGTGATAGTCGAGGGTTCTCGTGATGACTGCCCAGATTATGCCTATTCCTTCCCTTGGCTTCGTCGCCGTTGCAGGGCTATTGTGAGGCCCATTCTAGGCAGCCTTGTCGAGGAGAAGATGCAGCTTGTGGTGACCTCAAAAGTCGAACTCTTTCTGGATATAAAAGTCTTGTGAACCGCAACTTAGTAGGTAGCCTCGTCTCATCACCACCACTACCGCTCATTCATTACACGGTTCACCACAAGAATCTCATCCAACCCGAGTCTTGAAACATATATACAAGCTCCTCCTCGATCATCAGTTCTCACCCAATAAGACTGCCAGATATGAAGTTCACAACCTCAACTGCCAGCGGCGTCGACGACGTCCCCGGCAAGTGCGGCGGCCTCTAGGACAACCTCAAGCGCTTCGGCGCCTGAGCCGTCAGCGGTCCCAGCTGCGGCGGCAACAACAGTAACCTCGTCTGGACTTTCACCACCGGCATTGGTTGTAACGCCGGCATGTTCAAGTCGACGTGGTGGGAGACCATCCGCAACAAGTTTGGCAGCATTTCTTGCCCTTAGGGAGAGCAAGTCGAGACGGATGGGGTGGGGGCCGGGATGATGGAACGGCTTGAGACAGGAGTTGATGGCTCTGGGGTTGTGATTGATGCAACTAGTTGAAGGAATCGACTCGTTCTTTCAGTTATTAGTCTCGGATATTTTGCGAGTCATCTTGAAACCTGCTGATTGACTATTCATCTCACGAGGTTTCCACGTTTTGGGCCAGCAGTCTAATATCCAAGAACTTTTCAACTATTTCCAGACTATTTTCTATCTCTCTGGTTCCGGATGAACCCTCTATTGCTACTCAAGTGCCTGAAACTTCTACTAGACATCTATCCTACTAGCAGCCTCGGGCTGGCGATCCCCAGAAGATCATCCTGCCCGTCGTCGTCGTCGTCGACGACTCATGCCAGAAGGTTCGCCGGCTCCCAAGCCAAGCAAGAACTGCAAGGCCCCCAATGCGGACCATCCCCCCCGGGACAATCCGCTTTCCGGCATTGAGTCAAGGTGCGGCCCTCTTCGAATTCGTTCCGGGTACCGCACTTGCAACATGTCCACCTGCATCGTCTTTTCAGATGCCACGGGTAATCCGAGTCCCAAAAGACTGGCATTCTGATCTTTTGGAGTTTTGCCATGTTGCGTGGTTCGAGATGGTTTGAGTTGCTGTTGCGTTTGGGTTTCTTGATAGGGCTAGAAGAGGTTTACTGTGTAAGTGAGAAAGATGTTAGATAGTGTGGAAGGGATCCAAATGCTGAAGATCGGGATCGGGATCAGTATTTATCTAATTTTCGAGCTACCTTGAAGAGATCATTTCAAGAGAGGAGGAGGAAAGTGATTCAGGATTTTCTCGCCTACCGAATTTTATTCGGGTGAATGAGCTCCTGCCACCAGGTCACAACGTTTATCCCAAGCAAATAAGATATCGGACGATGAATTCACTATATGGAGGCGCAGGCAGCAAAGAGAGGAAACCAAGAGTCAGCGCCTCGCTTCTCTTTCACTGTTCTTCTGCATTTTTCTTCTGGTCACTTGAGGAAGTTGAAAATGATCACAGCTGGACATGGTCGTGCGGCAGTGGTTCCTTGAACACCGTCGATGTGGTGGTCGTTCGAGCACCTCTTTCTTGGTGAACTTGTACTTCACTTTCATGTAAGATTTGCGGCACTGAACGATGGCTGAGGCTAGCTTTACTACATGATACTGAGTCGATGAGCATAGAAACCGACTTCCATTTAACTATCAAGATGATTTTCTTCACACGAATAAATTATTCAACCCACGACTTTCACTTCAACAAGCCAGAAAGACCCTCTCTACTAGATGGGCCCCAAGCCATTTGACTTCCTCCAACCGCACCACAACTCTCCCCATCCTTCACTAAGACCCATACCCATATTCAAGCTCAACCGCCCTCATACAAGTCAATAACAATAACCTCGGCATCCAAATCACACACCACTGACACGGTCCAACGTGGGCACCGCATCGCCCGTCTCCGCGACAGCAGGGCCGGGCGCCATCATCTCGACAGACCTGCGTCGCAGGCTCGGCCGGCATGGGGTTTCCATCCGTGAAGCACTGGCAGCATGTCCAGAGGCAGTACTCCCGGAAGACTTCGGGTGTAGGACTGCGAATTCTTGTAGGGTTAGGGGGACCATGACGAGAGACATTTTGGGGTATGGGGAAGTGAGGTGTTGTGTAGCGTGTGTTTTCTGGTTGAACCTCGATTTGAGTTGGAGTTCTTGTAGATGGAAGACTGAGATGTTGTCTGTTGGAGATGGAGTTCCAGGGCTGTCTTGTTGGGGGCTATCGTGGCGGTATTTGTAATTCGATGGCTTGAGAAGAGATCGTTTTGAATCAAGAATTCCCTCCTTCTTTTGACTTATTCCACGTTTCCTCTAAGACTCAGATGTTCTTGTCTCGTAAGTGACTCCCACTTATCGTGCGTCACAACCGGGCGCTGAAAATCTGCGGCCGTTCTAGGCTCCCCGGTCTGATCGAAGAAGCTCGCGCACGCATGAATAATCCATTAAGAATTGCCTGACGAGTGTGGAACCTGCGTGGCCTCCAATGGGCTCTAGTTGTCGAGACGCTCTGGGCGAAGCAGCTTACCTACGAGATCTGACGGTTGGCTTCAACTTAGAGAGAGCTTCATCGGGGTAGACTCACCAGCAGGACGAATATGAACATGTTGAGACTACCAATTCCTATCTTTGTCTAGACCCGGGGGATACTAAGGAACTTTACCATGAGTTGTGGCGACAAGAGGTCATCACATGTGCTCAGAGTTAAAACGAGTCACGTTGTGAGCTTTGAGTTTGACAAACATTGAACTCATCACCCTCTCGGGAATGAGAGTGTTGGTTCAAAACTGGGTATCAACTAACTACTATGTAGTCTACCGTAACTATAGCATACCTAGCTCAAGGCGCTGTCTATCTAATCAAACCCTCTTCATCGCCATCGCCCCCTCAGTGAGATACCTCAGGTGCAAGACATCCATGGGATTCCAAGCCCCCTCGGGCCCAACAATCGCACAACAATCAGCAGGTCCATCGTGTACCTCCTTCGACCCCGGGTTCACCACGCAGCCCTCAGGGTTCCGCCAGTGCATCAGCCTAAGCCCCTGTGCCGGCATCGTATTGTAAAAACCGCAGTTGCAGCACTCCCACCTGGCATCCTCGAGAAGGCTCACGCCACCGTCGCTCTGGCGAGACGCATGGGTCTGGAACATCTCGTAGGAGAAGGGCCAGGTTATTTGGTATGGGCCGGAAACGCCGCTGTCTTCGTTGGTGCCGCCGACGCTGCTTTGGCTTTCCTGGCTTGCGTCGCTTGGAGTCTGAAAAGTGCCATAGTAACTAGTCTGTTCTTCTTCAATCTCCCTCTGCACTTCGACGCGACGACGTCTGGTCTTGAAGATGTTGCCTTTGGCCATTGTAAGTGTTGCGGCGTCTTGCTTTGTTTTTCTTGTTGATGTGTGTTTTGAGAGTCGTTGTAGTGATGTTGATTCTGTCTGTTGTCTGTTCTGCTTGGGTGCTGAGAGTCCTATTGGTCTCAACTGAGTTCCATGATCATACTTATTTATATACCTTGTGCTCGAAGCGCTTGAAGCACTACCACAGCTTTACAAGATAGTCGAACAGACTCACTCCCAGCAAAGTCCGTGATGAGGATAGTCTTGAAGGTTTGTGTGAGTCTCTCTCAATGACTTGCAACCACTATGACCCAAACATGTTACGAATGATTCAGTGCGAGAGAGATTACTCTTATGTCCGTAGAAGATGGAGACCCTCAGCAACTACCTACCCTCCAAGTCATCCATGTGTTGCAAACAGCATTGTGCAGGAAAAGGCAATGGGAATAGGCTTTTATGCAAGTTGAACAAAAGTTATAGATAACATGACTGGCTCCAGTCAACTCGGGCTCTCTTCAGCAGTGAATGAGACAGTTCTTTGAGTAAGAAGCTTCTGAATACAACGCAAAATCAAAACAAAAGCAAAAGAATGCGTCGAGGGGGAATCGAACCCCCGGCTCCCCGACGCTGCTTGATGGCAACGGAGAATTTTACCACTAAACCATCGACGCTGATGCTGTTCATCGTGACACGTGATGAGTTGAAATCCGCCAGCGAGAATTGGAATGATATTGCGATGATTTGAGGGCTGTGGGTTGGTTGTGGGGAAGGTGAGGGCTGGATGAGATCTCCGGGCCTCGGCGGGTCTAGTTCCCAAAGCGGGGTTCCACTTTCGGGCCGATGAAAGCGGGAAAATATTCAGGAAAGGGAGTGGAACGCAAATGACTGGTGCAACTGGATCGAGTCTGGAAGCCAGACTCGTTGCAAGAGGAGTTGTGAGATCAGGTATAACTTCGGTTGATGGGATCTGTAATGGTTGCTGCACAAACGCAAAAGGCCAAGATCGACAATGCTTTACGGTCAACGGCCGAACGGCGGCACCGGAACGGCCATGCAGGGCTGGTCAGTTGGCCCAAACGCCGCCATCCGTGTGCCGAGACTGGTCCAGCTTGTGGGGAATCAGTCATCCACGGTGACACAACCCAAGCAAACGCACGTTACAAAAGAAGGATGAGCAAACATCAAAGCGTAAATAGACAAAACAGAGAGTTCCGTCAACCGATGTGTTCAGCATGAGAAACGATGGGTGGAAACAGCTCTTCGACTCGTGTTGCGTCAACACCAAGCATGCTGTGTATTTTGCTGCAGCCAAGCAATCCGTAGGATGGTCAAACAGGAAGGTGTAGTGTGATGTGCACCTCGCGCAACTCGCGCAAGGTATGGCAGTCAGTCTGGGGTTCTTCAGGTCTAGTGCAAATAAAGTGATGGAGAGAGGCAAGGGTGTTTGTCAACTAGTAGGAGTGGAAAAATGGGGCAGAATGAGTTCGTCAGGGAAAAGATTGGCATCTCAAAAGACGCATCCACGGCATCGTGGGCAGGATATGCGGCGTGACGAGTAGATTGCGGGTGGTCGTTGACTTAGACTCTTGGCTTGCTGAATCATAGGCGAATGAAGGTAGAGGGATTGGTGACGTCGCGGCGCATGTGAGCGAATTGGGGGGTGGGAAAGGAAGAGGAGGAGGTTACAGCAGGGAACATTTCTGAAGGTTGGATGGGCTTGCAGTAGGCTTGGCCATGATTGGCGCGGGCTTTCTGCGAGGATTGAATACGTGCTCGTCCTTCCTTAGGGACAATAGAGAAAGAGTTGGAGGGCGAGGATGGGATGTTCAGACCAAACGATGCGAAGCGAGGCTGCTGGCTAATGTGAGACGGTGTGAGCTAGAGATGAAGAGACGAAAAGGCTATTGGCGGGTATGGGGAAAAGGAGGACGGGCCTGGGGGATGGAGTGCCGCGAAAGTCTGGCGGACCGCGGAGGAGGGCGGAGGGCGGTGGGAGAGTGAGAAGTTGAGGCGGAACGTGGGAGGTGAATGTGAGCGTGTGAGTGAGCAATCAATTGAGTGGAAGCCACTCCGGGAGAAGCCCGGCAGCCCCGGCGAGTGCGACGTCTCACTTGAGTTGTTGATGCTATTTGAATTTTGCGCAGATTGTTGAGAGACCCTAGGCAAGCCGCAGTCAACGTATTCATATTGATTGCGGCTAGCGATATTCTTGCAGTGCCGCCAAGGAGTAGAGTTTTCGTTTTCACGGACCGGATATCAGCAGTCTGTTATTGTCATGGATAGCGAGAGCGACTGCAACAACACGGGCGTTGATTGTCACCTTGTCACCCTCTGGCGGAGTAAGGGATGGGCAAAAAAGAAGAAGAAAAAAAAGGAAGAAAAACATTGCGACAATCCAAGACCAGGGTCCAAATCTTCCTAAGTTCCTGGTGGAAAGAAAGGGAAAGAGAATACGGTGGATTGGCTGAGGAATGGCAGTCGCAGTGCGAACCGTGCGGAAGTATCCCGGAAGTACCTGAAGTGTTGCGCCGACTGCACTTTCCTCACCAAAAACTTAGAAGAGGGAAGGAACGGGACGAATGTGGAGGAACTTCGGGATCCTTCCTTCTTGCCTCACCTCACCTCACTTCTCCTCAACTCTCACCCCATGTCACTTCGTACTTTAAAAAACAACAACAAAAAAACACAGCAAAATACCTTACCATGCCATCTATCACCTTACTTGACGACCAGATGCTTCGAGAAATTTCAATCACATTCGACGGCATCGCAGTCCCTCGCGTAGGCCTAAAGCTGCCGACACTGACAGAACACAGCATGTCAACAACATGGTCATGACTCGAGCCGGTCTCTCCACGACAACCCGAAGAAAAAAAGTGGGCGGTGACGCCGCTTCCCTGGGCGCCGAGCCTCCAAATGGAGTTGGCGATCTCGCGAACTGGCTTGGCCAGCAACGTCGCGGCACAAAATCACGCCGCCAATGCTTGGTGCCTTGGAATACCCAATCCAGGTCGCACAAACTCACCAAGAGTTGTCAAAATCGCACCAAAAAGACACCGGTCAAGCTTTTGCCAACAGTTCGACAAGAGACTCCAAGAAGGACAAGACTCTGTAGGATTGACACAAGTAATGGGCCCTGACAGATATTCCACGGCAATCGGTGCATGCACCAGATCCGAAATCTGGGGTTTTCAACGACATGCGTTGCGAATGAGGGGTTGCTGCCAGAGATATCGGTGGATTGATATCATGTCAATCAACAAGCGACACTGTCCGTCGCTCAACCCGGCAGAAAGAGGCTCAAGTTTTTGACTCCGCCCAACGGCGCTTCAGCTCATGTCAACCTAACCCTGTCTCTCCGTATGCGACTTTTTTCTGTGCGACAAAAGAGATTAACCGCTTCCCGGGGGGGATTACGACACCACGCGGCCAGTCATGACAACAAGTCGGTCACTTTGGGTACATCCTTGTCTCGAGCCGCTTGGCATACATGGGCCATTCACCGTCCGGAACCGAGCACCGCTGACACTATCATCTGTACCCTCGTCATTGGGCTTCTTTGTTATCCTCGAGGAGTTTCGCCTCTCCTCTCAGTTGCCCCCAACGCATCATGGCACTGCAATGTGTGAGAAGCATGCGTGTCGCATTCCCATCGGTCCCGAGTGCCGGTAGCCAAAAACAATGGAAGATACGGATTTCGGAGTAAGGTGCCTTACGGATACACAGAGAGAAGGATCTGGCCTGTTGCAGTGGAACGTGGCTCTGGGCAGCATGTCTCACACGACGTGCTCCCTAGTCCCTCTCGTATCGCATCGCATCCGAGGGCGTGTACGTGCTACTTGGAAAGCTGGGACAAGACTAGGACGGAATCAGGCATGGTTCATCCGCAGGGCGTCTAGTGTAGATGAGCAGACATCAAGAACCTAAGCAACCTGACCAACCCTGCCAGACGAACCCAAATTTGAGGCGAGATGTCGGTAGAGCCACTGAGGCAACCTTATTCCGCGGATTCGCATTCCCCTACGCTGCTGCTGGATGTATTCGAACTTTGTAGGTGTAGCAAGTCAAGTGCGGGCAGAAAATACAGCCGGAAGACGGCACCGGTACCGTTCGAGTGATGGGCCTGAATTGGCAAGGTTACCTATCAACAAGCCGTAAAGAACCTTCCTTACGACGACTATCGGTACTTCCGAGGTACAAGGCACCCACGTAAGCAACCCCCCAAGCCATGCCGCCATGCGCCTCCCACCGACGGCGGACAGCAGGAACCACTGGGAAGACAGCCCGGAGAAAAGAGCAGAAAATGGTTCTTTCTCTGGGCTCCCACTTGCAGCTTGTCTTGCCCCCAGGCTTGCCAGGCCCACGCCCCAGTGGTACCCCCCACCATCTGGCGCTAAGCGGGGCCTGGCTTTTTTTCTTGCATGGATCATCCTCTGCTATCAGTACGCCAACATCTTGGCTGTCTTTTCCCTGCGACATACTTAGGTTCCATGAACCCCGAAGCTTTTTCTAGTTTCTGTCCCTCTTTTTGTTCATGTAAACCCTCGAGGTCTACCGAAACTGACCCGAGACTTTATCGACATTGTTCCCAGGACGCCCATTGTCGCGACATCTTCAAACCCAGAAGTCGCAGTTCCGAACGAGGCGCACAAGTCAACGAGCGCGCACGAAGAGGCAACACCCGCTTAGTGACCTCATAGCTCCTGGGCTTCGTATCCGCTTCTCTCACTTTCCTCGACTCGAACCGACACCACCCGATCCCATCCTTAGGCCCAACTGCCTTTTGGCACGCCGACTTTTCCCTCGAATGCATCGAGCCATCCTCGCTCTCGGGACGCAATCCATCGACTGGGGAGTTTCGCGCCCTTCGCCAGGCCCAGCTAACATTCCTATTGCTGCCGGCGGTTGAGCGACCCCCAACTAATACGGCTTGCGACGAATCCCACTATTCGATCAACACCAACCGAATAACCACAACACATAGAGATACCCTCCCAATCCCGCCACCATGGCGTGGGATC